ATATACAGCTACCACCCGCCGCCAGCCGCCGCCACCCCCGCCGCCGCCGCTGCCGCCTGCGCTGCGGCCACAACCGGCAGCAGCTGGGCGGCAGGGATGCTGAAGTTGAGGTGAGGGAGCACCGTCGGGGCGGCAGGACCGCCGCGCAGCCCTGCTCCCCGGCCGCCGCCGCCGCCGCCACTGCTGGGCGTGTGCTTGGCATTGCTGGTCACCAGGCCCAGCAGCCGGCCAGTGGCGGCATCCAGGACCGCGCCGCCGCTGGCGCCGCTGTGCACGGCGGCCGTGGTGAGTAGCATGGCGGGCTGGCCGCTGGCGGGCGTGCGCACCACCTGCAGGCAGGCAAATGGGGAATGGTGCTTGACGTCTGGATGGGCTGCACCTCAGCGCCTCAAGGCAGGCGGGAGCCGCATATCCAGCACAGAAGGCAGCTGACTGCTTGGCACCAAGGGCTGCGGGGAAGACAAGGCAGCCGGGGGGAAGCTGCACAGCTGTACCATGCGGGCCCAGGGCAGGCAGGCTGGCCGCCCGCGCACCTTCGCCAGGTTGCCTGCTGTGAGCACGGCCGCCTGCAGCGGGCTGCTGCGTGGGTTGAATGCTGGGAAGCCGGCCACGCAGACGCGCTGCCCCGGGTGCGCCCCCCGCGGCGCCAGCGCAAGCGGCCGCCAGCTGGGCACGGGCGGCTGCCAGGGCTGCTGCAGCTGCAGTACCGCCAGGTCCAGCGGGCCCCGGAAGACGTACCGCACGTCCGCCGCCGCCCAGCGGGACCCCCCGCCGCCGCCACCGCCCACCGCCGGCAGCAGCACTCGCAGCGGCGCCGCGGCCACCGCCGCCGCCGGCGCCAGCTGCAGCTCCTGCTGGGCTGCGCACAGCGGGCGAGGAGCCGGCGCCGAGGCAGCACCGGGCGGCAGCAGGTGTGCGTTTGTGAGGATGTGGCCTGTGCTGCTCACCACCACGCCGGTGGCCCAAGCGCCGCCGGCGGCGATGGCCACCACTCCCTGCAGCGCCTGCGCAAGGGGCCCCGCCGCCGCCGCCGCAGCAGCAGCAGCATCCGTGCCATCTCCCACAGCAGCCAGCCTGCCGGCGGCAGCGCCTCTGTCGCCGCTGCTTCCACCACCACCACCGTCTGCGTGCCCTGCTGCCGTCCCGCGCACCGCGGTGGTGGTGGTGGTGCTGCTGCTGCTGGTGTGGGCTGGCGCTGCGGCCTGCGGGCTGCTGCCGGGCGCCTTGCCCCGCAGCACCGCTGCGACCGCCGCTGCCACGGCGCCTGCGGGGGCGACGGCTGCAAACTCGACCTGCGCCGCAGGCGCCTTGATCGGCGGCAGCAGCATCCCCACTAGCTGCCGTCGCTGCTGCTGCTGCTGCTGCTGCTGCTGCTGCCCCTGCTGCTGCTGCAGCTGCCCCTGCTGCAGCAGCTGGTCATCGGCCGCGCGTGGACAGGCTGCCCCTGGCGCGCCAAGCATTGCACTGTGGCCTGGGGCTGCTGTGTCGGCAGCAAACACAGGGCCGCCCTCCATGCCCGGGCTGCACCGCATGTCTGAGAGAAGCAGTGCCGCCGGGGCGTACGCTGCCGGCCCGCCCGCAGCACCTGCGCTGCTGCCGTGGCTGCTGCTGCACCGCCCGTCCTCTGCCCGAGGCACCGCTGCCGACACCACACCGGTAGAGAGGAAGGCGGTGAAGTGGTTGGGAGCCAGCGCGCCGAAGGGCGCCCCGACTGCCGCCAGCGGCTGGCCCGGGCAGGCTTGTGCCGCTGCGCTGCTGCTGCCGGGGCAGGGGGCAGGCCAGGGCAGGGCCAGGCGCCTCAGGGCTGCCGCGCCGCCGGCGCTGGCCGTCTGCAGCACCGCCACGTGGCAAGCCGCCTCCAGCACGGCAGCGGCATCCAGCGCTGCTGCCGCCGCCGCGCTCCCGCCGCCGCCGCCGCTGCCTGCGGTCGAGCCTGCGCTGCCACCGCTGGGGCTGGCAGAGCCGTTGAGCCAAGGCAGCAGGGCCTGCTGCTGCTGTGGCGGCGCGCTGTGCGGCTGTGGTGGTTCTGCATGCCGCCTGCGCTGCTCGTGCAGCAGCCAGCCCAGCTGCCAGCCGCCCGGGCCGGCGATTGACGGAGCCGCGAGCAGCTGCAGCAGCGCCTGCCGCACCCCGGGCAGCTCTGCCAGACCCAGCAGCCTAAGATCCACCGACAGGTTGCCTCCGCTGTTGCTGCCTCCACCTGAGGATGCTCCTTCGCTGCCTGCATCGCCGCCGCCAGAAACCACCGCCTGCAGGCGCGAGCCGGCCACCAGGTCGTCGCTGCCGGCGCCGCCCAGGCCGCTCTGGCGGCGCTGCTGCCGCAGGAGTGGCAGCAGGGCGGCCGCCGAGGCGACCACCAGCGGCTGACCCTCGTGGAGCAGCACAAAGCCTGCGGGGCGAGGAGGGCAGGCGGGTGTTCAGTGCGCTGCCACGAGGCGAGGCGGGAGGCGGTGGCGGCGAGCCGCCCGACGGTGAACAGGTAGCCCAAGCTGGCTATTTCCTCCCCGGTCAAGTCCCTGCACCGTGCGCTGCGCACCAGAGGCGCTGGTGGTCGTTACTCCGTCCGCGGCCACATGGAAGGGAGCGAGAGCGGCCTTGGCGAGCTTGGGGTCAGGGCAGCGGGCCGTGACGAGCACCCCGGTCTGCTCCATTGCGATAGGGGCGTCGGAGCCATCGTCACGTTTTGTGCGAGCGATGCGAACGTGGCGCCACGTGCGTGACGTGCGAAGAAGAAACCAAACCGCGGGGAAGTGGTCAATGCATGCCATCGGCCATGGTGGAGTGGAGCCTGGACGTGGCGGCGCTGCCAGAGCGGCCGCCCACGCACATCCAGGAGAGCTACAGCAGCTTGTTCCTGCTGGATGACGGCGGGAACGACACGTCCTTCCGCCTGCACCCCAACGGGCTGTGCCTGGTGGGCCTGGCGCCCGGGCATGCCGCTCACTGCGAGCATGCCGGCGGCAGCGGCGGCGACCAGCCAGGCGCAGCTGGGCAAGGGGCACCAACAGGGCATGATGTAATGCTGCTGGACAGCGCAGCAGATGGCGTGCAGGGTGCCCGTGCACAGCAGGCTCAGCCTGGGGAAGACGGCTCCCAGCAGCAGCAAGGCATCCTGCCTCCCTCGGCCCAGCAGCAGAGCGGCGGAGATGCACGGCTGGCTCTGGCGCCCAAGCTGCTGCAGGCGGAGTTCCGCAAGGGCAGGGGCCCGCTGCTGCAGCCCGACACAATACTCGGCAGGCAAGCGGGGCCTGCTTTTGCTGTGGGAGGGAAGAGGCGGCAGCGCCCTTGTTGTGTGGCCCGGCGTGAGTCTGGGGCAGCTGCTGTCAGCTGAGGCGCCCAAGCCGCGCTTGCCCGCCCAGCTTCCCACCTACTTCACACACGCACACACCGCAGGCTGTCGGTTGGCGGGGCGGAGTACGTGCTGCGCTGCGGCGTGCGGGGCTTGCTGGTGGAGCTGAATGCGCGGCTGCAGCGGCTGGCGGGGCGGGAGCTGCTCAGGTGGGTGCGGGGCAGGGCTGGGTAGTCGAAGGTGTGTCTGGAATGAGGCGGTGACTTGGGAGGTTGGCAGCAGTGCTCGGGCAGTGCTCGGTCAGTGCTCGAGCATGCAGCTGTGCAGCAGAGCGGCAAGGCGCCCGCTGCTGCTGCTGCTCGCAATGGCCGTGGCCTGTTCGTTGCACTGCACTGGTACCAGCGTGCGTGCGCTGCATGCCCCCGCTCTGTGCAGAGCTCTTGAGGATGGCTACCTGGCGATCCTGGAGCTGAGGGCGGCGGAGGCGCAGCAGCTGGCTGGGCGGTGCTTGTCGGAGGAGCGGTACAGGCAGCGCCTGGCAGAGAAGGGGCAGGGGCAGGAGGCGGCGCAGCAGGCGCGGCCGCCGCAGCAGCAACAGCAGCAGCAGGCTGCAGTGCAAGCAACCCCAGCCCCTGAAGCAAGCTAAAGGCCTCTCCCTGGGCATGTGTGGACGATTTCAATGGAATGAAATGAGTGCAAAACAAATAGCAATGACGCAAGCGCTGAGGCAGGTGGTGGCGGGATGGGGCCGCTTCACGCCAGCTCAAGAGTGGCCACCGGCGGCTTGGTGGTGCCAAAGCGCAGGCTGTACTCGCCGCAGGGCGGCGTGGGGTCCCCAAACCCCGCCCAGGCGGAGGAGCTGCCGCCGCCGAGGGCGAGGCCGAAGCGCAGGCGCCGCGACTCGCCCGGCGCCAGCGCCGCTACGCGCTGGTATCCGGCCAGCGCCTGCACCAGATCGGAGCGGCTGGTCTTGTTGATGCAGCCCGAGCCGGGGATCGCGGCTCGCGGCAGCCGCGCGGCGCCGCCTGCCGCTGCTGCTCTGGGCGCGCCCGTGTAGGTGAGGAACAGCAGCAGCACATGGTCGGCTGCCACGCCGCCGCGGTTGCTCAGCGTGACCTCGGCCGCAGCGGTGTTGGGGGCGGCGCCGGCGGCGACCGACACGTTGCTGTGCTGGAAAGTGGTGTAGCTGAGGCCGTGTCCGAAGCGGTACAGCGGCTTGGGGCCCCACCAGTAGCGGTACGTGCGGCCTGCAGCATGGGAGAGAGGCACGGAGGGGTGGGGCGAGGTGGTCGGCTGCCCACCACTGCCACCTGTCACCATCTGCCCCCTGCTGCTGCTGTAGCTGTAGCTGCCTGCAGCCTATAGGCCGGCAGGCGCCTCCACTCTGTGGTCTGCGCCTCAAGTTTGCAGTCGCGGCCACCACACTGCCGGGGCTGTTGTGCCGACCAGTCGCACGCCCTGCCGGCACACAGGCGGGCAGGCAGGCACGCGCCTGGGTATCCCGCAGACGCCATCATCCTCATGTCAGTCATGGCCAGCTTGGTGTACGACTCCCGGTACCACGTCACAGGCAGGCGGCCTGCAGCACGGGCGGGGTGGGTGGCAGTGGGGAGCTAGTGTGTGTGTTCACACATGTGTGTATTTGTGATACCCGGTGTGTGAGACAGGGCGGGAGGGCAGGCCACGGCCAGCACCCTGAGGCTGGTGCACACGCAGCGGGGTGGGTGCTGCCAAAGCGCCAGCAGGCAGCGGCATCGAGGGCGCGTGCATGGCACGGCGCCACCCACCGGAAGGGGACACCTGGCCGAAGAGGATGCTGGGGATGGTGGCGGCGCCCTGGCCCGGGTACCAGGCCGTGAGAACCGCTCCCACACGGGAGGAGCCATGCATGTCTGAAACATCCAGCGGCCCTCCGTGCACCTGCGGGCAGGCAGGCAGCCAGGGAGGCGAGTTGTCACAACGGTCGAGCGGGCGAGCGGCAGCAGGTTGCAGGTCAGCCAGGGGCAGCAGGCAGCGGCACCCAGCGGCGGAGGGTGGAGGGGTTGGGCCGGCGGCAGCCGGCGCAGGTGCTGGGGAGGGTAGCAGGAGCGGCAGCGCTGGTTGGCGGGGCACACACCAGGACGACCACCAGGGGTGTGGTGGTCCGGCTGGCCAGCGCCTGCCACAGGCGCCGCTGGTATGGCGGGAGCCGCAGGGACAGGCGGTCTAGCTTCTCTCCCTCGGCATAGGGCGCGTAGGGATCCTGCGGGGCGGGCACACAACATGCGGCAGGAGCTGGGCTGGTGTTAAGGCGGCCTGTGGGACGAGATGCCGTGTCGAGGCACCAGGCAGGGCGTGTGTTGCTGCCTGCAATGCACGGGCAAGGCCGCGGCGTGCGACGCTCGACGCACACTGCGTACCTTCTCCACAGGCTCGTTGTTACGGCCGGTCCTCTGCATGCGGTTGCCCAGGAACAGGATGCAGGCGTCCGCCCCCTGCAGCAGGCCCCACCGAGCAGCAGGCAAGGTGAGCACACCGCGACGGCCCGCCGGCGGCCCGCTGCGCCCCCCAATCTGCAGCTGCCTCCTCGAAGGCAAGCGCTGGCGCCAGCGCCGAGCTGCTGCCATGCGCCCGACATCGCTTCACGTCTGCGTCCCGTTGGCGGGGGAATAGGCGCGAGCGGTGGCGGCGTCAAAGCTGATCTGGGCGCCTTCAGGCGCTGCCGCTCGCAGGGCTTGGAGCGGCGTGGTGGCTCCCGCATTGGGGATGGAGTAATAGTTCCTGCAGGAGCACGTGGGAAGAACACAAGTTTGGGGTGGGGTGCAGGAGGGTTGGGCACGGTGCTGGAGCACAGAAAGAAGAGGAAGCCCAGCGGGCACTGCACGCGAAGGCTGTAGCGGCAGCACAGGCGCGAGGCGACAGAGGTCTGGCGGCCAGCGATTGGTGGCTGCTGCGGGCGGCGCCTACCCAAGGATGGCCACAGGATCGTCGGCAAACGGGCCAATGACCGCCAGCGTGCTGTTGGGCGAGACCTTGAGAGGGTGCACCCCCGTGTTTTTCAGCAGCACCATGCCACTCGCCGCCACTTGTACAGCGGTGGCCTGGTGCACCGCCGAGCCAATCACATCAGGCTGCAGGCTGTCAAAGGGCTGCTGGCTGGCAGAGTTCAAGTGGCCCAGCCTGCAGGCAGGGCAGGCAAGCAAATCAAGGTGGCAGCCAGGCACAGCAGCAGCAGCATCTCGCTGAGCGGCAGGCGGCGGCACACGGCGACAGCTGGCTCCAGGTGCCATGAAAGCGGGGACCTTGTAGGCCTCCATCTGATGCCCAATGTGGCGGGCGGGCGCACCTGATACGAGCTGTCAGCACGCGCCGCGCCGCGGTGTCCAGGTCTGCGCGGCTGACGTCTTCAGGCTCCAGGGTCTGGAAGTCGTGGCACACCATGTCTGCGGGCCAGGCGCAGAGCAGGGGCAAGAGCAGGTGGCATGCGCGCCGCCGCCGCACATGGTGCACCAAACGGTCTTGAGAGCGGGAGCATATTGCAACGGCTCGAGGCTGCCCACCCCACACCCAGCCACGCGCCATGCCCCCACCTGTGCCGGCCTGCAGCGCCTTGGCGCTGGCCTCACGCCGGTATGCCTGGAAGCCCAGGCCGGCAGGGAGCGGCTTGATCATGCTGTTGATGGCTGCAGCCGACACGAAGTAGAGTATAGGTGGAGTTGGAAACGTGTGAGGAAGGCGCGCGCACACAGCGTGCTTGGCGGAGCACTGCGGAGCCTTGCACGGCACATCTGCCTCGGTTCTTTCTTCAAGCCAGCCCCTTGCCCGCACAGGATGCTGCAGCGCCCCACGCACCTGAGCAGTCGGTGACGACGAAGCCCTCAAACCCGAGCTCGCCCCGCAGCGATTCATTCAGCAGCGAGGGGTTGGCGCAGGCCGGCAGGCCGTTGACTGCATCCAGGAGGGCGGCAGGGAGGCAGGTCGGCGGCCAGGGCCGACCGGAAGGCGGGCAGGCACAGCAGCAGCTGACGGAGCAGCCAGCCAGCCAAGGACGCTGCCACGGGCCCGTTCCAACCAGCCAGCCAGCCAGCCTGCCTGCCAGCATGTCTGCAAGCCCCCGCCAGACCTGCGTTGTAACTGCACATTAGGCTGTGGGCCCGCGCCCGCACGCAGCCCTCAAATGGCGGCAGGAAGGAGTCGCGCAGGTCACGGGCGTCGATGGTGGCGTTGAAGTTGTAGCGGGTGACGCCCCGCCAGTCCTCCAGGTCGTTGCCGATAAAGTGCTGCAGGGGAGTGGAACAGGGGAGTGGCAAGGCCGGTGCGGGCAGCGCACAGGGAGCAGGGCAAGGGGGCTCAGGGCTGGGCGGGAAGCGTGGGCCTGACGCACTTTGTCTGACCGGCCCGGCCAGGCCGCGCCGCCGACCGCCCGCTGCGCCGGGGCGCGTGCCGCCGGCCGGCGCACCTTGCACGTGGCGCCCGCTTTGAGGTAGGCGCCGCTGCCGTTGCCGCCCTGCAGCCCCGAGACAAAGGCCTGGGCCATGTCGGCGGAGAGGCGCGGGTCCTCCCCAAACGTCTCGCTCAGCCGCCCCCACCGCGGGTCCCTGCAAGCGGCACCGTGGGGCAGGCATTCGCCGCTGGCGGCGCATGCTGTGCGCAGCAGTATGGCTATGGGAGTCGCAGGGGCGGGCCGCTGTGGACGAGAAGCGGCGGCGCCAGCTGCAGCCCAGCTGGTGGTGCCAGCCTGGCGTTGTTTTGCTGAGCTGGCGGACCTGACGATGTTCACGTGCGGGCCGAAGCAGTTGGAGAAGTCGGGCGGGCGCCCCGCCCTCATCTCTGCGTTGTTGTAGGCTCGCATCTCATCCCCAACCTCGCTGGCGGCCCGCCGCACCAGCGCAGGGTCGAAGGTGGCCCCCCAGGCAATGGGCTGCGGTGGCAGAGGGCAGGCCAGAGGTCGGCACGGCGCCGCCCCGTGCGCAATGGCTGTCGCCCCGCCAGAGAACATGCCATGCTCCCTGACCCACCTGTGGGAACATGGTTCCGAGCCCAGAGTTGACCATGCCGTGCAGGCACTCTGCAGGGCAGGCGGGGCGCAGCGCCCGATGTCAAACGGCGGCAGCAGGGCAGCGGGCCCCTCCGTCGCCACCGGCACCGGGCGAGCGGCAAAGCCGGGCAGGAAGCTGCGGCGGCTTGCCGTGCTGCCAGTTGAACGAGGGTATTCCGAGGGAGGGGATGGCGGCTCCTGTGGCGTCGCTGCCCAGCTGGCCCAGCTTCTGCTCGGTTGTGAGCTGGTCCAGCAAGGCGGCCACCCGCTCATCCACCGGGTTGGCGGGATCCAGCCACGGGCTCACGGCGGCAGCACTGCTGGTATTGTTGCCGGAAGCGGGATCGGGATCAGCGGAGCTGCCTGCAGGGTGAACACAGGGCGGCAGGCGGGGGCAGTGTTGGTGGCACCCGCGGCTGGTGCCAGCACAAGGCGGGGGGTTAAAGGCGGCAACGGCGGCAGTGGTCGGGGCGGCCCCAGCGAGCGGCGGCAGCAGGCCGCGAGTCTAAAAAATCATGCCGGCCATACCGGCGACGATTCTAGGCTCCAAATAGCAAAGCAGCCTCGCATGCGGGCCCTCCCCATCTCCGGGCAAGGTCCTGCCCACACCACCTCGCAACCCGATCTGGCTGCCTTGTTCACTCCCTGAGACCCCACCTTGAGACCGGAACCTATATCCGCCAGCCACCGACACCAATGTGGCCACCGCCATCACGAAGCGCCGGGGAGACATGCAGCCAGAGGACTGGCGCAGCAGGGGGCTTGAACCGCCTTCTACGCCATCCCGCTCACTAAAAAACACGCAGTAAGGCTGCGCCGGGAAGCCGACTTGTATATTCCAAATTTGGCGGCGGGACACCCGGCGTCCCGCGACCTTGATGCCCCCAGGGAGACTGGAGATCTCCAGCCACTACGTTTGCCTGATGCTTCGGCAGGGGGATCTGCTGCACTCAAGAAGCAGATCTTTGCCCGAAGTGTAGGAAATCAAATTCAGATCAGTTTTAATCAGGGCGGGCGCGTACTTGAGGAGCAGGTGGATGTGAGCCGGCGGTGCGAGGCGCCTCCTGGGGCCGTCAGCCCTTGTTGCCCGCCTTCATCAGCTCGTGGAACACCTCCTGCGGCACGTCCACGCTGCCCACCCGCCGCATCCGCTTCTTCCCCTCCTTCTGCTTCTCCAGCAGCTTGCGCTTGCTGCATGGGGCAGCAGGGGAGAGAGGGGGTGGAGCAGGCCAGGCCGGGGCCAGGGCAGCGTGTGTGCACGTGTGCATGAGGCGGTGGCGGTGGCTGGGGAGGCGCAGGGCTTGGTGGGCTCCAGTGGCACGGTGGCAGCTGCATGCCCATATGCCCAACCCACAGGTGGCCTGCTGCCGCTCGCATGCGAGAAGCCGTCGCAATGCACAGCCACGCAGCCCTGCCCGCCCGCCGGGGGGCAGCAGACTGAGGTCGGGCACCCACCGGCTGACGTCCCCGCCGTAGCACTTGGCCAGCACGTTCTTGCGGTACGCCTTGAGCGTCTCGCGTGCCACGATGCGCCCCCCCGCGCTCGCCTGCAGCACCACCTCAAACTGCTGGCGGTCCATGAGGTCCTGCGGGGCGGCGGCACAGAGAGAGAGAGTGTGTGTGTGTGTGTGTGTGCCCCCCGCCATGGCCAGGCATAGCCAGCAGGCGCAGGCACGCAGCGGCGCCCGCTGGGCTCCCGCCGCTAGTCCCCAGCCTGCCCCGGCCCCCAGCTCACCCGCAGCTTGGCGCAGAGGCGGCGCCCCACCACCTGCGCCTTGTCGCGGTGCACCACCCGCGCCAGCGCATCCACCGGCTCCCCGTTGATCAGAATGTCCAGGCGCTGCAGGTGGGCCTGCCTGCAGGTGCCAGGTGGTGGGCGGGAGCCGACGGGGGGCAAGAGGGGGCAAGAGGGCAGGGTGAGGGTGGCAGCAAGCAGCAGGCAACAGGCCGGTAGGCCGGGCTGTGCGCGGGCGAAGCGCGGGCACTGGCTGCCGGGCGAGCGATGCAGCCAGCCCCAGCCGAGGTGCCACAGCGCGGGCGGCGGCGCAGGGCCTGTGCGCTTGCCTGTACTCTGCTTCCTCATAGTCGAAAGAAGCATAGCCGCTGCTCACAGACTTGAGCTCATCATAATAGTCGCCACCCAGCTCCGCCAGGGGCAGGTGATACCTGCGGGCGGTACACAGGCAAGCAGCAGCGCGGCGGGACAGCCGAGCACGTGACTGGAGCGCAGGAGGGCAGCTTGGCCGCGTGCTGCTCGGGCCAGGCTCGCGCAAACGGCGGCAGCCAACGCAGGCGCGGAGGCACGCTGGGGACGGAGCAGGGGCGGCGGTTTGTGGCAGTCAGGTACAATACCAATATGCTCACTTGAGCAGCGTGCGTCCCGCGCCCAGCACGGCATGCTCCTGCATCTCTCCACGCCGGTCCTGCAGCAAACCAGCCTCCCGGAGACAGTGCAGAGTGAGACTCTCTCGTCCCACCACGGCTGCCACAAACCGTCATTTGGGTCCCGGTGGCGGCTGCCAGCCCCTCTGGTCCTAATGGCAGCTGCCGGCCCCTCTGCCCGAGCTGCCGCCCCCTGGGCTGCCGCCGCCCACCTGGCACAGCTGCATGATGGAGCCAACATAGTCGTTGGGTGTCACGATGGTGGCAGCCACCGTGGGCTCCCACACTGCGCCAGGGAAGGGCGGCGGCGTGTGTGAGCAGTGGCGGCAGCGATGGTGGCAGCAGTGCTGGCGAGGGAGCAGCATTGGAAGCACCACGCTGCAGACAGGCCCTGGCGCCTTGCAGGTGCGCCCGTGGGAGAGGACCAGGCTGACCAGCCCAGGCTGCCCACGAGCGTCGGCGGCGATTTCGTTCTTGCTTCCTGCCTTGCTTGCCACCCACCTTCGGCGATTTTGACGTTGAGCGGGAACTCCGCCGGGTTCTGCAGCTCCAGCGTGTCGCCCCCTGGCAGCACCACGCGGCAGGGCACGGTGGGGGCGGTGACGATCACCGAGGCGCCGTGCTCCTGCTCCAGGCGCTGCCGAAAGACCTGCGGGAAGGGCAGGGCAGGGCAGGGCGGGAGGCACATTGGGGAATGGGGAGAGAACGAGAAGGATGTGGAGCAAGGGCTGAAGCACTGATGCAGGACAGAAACCGCCGCACACTGCTCCCGCCGCAGCTCACATCCATGTGCAGCAGTCCCAGGAAGCCGCAGCGGAAGCCGGCCCCCAGCGCGTTGCTGTTCTCCCGCCGCACCGCCACTGCAGGCGGAGAGGGGCGAGGCAGCAAGCAGGCAGGCGGGCAGGCAGGCAGGCAGCTGAATAGAGGCTGCTGCCTGTTTCGCGAGCCTGGCTTGCATCCCTCCCCAAAACGTTGCTCCACCGGCGGTGGAGCGGAGACACCAGGCAGCCCTGGGCTTGCCTGAGGCATCGTTGAGGGTGAGCCGCTCCATGGCCGCTTGCAGCTGCTCAAAGCCGTCCGCCGACAGCGGGAAGATACCTGCAGGGGGCAGGCGGCAGCAGCCAGGCAGCCACGGCATGGGATCAGGCTCGCGCCAGAAAGGCCCCAGGCTTTGGTGGGGCTGAGAAGCTGGCAGCCTGTCCACCACACAGCCCTCCCGCCAGCGGGTGCAGCGCTGGCCCCACTGTGGCAGCCCAGCGCCTTGCTGGCGGTGCTAGCCGTCCCTCTAGTAGCAGCAGCAGCAGCCTGTGCAGCAGCAGCCTGTGCAGCCTGTGCAGCCTGTGCAGCCTGTGCAGCAGCCTGTGCAGCAGTGGCTGCCTTCCGAGGCGCACCCACCGGCAAACACCATGCTCTTGGCGCTCTTGAATCCGGGCAGCGCCGGCACGGGCATGCGCTGGTGGTGCCACGTGTCGCCGACTCGCGCTGCGCCAGGGGAGGGCAGCACATGAATGGCCCGCCGATGAGGGGGGGCAGGCAGGTGCCGGTGCCACTACAACACCATGCAGCATTCAGTACTCTTGCCAAGCAGGCAGCACCACAATTAAGGCCAGTCAACCAGCAGCATTACTGCTCCTGCCAAGCAGGCAGGGCGGTACACGGTCCCAGGCAGGGCGGTACATGCAGGAAGAAGCAGCGTGGTGCTGCAAGCGCGCCCACCTGACCGCGTGTCCTTCATGCCCACCAGCATGTACCCTACCTGTCCCGTCAGCAGCTCCCCTGTGGGTTGCGGCTCCGGCGCCAGCAGCCCCACCTCGTTCACCTCGTAGTGGGTGCCTGTAGGCGGGCAGGCACCCACCCACAGCGGTTAAGGATGTTCGATCTCTAAAACCAAACTGCCCCAGGCATGGCTGAAGCCACGCCCCCCCTGGGCTCTCTCACACCGCCCTGCCAGCACCGCTCTATCATGCACAGCGTATCTCCCAGCCAGCTTGCTGCCTGCGGCTGTGGCGCTGCCACGACCGCAGCCATCAGCCTAGCCCCTCCCTGCCTCCCGCCCGGGCTCCCGCCCTGCGCCAGCTGCTGCCCACCCCCCACCTGTGGAGGCCGCAGTGATCTTGTCCCCCTTCTGCACCCGCCCATCCAGCACCTCCACCAGGCACACCACGCCCCTGCACGCGGTGGCAGGGGCACCAGCAGCAGTCATGCACAGCGCCCGGCGCCAGGCCGTGCAGCTGAAGCTGCCATGTGGCAGGCGCCCTGCATGCACACCTTCAGCTGCAGCAGTACCACCAGCCCATGGCCATGCCACAGCACACAGCCGATAACCCCAAGGAAGAGCCGTCCACTGAGCAGCCAAGAAGAAGCGGCGGCAGCGGTGGCAGCAGCAGCAGGCAGCAGCAGCAGGCAGCAGCAGCAGGCAGCAGCAGCAGGCAGCAGCAGCAGCACCGGTACTCGTCGTGGTAGGCATCGAAGAGCAGCATGCGGAGGTCGGCAGAGGGGTCGCCCCGCGGCGGCGGCACGCGCTCCACCACCGCCGGCAGCACCGCCTCCAGGCCCAGCCCTGCGGCGAGGCAAGGCAGGGCGGGGCCAGAGACGTCGCGGCCGTCTCCTACTGCCTGCCCTGCCCTGCTCAATGAGCCAGCTGGCTGAGGCTGGCGGCAGCAGGCAACAACTGCATTGTATGCGTGTCGCGCCATCGCCAGTACGCTGAGCCACGGCCCACCTGTCTTGGCAGACACCCGCAGGCACTCCTCCGGCTCAATGTCAAAGGCGTCCTTCAGCTGCTGCGCAACTCGCTGCAGCCAGCGGCGGCAGGGACCCAGCCAGCCGTGCTGGTGTCGCAAAGGCTCTGCTGCTGCTGCTGCTGCTGCTGCTGCTGCTGTCGCCCATCACCCCGGGCGGCCCAGCCCTCCCCCACACGGCCTCCTCCCATGTGTGGCTCTGCACATCACCGGGCACACGCCTGCACAACCCCACCCCACCCCTGTGGGCAGGCCATGCCGCCCTCAACCTTGGCTGCGCTCACCTGCGGCTCTGCGCTGTCCATGTCTATTTTGTTCAGCACCGGCACAATGGCCAGGTCCTGCTCGAAAGCCAGGAAGAAGTTGGCAACAGTCTGGGCCTGCACAAGCCACGCAGGGGGCAGTGGTGAGCGAGGGATGCTGAGGCACGGGGCAGGCTGAGCCGAAGGGCAGGCGCGGTGCGTGTGGCGTGGTGTACAGCTGGTGATGCCTGGTGGTGGTGGTGGTGTGTGGTCGGAAGGGGTGGCAGGCGGGCAGCCTGCAAACAGCCACGCAGGCGCAGCAAGCGGCGGCCAGCTGGCGGCTTGCCTGAACCCCTTGCGAGGCATCCACCAGCAGCAGCGCCCCCTGGCACGCCGCCAGCGAGCGAGACACCTGTGGGGCATGGGCGGGCCGAGAGCAGCAGAAGCACAAACACACATTGATGCCATCAACGATGCGTGTCATGAACAATCAAACCCACGTGCCAGAAGCCCGGCAGCTACCCTCCTGCAGAAGAGAGGCACAGCCCGGTCGAGCGGTGCCGGCGCCGGGCTGCATCCCCGCCTCCCTCCTCCGCTGCTCCGGAACTCTAGGCGACTGGCGCTGCCCAGGCCAGCCCCACCGAAACAAATGAACAGCTTCGTTCCCGTCCCATCCTGTCCGTCCATCCCTCCCCACCCTTTCCATTCCTGTCCTTCCCATCCCTTCCCAAGTCTCCCCCCAGCTGCCCGACGCACCTCATAGCTAAAATCTACGTGCCCCGGGGTGTCAATCAGGTTCAGTAGGTAGTCTGCGCCTAGGTGGCGGTACACCAGGCTCACCGTCTGTGCCTGCGCGGTACACCACAGGGGCGGTGTTGTGGCTCTGTGACCGGCCCAGCGCCCCTACCGACAGAAGCAGCAGCAGAAAACCAGTGGGGAGCACGGCACTGGGCACGGCAGCAGCGCAGGCAACGCAGGCGTGTGCATTCCTCATCGCCGCCGCCGATGGCAGCGAGCCATTCCCCGCGGCCTCCCTGGCACCGCGGCTGCGCCCCTGCGGCCAGCTGCTTGCCTTGACAGTGATGCCGCGCTCCCGCTCCACTTGCAGCTTGTCGAGGTATTGGGCCTGGCCGCCGGCGGCGATGGCTCCCGTGGCCTCCAGCAGCCGGTCTGCCAGCGTCGACTTGCCGTGGTCGACGTGCGCTATGATGGAGAAGTTGCGGATGCGGTCAGGAGGAAAGTGGGCTACGGTGTAGCCGCCGCGCACAAAGCCGCGGGGCGGGTCGACGGCAGGGTCGAGATCGGTGGCGGGCCAGGCGGCGGCAGCGGCGGCTGGGTCGGGCGCCGCCTGCGACGAGGCCCAGCACTGGCGCAGCAGCACACCGGCATCCCTGAAGCCGACAGGATAAGCTGGCGAGGCTGGGGAGGCGGCATCGGTGAGCAGGCTTCGAAGCAGCAGGGCGGGCTGCGCCCTGCGGAACCAGGCCATGGGCTGGAACTCGAAACTATCTGCGTGCGGCGATGGAGGCGTGGGTCGCATGTGGAGGCGACCGCTGCGCATGCCGCGCAGAAGTCCCGCCCGCCCGCCTTTTGGCGTTGGTGCTATGCACCCACCAGTTCACCTCTGACTAAAACTATACATGAAGCGGGGCTGGGATTAGCAGGTGTTCTTTCTACGGTCAGCAAAATACATCTGCACGTGTCGCTATGCGCTTCGGCGCCGGCCGACGTGCGCACGGCTGGCCGCTCAGGTGACAGCTATGTTGCCCAGGTGCCCTCCACAGACAGCCGGCTCTCTTGGCGGTGGGGTCCAGCACATTTGCTCCTCCTGTATGTAGGCTCGCCTGCAGGAGGGTCCACTTGCACTCAGGCGGCGGCAATGCTCACAAATGCCAGCGGCAGCGCCCGCATGCAATGACACCCCTGGTCGGTTCATCAGACCAGGGCAGCTGCTCACCTAAGGCAGAAAGGATTTCAGGCTGCCAAAGGCCATGGCATTCGCTTTTGGAAGGTTCCCGTAGGGCAAAGACAGGTGGACGCACAGCAACACACATGAGCTGCCTGCGTACCAAAGATGATGTGAAAAATGAAGTGCTGCAGCGCGGTGCGCTCAGCGGGGTCTTGCGGAATAAAATCTGCAGGATGCAGGGGAGCAGAGTCAGTGCCGACGTTGCCTCTGTAGAGAGATGCATGGAGGGCTCTTATCGGCGCTTCCGCTGGCAGCGCCTACCCGCAGCAGCGCCCTTGTCCATCAGGCGCCCCCAATACGCATGCAGGCCTGGTGGCAGCGCCCGCTTGGCCACGGCATCCACGGTGAGCACCAGGCGGTCCCACAGCACCAGCTGGAGAAGCAGCCCCAGGAGCACCAGTTGGCCAGCAATGATGAGGTGGTCGGAGGTGGGAGGGCAGACAGTCATGAGCAGGAGCGCAGCCCAGGCAAGGAAAAGCGTGCGTGGGACGAAGTGCGTCCACGCCCAGGAGAGGAAAATCTCGTAGTTGAGCGCCAGAGAGCAGACCACTGCAGGCAGGCATCGCAGCAGGGGAAAGGCTGGTGATTGTGTGGGCAGTGCGCAGTGCCTTTCCCTTGTACCTCACCCCCAGGACGGTCCCAAGGAGCGGCTGGGCGCGCTGCCAAGCCTTGAAGCACTCACCGCTGAGGCCGGCTGGCGCAAACTGCAGCAGCATCCGCAGGTCAAAGTCGCAGCCCTCTGTGCAGCGGTTCAGCTGGCTCAGCAGGGACAGAGCCGTGCCGCCCAGCTGGATGGCCGCCAGCGCCAGCCCCGCATTCAGTCGTGCGGGGCGCTGGGACACCAGGTACCAGGCGGCACCCGTGGCAGCGCCGCAGGCAACGCCGCAGACGACGGGCACAAACTGGATAGTGGGGCTGCCCTGCCAATGGGGCGAAACTAGCATAATCACCAGTGGAAAGCAGAAGCCAAACGCCGCCGCCGCCCCCACCACCTCCTTCTTCGCCCAAGGGGCTGGAGCTGCTGCAGCTGCAGGTGGCTGGGGAACTGCAGGGTTGCAACCCGATGCCTCCAGTCAAGTTTCGGGCTCCAAACCCCCACCAGCGGCCTTTTGCCCTCAGCCACTGGCGAATCGGTCTGCAGTCCTGCAGGCTGGAGGAGTGCTGCCACAGGCGCCTAGCTCCTTGGGGGGCAGCCATGACCCTCGTTATCTGAGCCCCCCTTAGCTAACTGGTGGAGGTGATGCTAGTAGCGCCCGCACAAAAGAGGGAGGGCTGCACAGCCTTTGGAGTTCTGATGCTTGACTAGAGCCCCAGAGGAAAGTACTCAAACTGCTGGCTTCTAGAAACTTCTGCTCCTCCCCACAAGCTTTCTGGTTGATTCCACCTGCTGTCAGCTGCCAGTGTATGCACGGCAGGCCTGCCACAACTGCTCTGCGGCACATTCGCCCCACCCGCGCTGCAGCTGCCGCCCGCCCTGCGTCTGCCGCCCTCCTGCCTGCAGCCGCCCTGCCGCCTGCCGCAGCGTGCGCGGCTGCCAGCGGTGACCCAGTGGGTGGCTTGAAGTTGTGGGTTGGATCTGAGATCGGTGAGCAGCTGGATATAGTGGGGTGCCGATGGTGCTAGGGTCCAGGTGGGCGTGGCATGGGGGGTGTACACACGTGGGAGGCGGGAGTGCCCGCTGGGCTCCTGCCGCTCCCGACCCCCACCACATACCTGCATTCAGCATGTGAGCGGGCAGACGGTACAACGAGTTGAGGAGCAGGTGCGCAGGGGTGCACACGTGTCTTGGCCACGCCGCGGCAGAAGGGGCGCTTCAGCTGATCACAGAGATCCTGGGCGGCACCGCCGGCGCCGCGCCCGCTTGCTTGGCGGCGCCGCTCTGCACCCAAGTTCGGCTGGTGGATGTGTGGCGGGGCGCAGGCAGGTGGCACAGCCTTGCCCTGTGGCCAGCATACTTGCGGGATGCGGATTGGCGCCGCAGGGCACAAAAAACTGATGGGCACTGCGCTCAGACGATTGAAACAATGTGCCAGCAGCAGCGGCGCAGGACGCCAGGCCCAGCCAGCAACTGCACCAGCACAGCCGCAGCCAGGGAACAGCCCCTCCCAGCTCCCCACGTCCTACCCGCCCCCCATTGCCCCAGCTGGGCCGCAGACTGCCACGAAGGCATCGCCCCTGCCACCCCACTCGCCGTGCCCGCCACTACCCACGTATCCCCCATAGCCCCCGCTCCCGCCCGGCCTGCCACCGCCACCCATCCTCACGCTGCCCCCACTCGGCCAACAACCACCACCCATCTGGCCCCCGCCCCCACCTGGCCCGCCCCTGCCCCCGCCCAGCCTGCCACGGCCCTCGCCTGGCTGGCACCTACCCCGCCCCGGCCCACTGGCGCTCCCCCCGGCCCACCACCTGGCCCGCCCTCGCCCAACCTGGCCTACCGGCACGGCCACCGTGAGGGGCACCAGAGCGGCTGGCAGCAAGGCCAGCAATCCACCTGGCAGCACGGCTGGCAGCAAGGCAGCCAGCACGGCTACCACCAGGCCTTCCAGCAACTTGTGGACCTCTTCCAGCAGCTGAGCCCTCCACACCCCCGCCGGCCAGTCCAGCCCCCCAGCCCGAGTGCGCAGCAGCAGCTGCAGCCGCTGGAGGCCGCAGAGGCCGCCAACACGGCAGCACCAGCGCCAGGGGCACCGCCGTCGCAGCGGGAAGCCGAAGAGGCCGCCAGCACGGCTGCGCGGCTGGACCGGCAGCCCCCGCCCGACCCCACCTTTCCCAAGATTTAGGGTCTCCTCCAAGGACCAGGCCTGCGCCCCTCTGCCCTCCTCGGCCGGCCGTGGCACCCCTGCGCTGCCAGCCCCTCGCATCTCACAGCCCCCGCTGGGTCCCTGCCTGCCGCGGCACGTGCAACAGGGGGGTCGTGTTTTGTCGCTTCACATCCCACGATGCTCACAATTCCTGGTGGAGCAAGCAGTTGTAGCACGGGCGGCCTAGGCCGCTGCGCCTGCCGCAGCAGCTGCGCCGATGGCAGCAGCGCGCACGCCGCCGTTCCCACCCAGAAGGTCCAGTCAGCACGACGTGCGCAAAGTGCGCGACCACCGCGAGCACAGCGGCTGCGCCCCGGCCAGCTGGCGGCCGGTCTCGCAGCTGTTGGCATGCAGCTGGATCTGCAGCAGCCAGCGCCTGTTGACGTCCAAGCTGGGGGACGCAGCGCGGCGCCGCCAGCCGACGCAGCTCCAGGAGGCGCTCAGCTCCAGGCGGCGGTGGCGATGGGCGAAGCCAGCCTGCTGGAGCACAATGTACACACCGTGGTGGGTGCCCTCAACCTGGTGCCCGCCATGTTTGGGCGGCGCGAGCCCTCCCTGGATGCAGTATGGCGTCGGCAGGACCGCGAGGTGCTGGCGCAGCTGCGCACCGGGTCGCATTGGTGTGCGGAAGAGACCAGCTGCTGGACGCAGTGCCCCCACTGCAACGACGGCATCAAAGATGCCCCCACATGCTGCCCAGATGCCGCACTGTGCCTCAACTTTCCTGACCTGTTTGCTGCGCCCCATCCTCCCCACCGCTTCCTCCGCCAGAAACCCTGCGCCTCGCCTTGTCAAGGGCCAATCAACCGGAATCACATCTTTAAACGTGGTGCAAGAAATGTGGCGTTGCCAACAAGGCAAAACCGACCGTTGTTGGCCGTTGGGTGCGTCAAAGGTCAAAGTCAGTGTTGTCGGGATTCGGAGGCCGTCGCCTTCTTCACGCTATGAAAGACAGGTCAAAAACTAGCAGTGCAGCTTGGCATTTAGTGGGGGGTACTGCACTTGGCGCGTCGGGCAGATCAAATAATGGTCTAAAGCTAGACGTTAAAACCGGGGATTTAAGCCTGTGGAGGCTCTTACCCACCTTTACCTTTACCTTTATGCCACTGCTTGGCATATCACTGCTTCCTCCACCCTATGCATACATGTGGTTGCACGGGAAGCTGTGTGGAACAGCGTCGGCCATTGCAGGGTGTGTAGTCACGGAGCCAGCTGATCGCCTCCCAAACAATTGACTGCTCTAGAGCCAGCTCTCCAGGCAGCGCCAGGCCTGCGCCTGCGCCTGCGCCAACTCAGCGTGACGGATCAGTCTTTCAGGAGTCTTGCTCCTTCCTTAAAGGCACACCCCTCTACTCTCAGTGAGCCCTGCGTGGCAGCCGCCTTCTCAGCGGTGGGGATGGCCGCGCATCGTTGTCGCTTCACATCACGATGCTCACAATTCATCTTGCTATCCTGCACTTGCACCACACATGCCATTCTTTCCATCTGTAACCCTCCCCATCTCCCTCCAATTCAACGCTGTGGGCATGACACTGACATCCATGCACTCTCTTCGCTCAGTCCGTTGTTGGCTGGAAGAGGGCTGTACACAGAACATGAATCAACATGAACAGAATATGGTCTGCCGAGTTGGCAGCAGAGGGAGGTGCTGTTGAGAGTAGAAAGAAAAGAAAGAAGAAAGAAAGAAAAGAAAGAATACGCCCTTGGGCGTGGATTGAGGAAGCCAGCTGGGTGCAGGCTGTTGAGAGTATCAGAGGAAATGTTCGTGGGGGAAAGCCTGCTCCAACTGAACCGACGTTGGCGCCGCCACCTCGTCGCCAGGATGCTGCTCCCCTGACTGATGCCCTCGCAGCTGCTGCTCCTGTTGCTGCAGCACGGGCGTGTCAGGGCCATCATGCAGCCCGCCCTGACCCTTGCCCTCCTGGTCCTGCTGCTGCGAGGATGGCGGTGCCGGCATTGGAGCCGCTGCTTCAGCTGGCTGCCCAGCCGCCTGGGTTGCATTCAGGCTCGAGCTGCTAGCGACAGGGGCTGGCAGCATGCCCTTGCTTCGGTAGTGGGCATCAAAGTCCTTGCACTCAGCCTGTGCCAGCCGCTCTTCATACTCTGTCTGCATGGCACACAAGCAAAAACCTCATGGAAGAAACAGGGCAGCCCGCAGACTATGCGATTCCCAGGAGGAGCAGCACCAAGCTGCACATGAGCGCATCATGGGCCGCAGCCGTCCAACACGACATGCTTCCAGCAGCACAAGGCTCAGCCGGGCAGCCTGCCACACTTGCCCAGGTGCCCACCTGTTCCAGCAGCTTGGCGCAGGCGCTGCACATGTCCAGCCGCGCCGGCTCGTCCCGCAGCGCATCTGGCAGTACCAGCTGCAGGCTGGGCAGAACCACCAGGGCGGGGGCCCGCCCCTGCTGCGCGGCAAGCAGCTCCTCAGCTGCCTGCTCATCACGCTGCTGAAAGTAAGCAGCTTGGGAGCGGTAAGATGCTGCAACCCGCTTCTGCACCCAGCCGGCGGCCGCGCAGCACTCCCTCATCCTGCCCCACTCATTCCAATTTGCACCGTTCTGGTACAAATCCGCCATGCCCTGCAGGTGGCCATGGTTGGAGGATCAAACCTCCACAACACAGCGGCGACACGCCGCCGCCCAAGGCGGGACTGGAGGCGGTGGGTGGGGTTCCGCACCTGGAAGTAGCTTTTGTTCTTCTGGAGGCTTCGCAACTGTAAGCGGCGCACCCAAACCCTCTTCCCGTTTTCCACAGGCTTTGCCCACTTCTGCTTCCATTCACGCCCCCAGGGGAACCGCCAAATCCCGCCCCCCTTTATTCGGGGGGTCCGGTCCCTCAATAACGCCCTCCACCAAGCTGTCCCACAGGCTCAGAAAAAACTGCGCGGCCATCTCCACCGCTGAGAAGGCGGCTGCCACGCAGGGCTCACTGAGAGTAGAGGGGTGTGCCTTTAAGGAAGGAGCAAGACTCCTGAAAGACTGATCCGTCACGCTGAGTTGGCTCAGGCGCATGCGCATGCCTGGCGCCCCCTCGAGAGTTGGCTCTAGAGCAGTCAATTGTATTGGGAGGCGATCAGCTGGCTTCGTGACTACACACCCTGCAGTAACCAGTGACAATGCTGCTGCAGCCACAAACCCCATGCTCGCACAAGCTGACCCTGCTGGAGCTGAAGCCCCGCCCACGCCACCTGCACCTGAACCGAGCGCCGTCGGTACCCCACAATCTCCAGCCGCTGACCGATTTCAAATCCTCAACGCTATAATTGCTACGGACTGGCGCCCACCTGCTCCCCCTACCATATATGCACGAGTTTCCCTGGGTGGAAACAGGCCGGAAACACCCCTGGAAATTGCATTTTTCCTGGCTGGAAAGAGGGAGTTTCTTACAGGAAACAGCTGGAAACAGGGCCGCTGGAAACGTGGATTTTCAAGGCAGGAAACATGTGGATGGGCGGCGGCGGCAGGCTGATGTGTCCGCCGCCACCGATCACAGGCAGCGCTTGGCGGCGGGGCTGGGTGAGCGGGGACGGCTGTGCCTGGCCCTGCTGCAGCAGCTGCTGCACATGCTGGGCTGCTCGCCGGCTTACTTCTCCTGAACCGCCCTGGCGACGAGGGTGCCCGCCTGGCGACGAGGGTGGGGCGGCCGCCACGGCGCGCCACACTGGGCCGGGGCTGCGCCTGACCGTGGTAGCCTGTGCCTCCGCCTGCAGCACGCAGCAGCGAAACAATGTGTTGTGGTCGGCATGCATGGCAAGAGCAGGCCAAACTGCTGGGAGTCTGGCCAGCGGGGTTGGGGATTGTGCGGGCAGGAGGCACTTCACAGCAGCAGCAGGAGCAGCAAAGGGCAGCAGCGGCAGCAGCAGCAAAGCAGCAGCAAAGCAATGCAAAGCACAGTACAGTACAGCGCAGCACAGCAGGCCTCCTGCCTGGTAGATGTAGGCCAGCGGGATACCGCTGTCCACGTAGTGAGCCCGGTCAGTCTGGCGCAGCGCCCGCTCCACTGGCGGCAGGTGGGCCAGGGGGTCATACAGTTGGGGGGGGGGGGAGGCGGGAGGAGCAGGTGTGGAAGGGTCAGTTGAGTGGAAGGGTCAGTTGGGTGGAGGGAGGCAGCGGCGGGAGTGTGAGCGAGGGTGAGGTGCGAGGGTGCTGCGCATGTAGCTGGCGGCGGCGCCAAGTTCAGGGCAGCTCCCGCACCGTCTGAGTGGGCCACCACCCCGTCTCGCATGAGTTGGTCGACCAGCCAGTCCTGGCCGCGGGAGCGCATGGCGGCAGACGCGCCCGCTGCGCCGTGCGGCGTCGGCGGGCGGGGAGGCTGCCGCGGCGGCGCGGAGAGCGCTGCGGGCGGGCGGGCGAGAGGGGGACGGCAGGGGAGCAGGCATCCAGCGGTGGAACGAGGGATGAGAGGGCAACACAGGGTGGAGAGTGCATGTAGCAGCAAAGGCAGGGGTGGGCGGCCGGGTGTTGCAGTACCCTTGTAGCGGCTCAAAACCTGGCCCCGGTGCGGGTTGTAACGGCGGCCTTGGCACCCACCTTCGCTGCGGAGGAAGCTCCTGGAGGCATGGAGCTATGCTGATGGCAGGTAACTTCAGGGCTCGCCTGCAGCGCGGCACAGGAAGGCAGTGCTGAAGGGCAGGCCAGTATGGTGCAGAACCAAAATGAGATGAGTCCCAGCTTCGGCAGGTTCGGCAATGATGCATGCATGCGCGTGCGCAGCTGATGCCTGCCAGCGGCAGCGGGCCTTGGGCATACCTGAACCACCCATCCTCTTCCTCCGCATCGTCATTCTGTAGCAGAAAGTTTGCTGCCAGGCAGGCTGTCGGCGCGGGGCCGCCATTCATGGCTGGCTTGACCTTGCGGCAGCTGACGAGCCGTCGTGCTGCTGCTCCTAAAGCCTGCGGCGGGGTAGAGGGAGGGTGCGCTGGACTGCAGGGCCAGAAAAGGAGCGCCGGCCAATGTGCTATGCACAAACTAAGGCCGCAGCTCGACGGCCGCAGGAGTGGGCGCGCGCGGCGGGCAGCCCTCCCCGAGCCCGCTGCACACCTGTGCCAACAGTGAAAAGGATGCCGGAGATGGGAGGGGTCGTCAAGTGGTGCTGCACTGGCGAGGTGGGCTCCATGAGCTGCATCGGGTGGAATCGGGAGGCACCAGGGAGAGAGGATATGGGAGTGGCAGGCTGCTCAGCAGCGGAGGGGTTGCCTGCCGCATTGCTGCCAGCCCTGCTAGAAAATCACATGCAGTTGCACAGCAGCACATGGCGACAGAGCAGCACGCGCGGCACTGAACATGGGTGCTGGTGAAAGGTAGCAAATTGGCAGGTCCAGGCCAGTGCCGCCTGCTGCTGGTGGTGGTGGAGGTTGCAGCACCCGCGGGGCGTCGAGGATGCAGCACCCGCAGGGCGTCGAGGGTGCAGCACTCGCAGGGCGGGCGGCGGCGCGGGCGGCGGCGGCGGCGGCCGCTGCTGACCGGCAACGGCAGTATGGACCACCTGCTGCCAACCTTCTGGACTTCGCTCTGGTGCTGCCACAGGCTGCGCTGGTGAAGCCGCTACGCGAGGTCAACGATGCGCCCAGCTGCCGTCAGCCCGAGCTGCTGCCCGCGCCCAGCTGCCCGTAGATCCTGTTTGAAGGTCGGCGGTCACCGCCTGACCACGGGGGCCAGCATCGCGGGCTCCTGGCCGCCGATCACTTCGGCCGATCAGGGCCCGCCCGCCTCGGCTTGCAGGGCCGATTGTAGCTGTATGCATGGCAAAGCGGCAGGCCCGTGCCGCTCGAGACCGCGCGTTATCTCTTCTTCCTGCCGTACTCCGGGCAGCACATCCCCAAGGGCGCGTCCCGCACCCACTCGGGCCACTCGCACCTGCTTCCTGAAGTGTTTTGGACAATGTGGGAGGCCGCTGGCGATGCTACGGCGAGATGGGATGAAGGCCACACTGAGAGGCTTCTCCTCCTGCTGCGGTGGGGCTTGCAAATGCTGCAGCGGGTCATAAAATGCTGGTAGGGCGCGATGCAGCGGGCGCAAGTTGGACGGTCTCACATGGCAGCGGCGGGCATCGCCAACGGCGGCGGCGGCAGCGCGGGTGCAGGTCAGTGCCTGGCAACGCTTAGCCATGGGTTGGCATGCGCAGCGTGAAGCAAAGGAATGCATGCCATTGTCGTGAGGTTGAACATTGCAGACTGCCGCTTGTGTATTTGTTGCGGCGATGAGCAGCGCCGGCGGGTTAGTCGTATGCCGGGTTGCCACTGGGTTGCACGGCTAGCTCAGTTTCAGCTGAAGGCACATCCAGGTGCGGGCTGCTGGGGTATTATGCCCACTCCCTTCTTCATTCCCATCCCAAGCTGCTGCCAGCTGTCAGGCACCTCAGCAGATGTGTGCCATGCCAACATCCCTGCTTTATGGCCTCCCTGCCCGCTCGTGCAGGTCCGAAACCTGATGTTGCAAGTGAGCGCGTGGACCTGCGCAAGGCCAACACCAACAGCTACGTTGCGGCCACCTTCACGTTGCCCGCCGCCAACAGGCAGGCAGCTGCCAGCAAGCTGTATGTGGGCCGGCTGCAGGAGGTGATTGTGGTGCCCATCGGCAGCCAGCGTTGCACGCTGCTGAGCGCGTTGTGGTGCTGGGAGATGGTGGAGGATGAGCAACTGCTGGGGCTTTGGTGTGTGCGTGCCTGCGGCCAACCCCTTTGCCGCCCACCACCCGATTGAGGCCTGCCGCATCAACTTTCAGGTGTGGCTGATCACCCACCCCGACCAGGCCGCACCGGCGGCAAGTGCACTTCAAGACCAAGGCAGCGCACGCCATCCCCGACTACCTGCTCCGCAACCCACGCCTTGGAGTGAGCTGCAGCGGCGAGTTTCGTGCTGGGCCCGCGCTGCCTTCCCGGCCGCCCCGGCTTCCTTGTTGTGCCTGAAGCAGGGCTGCCCCCTCAGCCCCACCCTCTTTGGCCTCTACATCGACAACCTGGAGGAGGAGCTGATGGCGGCGGCGCAGCTGGCGAGCAGCTCGACCTCCCCAGCTTCCTCGGCAGCGGCGGCGCCGCGGTGCCACCGCTGCTGTACGCCGACGACATGGTCCTGCTGGCCACCTCAGCGGCCGGGCTGCAGCGGCAGCTAAACCTGCTCCAGCAGTCCTGCCGGCAGTGGGGCCTCACTGTCAACATCGACAAGACCAAGCTCATGCTGCTCAGCGGGCGGCGGACCCAGCACGCGGCGCAGCAGCCAGCAGAGGCAGCAGGCCTCACCTTCGCCGGCCAGCAGCTGGCGGCAGTCACCAGCTTCAAGTATCTCGGCATCGCCTTTCACTCCAGCACCTGCCTGGCAGGGGCAGCAGCGCCAGCCCGGGCACAGCCGGCTATGCACAACTGCCGGACCCGCTGCGCAGAGGTGGGCATCGAGGCGGCGCCCGTCCAGCTGTGGCTTTTCGGCACCATGGTGGACTCGGTGCTGTCCCATGGTGCTGAGGTGTGGGGCGTGCAGCTGGCGGCCACAGCGGCGTGCTGCCATCGTGGCAGTGCCGGCAGCGCGGCCGAGAAGCTGCAGCTCAGCTACCTACGCCACCTGCTGGGGGTACGGCAGAGCACCCCCAATGCGGTCTTCCTTGCGGAGACTGGCGAGCGCCCGCTGTGGCAGCGCTGGCTGCGGCGGGCAGCCAAACTCTGGAACAAGACGTTGGAGGAGCGTCCCGGCAGCCTGTTGCAGCAAGCGCTATTGTCCAGCGTGCAGCTCGCAGATGGCGCCCACCCCCTGGCACAGCAGTCCTGGGCTGCCCAGCTGGCGGCCGGTCTCGCAGCGGTCGGCATGCAGCTGAACCTGCAGCAGCCAGCACCTGTTGACCTCGGCGAGCTGGGGGAAGCTGCGCAGCGCCGCCAGCTGGCGCAGCTCCAGGAGGCGCTGGCGAAGGGCGGCGCCAGCCGGCTGGAGCACTATGTGCACAACGTGGTGGGCGCCCTCAACCTGGCGCCCGCCATGTTTGGGCAGCGCGAGACCTACCTGGATGCAGTATAGCGTCGGCAGGACCGCGAGGCGCTGGCGCAGCTGCGCACCGGGTCGCATTGGGGCGCGGAAGAGACCGGCCGCTGGACGCGGCGCCCCCGAGAGCAGCGAGTCTGCCCCCACTGCCACGACGGCATTGAAGATGCCCCCCACATGCTGCTCACCTGCCCCCTTTACGCCCCGCTGCGCCTCAACTTTCCTGACCTGTTTGCTGAGCCCCATCCCCCCCACCGCTTCCTCCGCCAGAAACCTTGCCGCCTCGCCGCCTTTGCTGCTGCCTGTCACCAGCGCTGGCTGACCGCCACCGCTGCGCTGCCTGCATTCCCGCCCTGAACCCCCACTCTCATGTCCACCCCCTTTGCTCTTACCGCACCACACCTGCTCCACGACATGCAGTACTGTCTGCCCGCTCACACACTGAACGCTCGGTGACCTGTCAGTTGGCCTGTCCTGCCTATTGTTCTACTGCTTCATCCATCCTTGCTCGAACAACAAAGTCTGTGCTGCAAGCTTGTTCTTGCTGAAACCTGACTGTAAGCCCACAAGCAAGCAGTGTGCTGCTTGCATGTTCACATATGTAATGCAGTTGGTACCCAGCAGCAGGCACGGTTGGTCCCAGACTTATTGGCTGTGGCAGCGCCAGCGAGGCGCCGCCCGCCCATGGCATGTCCCCTTGGTCCCCTGTGTTTCCCCCTGTTTCCCTGGAAACTCACTCATTTCCCCCAGAAACCTCATTTTTTCCGCTCAGAAACGCTGGAAACGCCTTGGGAAACTCGGTATATATGGTAGGATCCCCTCCAACTCCATCACACCAAACATGTTTTTTTGCCCGAAAACCCACCTTGTGCTGGTCTGATGACTCTGTGGGGCTGTGTGTGTTACACACAGCAATGAGTGCCGACAATGGGAACGTCTACACAATCTCCGCTAGTCACACACCACCATGTCCCTAGCGGCACACGCGCGCCGCTCTCGTAGGAAGCGGCTCCTGCCGCCTCTAACGCCGCCGGGCGCTCTGCCATGCCGTCCGCCGTCTCGTCGCCCGAGCTGCCTGCTGTCCTCGGAACACTGGCTGTCGCTCTCCCTGCGGCGTACTCGCTGCCACCTTGCGGCGGCAATGTGGCTGCTACGATCCTACCCCCAAGCCTCTGCCGCCGGCATCGCCCTACCGGCCGACGTCACAGTCCCCTGCGCCCTCTCTGCGGCTGGCCGCCCTAGCGGCGCGCCGCCATCGGGTGCAGTTGGCCCCCGCTATCCCCGTCGCTCACCGCCCCTGTTGCCCCCAGCCCTGCTCCTGGGCCGCGGCGCTCAGCAGCTGCCGCTGGCGGGCCTCGCCAGCTCCGCTGGGGTCTGCCCAGGGGCGGAGGGGGCACCCCAACCTCAACAAGCCCCCATACGGTGGGCAGGTGCCGTAAGCGGGCGGGGTGGGGGCGCGTCACACGTGCTGGTATGGCACGAAGCGATGCTGATGCCTGCGAACAAAGGGAATGGGGAGGCAGGCCTGCCACCCCGCCTAAGGCTGGCAGCCTGCTGGCGATGTATTGCCTCCGGCGTACGGGAGCAGCATGCTGTGCTGCGCCCCCTACCAGCAGACCCAGCACAAGCCTGGCTTGTGTCTCATGCTCAATTGACACAAGCGCGCCACTGGTTCACCGCTGGCAGCCGGCCGGCTGTCTGTGGTCGGCACCTGGGCGCAACTATGCTGTCACCTGAGCGGTCAGCTGTGCCACAGTGCGCAGGTATCTGACCGCCGAAGCGCATAGCGACATGTCGATTGTCAGATGTATTTTGCTGACTGTAGAAAGAACATCTGTGAATCCCTGCCCTGCTTCATGTATAGTTTAAGTCATATGTGAACGGGTGGGAACATAGCACCTACAACAAAAGGCGGGCGGGCGGGTGTAGCAGGAGCCTGAGCCGGCTCCCTGCCTTGCGTTTTCCCGCTTCCTGGTTACCTTATGATTGATCGCTATGATGCTATTCCCTATTCTGAGGCTTGTCAGCCTTGCATCATGAGCCGCTTTCCACTTCGCTTGACTGTGTACTTTAGCCGTGGAAGAGCAGGTCCTGTAAGCATTCTCACTCGAACAAGCCCGACTCCTGCGCGGCATGCACAGCGGGCGGCAATGCATGCGACTCATGCCTTGATCTCCGCACGCCGATAATTTTGAGTTTCAGCCCATGGCCTGGTTCCGCAGGGCGCAGCCCGCCCTGCTGCTGCGAAGCCTGCTCGCCGATGCCGCCTCCGCAGCCTCGCCAGCCTATCCTGTCGGCTTCAGGGAGGCCCGCGTGCTGCTGCACCAGTGCTGGGCCTCGTCGCAGGCGGCGCCCGACCCCGCTGCAGCTGCCGCCGCCAGGCCCGCCGCCGCTCTCGACCCTGCCGTCGACCCGGCCCGCGGCTTTGTGCGTGGCGGCTACACCGTGGCCCACTTTCCTCCCGACCGCGTCTGCAACTTCTCCATCATAGCACACGTTGACCACGGCAAGTCGACGCTGGCAGACCGGCTGCTGGAGGCCACGGGAGCCATTGCCACTGGCCGCCAGGCTCAATACCTCGACAAGCTGCAAGTGGAGCGGGAGCGCGGCATCACCGTCAAGGCAAGCGGCTGGCCGCAGGGGCGCAGCCGCGGCGCCAGGAGGCCGCGGGGAATGGCTCGCTGCCATCGGCGGCGGCGATGAGGAATGCACACGCCTGCGTTGCCTGCGCTGCTGCCGTGCCCGGTGCTGTGCTCCCCACTGGTTTTCTGCTGCTGCTTCTGTCGGTAGGGGCGCTGGGCCGGTCACAGAGCCACAACACCGCCCCTGTGGTGTACCGCGCAGGCACAGACGGTGAGCCTGGTGTACCGCCACCTAGGCGCAGACTACCTACTGAACCTGATTGACACCCCGGGGCACGTAGACTTTAGCTATGAGGTGCGTCGGGCAGCTGGGGGGAGACTTGGGAAGGGATGGGGAGGACAGGAAGGGGAAGGGTGGGGAGGGATGGACGGGACAGGACGGGACGGGAACGAAGCTGTTCATTTGTTTCGGTGGGGCCGGCCTCGGCAGCGCCAGTCGCCCAGAGTTCCGGAGCGGCGGAGGAGGGAGGCGGGGATGCAGCCCGGCGCCGGCACCGCTCGGCTCTTTTCGGCGGGAGGGCAGCTGCTGGCCTTCTGGAACCGGATTAGTGGTGCGGCGCCGCACATGGCATCACCGTTTGTATGTGCTTCTGCCGCTCTCGGCGCGCTCACGCCCCGCAGGTGTCTCGCTCGTTGGCGGCGTGCCAGGGGGCGCTGCTGCTGGTGGATCCGCTTCTCTTCGACGACTGCCCAGCAGCGCCGCGGCTGTGGGCTGCCTCCCAACTTCGCCCGCCTGGCGCCCACGCTGCGGGTAGGGCTGCTTGTGCCGATCAGTCAGTCGCCTTTGGCTTGGCAACCTCCCTGGGATCACGGCATTGCTGACTGGCATGCACACCTGCTGCTGTCCCTCCCGCAGGTCCTGAAGTTTGATCACTGCCAGCTGACCGGCGTGCCAGTGGTCGTCTCAAAGCTGCCCAACCTCACGTGCCTACAGGTCGCTGAAAGGCTTCTCGGACCTGAGCACAGGCCTGCCGCTGTGGCTCACCCGCCTCTCAGGCACGTGACCTTGGGCTTAAGCCAAGCTTGGCCCTGCCTCTGTCGCCAGCTCCGTCGTCGCCAAATGTCAGCCTCCCAATCCCTCCTGCCGCCGCTTGCCCTTGCTCCTCAGCAGGTCTGCAGACGCTGCATGCGTGTGGCGTCCACTCGATGCCCACCTTCCTCGACAAGCTGCCCAAGCTGCAGGCGCTGGTTGGTGCTCAGCGCATGCATGTGCTGCCTGCCATGCCCTAGCAGCTCAGCTCAGGGCTGAAAACAGCTGTGAGACATGCCACCCGCACGTTATACGATTTGGACGTGGCCCCCAGAAACCGACCACCTCGCCGCTGTGCCACTGGCGCCACCGGTCGCCCCTGCTGCCACAGTGTGCGCCCTGCTGCTGCAGACACTGGCGTGCAAGCCAGAGCCAGGCGAGTACCTGGCTCGCCTCACGTCTCTTACCCTGGAGCCTGGCGTCTGGTCCAACATACTCGACCTGGAAACGATGGGAGGTGGGCCGCGCTGGCGTCGCTGGGAGCGGCAGCAACCTGGGTGGTGCGCTGGCAGCGATTGCATGGCTGCTTGCTACTTGAGCGTGCACGTGGGGTGCCAGCTTGGGGCGGGGGTGCGCGGGGTGCCGTCTCAGGTGTGCCTGCCGCCTCACTGGCAAGCGCCACCGGCCTGCGCCGGCTGGAGCTCAACACGACGGTCGATGACGACGACCTGCAGGAGGTGCTGCCCTGCAGGCTGAGGAACGCCCATGTGCTGAATGGTGAGAGGCAGCGGCGTGGCAGCCATTCCGGGGCATCAGGGGCTTGGCTGACCCAGGCCCCGACTGACTGACTGATTCAAGGTGTTTGTTGCATGCGGCCCGGGCCTGCAGAACTGCCTGGCCTGACCAGCCTGTTGCTGGATGAGGTTGGCGGCACCTCGCTGCCTCCCGAGGGCAGCTACCTGTCCAGCCTGCGCTCCCTGAAGATCCGAGGCTTCCACACAGCCACGGTGAGAGGGATGCAGGCGGCTCAGCCTCGGTGAGGCCTGCTGTGCCGGCTGGTCGCTGCCACCTGCGGCAACGGCGCAGAAAGCAGCAGCTGTGCTGCAGCTGTGGGAAGGCTTTCCAGTCGGCTGAGCCCCGCCTCTACTGCCTGCCTGCAGCTGGCGCCGGGGCTGTCTGCCGCCACCGGGATGACAGCACTGTCCATTGTCAACCCTCGCATGAGCGTGGATGTCGTGTGGGAGCAGCTGGCCACCCTGCTGCCGCGCTGGCCGCTGCTCAAGGTGAGCCGGGGTGCAGCCGGGCACCGAGGGCGGCCTGCACAGGCGCCACGCATCCTGGTCGACGGTAAAGTGTTTTTGCTTCTGCAGGAGATGCTGCTGCATGAGCATGACGACCTCAACTTGCTGGCAGTCAGCATGCTTGCCGGGGACATGCTCGAGGACATGCACACCTGACTGGCGGCAGGGGATGCGCAGAGCGCGGCCGGGGAGACCTCTACACTGTGGGGTGCCAATTGTCCCAGCCGCCGGCTGATGAGTGCGTCTTGGTATCAGGGATAGAGCGCTTCTGGGCTTCTCTGGCATGTAGAAGGGGAAGAGTCTTCCGCAGACTGTGACGCAGAGAGCACCAACACATGCTGACTGGACAGTGGTGAACAACTAGACCAGGACCTCAGGTTAACCTTGGTAACCTACTCCACATCACTGCACATTCTTCCCAAGCCAGCACAGAGTGAGCAGCATGCAGCATAAGGTGGCAGGCCACAAGCAGGCCGGCCTGAGCCAGTCCAAGGTCACCGAGGCCGCCATGCAGGCAAGCAGAGGATCCAGAGCATCAGGGAGCGCAGAACAGCTGGGGGAGAGCAACCGGGGCAGGAGGTGGTGCCTTGGACTTTGCCGCAGATCCGCGGTTGTTTTGGCCGCGGGCGTGGGGTGCACTGCACACTGCCCACGCTACGCGCCATCCCACACTCCTCCTCGCCTGCTGCGCCGCCCTGCAGGAGTCTCGTGAGGCGGCGCAGCGCGCAGACCCTCAGAATCCCGACAAGCTGGCCGCGGCTGGGCACACCAGCACCGGGCAGACCCTGCCCCAGCAGGCGCAGGCGGCCAGGGAGCATGCCGATCCAGAGGTGTGGCGGCTGTGAGTAGATGCGCGTTTCTGAGCGGCAGCAGGCTCTGTCGACCTGCTGTGTTGGGGACTTGCACGCCTGCTGTTACCTCTCCGCGTCCCGACTCGCCTGCTCAGTGCCTTGTGCAGGTGCGCCAGGAGATGGAGCGAGTGGAAGCGAAGACTCGGAACGAGACGCTGGGCCTCGGCGGCGGGACGGCAACCTAAGCAGCCAGGTAGCAACATGGCCCGGCAGAGCAATGCCCGCCAGTGAAGCGGGCTGGCTGGAAGTTTCACTTGTAATGGCGGTGGCAATCTCAATCCACAGCAAAGATCGGACAAAACACCCACTTCTTGCGCGGCGCTGGGGATGGGCGGCGGGATTGCCTGGCGGCGCCCATGAAGAAACTCACCGGACGAGGGCTTTCTCATGGGGCGCCTCGCCCGGCGACTGCAGCAGTCTTCTGCATCGTTCAGTGGGGCAACGCGGGTCCCGAGGGTTGTTGCTGTGCCCGTGTGTAGCTGTCGGTGCGGAGCCACCGCGTGAGGCAGCCTGCGGCTCCCAGATGGCGGCGTGACCTGATAAGCCTGCGCAGGCAAGCCCGCACGGCGCTGGAGGGGCGCCACGACAAACGGGGGCCCCATTGCCGAGGCTCGCGAAGAAGCGTCTCCTCGGCCCTGCAGGCACACCGGAATGCGGGCCGGTACTCGGGCAGCGCTTCTGGGGGCGCTATTGGGCCTGCTGGTGGTGGGCGCGGCAGGTGAGCTTGTGGCCGACGTCTGTGTATCAGAGCACGGGCCCTCCTGGGCTGCCCTCCTCGCCTGCTGCCCTGCATGGTCGCCCCTGCACCAAGCCCCCGCCTCCTCACGCGCGCTTCTGCTGCTCCTCCCGCCGCCGGCGCAGGCGCCACGACGGCGGCGCGGCAGGCCCGGCTGGGCGCCGACCGCGCTATGCGCCCTGGCAGCCCTGGCAGCCAGGAGGATGCGCGTGCTGCGGCGGCCCTCGCCTGGCGCGCGCAGTTTGAGTCGCCGCCGCCGCCGCCCTGGTGGCGCCGCCTGTGGCCCTGGGCCGCCCCCACACAACGCCTCATCCGTGTCGCACCGCTGGAGCCCCACAGCGGCAGCCTGGCCGCGCCCGCGGAGCTGCGCCTGCCCGCATCCCAGCTAGAGGCCGAGCTGGGTGCTGGGCTGGCGCCGGCGGTCAACGCCGTTGACCCACGGGACGACGCTTTCTTCTCCTACAACTCCTCCGCCATGACCCCCCTGGTGCCCCTGTGGCTCTCCTGGATGACAGACCTGGGGCGCATGGCCAACCGCAGCCACGGCCTGGACTTCTCGGTGCGTGCTTCAATCAGGAGCAGGAGGGGTGCAGGAGGAGGGGGCGGTATGTATGTGATGCGGTGGGGGTTTGCTGCATGGAGGTAGTCGGCTCAGGCGCATGCAGGGGTCGCCTGGCGTGGCGTATGGGCCACCCATGCCCGCTCCCCCTCTCTCGCCATATCCCAGCAGCGCCGTCGCCGCCACCCTGCCTCCCACCTGCCGCCCACCACACCCCGCCTGCCACCTTCCCCCCATCCTCCCTGCTGCCCTGCCTGCCTGCCTGCAGACCGCGTGGCGCCTGTCTAGCTATGTGGCCATCTCCTACTGCAACGCCTCCTCCATAGCCACCTGGAACTGCTCCCGCTGCGGAGGCATATCTGCTGGATTCACGCCAGAGGCGGTGCGTGGTGGGGTGGGCCGGCCGGCGGGTGGCTGGCTGGGGTGCTCCCCCTGCGGGCAGGCAGGGCCACTGAGGGCAGGGCGGCTGGTGGTGGGCTGCCAGTGCTGGAGGCGGGCAGGGCGGGGCGCGAGGCGGGCTGGCTGTTTTGGGGACGGGGGGGTGCTGGGAGGGCTGCTGCAGCCCAAGGCCGGCGCGCACGCCAGGTCCCAGCACGCGGCGGCTGCCGCCAGGGTCGCGCACACACGCACAGCGTCGCTGACTGGCACGCACACGCACCGCAGACGTGCTCACCTGCCGCGCGCCTGCCTGCGCACCCCCCACCCGCCCACCCCCACCCCCTGCAGGTTGTGTTTGACGAGCTGTGGGACCTGCAGGGGTATGTGGGGTACAGCGCCCCGCTGGACGCCATCGTGGTGGCCTTCCGCGGCACCGACTCGCACTCCATCTACAACTGGTGGGCTGGCTGGGGGGGCTGGCTGGATGGGGTTTTGAGGGCCGGTGGCGGCTGGTGGAGGAGGCCGGCGGCGGGGATTGGCTGCGCTGGCGCCAAGCCGATCCTCGCCAGTCCCGACCAGACTGCCCTCCTGCCTGCTGCCCGCCTGCCCGCCGGTGCCTGCCCGCCCGCTGCCTGCCTGCCCCTGCCACCCGCCCACCTGCTGCCTGCCGCCTCGCCCCGCGCAGGGTCCAGAACATGCGCACCTGGCGCACCGACCTGGCGCTGGGCTACCCGGGGGCGCCGCCCCACGCCCTCGTCCACGGCGGCTTCTTCACCTCCTACAATGGCTCCGCGCTGGCCGCCAACATCACGGCGGGGGTGCAGGCGCTGCGGGGCCGCCACCCTGACGTGCCCATCTATGTCTCTGGGCACAGGTGGGCGGGGTGCGGTGGTGCTGGGGAGCCAGGGCGGGGCAGGGGTGGTTTGGGGAAGAGCAGAGCAGGGAAGGGTGCTGTGGGGCGGTGGGAAGAACCAGGCCGCCAGGTGGAGCGCCGCCGCCTTCCCAACCCCGCCACTCTTCGACAGCTGCACAGCGCGCCGCAGCGCGCCACAGCCCTGCCCTCCTGGAGAGCTGCTCGCCCCGACTGCGCACCCGTTACACGTGGCCCTCCCACGCTGTGCCTGCCGCCTGATTGTTTGCACACACACACGCTCGCACACGCACGCACCCCCGCCGTGCAGCCTGGGCGCCGCCATGGCCACGCTGTGCGCGCTGGACCTGCGCCTCAACCTGGGTGCCCCAGACGTCCGCGTCTACTCCTTTGGCAGCCCCCGCGTGGGCAACCAGGTGTTTGCCGAGTGGTTCGAGGAGGTGGTGCAGGTAGGGGCACGGGAGGGAGGGCCCGCTGGGTGGCGGCGGTGGTGGTGTGTTTGGGCATAGCGGGGCAGAGCTGGGGGGACAGCAGGGCACATGGTGGGCCCAGCCGATGCGGGACAGCATCTCTGCGTAGCCGGCTGGGGCGAGGGCTGTGATCTCGCGCCTGCCTGGCCCCCTCCCTCCCTCGCCCCCGCCGCCACTCACGTGAGCGCCCCCCAGCCACCCAGCCCTGCCCTCCCCCACCCGCCTGCCCCGGCCCCTGGCGCAGGTGCACTGGCGCTTCACCCACAATCGCGACATAGTGCCCTCGGTGCCGCCCGGCTACATGGGCTTCTACCATGTCAGCAGAGAGGTGTGGGGTGCTGGCTCGTGTGTGGCTGTGTTTTCTTGTTGTGTTTGCGACTGTGTGCCCTTCGTATGGAATACGAAGGTTGGGTCTGTGCAACGGGTGCGTGTTTGTTGTGTTTGCTAATGTGTGCCCTGCGTATGCAATACCAGACCAGATGATTGGGTCTGAACTAAGGGTGGCAGCAGCCAGCCTGGCTGCTGCCGCGGGGCCCTCCCCTTGAGAGGAGCCGTCAGTGTCTGGGGCCTGCCGCGCCGCCCATGCTGCCCTCCACCCTCACCCCGCGCCAACCTCCCCTCCGCGCCCCGCCCCGCCCCCCTGCCGTAGGTCTGGGTGGTGGACTTGCTGTTTGGGCACACGCTGGTGGGGGTGTGTGACGCCAGCGGCGAGGACCAGGCCTGCCACAACTCGGTGTGCCACCTGGGCCTCTGCTCCTCGCGTGAGTGGCCGGGGGCGGCGCTCCAGAGCGCTGGCAGCGGCTGGGCCGGCGGGGGCGCGGCCGGCCGGCCCTGGCAGCAGCTTTTGCTGGCCGCTGCCGCGCCCGTGCTTGCGTCTGGTATACACCAGTTGGGCCGGTGTTGGTGGGCTGCCAGCCGCCCTGCGCCTGCTCTTTAGGAGTCAGATTGTTTTAAAAGATGGCTCCTTTCTGCTGCTGCGCCCCCCCCCCCGCGCCCTGCAGTGTCGGACCACCTGCTGTACCTCAGTGAGATGTACTCGCCCCACCCCATGGGCTGCTAGCGCACCCGTCGCGTCGGGATGATGGCGCTGCGGGCGCGGGATGAGCCCCACACGCGCCTCGCCTGCTGGCGCCGCCGCCTGCCGGCTGCGGCGCCAGGGCCCCAGGCCCCTGGCTCGGCCGCAGCGGCATCCGCACCTGCCCAAGCGCCAGCTTAGAGCAGCAGCGCAGCCACTGTCCTGCTGCCGCGCACCTCCGCCCCTCTTCTGCTCCTTGTAGGCATCCTGCCACGCCGCCCGCCTCAGATTTGTGCACCCCGTCTCTGAGCCCCCACCTCCTGTTGTATCACCCTCCCTTTCGGCGGCCAGCTTCTCTGGTCGGCGCTGCTGCGCTCACCCCTGCCACTCAGTGCTGCCAGCCCGCTCTCATTTCGTTGCCTGATACTGAAAAGCGCCCCCAGCCCCGCCGCGCCCCTGCCGCCTCCCTTTTGTAATGGTGCGCGCCCCTTCCTCTCCCCTACTTCCTTGTATGCATGCTCTGTGCCTGTAACCTGCATCCTACTTGTTGCACAGAGCTGTGCTGCCTGCTGGCGTCCTCAGCAGCCGACGGCAGCAGCTGCCGCTCATGCCTGGCCAGCAGGTGCCGGACACGGCTGGGAGCCGGCCTCGGCGCCAGCGCCCTCTCCGCCGCTGCCGCCGCTCAGCGCCGCCGCCATCCCGTGTTGCAGCAGCCGCGCCACGCCGCCCTCCAGCCCCGCTGGCGGGCAGCCCGCCATGGCGCAGGCCTGGTGCAAGGCGCTGGCCTCATCCTCCAAGGCCGCCTCGATGGCCCCCTCTGCAGACCGCAGCAGGATGCCTGCGGGGAGGGAGGTGCCGGCGGCAGCTGCATGGTGGAGAAAGAATTGGCCTGCCTCTGCAGCCTGCAACCTGCCCTGCCTTTGCTGTGAAGTGGAGGCTGCTGCCTACATCCCGCCGCCGAGGCTGCAGCCCAGCGGCCTGCCAGGCCCGCCACCCCACCTGCCACGGCCTTGCCGACCAGCGGCAGCGCCCTCGCCAGGCTGCGCTCCCGCCGGCTGGCCAACACCGCCGGGCACTGGCGCTTGAGCTGGCGCAGGGCGCCCTCCAGCGCGTGCCGCACCAGGCGGGCCTGCAGGCAATGGCAGGGGTGAAGAAAGAGGGCGGCAGGGCGTAGTGCAGCTGTCGCAGCGGGAGAAGGGAGCACACAGTACCTGGGCGGCGCAAGCCCGCAGGAGCTGGCGCAGTTGTGCCACCTAGCAGGCCCTCTTTTCTGCAGCCAAGGCATGCTGCTGCATCCCAAGGCACGCTGACCCAGCCGCTGCCTGCTCCCACCTCGTGTCCCGGTGCCAGCGGCGGCAGCGCCCCTCCCTCCGCCTGGCTGCGGTACTCGGACGGGGCCAGGTGCACCACCGCCGCCACCAGGCGCGCGCCCGACCGCGGCTGAGCGCACTTGAGCACCGCCAGCAGGGGCCCTTCTGCGGTTTGAGCCAGGCAGGCGGGCAGCAGGCAAGAGGGAGAGGACGAGGCACAGGCAGTCAGCAGCAGCAGGGCCAGGCGGCGTACGGCAAGCAAGCCCCAGCCGCAGCGGCGGCGGCGGCGGCCGGGGCCAGCACGCAGCGGCTGCCGCCTCACCCGCGCCGCGGTGTGCCGCGGCCAGCTGGAAGCCATAGCTGCCCCAGTCGCACTTCTGCACCGCTTTGAGGGCGTGGCCTTGCGCCCCCGCCCCCAGCTGCACCTCCCAGCCGCGGAACAGGTGCAGCGGGGTGGGCTCAGCCCCGCCACCGTCGCCGCCCCTGCTGCCGTTCCCGGCCCCGCCGCCGCTGTTGGGGCCGCCGGCGCCGCCGCCGGCGGGCTCCCCAGCCTGCCCCGCCTGCTGCGCCGGCTGTGCCTGCTGCGCCTGCTGCGCCTGCTGCGCCTGCTGTGCCTGCTGTGCCGCATGGTCGGGCAGTTGCAGCACCAGCCCCACCCGGGCCGCCCACTTGCAGCCGCGGAAGTGCCGGGCGGCGCAGGGGCAGCCCCAGCCCGCCTCCCCCACACCGACGTACGTCAGCAGGGGTGCCTGCCCGCCTTCTCCCTCTGGCCCCGCTGCAGGAGCAGCAGGGGCTGGCTGCAGAGCGGCTGAGCGTGCGCCTGTTGGGCCCGCTGGAGTGCCGGCGCCGCCGGCGGCAGGCCCCTGACCTTCGCTGCTGCCCCCGCCTGCAGAGCCCACAGCGGCGGCTGCCGAGTCAGGCTCCAGCCCATCGCCTGCCGCTGCCAGCGCTGCTTCCGCTTCCTGTGGCGCCGCAGCCTCCGGCAGAAACTCTGCGGCCATGCCTGCGGGGCAGGCATATCTTTCTTTATTTCTTTAAAGGGAGGGGGATTCGACACCTGGGCACGGCTGATCTCGCTTCTCATCTTGAGCGCTGCTGACCATCTGGCAGGCAATCAGGGAGGCGGTGGGCGCCTCGACGGACCTTCCCCTAAGCGAGCCAGGTCGCCCAGAGAAGCCGTCAGCGGCAGGTCGAAGCGGCGGGCGCCGCTGGCGGGCTGCAGGCTGCCGTCGGGCGCCTGCGGGGCATCAGCACGGGCAGCACACAGGCGAGGTCAGCTGCACTCAGCACTGAGCAGGGCCTTTGGGATTGCAAGCCAGCCGCGAGACTTGCTGCTGCCATGAGAGCAAAGCCGGGCATGCGCCAGGCCAGCTTGCCTGCAGCAGCACGCCCTTCAGGCGCATGAGCAGGGTCAGGGGCGGGGCCAGCACCCGCACCATGCCCAGCAGCTGCTGCAGGCAGCCCACCACCTCCTCTGCTGACGCCGGCAGCTGCTGCTGCTGTTGCTGCTGATGCAGGCCGCTGGCAGCAGAAGCCGCGCCACCGCCAGCCGCCTGCAGGACCACTGCCAGCTCCAGCACGCTGCCTCGAAGCGTGCTGCCGGGCGGCTTGGCTGTGGCACCGGCGGGCTGCACAGACACGCTGCCCGCGCCTCCGGCAGCCGCCTGGAAGCGGTACCGCCGCACCACCACCTCCTCCAGCCCTGCTGGGCAGTGGTAGGGACGGGTTGTGGGCGTGGTTGATGGCAACAAGGTTGGAACAAAATGGCATGGCAGCGCTCAATCAGCAGGAGAGGAGCAGCCAACCACACACCCACCTGTGGCCTGAGCCCGCAGCTCCCCGCCTGCAATCATCGGCTGGGCCAGCAACGGGCCCAGCCCCTCGGCCCAGCGCTCGAGCGGCTGCTGCTCCACAGGCAGCGGCAGGCCGTCATCGCACACTGCAGGCAGGAGGCAGGTCAAGGGCTGCTTGGCAGCGGCTCAAGCGCTGCGCCCCATGTCGCAGGCAGGCCACGGGGGAAGTCTGTGAGAGAGCGGCGGCGGCGGCCGGCCACGCCCACCTCGAAGGCCCAGCAGCCCTGGTGCCTGCGGGCTCTGCTGCAGCTCCAGCACCACCGTGTGCTCCCCAGGGGCTGCTGCGGAGGCCAGGCAGGCCCGCACGGCTCGGGCCAGCAGCTTGGAGGCCGTGGCGGCCAGCATCACTAGGGGGCATGTCTGGGCAGGCAGGGAGGCCATCTTGTGTGTGTGTGAATGGGGCTGGTGCCTGTGGGAGAAAGGCAAGCCAGGTGGAAAGTCAAGCCTTTGCAAAGCCCGGGGCATCCACCATAACTCTACCATTGATTAATATTTACATACTATGTGATGTGGACATGCGACGCAGAGGTCAATGACCCCGCCAAGGTTGCAGACGCCGGGCCGACAGGTGGCGCCAGATGTGAAAACACAGGGGATGCAAATGAAGAGACGTTTGGCAAAAATGACAAAGGATGGGGTGCAAGGTGGAACAAGAAGTGGTCTCAGTCATGTCTTGATCACCCTCGGAAGCCGCTCGGCATGGACACGCTACTGCTGCAATATGTGCCAGATGGTCCCTGTTGCCTCTCCAGGCTGCTGCTGGTGGTGGTGCTGCGGCGGCTGCGGCGGCTGCGGCTGCGGCGGTGGCGGCGGCTGCGCCTGCGCCGGCTGCTGCTGCACTGGCTGCTGCTCTTGCTTGTGCCTCTTGGAGGGAGAGGCAGGTGCGGCGCTTGATCTCTGTCTGACTTTGCTTTCCAACCGGCCTCACCTATGGCGCTGGTTGGTCGGCAAGAACCGCTGCCGCCGGCACGCGCGCAATGTCCAGGCTGAAGCCGCCGGCGCTGGTAACCAGGCTGTGCCTTCTGCGGCGCAGGCGCACCGTGTCACCCGCCACCACCTCTGATGTATCATTCCATCTCAAGAGGTTCTGCAATTTGCAGGGGGATCGCCCTCACAGGTAAATGAGAATTCCTTGAGCCATACAAGCACAGAAGAGTGACGCAAACATCGGCTCACCCTAAGCCTGTATGAGTCGCTCCGTTCAGTGTCAGGGTAAGTGTAGCGATGAAGCTCAGCCTTGAATGGGAACTCGGGCAGCGATGGGTCATACAAATCAACCGCATAGGATGTGCGGTTGGGCTCGGGCACATCAAACAGTGCTTCAACCGCCCGGCCTGCAAGTAAGAAAGTAAGGGCCGCACACAGGTAGGCAGCTAAGCTACAGTGTGGTAAGTGCACAGAGGCGTAAGGAAATGCGGCTCGGCTCGGTGTTTCTCACTTCCAACGTTCAGAGTGCCGCCGTTCTTGAGATCTGCCTCCGTGATGGCTTTTGCCCACCAACCGTCCCGAGTTTCCCGCCACCCCTTGTGACGGGCGCTCACTGCTGCTGTGCCACCCCGTTCCTCATCCCTGCCCGATGGAGGCACCTGCTGCTGCTGTCGTGGGTCCGGGGCTGCCATGCCTGCTCGTCCTGCACCCGCTGCACCCGCTGCGGGTGCTGCGCCCGGTGCAGCAGCGGCTGCCGCCGTGCCTGCTGGTGTGGGCAGCTTGCCCTGAGCGCCCATCGCACCAGCATCAGCAGAAGGATTACCTGCAGCCAGCTCTAGCTGCGGCAGGAAGGCGGGATGCAACATTGGGGTAGCAAGCAGGTGGAAGCAATTGTTGTAGAGCAGCTGTAAAAACACATGCCACCAGGCGAACCTGGGCCGCTCGCAGCTGCGTGCCAGGAGGAACCGGCAGCACGCGCTCAATGTCCAGGGTGATGCCGCCGCCGCTGCTGCTGTTAGGCTGGTCCGGCCGGCGGTGCAGGCGCAGCCTGTCGCCTACTGCCAGTCCGACTTGCGTCTTCCATTTCTTGATTCCTTCGCCCTGCATGGCGCATTGGTGTGGCTCTTCATGAGTGCAACAGACACATAGACAAACGGCGGTGAAGCTTGAGCCATTTGAGCCATTTGAGGAGCTAGGTGGGACATCAGCAGCAATGCCAGACATGCTGACCGCTGTTCAGCGGCTAACATGCTCCATGACCCAGCCGTCACCTTGAGTCTCCAGTTTTGTTTTTTGCGCCCAAAGATTGCGGCGTAGCGGCGGCCATGTTTATCATGCAGGCTGATCTCCTGGCCGTCAGCCGGCTGCTCTCCAAACAACTGACGCCCACTGGCCTCTGCAGGACGAAGGTTAAAACAGGCACAAGCGGTTCAGAGCATCCATACTCAGCGTGCACATGCTCATGCAGAGCAGCACGGGAAAAAAGCTGCCCTAATGCTGAAACTGTCATGGCCTCACCCTCAATGCTAATAGGCACGTTCTTGTCTGCTACTGTTGCAGTCACCAGCAGCGCCAGCCAACCGTCGGCCTCCGCCTGCCAGTGGTGATTGCCCAGTGCGCGCGCCATCGACGGGCGATCTGCCACCGCGCCCGCTGGCGCAGCTGGCAGTGCCCCAACGCCTGCTGCCTCAGCCGCCGCTCCTGCGCCTGCTGCCACTGCTGCGCCCCCTGGCGCAGCCGGCAGTGCCCCAACGCCTGCTGCCTCAGCCGCCGCTCCTGCGCCTGCTGCCACTGCTGCGCCCCCTGGCGCAGCCGGAGGTGCCCCAACGCCTGCTGCCTCGGCCGCCGCTCCTGCGCCTGCTGCCACTGCTGCGCCCCCTGGCGCAGCCGGCAGTGCCCCAACGCCTGCTGCCTCGGCCGCCGCTCCTGCGCCTGCTGCCACTGCTGCGCCCGCTGGCGCAGCCGGCAGTGCCCCAACGCCTGCTGCCTCGGCCGCCGCTCCTGCGCCTGCTGCCACTGCTGCGCCCGCTGGTGCAGCTGCGCCAGCGGCTGCATGAGCTGCTTCTCCAAGGCCATGCGCGCCTTCTGGGCCACCTTGCAGCTGCTGCAGCAGCCAGTGTCTGCGCTGGTTAGTGGGCTGCTGGAAATGCAGAGGGGTTGGTGGCGGCCAGGCTGGTGGTCGGTATTGTTGCACCTCAACCACATCCTGGCTCAGCGGCGCCCAAGTAAGCGAGCAGGCATGGACGCTCATGGCCTCCATCAGCTCAAAGCAGAACTCCGCCGTCAGCACAACTCCCTGAGGATCGTCCTCAAACACTTCAGTGCCGCCATCCACTTCATGAAGAGGAGCTCGGGTTGCAACATCCTTCAGCCTTTGGTGCATCACCGCCTCATAATATAAGTTGGGGACCTCAATAGAGAAGGCAAACGTCTTGAAATGTGCAGGTGGGCCGCTACGACCTTGTATGGTCTTGAACCCCTCTCGCAACCTGTCCTTGAGACGCTCACTATTTCCAGCTGCGCCTGCCTTGACGCGGTAGTGCAGCAGGCCGCATGGGTTGGCAATTTGCGAACCGACGATATAGAGGTGGCCTGAACCAGAGTTCCAGCCAATTAAATGTTTTTTGGCGGGAGCCATCTGAAAGAAAAGGGGAGGAGTGCACAAGGGAGGCGCAGCGGCCAATGGGTGGCGGCAATGATGGTGCTTGCTTATGCATATGTACGGCGCGGCACGTGATTACCCAGTGCGTCGCCTGGCTGAGGCATGCAGGTGTACATCAGGGCCACACCTCTATGCTTCCCGCTGGGGCGAGACCTCGAGCGCAAGTGCCGACAGGGTGGGGCGGCCCTCGATTAAGAACGTCGCTTTGGCTTCAGCGGCACAGGACCACTGGATGATGCTCGTCAGGGCGTCACGAGGGTTTCGTCACCGCAGCACGAGGGTTTCGGGAACAAAGCCCAAAGTGTCTTGCATGTGATTGCAGCCGTGTTGAGTGCCTTGCACAATTCCTTCCTGCAGCGTTCGTGTCCTTCCTGCAGCGCGCGTGTTGCAAGCATGACCCGCCCTGCCGCCGGCGGGGCCCGGGCCGCAATGCGGCACGCGCACAGCGCTGGGGCCTTCTATCCCTACCATATATGCAAAGGGAGTGCCTCCTGCTGCTCAGCAGTGCGATAAACGCATGCAATACACTCATGCTGCTGCTGGGCAGCTGCTGGCCGTCGGCGACAAATAGCTCAACCACAGCCGCCCCTGCAAGGCGGGCCGCCGCGGCCCCGGCGGCCCGGGCCCCCCCTCAGGCGGGCCGCCCCGGGGACAGGCCGCCACCCCAGCCGCCCCAGCGCCTGCGCCCACCCCTGCTGCCGCCCCTCGGCTTGCTGTTGACGCCACGCGCCTCGTTCTCCCTCAACAGGCACTGCTGGCACAGCAGGCGCAGGCGGGCGTGCTCCCGGTGATACTCCTGCCAGGCCTCCTCGAACGCGCTGTCCTCATCCCTGCGCAGCATGGCGGGCAGGGCGGCGCTGGTGCTGTGGGGATGGGAGCGCACTGTGGCAGAGCTTGTGCATCAGCCGTCTGCAGCTGGCCAGCACGGCGCACCCCCTGGCAGCAGCTTGTGGTAGCTGGCTCAGCTGGCCCCAGCTCCGCGCCCCACCCCGCCCGGCCCTCGCCTGAGCCGCGAGCCCCCGACCCCGGCGGGCGCCTCAGCGAATTCACGGGGCACTGGGGTGTGGGTGGCGCGCAGGAAGTTGTTGCAAAGCTGGGGCATGGCCGGGTCTGCATGGTCCACCACCAGCTGGACGCCTGAAGGCCGGCAGCAGGAGGGGGCCGTCACGGCAGATTCGCCGCTGTTGAGCCAGAGCAGCACACGGCTGGGCACCACAGTCCCCTGTTAGGGTTCCACCCGCTTGAATCCCTCTCACGATGGGCCCCACCTGTCTTGCCACACAGAGTGCACTCCTGCACCTCGCCCCGCCTGAACGCCTGGATCTGCTGTGCCACTGCCAGACCCATCGCCTTGCCCAGCTTCACAGCGGTCGGCTCGTCCTGCTGCCTGCGGCATACGCCAGGGCCCGAGGGTGGGCGGGCACGCTTGGTCAGCAGCTGGGCCAGGTCGCCCTGCCTCCTTGCTTGGCGCTGCCGCCGCTGCTGCTGCTGGCGCCGGCGGCAGTGGCGACCCCCTCCCAGCTGGCGGTGCCAGCATCACGCAGGCAGCGACGCCTACGCCTGCCGCCCGGTCCAGCCTAGCCCAAGGGCCCGCCACCAGCACCCACTCACTCCAGGCACTTCTTGGCTGAGAAGTCGTGCTACTCCCCTGCGCTGTCCACAAAGCGGAACTCGATGCCGCGCCCGCAGCGGTTGGCGTACGCGCCAAACTGCCTGCAGGGGTCGCAGCGCAAGGGGGCAGGGGTGTCGAAGTGTAGGAGCCGTGGAGCTGCTTCACTGCGGCCCAGGGCTCAGCCCGCCTATCCTGCTGCCGCTGCTGCGTCTGCGTCGCATGCGCCAAGAGCTAAACGTGTGACGCGATCCAGTGCCCCACCTGACAGGCGGGTGCTCCACCTTGGCGGCGCCTCTGGGGTGGCGGGCCAGCAGGCCCTCCAGGAACCTGCGGCAGGCGCGGGTGGGTGCAGCATGTCAGCGCATGTCGCTATGACTCCACCTCCTGCTAGTGCATGCTACTGGCAGCCACGTCACCCAGCAGCCGTGCGGTTCCTGTTGCAACCCGCGGTGGTGCTCCCGGCCCTCTCACTCAAAGTCGGGATCGCCTGGCCCGACGTGGCGCCCCAGCAGGCGCTGCTTCACGGCGGTGACGTGCTGCCAGGCCTCGTTCATGCTTCTGAAGTGCTTGCCGCCGATTTTGATGGTCCACTGCGAGGCTCGGTGGCGTAAGTGGGGGGCCAGCGACAGGAGGCAGTGAGCAAAGCATCGGGCACAAGACAACAGCACCTTGGCGGCTTGGCGCCGCCGGGCGCCGCCTGCCCGCCCGCTCCCTCACCTGCGGCGCCCCCTGTGGCAGTTTCTGCTGGCCCTGAGGCGGCCCTTCGTCCTCGTTATCCTCGTCATCGCCCCCGAGGCGCAGCTGGGCCAGCAAGGAGGACACATCGGCCATCAGGGAGGGTGCTTCGTGCAGGCGACCTGGGAAGTCGGCAGCGCAGTTGCATATGCACCAAGCGCTTGTTGTGAAAGTGCTGGCCCGTGGTGGCCGTGTTGTGTACTGCAGCCCAGCCTGGCAGTACTGCTACCCCTATGCACGAAACTTGTCCGCATCACGAAATGGCCTCCCCTATCTGGGTAGCATGCTTCTTAGCTCCCGGGGCTGCTGGGACCTCGCTGGGCCCGCGAACCCCACCCCAGGGTACCCATAGCTTCCTGGCCCAGAATGACGATCCTGCACCCGGCTTCCATTTGGGGACAATTCGTGAGTCGGCATAGGCTGCCGCGCCACCTGGACAACCAGCTGCCGCCGCCGCCGCCAGTGCTCCCTCCCACCTGCTTGCCCCCCGCTGCTCTGCAGGCCAACCTGTTCTTTTTCTCCAGCGGCCTGTTTGGCGAGTGAGTTGCCATGCGCACAGCCATGGTGCGTGCGTCCACCTGATTTACCGCCTCTCACCGACTGTTTTCGCCTTGGCCGCAGCCTGCTCCTCATCCGCATCTGCCTGCTCGGGGCTTACACCTTTTTGCTGGTGGCCGCAAGCACGGGCTACCCCTCGTGGCCTGAAGTCAGCAACGGCCCGGCAGGGGAGCCGGGCTACTTTTCGCTGGATGGCATCATCTGGGCTGTGCTCAACCTGCTGCTGCACGGCGTCGCCACCGCGCGGCTGCTGTGGGATGAGCGGCGCATCAAGTTTAGCGACCCGCTGCAGCAGCAGCTGTGGCTCTTCTTCTACCGGCGGGCAGGTGAGGGGCTGGGCTTGGAACCGCAGGTGTGCAGTGGAACCCCTGCACAGACGCAGGCAGGCGCGGATTCCCGTGTGGGATTGGCATGTTGGTCCCCGCAGGCATGGGCAAGCTGGAGTGGCAGCAGAGCTTCAAGCGGGTGCGGCTGGCGTCATACAGGGCGGGGCAGACCGTCATGGACGAACGCGCCTCGCGCCGCACCTTCATGCTGCTGGTGGAGGGGGTGGCCTCCTACACGGTTGTGGACAAGCAGGCAGGTCGCGGGGCGGGAGTGCGAGGGTGTGGTGTTGAGGCGCCATCCACGAGCTGCGCGGCCACCCCTGCCATGCCATGCGTGCAGGGCAAGCTGCTGCAGCAGCTGGAGATGCACAGCGGCTTCTGCTTCGACGTGGGGCTGCTCAATGTGCTGGGTGAGCTGCCCGGGGGGCAGGCAGGGCAGGAGGCAGCCGACAGAGGAGGACAGGCTTGGCCGCGTGCTCGGCGCAGGCAATGCATCCACCTCGCTCTCGTCAACACTGTGATGCTTCTGGGGCCCTCCTCCGCCTGCTCTCAGGCGTGTACATCGCGTTCGAAAAGCACCTGCACGACAGTGTGACTGTGACTGCCACAACCGACTGCGTGGCCTGCTTCTGGGATCTGGAAGACCTCAACTTCCTAGCCACCCGCTGCTCCCCCGCCGTGTCTGCCTACTGGCGCAACTTTGCGATGGCGCAGGTGCGCTGGGTGCTGCTGCCAGGCTGCTGCCGCTGCGTGGCTGCCGCTGGGGGCGTTTAACTGAAGCGACGCTGGTGCTGGGGCATGCTGGGCATGCTGGGGCCCTGGTGCTGCAGATGGGCCTGGAGTGGCACTCTCGCGCCTATCCCCAGCGGCTGCCCCTCAACGGCCGCGGCAAGCCTGAGCCGGCTGGCATCCTGGACGGTACGCCTACCTGACGCAGGAGCTCTCTGTCTCGTGGGGATTGCGGACCGTGTGCAGCCGTCCCATGCATGCATGCGTGTCCATGTGGGCAGCGTGCCCAGGGAACAGGATGCAAGCCTGCGCTCTTTGACTCTTGTGAATGAAGATAGATAAAGAGCTGCCGCCGCTGCCTGCAGGCACGGCTCGCTCCAGCGACTTTACAGACCCGCAGCAGGGCTATGAGGACCCGCCTGCCACGCTCGGGGGAGTGCTGACCTGGCTGCTGTCCACGCTGCACCCCCTCCTGCCACCGGGCATGCGGCACAATGCCATGCCGCTGTCGGGCAACCAAGCCAGGCAAGGCCGCGGCAGTAGCCCGGAGGCTGGAATCAAGCGCTGCTCCTGGTGTGGCGGGGAGACCAGCAGCCACCTGCGGAACCTCCGCTGCCCTGCTGCGCAGGAACCGCCTGCTGACGCTGGCGACGCGGCGGCACGACCCGGCGCTGCCGCCGCACGACCTGGCGCGCTGCGAGGCGCTCTCTCACCGCGGCAGGAGCCGGGCGATCATCAAGATGCTGGCGGCCGAGGGCCTGCTGGACCCGGAGGAGGTGGTGGAGGTGGTGGTGGTGGTGCCGGACGACGCGTCGGTGGCGGCAGGCGACACGGCGGGCGGCGGCAGCAGCGGCGGCGGCGGCGGCGGCAGCGGGATGGGGCGGCAGCCCAGCGTGATCATCGTGCCGCAGCGCCGGGACTCTGTGGCCTCCAGCCTCAACTTGTGCTTCTCCAACAACGTGAACAACGTGTGAGGAAAACAAGAGAACATGCAAGGAAGAAGAGGAAACATGCGAGGCACGGGCACAGCTGGTGCCAGCCAGGACGGTACCGCTACCCGGACTTTCCCCCTGCCCCCAGCCAGCTCTCTGGGTTGGCCTGGCTCCAGTCGCCCGTGCAGTGTGTTACAAGGGCACCCACCAACCGCAACTGGCCCCAGGCAGGATGCATGCCCTTCATGCCGTGCCGCAACTCGCTCAGAAGGCGGCGCCCCAGCCGCCGCCGCCGGGCGCCCCGCCAGCCTGCACACGCGGTGCCGCGCCCTGGAAGCCGCCGGCAAAGCCGCCACCGGGGGCACCGCTGCCACCGCCGCCCGGGCCGCCGCGCAGGCCGCCCCTGCACTCGGCAAGCATCCGGTGGGCACACGGAAGGCGAACTGTGTGTCCAGGATGCAGCCCTCACGACTGCTCGGCACCTTCCCGCTGGCTTGGACCACACGGCTGGCGGCGTCCCTGTCATCCCCGCCGCCCTGCAATGCCCACAGCCAGCCGCCCGCAGGGCCGCAGGCTTGCCTGAAGAAGGGCCTGGCGGGCGGCTCCCGGTTCTTGCGGTCCTTGCGGGAGCGCACGCGCACCACGCGGGAGTGGATGGAGGCAGAGATGGAGTAGTAGACCTTGCTGGGTGCCATGGGGGAGGGGGTCGGGTGGGGGGAGCAGGTGGTGAGTGTTGGTGAGTGTGCAGGGGTCGAGTTGGATGATGGAGAGGGCGGAGGAGGAGGAGGCCGGGGAGCCAGGCTGGCAGGTGAGGAGGCTGGCAGCAGAGCCGGGTGAGAAGGGTGGGTGGCAGGTGGGGCGTTGGGGCCCGGTAGACGAGCAGGCACGCGGCGCCACGTCGCCGGCCAACGCCTCCCAGGCGCCGGCCCCGCCGCGCGGCCACTCCACGCCGCGGATGTGGGCAGCCAATCTCCCCGCGCACGCACTACCCCACCACCACCACCGCCACGGCTGCACACAGAAGCGGCACGCACCACACCCACCCAACCTGCCCACCGGTACATCTTGGGCAGCGCATATCCCTCCAGCGGCGAGGCCTCCGCGATATCTCGCAGGGCAGACGCGTCCACCATGTTTCGCACCTGCAGCCGGTGGGGTGGAGGAGGCATGGACTGCCTTGGAGCACGTCTGAGGCATGGCAGGGGAATTGGCCCCACCCACCCACCCCCTTCAACTGATTTGGGCAGGCGTAGGTGGGTGGGGCGCGGCCATCGGCTGAAGCTCACCAGGAAGCGCTTGATTGCCTTATCCTTGGGCACCTGCGGCAGCACAGAGGGAGGCAGATTGGGGGGGCAGCTTGGGGCTCGATTGCGGAGGCGGGGGTGGATGAAAGCGGCAGGGGTGGCGGCGTGAAGGGCGATCTCGAGGGAAGCTTGGCACCACGCGCTCTGTCAGTCCTGCCAGCGCTCACCGCTGCCGCCCCGAGCGGCTCACCATGGCAGCGCTTGTCTCGCAGCGCACGCGCCTCACCTGCATGGCAGCGGCGGCAGCAGCTGGGAGGTAGCAACACAGAGGGAGGCGGACCGAGCATCAGGGCGTTGCGGTGGCAAGCGGAGAGTGCGGCAGGCGGAGTGCAGGCAGCATGCCCTCAATTGGTGGCGCTTACATGGCCCCTGCCGTGCTTGTTGCTGCATGCAAGCGGGCAGACACACGAGGGGTTTAATGGTCAGTGGCCAGGTCTTGTCGCCACTGCGCCTGCGCCGCGCCCCGCCAGCAGGCGAGGACACCCGGCGCTCGCTGCCGCCACTGGCTGCTGGCAGCCTGCCTTCTGCCAGGCACTGCACCCCGGCAAGGGCCAGCCTTGGACCGGGCTTCCGAGCAGCTGTTGCTGGTGAAACACCTCACCGGCCGTTGTTGCGCCTCTTCTTGGTCATGGTGGCTTCAGCGGCCGCAGGGGCTGCGAGGAGGGCACGGGAGAGGCCTGCCAGGAGGCGTGCTGACGCCAAGAGCGGATGCATGCACTGTGGAAAGCATGCCAAGAAAGCACAGAGGGCCCCCCTGCAGGTCGCTCTGCAGAATGATCGCAGTCCTTCTGAAACTGGCGGCAATGGGAAAGTTTGGAGCCAGCGGGGGCGCCGCGCCGTGACGTCGGCGTGACGTCGGCGGTAGCGGCAGCGGGCCCAGCTGTGTCTGCTGATTTACAGTGGAGGGGTGGTGAGGGACGTTTTAACCAAGATGGTACGAGTTTGAGGGTAAATAAGCTCACAGAGGTCGGGACAGACCCTTCAAACTGAGTCCTGCTCATAAACAAGCAAGACAGCAGGTGGCGCCCGGCGGAAAAATTGGGGAGGGGCGCCCCGCGCCTGACAGGGGCTGCGGGGCGAATTGCAGGGTGGGAAGTGGATCAGTCATCGTCAGGGGTGCTGTGGGTCGCTGAGAGAGAAGTATTGCGGGTGGAGTAAGGGTAGCACTCAAGGGGCGCACTGGCAGCGTTCGATGGCTAGCGAGGGGGCCCCGAGGCGCTCAGTGAGGGAGATGAAAGCAAGTAATAGGGAGGCGTTCTCATGTGGCATCACGGTGTGGAATATCAGCTTTTCAGCTGCACTAACAACTCACTATGATCTCAGGGGACGGCAGCTCACGACAGCTGGCGGCAGTCGAGCCGGCTCAGCGTCGCAAGGGAGCCGCCAGCCCCACTACCTTCACTCACTCCAGCCCCTCCTCCACGCCCTCCAGCACCTCAGAGGAGTTGAAGCGCCCCCCAGAGGCCACCCAGGCCCCCGTCAGGCCGGTGCGGCTGGCGTGCAGGGGGGGCACCGTCGCCTCGTGCGGGGCGGAGGAGGCGCGAGCCAGGCGGCTGATCGCCTGAGCCATGCCGCCCTCCACCTCCTGCAGCAGACCAGGGCAACAGCCAGGTGGAGGATCAGTCGGCAAGCCAGCCCGGGGGTGGCATATCGCAGCTAGCACGCCCTGCCTCCGTCCCGGCATGCGCCGCCACCAGCGGCATGCATGTTGAGCCCGGCAGCACTGCCCACAGGCCGCGCCGCCGCCAGCAGGCATCCACCTTGACGGCAAACGAGCCCCGTGCCCTGGCAGAGCTGCGCCTCGGGCTGCCCGACTGCACGCGCGCCGCCGCGCGCTGCAGCTGCTCCGGCCGCGCCGCGCCGCCGTGCCCGCCCAGCGGCAGCTGCGCCACGGACTGCGCGCTGCGCCCGCTGTGCGCGCTGTGCGTGGAGGGTGCCTGGGAGCCGGGCCCTTCGGCGGGCAGGATCTCGGAGGAAGCATAGCTGGCCTCAGACGCCGCCCTGCTGGTGCCGGCGCTGGTGTAGCTGGAGGGGCGGCTGGCCACGCTGCCCGGCGGCAGCGAGCTCAGGCGGCTCTGCGAGCGGGCCAGCCGCTCGGCGACGCGCGCCACCCGGGCCGCCGCCTCGTCCTCCCACATCACCTGCCGCCGGGCAACGCACAACGGGCAGGCGTGGGTGGCAGCAAAGGGCACATGCGCATCCCACCATCACCAAAACCACCCCAGAAATGCCGGCGCCTGCCAGCTGCTGCCAGGGCTGCGCCTGCCAGCTGTCCCCAACTCCACCCCCGCCCACCTGCGGTGGCTTGCTCTTCAGGTACTCCCTCATCGCCGCCTGCTCCGCCGCCTGCTGCGAGGCGTATCGCTCGGCCTGCACCCCGGCCCGCCGCGCCTCCTGCATCCCCGCCACCGCCGCCATCGTGCGGGCCATGCTGACGGGCATGCGCGCGCCGCCGGCGCCGGGAGCGCGTGGCAGCAGCTGCACCCCGGACGCCAGCTGCTTGCCGCCGCCGGCGGCAGAGGCGTGCACGCTGATGGTGGCGCCGTAGCCGCTCTGCTTCAGCGCGGCGCGGCGGGGGGTGATGGGCTGGCGGTACCGCGGCGTGTAGGCACCTTCCAGGTCCAGGCTGTTCACGCTGTGGGTGCGCCGCACCGGCGGCGGCGACTTCTTGAGCTCCTTGCCGTCGAACGTGAAGGCGGGGGGCGCCTTGGCGGCACCGTCTCTGGCCAGCTTGCGGCGCCACAGCCACCACAGCAGGGCGCCTGCTGGTGCGTAGGTGGGGGAGGGGGCAGGCATGGGGGCAGCACGTCATCCGGGCGTGGAATCACCAGCAGGCGGCAGGCAGCGGCCGGCGAGCGCAGGGGAGACGAGCGGGCACGTGCCGCGCTGCGGCCCTACCCGAGGCCGCCGCCGCGCCCAGCAGCGCCCCGGCGATGACCAGTATCTCCCAGGTCCCCAGCCCGCCGCTGCTGGATACCGGGAAGCCCGTGCCCACGGCAGACAGCGGGCTGGGGGGCGACGCATCCGACAGGTTGGCCACCGTCAGCGGGACGAGGGCGGTGAGGTTGGGCGGGTTGGTGGTGCCGGGGTAGACTGACATGACCTGCACCTGGCTCACTGCCAGCCCTGCGCCGCAGGGGATGCCGCAGCCGGGTTCGGTCGGGAGAGAGTGGGCAGCTGCTGCGGCAGACGGCACGCGTGGCGGAGGACGGGAGCAAGCGCACGTGCGCGGGCCTGCCCTGGGGCTGTGCAGCGCACCTCGCAGGCGCATGCGCGTTGCCAGCATGCCAGAGGCCGCCGACGCCACCAGCACTCCCTGCACCGCCGCCTGGCTGCCGGCTGGCGCCTGCACTGTGGCCCGGATGAGGGCGGCCTCCATGATGGTGTACAGGCTGGGGATGGCGGCCACGCCCGAGGCCTCGGCGTCGGCCAGGCGTCGGCGCAGGCGGCGGCCGCCGCCCGAGCTGGCGTTGCCCGCCGCACGCAGCAGCTGCGTGTCGGCGCCGACCACAGCGAGGCCGCCATCTGCCAGCACCCCGGCCACCGCCGCCAGCGCCTGGGTGCTCTTCACCCCCGTCCACGGCACCAGGTTGTCCCCAGCCAGGCTGAGGATCATGGACAGCGGGCCCACCCCGCTGCCGGGGCTGGCAGCGGGCGACGCGGCTGGAGAGGGAGCCGCAGACGGCGCCGGGGTGGCTGCCACGACCGGCGAGGAAGGCGGCGGAGAGGCCTGCAGCGCATGGCAGCAGGCGCGGGCGTTGGTAGGCGAGTCGAGCCACGGGGTGGCCAGGCGGGATGCCCACAGCATGCACACACCGACAGCTATGCAGGCTCACCAGGGGGGTTGAAGGGGTGGCTGAAGCTGGCGGGCTGGCGACAGGCACCGGAGAGGGCGAGGGGCTGGGCACAGGCGCTGGGCTAGGGCTGGGCACTGGCGTGGGGGAGGGGGAGGGAGATGGAACTACTGCAGGCGACTGCGGCTGGGCGGCCGGGGAAGGGGTGGCGACCCTAAACCCTAAAAACCCTAAACAATTGGAGACGTCGCTGGCAAGGGACTGGGCTCTGTCGGCGTGGTGGGTGCTGTGGACTCCTGTGGAGCAAGTGTCTCGGGTGGTGTAATGGTAATGCTGGAAACCACAGAGTTGCCATCTGGCGGCGCAGAAGCCGGGGAGGTTGCGGCAGCTGGGCTCGGCACCGCGGCTGGTTCTGCTGGTGCTGCCGCCGCAGGTGGCGTAGAAGTGTCCTGGGCCGTCGCGGGGACGGTGCAGGACGCCAGGAGCAGGAGGGTCAGCAGCACACATGCTCCTTGCCCATGTGCCAACACATCCGCCCGCTGGCGGCGGCGGCGGTTGGCGCCCATCGGGGCTGCCTGGCGACCCCCGGGTGTGTGCTGGTGGCCCTGGCGGGTCTTGAGGCCCCAGGATATGCAGCCCAACCCAGCAATGGGAGGCTACGCGGTGCGGTTGGTTGGGCGACGGTTCGGCGTCACCTTGACGCAGCCTCGCCCGAATCAAAGCGGCCAGAAGAGCGCGGGATTTGCAGAAGCTTTGGCCTTGGAGCCCCAGCAGTGACCGCCAAACCGGTTGTACTGCCATCAGGAAACCAGCCCGATAAGGGCGCCATGCCTTTATCGCAAAGTTCAATACCCCCTGCGGCATCCTGCAGCCAGCAAGGGGCACCCCTGGGCCACCTGGTGCGATGCGGTAGCAACACCCGCTGTGCGGCCCTGCATCGCCGCGGCCGCCGCTGGGTCCATTCCATGGGCGTCACAGCTGCAGGAGCAGGTTCCTGGCTGGGATGACGGCGGCTCCATTGGGACCCGGAGGAATTGGCCTGTCCGACAGTGAAACAGGATTGCGGCTTGGTCCGCGGCTGGCGACACTAGTGCTACGGCCATCAGCCTGAGCGTTGCCCGCAAACTTTGCTGCCAGCTGCATTCTCGCCAGATGCAAGCAGCGTTGCAATTCCCCCCCGTTGAAACAGGCCAAAACAACAGAAAGGCTTGCACGTTAGTGCAGAAATGAAATTTATGGGTGCTTACGTCGCTGCGCATTGGCGCCGCTGTGTGGCCGCCGCCCCACCGCCACCTCCAATTACACAGTGCCCAGCCGGGATGTTTGCTGGCAGCCTAAATGCCACAGACAGAGGCTGGCCGGACCCTGGACGTCGATACCTGGCGGCCCAGGAAAGTTGCTTTTTTGATCAAAACCGCACCCTCACGGCGCGCTCGTCCTCCTCTCCCTCTGTCTCCTCCCCTGCACATCATGCCTGTCCTGGCGACCACGCGCTGCGGCGCTCCGTTCAGGATTGGGGCGCCTTCCGGGCCCAAGCGGCGCCTGACTTTCACCCCGCCAGCCTCCCGCATGCTGGGCCGCACTGAGGGTAAGCAGCCAGAGGGCAACCAGACTTCGGGCTTCATCCCTCCCGACCTCTCACTTGCGTGTTCCCCACCTCTCCCTGCTGCAGCTCCCTGCACGCACGCCGCCGCGGCGGTGGTGGCGACACCGGCGAGCCCCGGCAAGCCAGCCCCCACCGCCGGCGATGGCGGCAGCGGTCGCACCCCTCCCCCGGTGCCGCCCACCGACTCCGCCGCTGGCAGCGGGGGCGGGGGTGGCGGCGGCTCCGGCTGGGCCCCAGTGGCCTTTGTGATGCAGCACAAGTCTGTGCTGGTGTTCTTTGGCGGCGTCGGCAGCTTCGTCGTCGGCTGCATCACCATGTACCACAAGATGCTCAGCTGGCTGGACAACCGCTTGTCAGCGTTGGAATCCAGGTTCGACACCAAGCTGGAGAAGCTGCGGGAGGACATGAACCGGGGCTTCAGCATGCTCGCCGCCCAATTCAGCAAGGTGGACGACCGCCTCCGAAGCGTGGAGAAGAGTACCAGATAGGTAGTGGGCTTGTGGCCTGCGGCTACCCGCCCGCCGCCACACACCCGCTTGCCTGCTGGCAGAGCTGCCGCCTGCTGTGGGGGGCCTTGCCCGCTGGCTGCGCGCCCGCTGTGAAAGCTAGTGAAAACTGTCGACCGTGTTCTTTCTGCAATTGTAATGCACAATGGCGCCATTGCCGTTGCCCCTTTCAAGGCCATGTGCCCAACTTTCCTTTATCCTCGCCCAACTCGCTGCGCTTGCCTGCGTGTTCCCCACCTCTCCCTGCTGCAGCTTTCTGCGCGGGCTCCACGCTGCTGATGCCCGCCATCCCAAGAAGTGATTGCGGTGGTGGCAGCGGTGGTGCCGCTGCTTGCAATCACGCCTGCACACAATGCCATCGAGGATGGCGCAAACACGGCGATGCAATGACTGTGGTTTGTTGACAAGCTGATGCTGCTGCCGCCACCTGGCCTTGCCCGCTGGCAGCGCGCCCAAATCTTATTCTTTAACGACTTGAACTGCAACGTGGCGCCATTGCCCCTTTCAACACCCGCTTTATCCGTAGGCCCCTTTTCCCCCTCTCAGACTGGCTTATTTGTGCCGCCTATACTCTCGTTACTCAATCGATACACTCTTCATGTGCCCTTGTGATTGGCACTCTGCCCACTCACCCCCTCTGCTGCGAACACTGTTTTGTTACCTGTCCTCCCTCTTGCTCTCCTGTTTGCCCCCACCCCATTTCAACCATGACCAGAATTACCTGGAGTTTCTTCTGCGCTGCTGCTGATGTTAAGCTCCTCTTGCAACTGTAAAAACGTATGTGCCGACAGGCGTGCACCCTGGTGCACGAGAGGACACACAACGGACGGGCAGCGCTGCTGGGCAACGGGAATGAGCAGCGGGGCTTGAGTGTGGCAGGTTGCTACTTCCTGGAGGCATGCATCTGCCAGGCCTGCACGTCGCTGATTGTCCGACCTGCTGCCCACAGCGGCTGCTGGCTTGAGCTGCTAGCAGGCGGGTGCAAGGCATGGGTGGTTACATTGTAAATGAAGGTTGGCAACAACAGAGGAGCGTGGCGCGCCCGCTGCAGCAGCCAACCTTCCTGCCACCGAGGCCTCGCCATCCTGTCTCCCGCCGCCCGCTGACCTGGCAGAACGCATTGCAACACAACAGACACAACCCCGTCGCGGATGCGCTTGCGGCCCTGTCACAACGCCTTCACAGACCTGCCAAAAGGCCTCACAGTGCTCACAACCCTACGTCAATCGCCTTGGCCCGGCGCGCGATGGGCCGCTGCACGCCTCGCTGTCTTTGATCACACCGCACTGATCGCAGCGGCCGGATGGGCTGCGCCGGCAGCAAGGCGCCACCCGAGCCGGGGGGCGAGCTGCCGGCCGACAGCCAGGAGGAGGTGTGGCTGAGGAAGCGGCAGCAGGCTGCAGAGAGGAGGAGGAGCAGGTGTGGGGACGGCTGCTGCGCATTGTGCGGGAGCACGCTCACTGGCAGCTGCCGCCGCCGCCGCCAGCCGCTCGTTACCACCCTGCCGCTGGTTTGCTGCTGCCAGTCTCGCACCCCTGGCTGACTCACTCGCCATCCGAATTTTCGCAGACATGTGGTGGGCGGCGGCGGCCCAGCGGGCGGCCTGGGCGGGGCGGCGGCGCCTGCGGGGCTTCCGCCCACCGGGGCGCTGCGCCGCCAGCCCACCTCCTCCCTTGGCAGCTCCGACAGCGACAGCGATGTGGCCAGCGACTGGGACCGCTACAGCTGGCACCTCGAGGCGGAGCACCCAGGCAAGGCTAGCAGGCCTGGCAGCCCGGCGGCCGCGGTCTCGGGGCCAGGCTGCTGCTCTTCCCAGCTCCTGCTTTCTTTTTGCTGCCTGCACAAGACAAGCGCGCTGCCTGCTGCGATTGCTGGCCTGCACATGCTCAACCGGTGGCGTGTCCCACCTGTTGGCATGCAGCCTCAATGGCGTCGCCTAGCCCCAGTCAACTCACTCCCCGCGACACCCTCTGCAGCCTGAGCATGACGGGCTCACTGGGCAGCCAGCTGAGGTGTGCCTGCTGGGCTGCGCTGTGTGTGGGCAAGCATGCAAGCATGCATTCTGGCAGTCGATAGCCCATGCCTCCCACATGCTGCATGCTGCTTAAACCACCGCTGCGCATCCACCGCTGCTGCAGAATGCGGCACGACTCCCTGTTTGGGCTGAGCACCGCGCCGGCGCTGACGCCTGTCAGGTGGGGCCACCGCCGCTGCCGCTGGCTGCCTGGCTTGCTGCTACCTGGTCGGCGCGCGTCTGCGGTGGCGGCTTGGGCTGATGCAACCAATGGGTGAAGAGGCATGAGCAGCAGCCTCTGCTGGGTGCGACGGTCGATGCTGCCCTGCCTGCCCCGCCCGCAGGGACAGCGGTCAGCTGCGGCTGTGCAAGGTGTCTGGCTGCACGTTTGTGAACCAGTACATGGTGATCAAGTACCTGGGCAGGCAAGTGGGTGATGTGGGTGGAAGGGTGGTGTGGGTGTGGTGGCAGCAGAGCTGCCAGGCAGGGGCACCACTGTCCCTCGGCCCAGAGCTGTCCCTCGGCGCAAGCGAGCTGCACCGCCATGCCCGCCTGCCTGCTGTGCAGGGGCTCCTCGGGCCGCGTCTTCCTGTGCATGGGCCTGGATGACTACCGCCTGTATGCGGTCAAGGTCGGTGTGTGTGTGTGCGTGTGTGTGTGTGCAGCCGCTGCTGCTTCTGCTGGGCAGGTCCACATCGGCTTGCTGAGCTGGCTGGCGGGATGAGTGGCTGTTAGGCTGGCAGGTGGGCGGGTGTGTCTCACGGCAGGGCTCCCACACTCTGCGCCGGGCCCAGCAGATTGTGAAGAAGGATCAGGCGGGGCAGCGCAAGGCGGCGCGCAGCGGCGCGGCCCGCCGGCCGCGCGACCCTCTGGAGGATCTGCGCCGCGAGATTGCCGTCATGCGGCGCTCGCTGCACCCAAACGTGGTGGCGCTGCGGGAGGTGCGGTTCGTGGGGCGTGTGCGCATAGCACTGACTGCGGCAGGGCGCCCGCTGGCCTCCCTCTCGCAGCTGTGGCCGACAGCTGCGTCAACATGCCGCTGCTGCCAGGCTTGCTCTCTCAGCATGCCGCCCAGCAAGCGGCTTCCCTGCCCGCCCCTCCCTCCCTGCAGGTGGTGGACGACAGCAGCAGCAACAAGATGCTGCTGGTGATGGACTACATGGAGGGCGGCCCTGTGATGACGCGGGAGGGCCTGGGTGCGCCCCTCCTGCCGGCTGCCGGCTGCCGGGGCTGCCTGGAGCGTCGGTGGGCAGTGCATGGTCTGCTTCCCCGCTGCCTGGCCGGGTTGGTGCCCGTTCAGCCCAGCAGCCTGGTTTGAAAGTTGCGTCCTGCCGGTCCCAAGGACGGCACGATGGTCGCCCCTGCCTGCAGAGCGGGGCCACAGGATACCCGAGGAGGTTGCCCGCCTGTACTTCAGGGACATGTGCAAGGTGCCGCCTGTACCGCAGCAATGTGCCGCAGCAATGTACCGCCCCACCCTCGCTCTCGCTTGCAGCTCACGCTTGCCGCCACCACACACCGCACACTGCCGCTCACCGTGCCATGCTACTTCCCACTGCCCCTCACCCCCCCCGCCCCGCACACATACACACCCACACACCCACTTCAGGCTCTTGACTACCTGCACTGCGCCCGCAAGGTGGTGCACGGCGACTTGAAGCCAGAGAACGCCCTGATGGGCGCCGCCGGCCGCGTCGCGCTCTCCGACTTTGGCTGCAGGTGCGGCCGCCGCCTGGAGGCGCAGCATGCACTGTACATGGCCATTCCCCGCGCCGCCCCGCGTCAGGCCGCGAAGCTTTGCCTGTTCCCCTGCTGCCTCGCCAGATGTTTTGGATCGGCGCGAGGACCTGCTGGCATGCCCACATCCCAGTTGATGTTACCTACCAACCTCGACCCAGTGCCCGCCTCTTCTCCTGCTTCCCATCGCGCACTGCAGCAAGGTCCTGTCAGAGTCTGACGCACAGTTTGAGCGCTGCAACGGCACGCCCGCCTTCCTGGCTCCAGAGATGATGCGCCCCAATGCGCGGTACAGGTGAGCGGTACATGATGTACTGCAGTGTGTGCCGCAGGGAGCTGCCGAGAAGGGGACTTCGGTTGCTCCTCAGCTCCTGCCTGCCTCCTGTGCTCGCAGGGGCCGGCCCGCCGATGTTTACGCTCTGGGAGGCTGCCTCTACTCCTTCGTCTTTGGAAAGATCCCCTTCAGGCACGCTGCCAACACCGCCATTGCAGCAGCAGCAGCAGCAGCAGCAGCTTTATTAGGGCCCCACCCTGTTCCACTCGCCAGGCTGATATGGCGCGCACGCAGCGTTTGGTTGCTGTGGCAAGTTGGAACTCGCGCTTGAACAGATGGCTCCTAAGTTTAGTTTACTTTCTGTGTCCAGGGCCGACACTGTGCTGCAGCTGTTTGAGGTGGTGCAGACGCAGCCGGTCACCTTCCCTGCCGACCTTGCTGCCTCGGAGGAGCTTCGGGGGCTGCTGCTGGGCATGCTGGAGAAGGTGGGTTGGGTTGGGTGGGGCTAGGGAGCAGTGCCCACAAAGCTGTCAACCTTCTGTGGGTCGGGAGTGGCTGGGACTGGCCACACCAGCTCGTGTCGCCCATTGTGGCGCGAGTGCTTCTAGTGCTATTAGGCGCATCTGGTGTGGGTGCTGGCCAGGTTGGGAAGGCGACAGGCTGAGGGGTTCTTCCCCCTCCCCGTGCATGCAGGACCCTGAGAAGCGACTGTCGCTGGCCCAAGTCATGGCGCACCCGTGGCTGATGGCGGGCGGCGCCCTGCCTCCGCTGCGCTCCTGCCTGCAGCGGGACCCAGGGCAGCGGCCTCAGCGGCCGCCGGCAGACGGCGCAACAGCAGCGGCAGCAGGAGTAGACGCAGAGGGCGACGGCAGTGGAGCTGAGCAGCAGCAGCAGCACCCCGGCAAGGAGGAGGGGGAGGAGGAGGAGGAGCGGGAGCGGGAGCAGCAGGAGCAGCTGCTCAAGGGATCGCTGGAGGGGCTGGTGGCGGATGGCGGCCTGCAGGTGCACAGCTTTGCGGCGGGGGAGCATCTGATGACGCGAGGCCAGGCAGGCGCGTGGGGCGGGGTCGGGATGGCATGGCTGGGGCCTCCTGGGCGGATGAATGTATCCAGCAGCTGCATGGTACAGCTCACATTGCCTGCACTTGCATGTCTCTGGCGGCTGCTGCTGCTTGCCGCTTTTTGTTTGCCGGGGCCTCCCGACAAGGCGGCACATGCTGCCCGTGCGCTTTGCAGGCGCGCACCTGCTGTACATTTTAGAAGGGGAGTGCGAAGTCCTGTACAAGACCGCTCCGCTGCCACCACCGCAAGCGCCCGCCCCTGCGGCACCTGCCGCCAGCAAGCCAGCCAGCGCCTCCCAGCAGCAGCAGCAGCAGCAGCAGCAGCACATACGGCAGGTGCAGGAGGACAGTTCAGTAGGCAGCCGGGCGGGGGACACCGTGGGCGGGCCTGCGGCGGCGGCAGGTAAGCGGCGCTCTGCTGCCGCGCTGTTCACGCCTAGCGTGCACGCCCGCGACAGGCACCGCAGCGCCGAGCCGGCTGCCGGCCCAGAGGGCAGCCTAGCCAGCACCGGCACGCAGGCAGCACAGCAGCAGCAGCAGCAGCAGCGGCATGTCGATGCGCTCTGCTCCCTGAGGGACAGCAGCTACATTGCCGAGGCTGCTGTAGCGGCAGCGGAGGACATGGATGGTGCTGGGGCAGCACAGGGGGTGCCGCAGCAGGCCCCCAGCAGCCTGCAGCGCCTGGAGAGCACCGCCAGCAGCTACGCCCAAATCGCCTTGCCAAACCATCGCACCAGCAGCCAGGCAGAGGGCGGAGCAGCGCTGCCGCCAGCTGGTGGCAGCGCCCTCCCTCCGCTGCCCCCCAAGCGGCAGCCGATCCAGCAGCCCCAGCCCCAGCAGCAGCTCCACGTCAGCATCCCGGCAGCCCAGGGCGACCCTTCCACTCCCAACCTGTCCCCCGAATCATCCGGGGCGGGCGCGGCAGGCGGCAGCGGCGGCGCCACGCCCCCTCAAGGCAGCCCAGAGGGCCTGGCAGCAGCAGCGGCGGCCGCAGCAGCAGCCACGCCAAGCCCAGGGCCCTACGGCCTGCAGCGGCACATGGGAGTTGATCTGGAGGGGGCAGCAGCGCACCTCTACTCCCCAGGGCCTCCCTCTGCCACTGCCACGTCAGCGCCAGCCGGCCCCGGTGCCAGCCCAGCTGCCCGCGCCGCTGGCCAGGAGGAGCTGCAGCTGAGCGAGGGGGGGCAGCAGGTGCAGCAGGGGCAGCAGGGGCAGCGGCAGGGGTCTCCTCAGCCAGAGGTGGAGGGAGAGGAGCTGCCGCCCACGCTTCTAGACGTGAGCGCCTGCTGGCTCTGGCTTCCCTTGGCGCTCCTGGGTCTACTTTACTGCTGCCACATGCCGCATTTGGCTCCTGCCCTGCTCAGGGTTGTAGCAGTAGCAGTACCATGTTGGCACCGCCCGTCTTCCTCCACACCGCCAGCTGCTGCCTGTTTTCGCCCGACCGACGCACTCTGGCACTGCCCCTGCCCTCCCCTGCCTGCCTGCCCCTGCCCGCCCCTGCCTGCCACTGCGTGCCTGCCCCTGCAGGCCGCCACCCGAGCCAAGGAGGTGCTGGAGAGCCTGCGCCGCGGGCCGCGGCTCTTCCTGGCGGCGCGCCGCGGGCCGGGGGACTTTGTGGGAGAAATGGAGGCGCTAGGTGGGCTCTGCTCCGGCTGTGTGCCATGGGCCAGCCTGGACTGTTAAGTGGGCCCGCTGCAGGCACGGGATGAGATGCAAGGGCCCTGCCTGCACACCCCCATCAGCCTACCTAACGTGTGCCCGCCAGCTTCTCCCCGCCCCGTGCAGGCGGCAGCCAGAGCCGGCGGGTGGCGACCGTGGTGGCGGCCAGCAGCATCGTGCAGGCGGTGCTCATCCCGTACCCGGCCGCCAAGTCCTACCTGGCCCAGTGCCCGCTGGTGGGCTGCTGCCAGAGTTCTGCAAACAAATTGGTCGCACCACCACAGCAGCAGCTGAGCCGAGTCCTTGCCAAGTCTTGCATGCCATGCAAGGCTCCAAGCCTCGGCCAGCCGCGTGTTGGGCAATGGCCCTCTGCTGGCTCAGAGCCCTGCACCAACCTGTCCCACCGCAAACCCTGGCTCACTCCACGCCATGCCACTCCCCCCTGTGGCTCCACCCCGCAACCGCCGCCCCCCGCCCCTGGCCCCCACGCCCCCGCAGGCCAAGCAGCAGCTGGCGCAGCTCATGTGGCTGCGCCAGAGCGAGGACATAGTGCTGGAGGCGCTCGCCAGGCTGGCGGCGCTGGGAGACGACATGCTGCGCCTGCTGCGCCAGTGAGTCATCGGGGCGGCCGGCGCCCTGCGGCAACAGCGAGGCCCCTGGCGCGGCGGCCGACAACCGGCACTGCCGGCACACCCACTGCGGCAGCCACCGCAGCGCCTGCACCGCCCAAAGGCGCTCCTGGCATGCTTCGGATCAATCACACGCCTGGGAGCTGCTGGCTGGGCCTGACTGTTTGTAAGCATTGCATTGTAAGCATTGCATTGAAGGGCACAGGGCAGAGGCAGCAAGGCAGGCAGACAGGGCCGTGCAGAGGCACGAGGGGCATGCAGGCAACACAGGAGGGCTTGGCCGGCAGAAGCGTGTGCATGGGCGACCGCATGCTTTTTGCACATGACGGTGCGCATGAAATGAGGTAACATAGGTACAGAGCAGTACAAGAGGGCACACAGTACACAGGGAGAAGGTACACGGCCATAGGAGCGGTGTGGCCTCTACGCGGCCAGTGGGTTGATGCTGAGGTTGAGCGCCATGCGCAGAAGGTCTGAGACTCCTACGGCTACGGCATGGCGCGCCCGCCCCATGCCGCGCCTGATGGCGCGCCGCTCGGCGTACGCGGCGTACAGCAGCGCGCATCCCAGCGCGGTGCGGGTGAGCTGGCGCAGGGCGGCGGCCGGGTCGGGGTCAGGCAGCAAGGCGCTGCTGCCGCCGGCTGGCGCCGCCGCTGCCTTGCTGCCCTCGCCAGTGGTGGTGGGCGCGGAGGTGCTGGTGCCCCCCACGGCTGCGTGCAGGCGCTGCCTCCACTCCTCGGCCTGCGGACCCAGCAGGGGGCGCAGGATGGCAGCCGCACCCTGCAGCATTTGATGCTGGCACCTGCCGAGCCAGTCGAGGCCCAGCGCTGAGGGCTGCAGCGGAGCCTCGCCCGCGGCGCCGCCCACGCTGCTGCCATCAGCGCCGGCCGGCTCTATCTCGTTGCCAGCCGGCGCAGCGGCAGCTTCGGCCGATGCGCCGTGAGCCGCCTGCGGCTGCACCGCCTTCTGCTGGAAGCTGTGTTCCTCCTCTGCCGCCGCTCCCTCCGCCCCGCTGCTTTCCGGCCAGCCAGGCTCCAGCTCCTGCTCCGCCCTAGTCGTCGCAACCCTGCTCTCCCAGCCGGCCGCCGCGCTGCCGCCGGCGGCGGCGCCGGGCGACCGCGCCTGCTGCTCCAGCTCCAGCTCGCTCAGCAGCAACTGGCGCTCCTCGGCGTTGATGGGCAGCTGCGTCTCCTGGACCCAGCGCATCACCTCTGTGGAGATGCAGGGGGGGGCGGGCAAGGCAGGGGGTGGGGGGGCAGCCAGATCGCTGTTCAGTATGCTGATGATCACAGCAACCAGCAAGGCAACTGGCGGGGGCAGAAGAGGCTACATTACTTCCTGCGAAGCTGCTTCCCGGCTTCTGTGACGCTGTTTCCCGGGGAGCGCACCTGCCGGCTCGCGCAGCTCCCGCAGCAGCACTTCCAGCGTGTAGAGGTGCAGCAGCGCCAGGTACTGCCGCCGAGACCAGCCTGCAGGCAGCACGGGGGTCCCCACGCGGCAGCGGCTGCGGGTCAAGGCGCCGTGGGTGCAGAGGGTGGGGATGCTGCGGCAGGGGGCTGCGGTTTGAGCCGCCTTTTCCTGTGCCAATCTCTGGGGGCTGCCACAGGAGTCGCATCCGACACCATGATGGCATGCATGCGAGGGAGCTGGCGAGGCAACAACGCGCACCGTTGCTGCTGCCTGCGGGGCCGGAGGGCTGGCAGGCGTCTAGCAGCTCGAGGATCAGGCGCTCCGCCTCGCGCCGGCTGTCTGTGTCCAGCGCAAGCGCCAGCCACAGCAGCAGCGTGTTGGGCGGCGCGGAGGCGGCGGAGCCAAACAGGCCGCGCAGCAGCCTGTGGGCCAGGCCAAACCTGCAAGGGGGCAGGGTGGCCAGGCTGGTGGTTTGAGGCGCGAGCCGGCACGCAGGTGGGGGCGCCGGCGCCGGGGAGCAGGTGAGCGGCAGCCAGCGGGCGCGTGGCGCTGGGGCTCTGCCCCTGCCTCTGCTGCCGATCGGGGCGCCTCCCCGAGCGCACCTCTGCGTCTCAAACAGCGTCTGCAGCGCCACGACGCACGCCCTGTCCTGAAGCTCCCGCGCGTCTGCTTGTCCTGCTGCTAGCTGGCAGGCCTGCCGTGCATGACGCTCGGCCTCGCAAAAATCGGAAAGCAGCAGAGCCCGCTCGGCTTGGTGGACGACCTCCGCAGCCATGGCTGCCATGGAGCCTCGGAGCGCTTGCGTAGCACTGCCGACCGTTGAATGCTATCAATCGTTTAAGTCTACGCCAAGGAAGGCAATTGCTGCCGATAGTGCCGATAAGCCGTGTCGGCTGTGACGTGTCGAATCTGCTGCTCTTAGTCTCGAAACGCTTCCAATCCATTGCCTCCACAGCCTGCTATCACAGGTCCTTCAAGTAGCGAGCCCAGGGCCTGCCAGAGGTGGGCAAGCTGCTCGGCAGCACCAAAGCCCCCTGCTTTCAGCCTGCCGTTCTCCTCCAGTCTTTCCCGGCATGTGATCACCACCATCCCCAGATGTAGACACTTCGGGACCCCGCACTGGGTGACATGCAGGGTTTTTGGCGCTTGCCCCCCGGGCTGAGCCCCCCGCTTGCCCTCCTGCGCCCTGCAGTCCATCCGATGGCGCCCATGTCGCTCGGCACGCAGCTGGCGGGCCTGGCCCCCACGCCGGTGCGCGCCGCCACCGGCGCTCGCTGCCAGCAACGGGCGTCTGCGGTGCCCACCCTCAGGTCCGCTACCAAGGTTGCCGCTTCAGCATCGGGCTTCGACTTCACCCCGGAGCAGCAGCGTGCGGCTATGGAGAAGCAGCTGAGGCTCTCTGCAGAGCGCGCCGCAGCAGAGGAAGAGCGCAAACGGCAGGCCGCCGCCAGGGGTGCGGCAGCCGCCGAGGCGCCTAGCGTCATCCCCAAGCGCAAGCAGCCCAGGCGTGCCGCTCGGCTGGCTGCCGCCGCGGCCGCCGCAAAGGTGAGTGTGGCTAGGGGCGGGCATGCCGAGCGCTCGGTTCGTGCAGCCGGCTGCTTGCATGGCGAGCAGCTTCACTGTCGCCAGAGCTCTCGCTGGCTTTCAGCTCTTGTCAGCTCCCAGCTGAGCGGCCTGCCCCTGCCTGTGCACACGTGCGCAGAACGGCGCGGCCGCGGCGCAGCAGAGCACTGCGGCGCAGCAGCAGCTGGCCGCGCGGCTTGGGGATCTTGATGAGCACACCATGGCCGCTGCGCTGCGTGCGCAGCTCAAGCAGTCGGGCACTTTTGACGAGGTGCGCAGCCCGGCTGCTGGGCCACGTCGTGGTTTCCATGCTTTTTGCTCTTGTCTTGGCATACTTTGTCGGCCCGTGAGGGGCCTTCCTGACCCGGGGCAGCCTGCTCGGAGCAGACCAAACGGCAGGCGCCGCCGGCTGCTCTTCAACATCCACAAGCTGCAGCGTCCGGCCCGGACCGTCCACCTCTCCCCCACACCACTCCCCTCGCGCGTATTGCCCGCAGGCGGACCCCACAGAGCTGCTGGCGCTGGAGGTCAGCCGCCGCACCGGCAACGGGGCCGCGCACCGCGCCGCCCGGGGCGGCGCCGGCGCCAATGGCGCCGTGCACGGCGCGCCTCTGGCCGCGGGCAGCAAGATCGCGGCGGCCGAGGCGGCGGTGTTCGAGGAAGGGAGCCTGCGCGTCGGCGCCGGGGAGGGCGCCAACCTGGAGGATATGCTAACGGCCTGACGACCCAGGCTCAGCTGGGCAGCACAAGGGCTTGAGCTGCGCAGTCTATGTATGCATCTCGCCTGTTGCTGCGGCTGGAGCCGCAGCTCTGCTGGCGCCTGCTGGGCAGGAGCGCCAAGTGCCAAGAACTTGAGATGAGAAGAGAAGAAGAGCCCGAGACTGATCCATTGAGCACTGTGCTGCTGGAATGCAGCGCCATTTTTCTCGCCATGCAACCTTCCATTGCCCGCTGCTGCACCACCAACACGCACTTGTGGCGGCAGCGGTTGCCGTGCGTGGCTTTGATTGTGCAGCGCCTGCTGCTCGTGCTTGCACCCATTCTTGCGACCGTTTCCAAGGTCCGATTTTGTGCCGCCATCCATTCATGTGTACCATTCATGTGTTCATTGTGTACCATGCATTTATCTTGCCCCTTGGTTGTTTTTGGAGATCTACCCCAGGCTCGAGGCTCCTGAGCCCTGCCAACACCTTCTTAGCACAATCATCGTTTGCCGGTCGTCGGCGCCACACCCTCACTGCCATCTGTGCTCTTCATCCATCACCAGCGTACCCTTTCAGAGACAGCGCCGCTGTTCCCTTTGTTGAGCCTGTTTCATGCTGCCCATGTAATGAACATGGGACGGACACCCACACATACTTGCCAAGCACTGTGCCTGTGCGATGTGCCTCAGCCAGCAGCTGCGCTGGCTGAAGTGGGTAAACAGGGGTTTGATAGCAGATCAGTCAATACACACCATGGGTTCGTTGACAATATGACAGGCAGACTGGTTGGCAGCGGGACCACCTGCGCTGGGCGCAATGGAGACAGCTGGCGCTGCGGGCACGGTGACGTCGTGCCCAAAATGGGGCCGGCCCGTCAATCAATCAAACAATCGTCATTCCATAATTCAAGAATGAGAAGAAGCTAGACTTGGAGGCAGAGCAGGGGACAAAATACAAGCATCGAAGGATCTGGCGGGTATGCGGCTGCCCCTGCGTGCCACCCGAGGCTGCGTACCAGCAGTGGCATCGCGGTCCAGCTCACAAACACACGCGGCTCCACAGCAGCGGAGCAGCTCCAGGCTCTGCAGCCTGGGGCCCTCATGCGAGGCGGCCGACCTTGCCGTTTTTTATGCGGTACGTGCCGGGCTCGGTGATGACATAATTGGAGGAGCCCGAGGAGCCGTACGGGTTGGGCTTGTCCCAGTCGCTGCCGCCGTTGTTGATCACAAACTCCATGCGCCGCCCTTGCTGCGGCAGGGGGACAGGGAGGGCACGCCAGGCAGCCAGGAGGTGAACACGAGGGGGCATGCATGGGCGTGCGTGTGGACATGTGCACACCAAAGCGCCGGCCCAAGCAGGCACGCGAGGGCTCCGTCAGCGCCAGCAGCACGCAAGCGACAGGTGGAGGCCTGAGCTCGAGAGTTTTGGGCGAGCAGGGCGTGGAAGGGGCGGGCGCGGTCCTCACCACTGTCAGCACTTTCTTGTCTGGGAACTGTTGGGTGCCATTCTGCATCTGGGTGCCGGGCACGGTGGTCCAGCCCGCGCCGTCTGCAAGAGGCAGGCGCGAGGCACGCCGCTTGCTGATGATGGCATGTGCGCTGGCCTGCATGGTGCCTGTGGGCCGCTGGCCGTGCGCCAACCTCCCCAGCCCTCTGCCTGGCTCCCAGCCAACCTCGTCAAGCGGTAACTGGCCTCCGGCGGCCTGCCTGCTGACGCAGTGCCCAACACCGCAAGCCCCAGGCAACCCCGACGTGCGCTCACCGACGTTGTGGTGCACATAGGCCGCGCCCCAGCCCGTCTCATACACAACGGTGATGGTGTCGCTGGTGGGAGCCGGCGTCGTCGTGGGCGGCGGTTGCTGCGCCACCTGCGGCGCCTGCGCGGTGCTGAAGTTGTAGGAAACCTCCGGCAAAGCGCCTGCCGCCGCGGCGGCCGCCGCGGCCGCCGCCTGCGTGCCGCCGGGCCCCAGCTGCTGCAGCTGCGCGGTCGCCTGGCTGGCCTCCGCCACCGCCTGCTCAAGCTTGCCCTCTGCAGCATGCCAGGCCAGCGAGTGCATCAGCGCAGGCCGGACACCAGACTTCACAGATAGTAGGCAAGCGGGGCAAGCCGGCCAGCAGGAAAGTTGATATACCATCGATGCTTAGCAGGCCGCCAGCAGGTGCATGGCATGGCCCCCCAGCTATCCAATGGGAACAAAGGAAACTGGCTGCCGCGCGCACCCAGCTCTGCAATCCGCAGCCGCGCGCCCTTGAGCTCCTCTAGCGCCCGCAACCGGCTCTTGTTCAGCTCGATGATGTTGTCCTGGGCCTGCGGTACAGGCGGTGCATGGCATGGTGCAGCGCAGTGTTGAGGACGCCAGGCTCAGGCTTGCCCAGCCAGCCAATCAGGGCACAGCATCTGCTCCGCAGCCGGCCTGTGGGTCACGCGGCCGGCAACTCCTCGCACACACCTCCCGAAAGATGCGGCGGGCCTCGGGGCTGAGGCTCTTGATGGCGCCATCAGACACCAGCGTGTCCTGCGTGTCCCTGCTGCTGGTGCTGTTGGCAGCGGTGTTGTTGCTGTCGCCCCGGCGGAAGAAGCCCACCGCCAGCACGGGGCCCCGCCGGCGCAGCGGCGGCTGGCGGCAGCACGGCGCTGGCTGGGAGGTCTGCACGCAGGCGCACGGCGCGAGGGGGCAAGCGCAGATGGGAGCAGGGCGGAGGGCCGGCTGCAGGTGAGAGGGTGCTGCCAGGGCGGGGCAAGGGCTGTGGGTAGTGGGGAGCCCATTGGTGCACCCACCAGCGGCTGCGATCTGCAGGGCGCTGCCGCTTGCACCCGCAGCCCTAGGGCGCAGGTCTGCTGGGCGCACTGCAGCATGGTGGCAGAGCTCTGGTTGGTGGGGTTCTGCCAGAAATGTCGCTGAAGCTTTGTTGCCCGGCAGTTTGTGGGGGCCAAGTGCACTGTTGCAGCTTGCCGGCAGCCAATTGGAGTGCCCTGGGCATGACAGTCGCGCTTCCTGGCCATTGAAGTCCAGTCACACCCACGCAGCAAACTTCCAGCGCGCTCGCACATTCCGCCTGTAGACTCCATGGCAGCCTGGAGACCACGTTGTGATCAGTGATCAGCTGCAGCCGCGCCGTGCGTAGCGGTGGTCTCGCTATCCCCAAGTGCCATTCTCCCGATAACCTTTCCCCCAGCCTGCCAGGACTCGAGCAGCGCGAGCGGCATGCAGCCTCGTGCATGGCAGTGCGCGCCCCACAAAGCTGTGGCGGGGCTAGGGCAGGGTGAGCCGCTGCTACGGCCGCCGTACCACCACGCCCGCTGCCCCTGCTTCCTTTGACCTGCTTTTTGTGACCTGGTTTGGCCTCAAACTGCTGCACATCTGATTATGCAGGTCCAACCCGGACGCAGCAGTGGCAAGCCCGCCGGGCAGCGCTGCTGCTCACCTGCTCTTCAGCCGCCTCCCACGATAGCAGGCTGGAGGCGCCGGGCCTGGGCGGCAGCAGCAGCAGCAGCAGCAGCAGCGCCAACGGCAGCAGCGCCAATGGCAGCAGCAGCCAGGGCAGGGCGGCAGCGCATCTTGGCGCCGCCGCGACGGCGCTCGCCTCGGGCGCCTGCCGGGTGCGTCCGGTCGAGAACGGCGACTATTGGGCGGTGGCCGACCTGCACTGCTCTGCTTTCTACCCGCGTGCCATGCCCTTCTGGTTCTCGGCCCTGAGGGTCGACCGAGTGATTGCGCTGCAGCTAGGTGCGGCGCCAGCCTGCCTGCGGGAAGCTGCCGCGGTGGCCACTCTGCCCTCTGCTGCGCCTGCGGACCTGCCTGCCTGCTAGTGTCATGGCTGCCTGCAGCAATGTGGGCTGCCGTCTGTCTGCTGCTGCGCTGGGCAGCCAAGCAAGGAGCTGGAAAGTTTGATGGCTGCACTCCTTGCTGCTGCAGGCAAGGAGCGGCAGGCCGACCTGGGCAACTTTCAGTGCCTGGTGGCAGAGGGCGCCGCTGACGGCAGCGAGGACGAGGCTGAGGAGGGCGGAGTGGTGGCAGCCGCCGCGCTGTCGGCGCCCGCCGCGCCCGCCGCGGGCTCTGCCGTGGCGGCCGCCGAGGCGGCGCGGCGGGCGGCGCCCAAGACGGCGACGGGGACGGGCGCAGGCGACCGAGTGGACCTGGGCCCCCTGGTGGACTTTGCCGTCCAGCTCTTCTTCCCCCCCTCCATGCGCCTCAACTATGCCGCCACGCACGAGGCCAGCAGCCTGCGGGGCGTGGTGGTGGTGGACAGCTGGGGAGAGCACGTGCCCCGCAAGCGCCGGGAGATGAACAACGGTACCGTCAGGTGCGGGCTGCTGCCAGGCCCGCCGGCCAGGCTGGGCCTGCCTGCCGGCCGGCTGCGGCCCGCGGGGAAGGCTCTGTGCTGTGCTGGCCGCTGCCTGCCTGCCGGTTGCGGCCTGCGGGATGGCTCTGTGCTGTGCTAGCCGCTGCTGGCGCCCTCCTTGCTGACTGCTCACCCACGGTCTCGCTGCTGCTGCAGGCAGGTGCGGCGCACCGCAATCGCTTACCTGTCAAACCTGGCGGTGGCGCCCAGCACACGCAGGGCCGGCATCGGCCGCAAGCTGCTTCACGAGGCAAGCCGCTCTGCGGCGCTGAGTGCCGCCAAGCCAGGGCCAGACGACCTGCCGTGCCCAGCTGTTGCTGCCCGAGAAACACAGACGCCGTGCCCCTCCTGCTGACTTTGGTGCCAGTGTCGCTTCTGCTGCTTCTCCTGCCCTGCAGGCGGAGCAGACAGCCATTGGCTGGGGCTGCCGCAGCATGGCGCTGCATGTCGACCCCAGCAACAACGCAGCCATGCAGGTGGCGGGCGGCCGCTGCCTGCGCCCCGCCGGGCCGTGCCCAACGCCCCTGCCCCATGCTCGTCCCAATGCTTATTGCTGCTGTTCCTGTCCATGCCCGTGCTCCCTAGGCTGGGGCGCTGGCTTTTGGCGACTCGTGGCTGACTCCTGCTCCTCCCTCCCTTCTTCCAACCCTGCTGTACCGCCAGATGTACCTGCGTGCTGGCTACCGCCGCGTCCTGGAGCAGCCCGCGTGGCAGCGCTGGCTGGAGGGGCGGCAGACGCCGCTGGTGCTGATGATGCGGGCCCTGCCGCGGCGGGCAGCCCAGGCGGCAGACGCCCCGGCAGGCGCAGAACAGCAGCAGCGGCAGGGTGCCGCCGCACCGCTGTGAGCTGGTGCCTGTATTGGCACCTCGTATTGTATTCTTTGTTGCTGTTCCTGGCCTGTCACCTTATGCGATGCTGCTTACAAAAAGACCAAGCCGGCTGGCGGCATGCTCGGAAGCGGCACGGATTGCTAGAGAGCGGCCCAGGGCGAGGCAAAGGCTCTCCCACAAACGCACGACAGCGAGACGAGGAACAGGGCGGTTCCGGGGGAAGCCCCTTCACAGCAATCAGGGGCAAAAGCCAATGTGGCGCAAAGGAAATGCAAGGGCGTGGTACAAAGAGAGCTGCAGGGACAACAAATGCGGTTCAAAGGCAAGGGGAACACACCAAAAAGAGGGAGGAAAGGGTATTGTATGCATACGAGTGTTATAATTTGCCAGGGGAAGCCATGTGGTGCGTTCTTCTCATTCTTAGCAAAGGAGATGGGCAAGCGCCAGTGCGCTGCCTCCAGTTGCCAGCAAGGGATGAATGAATGGCGAGGGGCGGCTGGGGCCGGCCCAAATCTGAGCGGCGGCTCCGTCCGGCCGCCCTTTCAGGAGTTAGTTGCTGCTGCTGCGGCGGCGGCGCCGTGTCCTTTGCTGCTGTTGCCGCTCTGGGGGCCTCCCAGCGACTGCCAAGGGCAGCCTCTTGGGCAGGGCGCCCTAGTTGCCCTCCTCAGGGAAGAGCTCCTCCAGGTCGACGCGGTGCAGCACAATGAGGTACCTGCGGCAGTACAATGCGGCACACACACATGCAGTACAGTCAGAGGGGCACCATGCAAGAAACTGCCTCCCCGGCCCAACCCATCACGGAGCTCCCGGGGCTGCTCAGCAGGAGCAGGAGCTGTGCAGCGGGTCCTGCCGCTGCCTACGCCAGGCGCCGCGACTCGCCTCTGGTGGGCGCGCACGTCGAATGTGAACCCCAGCTGCGCTCCGCGCACAAAGGGTGAGTCTGCGCCAAACACCAGCAGCTCGCCCTCCACCCACTTGGCGTTGGTGAAGCCCTGCGGGGAGAGGGGAGCGCGGAGTGGCGTAGCCTACCGTGAGCGCCAGAAGGAGTGGCCAGGCACAGCCAGAGTGCTGCCACAGTGGCAGGGTCGCCACCCAGCGCATGTGCGAGCAGCGGGGGCAGGGCAAGCGGGCAACAAGGCAGGAGCGAGGCCAGCGGAGAGACAGCGGCAAGATCCAACGGCGGGAAGCTCCACAGCGGCGGCAGCCCTCACCGTCTGCGCCACCTGCCCCTGCCCCTTGTAGCGCGCGGTCACCGCCATCTCGGGAGGGTACATCTCCGCTGCAGGGTGGCGGTACAAAGGGGCAGCACATCACGAGCAGCAATACAGCCAATGACCGAACATCGACCGGGACAGGGCACGAGGGCCGTTGAGGGAGCAGATGCTGTCGTGAGCTGGCGCTGCACTGCACAGAAACCTAACTCAGACGCAGGAGCCAGGCAGGCAGCAGACACGCCCCCCTCTGCACACCTGGCAGCCGGTTGCCGCGCCCAATCAGCGCCTTCCAGCTGACGGTGCCGGCGGGCACGTTGGGATCCCCCGTCAGCTTGGTGGCCACAGCCCACTCCCGCCCGCCCTCCACCTGCCGCGACACCTGCAGCAGCTCGGGGCCGTGGGGCCCAAAGGTGCCAACATACAGGCCTGCAGGGTGTGGGGCAGGGAGGGCATGGGAAGCAGAGAGTCAGGCATATCTGCATCGGGAGCCGGCGAGCAAATCCGCCACAGCGTGCAGAGCACAAGCCAGCCGCCCTGGCTGCCCTTGCGCGGCCGTGCGCCACGCCGCTGCACATCCCGCGGGACCATCCTGCCGCACCTGAGAAGGGGTCGGTCTTGACGCAGCTGCCCAGCGGCAGGCGCTCGTAGGTTGTGCGCCCCTCCAGCGCCGCCCAGCGCCCCGCCAGCGAGTTGCCCGAGGCGTCTGCCGCGCCGACACCCTGCGCAATCGCCAGCCCCAGGGCGCGCCGCGCTGCAAGCACAGCATGGCACAGCACAGCACAGTCAGCACAGCTGCAAGGCAACAGCCATGGGGGCACCGGGGGTGGACCAACAAGTGCAGCCCAGCATGGCGCGGGCTAGCAGCACGGGGCTGGTGCGCGGAAGGACTGGCATGCCGACAGGCCTGGGACGCGAAAGAGCCACCAGCGCCAGCAGCAGCAGCAGCGGCAGCGGCAGCAGCGGCTCCGCCCACCAATGTCGTTGATCCTGTCCTTGGAGGGCTTGCGCCCGGCCTCCAGCTCGCCCCGCACCGCCTCAATCTCCTCTGCTAGCGCCGCGCTGTCCTCTGCCACAGAGTGCTGCTGCTGCTGCTGCTGCTGGGAGGGGTGCGGCGGCTGCAGTCCGTCCTGCTGCTGCTGCTGCTGCTGCTGCTGCTGGGAGAACAGCACGCTGATGTCCTCGCTGTCGCTTTCCTCGGCCGTAATGGGGACGTCGTAGCTGCCGTCTGGCTGCCGCCGGCTGCCGCTGGCACTGCTGCTGCTGCTGCTGCCGGCCTGGGGCGGTGCCGCGCCGCCGTTCGGGCCCAGCCCTTGCTGCTCCTTGCCGTCGTAAATGATGCGCAGCGGGGGCCGCTTGAGCTGCACCTCCTCCTCCTTCCGCTGCTGCTGCTGCTGCGTCGCGGCCTGCTCGGTCTCGGCAGCCTCTCGCGCCCGCGCCACCGCCGGCGGCTCGCTCACAGTCACGACAAAGCGGTCGCGCCCCTGCCACTCAATCTGCGGGCGGCCGCAGGGCAGAGCAAAGGGCCGGTAAGCTTGTGGACAGCGCACGCCACTTGAGAAGCTGGCAGCCACCGGCGTGCCTCCCCGCCTGGCGCTACGCAGGGGTGCGCAGCGGCCAGCACGGCACCTCCGCATGCACGCTGCGCACACCTGGGCGGGCGCCCGCTGCAGTATGCAGCCCAGCTGGCTGGCGGAGCGCTCCAGCGACACAGCCCCCTCCTCGCCCTCCTCGCCGCCCCACCGCTGCTGCGCCTGCTGCTGCGCGTCCTCCGCTGCACAAGAGGCAGGCGGGCGGACAAGCCAGGGGCGTCAGTCGGCGGGGATGGATCCGATCCTGCGTCTGACTGAGTTCCGCAGGCTGACCAGACGGCACACGAGACCAGCAGACAGGGCGCCCTGCCTGATCTGCCAGGCCGCCGGCATCCGCACACCATAGAGCCAGCGCGGCGTGCAGCCCCTGCCCACCTTCGGAGTCTGAGAAGCCGCCATCCCCGCCCTGCAGCAGCGCCTCGGTCATCGCCGCCACCTCGTCCCGCAGGCTGCGCCTGCGCCCCGGCGCCCCCGCCTCGCCCCCCGCCGCCTCCGCCGCCTGCTGCTGCCAGCGCTGCAGCTGCCGCACCTCCTCCTCCTCCCCGCCCGCGCCGGCCGCGGACGCTGCTTCCGCGTCGTCGGCGCCCGCGCGGCTGCTGCCGCCGGCCAGGTGCATCCCCAGGTCTGCCGCGGTCATGCCCACGCTGGCCGCGAGGTCGTCAATGGTCCTAATGTCGAGATCATCCTCATCCTCACCCTCCGCCCTTGCCACCTCCCCGCCCGGCGGCAGCCCGCCCTCGTCGTCGCCGTCCTCGCCCCGGCTGGCAATCTCAATCTTCACAAAGCTGCTGCCGTCATCGTTGCGGCCCTTCTCTACAGACACAATCGAGTCGCCGCCGGCGTCTGCATATGGGAGGGGGGCGCACCAAGAAAGCCAGATCAACAAGAGTTCTTGGCAGAAAAGCATGGAGTCAAGGGCAGGTGGGCAGGCGGAGGGTCCACCGGGGGCGGGCAGAGGGGACAGGCAGGGGCGGGGAAGCAGGCGAACGAGCGGGGGTGGAGCGGCCCCGCAGCACTTGGTGGCATGCAGCAGGCATGGGGCCGCCGGCAGCTGGGCGCAGCACCAGCAGCCTTGTGGGCCAGCGGGCGGCCCACCTGTGCTGATGAGGTCCACCAGGGTGGAGGCCACCGCCTCCGCATCAGCCACCTCCTGCTGCTGCTCCGCCATGAGGGCGGCGTCGGGAGCGTACAGCGCCACAGCCTGCACCGCCACATCGGAAGGCGCGGCCGCGCGTCGGATCGCGCAGCGCGGCAAGCCCCTGCCAGCCGCCCGCGCCGCGGCGCGTTGCAGCCCCCGATGCGCGGCGCAGGCGCATGCGGCAAGCGGCGGCGGCGGCAGCGAGGAGCGCTGCCGGCCCACCTGCTGATCGTAGCCTCGGCCATCCACGCCGCGGCGCAGGAAGAGCTCCAGCACAGGCAGGCCCAGGTCGTCAGGCCTCAGTGGGGCGGCCGCCTCCTGCTGCGCCTCAGCAGACGAGGCATCCAGCAGCGCGGCCGCGGCGGCAGCCAGCCGCGCGTCGCCCAGCGGCGTGTTTTGCAGCGCCTGGCGGGCAGGGGGTGGCCGGCGCAGCGCAGGCGGTCGGCGGGGCAAAACAAAACAGGGAAGCACGAGGGCGAGGGCCGCCAGGACACACGGCCCATCGCAATGCCCAGCTCGTGCTCGTGCTGCCCCCGCTGCACTTTCCCCCTCCCTGCCAGCACCCAGGATCGGCGGGCATGCCGCCCCTCCCTCCCACACCGCGGCCGCCGCTCACCGGCAGCAGGTCTGTGACGTCGCGCGGGGTGTAGGCCGTGGCGACATACCGCCCAAAGTCGGTCGTCATGCGCAGCAGGTGGCCGGTGGGGTCGCCGTCGCCGCGCCCCACCCACCACCCTAGCAGGCCCACGCAGCACTCGTCCCGCAGCCGCGCCGCGTCTGCAGGCGATGAGCGCAGGAGGGGCGGCCGCGCGGGGCGGTTTAGCGCAGGCCCCCACGTGCAGCAGCGCCATCCCCAGAAACAATGCCGGGCAGGCGGCCGGGCCCCGGCAGCACCCCCCGGCAGCACCCGCTGCCCGCGTCGAGCCCCGCTGCCGCGCTGCCCCGCTGAGCACCTAGTACCCACCCCTGCCGCCGCGTCACCTCCCGTACCCACACCCACCCACACGCGCCACACGCCCAAGGCGCGCACGCACCCCGCCGGGGGCCCCACCGCTCACCCCCAAACCGCTCCTCCGCCACCGCCGCCTCCAGCGCGCCCAGCGCCTCGCCCACGCAGTCGCAGGCCTCCAGCTGGCGGCGCTGCGCGGCCAGCGCCGCCGCGGCGCGGTAATCCTCCGCCTCCACCGCCTCCGCCAGCTCGGTGTGGAGCGACTCGAGGTCGTGCACCTGTGGGGAGGGTGGGCGGGCGGGCAGGGGCGGGCGGTGAGGCGGGGCCAGGCAGGCAGGTAGGCAGGGAAACGAGGCGAGGCGAGGCGGGCGGCGGCGCGGCCTTGGTGCTGCCGCATGCATTCGCAGCAGCATTCAGACGGGCGCCGGCAAAAAAGAACACTGCCATGGGAGCGCCCCACAATCAACCGGGGCAGCGGCGAAACACCAGCCAGGCGGCCGCCAGCAAGGCGGCGCGCCAGCAAGGCAGCGCAGCGCGCGATCGAGGCGCGACCACAAGCAGGTCTCACCACGTCGTCCATTGCATAGAAGTAGCGCATCCAGTCCTCCCAGCTCCCCGGCTCCGGCTCCGCCTGCGGCGCGCTGGCGCCCGGCGCGAGCGAGGAGTGGTGCGCCGCGGCGTGCGGTGCGCCGGCGCTGGCCCTGTCGGCTGTAAACGGCGCCTGTTGGCCCAGCATCGCGCGCTGCAGCCGCTCCTGCTCAGCCGCCTTCTCAAGGCTGCTCAGGCGGCGGCTGGAGGGCGGCTGGGAGCCGCCCGTGGCGCCGCCCTCGGGCGCAGCGGCGCACCGCACGGCGGCGCGGCCGCCTGGCAGGCGGCGCAGGACGCGGCTGCATGTGGGGCTGGCAGGACCCAGGCGGCAGGCGGCGCCGGGCTGGCGCACAGCAAGCGGCTGGCAGCGCAGCATGGCGCCGGAGTGGCCGGAAGGCGAGCGGCGGCGGAGCCCGTCTGCGCCCAGGGGTGTGGCGCGGAGCGAGTCAGGGGCGCTGCTGGATCGACCCAAGATACGTGCAGGAGGCCTGGCAAGGCGGCAGGCAGCAGAAAGAGGGTCCAGAGCCGCTGGCAGAGCGCAGGGAGCAACCCTGCCGCGCACAGCGGGCCAGCACAAGGGCATGACCCTCCACACTGGCGTTGCGGGCATCCACCAGCCTCTCACGCACCTGGGAGCTCGTTTTTGCGGCCCGGCCCGGAAGTTTGGGCTGCACAGCAGAGTTGGGGGGTGTGGAGGATGGAGGAAATCCTGGCACCGGAATGGGGAACGGATGGGATGGGAGCCAGAAGTCTCTCCACCCTTCGACCCCAGGACCACGTGGCGGTGTGCAGAATTTCCACAAGAGGCCGCCTGCAGCCCGCACGCGCATCCTTCTGGTTCTAATAAGTGATGAGTAGTCCAATCAGCCGCCTGGCTGACGGCGAAGATGCTCCAAATACCTTGTTAACGATATCTTCGCTTGTGAACACCACTCTGACCCCAGAACCCTCCCACCCGCTCCCTGCACACACCTCCGTTGCCCACACGGCCCCACACGCCTGCATCGCCCTGCCATGGTGGCATCCCCCCCTGCATGCACAGCCTCCACAGCCCTTCGCCCTGCCCAACCTTTCTGGAGCCCGGGGGAGCACGCATGCTGCCTCGCCGGCCCATAGCCCACCTCCCGTCGCCCGCCCACTGCCCCTCCCACACCACCCGCCCGCCTGCCCCGCCCGCCGCTGCCGGAATGACCCCAGGGGGTCCTGGGCGCGGACTTCAAATCCGTGGAGGCTCAACGGCCTAGAGGTTCAACTCCTCCTTACCGGCGTGCCCAGCCAGGCACTGCACTCCCGCCTGCCGCGTGCACCACTCTGCCACCTGCACGCCAAGTGCATCACCTGCCGCCACCCCCGGGTGTTTTTCAACACCACCCCTCACCGGAATCGCCTCGATGACTCCAGCCAGTCGGTCAAACACAGCCTGACATGTTAAACTTGGTGGCAGCCTTGCGCCTTGAACCTCACGTGAACAGCTTTGCGTGCTTGGTCAGCGCATGCACGTTCAATCATTTGTGAAAGCGCTGGTGGCCAGAAGGCAGGCAGACAAAAGGGTGTGTGCCGCATCCCTGGACCCAATCGGTCCAGCTGCGCGCTGCTGTGCTCCTTTCCTCCCTGCCTGTACGCCCACCAGGCACCTTCACTGCTCTTGCCTGCCTCGAAGTTTATCACAAGCACCCACACCATGGTGGTGAGGTCTCAGGCAGGGGCAACTCTGCGCAGCCTGCTGGCCGCTGCCACCAGCAGCGCGGCCAGCACCCCCAGGTGGCTCAGCCAGGCGGCCAAGGTTGCAGGCGACGGCCCTGGCGGCAGCAGCGCCACCCAGGGCGTGGGCACCAAGGCTGGGAGTCCGCCACAGCGGGAGGTGGACCCCCAAACGGGCCTGCCGCTGTCGGCGCCGCCGCCACGCACGTTCCGGGACACAATTGAGGAGGTGACCATGTGAGCTCCAGAGGAGGCTGTGTGAGGAGCCCTCTGCGCCCCCGTGGAGCATCAGCGGCGCAGCAAGGCCGCCTGTGCGCGTATCAGGGGAATAGGCAGGGAGGCCGTTGCTGAGGGTCTGCCGGCAACCAATGTTCCAGACAGCGGCGTTTTATCCCCAAATTCTTCCAAACCCATGCCCACCCACCCGTTGAATGCGTGCCGCTCAGTGCAACCATCCCTTGCTATTGCAGCTACCAGCTTGAAGAGCTGCTGGCGGCCGGCAGCGGCGCGGCGGCCGACCCCGATGTGCGGCGGGCGGCAGAGGAGGCGCTCGAGGCGATTGCCGTGTGCGAGTCGCGCAGCCAGGTGCGGCGCCGCTGCGGGTGCACTCTGCTGGGAAGAGCGCTGTGTTGCTGCTGGCGGGGACAGTCCTGATGCTGCACAAGCCTTGGCGCTCAGGCCGTCCATGGGATGCAAGGCACTCGGCGTCCTGCTGCTCCCCCTGCCTGGCAGGAGCTGGATGCTGCGGGGCAGTGGGAGAGCCTGCTGTCCAGCGCAGGCATGATCAACAGCGCACGCGACTACGGCGTGGTGGAGGGAGCGCCAGAGGCGGCACCAAGGGCTGGCAGCGGCGGGGGCGGCCGCAGGAGGCCGTCAGAGCCGGCATGAAAAGCGCACGGCAGCAGCTGCTAGTGAACTCGCCAGGTTGAGGCTGCTGGACCACCATGCGCATGCGTCTCTGCGGCCCAGTGCGTCACGCTCATAGCTTTCATGAAGTCTACACCTACGCTGCCTGCAGGGCCGGCTCCGACGTCGTCGCCACCAGCATCGTGATGGTAGCAGGGGCTGCAGCGGGAGTTCAAGACTGCATTGAGTGCAGCCAAGCAGGCACAACCTCAAGATTGGCATAGATGCGAGATGCCCGTCCAGGCTTGTCGCACTACTGCCATGATCACCAGTTCTCTGTTGTTGTGTCGTGCCCGCTTGCAATAATGTGTGTGCAGGGCGATGCTTTGCTAGGTTACATCTTGATCAAGAAACCCGTTGCAAGTTGTATAGCGAACTGTCAACAGGCGGGAGCGAGACTGTCAGAGTCTAGGCAGTGCTGCTGGGGGTAACATGTTGGGAGCGGGCCATCTTGAGGCTCTGGCCTCACGCTGGCAGGGCCTTCTGACACATCAGCGCGCACACAGCCAACGCAGCTCACACATTGCAGTCCTAACCACCCCCGCACAGCATCCCAGCGCCCTCCTCCTCCGCCTGCTGCTGTGCAAGCAGGTGCAAAAAGTCTCGGCGCAGGTCTGTGTCCTCAAACAGGGCCGCCACCAGGTGGCACACCTCTTCCGCGCTGCAGGGGCAGGGCGGGGTAAACGGCAGCGTGAGGCAATGAACAGGCGAGGCAGTTGAGGGCGGCCGGTTTCCGTGTGGGAGCACAGTGGGGGTCCTCACAACATGCGAGGCGGGGGCGGTGGGAGGTCAGCGGGCACCCCTGCCCTCCCATGCCCCACGCACGCCACACCCACCTGAACCCCAGCGCCTGCAGGCGCCCCTCCTGCCAGCGCCGCCGGATCTCCACCATCCTGATGTCCAGCAGCTCACACAGTTCCTGCGGTACAGCGGCAGTACAGCAGCAGTGCGCAACCAGCGAAAGAGCGGCACAGCACGGCAGCGGCTGTGCCGGGCCAGGGCCGCGTGGTGTGCACCCTTCACGCTGTGGCCTTTCCATACACCTCCCTCACCCTCAGCTTCATCACCGCCGGCGTGCGCTCCTCCAGGGCGGCAGCCAGCTCCTCGTGGGCCACCCCTCCCACCACCGCGTGGCCGTCGGGCGGCGGCGGCGGGAGCACTGCGTCGCGCACGCCGGCCGTCAGCGGCTCCAGAATGGCCGGGATCTGTTCCGACTCGTCAACCGAGATGTCTGGCAGTGACATGATGTCCTCTGCAAGCGGCGCGACGGCGGCAGGGAGGGAGGATGAGCCAGCAGGAAAACTGGAAAGGCAGGCAGGCAAGGGGGGAAGGGAGACCAGCACACACGACACGCAGGCAGGCAGGCAGGCAGGCAGGTGGGGAGGGGGAGTTGGGAGCCACGGCTGAAGAAGCATAGCTGATGGCGCACACGCTTGCCGGGCCGCCACCCCACTGACCAAGCCGCGCCCCATGCCCCACCTGTGATCTGCCCACACACGCTCTGAATCAGCTGGGCCGCAACCTCCACCAGCACCCCCGGCGCCAGCACGCCGCGCAGCACACCGCCCAGGCGGCGGAAGGCATGCAGCAGCTGCTGCACTCCCTTGCGGCACCTGCGGAGGCTCGCAGGCAGGGAGGGCGGATGTACACGCAAGGAGGCGGGCAGGGTGAGTACAGCGAGCCCCACACCAGACCCACGCAGCTCCCACTCTGTGGCACGGGTTGCTGTTTGTGCACGGGCACACTTCCACACTATGTTGGTTCCTGCACAGCACACAATGGTCCGGCACAACGGTGCCATGCTTCCCGGCGCACAGCTTGCCTGATCCCCGCCTTGCCGTCGGCATCCAACCCGGCAAACCGATGCATCTCCTCCACCACACCCAGCAGCTCCGCTTCTTGTGCCGCAACCTGCGGGCCAGGCCAGGGCAGGGACAGGCAGGCAGAGCCATTCGACGAGTCGGCGGCAATGGGCACACCCTGCAGCCCATCCCATCCCCCACCACACACACGCACACACAACACACATGCATGCCCAGCCAGGCAGGCGCACCATGGCTTGAAGGGTGTCCTGGCCCGCGTGCCGCACGCGCGTGGCCGGGTTCACAAAGTTGAGGTTGCGGTGCACCAGCTGCTGCAGGCGCGGCGCAAACTGGTAGGGCAGGTTGCACAGGGCCTGCGGGGCGGGAAGGGCACACAGGGCACGGTCAGGGCAAGGTGCCAGCAGGGCGGGCAAGCAAGCCCAGTGCAGCGTCGCAGGCACGCCGCCTCAGCGCAGTGGCCGCCCCAACTGGCCTGGTACACATAGTGGCAGTCGTTGTGCCGCAGCGAGGCTGGGTACGGCAGCAGCAGCTGCTGCTGATGGTCTGCCGCCGCCGCCGCCGCCTGCTGCTCCACAGCCGGGTGCGGGGGCAGTCCTCCCCCTCCGCCTGGCCCCGCTGCTGCTGCTGGCGGCGGCAACGCGACCACCATTGCCGCCACATCGACCACCGCCCCACACATCGCTTGCGCCAGGGCTGTGTTGCCTGTGGCAGGGTCAGGGGTTGGGTGTAAGTCGATGCCTGAGTGAGACCATTGCACTGGAGCAGCTCTTCACCGCATGATAGCAAACAGTTGGGATGCCAGTAGCGGCAGCAAGCTCCGCACCCGAGCGCACAGCCTCGGTCAGAGCCTCACGCATCAGGTTGACCGCTCCCTGCGCCGCCTTGCTGCAGGGCGGATCCAACCACGGAGCAGGGCATGCGCTGAGTGAAGCAGCACAAATCCACAAGTGATGTGAAGCTTGCTGTGGCGATGCTGAGATGCCAGGCCACACTAGGCTGTACTTTCTTGCGCAAAGTCAGCAGACCAACGCAGCAGCAACCAGCTGGGCCGCAGTTCCCCCACCTGACTGCATACTCCCCACACGCCAGCAGCGACTCCTCCTCCTCCAACCCGCCGCCGCTGACAGCTCCCAGGTGCGGCGGCGGCTGCTGGGCGCCAAACAGCGACCGGCTGGCGCCCTTGGGCGTGCCGGCAGACGTGACGCGGCGCGGCACGCCCACGGTGACTGCATCCTGGGCTGCCGGCGACAGCAACAGGTCGCGAGCAGTTGCGATGAACCTGCTATGAGCGCGGCGTGGAGCAGCAGCAAGCACATGGTGGCGGCGGCTTCAGCAGAACGGCGGCCAGAGCGGCAGGCAAGGCTGCTGGCAACTCGGAACAACAGCAGACAGATAGCTCGGCGTGTGCTTGACGCGGCCCCTTTGCCATACCGCCTGTCGCACCTGTTTCGCCGCAGGTTTAAGAACCTGTTCAGCGTGTGCTTGATGTAGCGACTGATGGGGCCCTCCTTGTCGGCTGCAGGCAACCCAGGAAGAAAGGCATGCACATGGTGAGGGGCAAGGGAGGGCAAGACCACAGGGGAGCCAGCGTGCGGGCAGGGTGAAGGCTGTGCTGGGTCTTCTGTGGAGCACGAGACGAGCTGCCCAAGCCATGCCGTCCACCCTGTCGCTGACCTGGCAGCAGGTGCAGCTTGACTGCCTTCTGCTCCAGCTTTCCCCCCAGAGCCGACTTGCGGCTGTAGAGCTCCACCTGCACCCATGAGTAGCACAAACCGCTCTGCCTCACAGCTAGCTCTGGGCATGCGTGAGCTTGTTCTGAGATATCGCCGGCAGCTCCCCAAGCAGCTACCCCAGTACGGCCTCACCTCTGCATCGCTCTGCGGCTGGATGGGCTTGAGCTTCTGCGTGATGTAGGCGGCCGCCAGCTGCGGCCACAGCACCGTGCCCAGCTGCTCGATGTGCTCTTCCTGCCCGCACATCACCTACAATAGAGGACTCATCCCAGCCGGCAGGCAGAAAAACAGAGTCGGGAGCGTGGACCAGCACACTGCAAGGCAGCCAAGCTTGCCAGCGAAACACGGACAGCACACAGCCTGGGCCGGCACAAACCAGCCCCTGTGCAGCCCACCTGCCCCGCACCACACCTGCTCCGCCAGCCCCCGTAGCGCCTTGTAGAGCAGCCGCTCCACGCTGTTGCCGCCGCTGCGGCCCACAGTGGTGGCGCGGCTCAGGTTGCTGCTGGCCACGCTGCCCGCGGGGCTGTCGGTGATCAGGCTGGGGTCGTGCTCTGCGGCAGCGGCAGGCCAGGGCAAGGTGTACGTGCACGCTGGCCGGAAGGCAGCAGGAGCTGCCTGGTGTCTGGCACAGTGTGTGCAAGCAGGCAGGCAGGCAAACCAGGCTAAAAGCTCAAACCAGGCTACAAGCTGTACAGCTAGCTATAGCAAGGCAGGTAGCCAGCCCTTGCCCACCTGAGGCGAGGATGGGCAGCACCGAGTGCTCTATGAAATATGCCGCCAGCTGCTGCAGCGCCTGCGGCAGCAGCCCAAACACCTCGAGCGCCTTCCAAATCTCCGCCAGCACGGCCGCGGTGGCCGCGGTGGCCGCTGCGCTGCCGGTGCTGGCGCCGCTGGCAGCCGGCCGCGGTTGTCCCTGGTCGCCGGCGCCTGGCCCTGCCGCCGAGGGGATCAGCACGGGCATGCGGCTGCCAGGGTCAACAGCGCAGCAACCGTACACGCCCTTCAGCAGCTGCTGTTGCAGCGGCCCCACCCGCGCCTCCACCGCCGCCGCCGTCTCCTCGCTGCCGGAAACCGCCTGCACCGCCTTTTGCAGCTCCAGCGCAACCCAGGCGGCTTCCGAGTAGCTGCCGGAAGCCACGGCCGCGTCAAAGTCTGCCAGCCGCTGGTGCAGCTCAGCCGCGACGCGGACCGAGGCCGCCGCCGCCACCGTCTCCTGCATCGCCGCCACCACCGCGGCGTGCTGCGCCGCCAGGTGCGCCAGGTGCGCAACTGAGGGGTCCTCTGCCGCCAGCACAGCGTGCGCCTCGCCCTGCAGCTGCGCCAGCGCCGAGCTGAAGGCCGCATCCGCCACGAGCGCGGCGGCTTCCAGCCGGCGTGCGGCGCCGGCTGCCTCCCCTTCTCCCTCCCCTCCCCCATCTGCCTCGGGAGCCATGCGCTCTGCCACAGTGGCATACAGCGTCAGCAGCACCTGCGGCAGCCGCGAATGGCGAGCGATAGTGTGTGTCGGTGCCACATGCCCTGGCAAGAGGCCAGGCAAAGTGGCAACAGGGGCGCGGCGTGGCAGCGTGGCGTGTTACCTCCTCCCGCCGGACATGCACTTTGTCCAGGTACTCCTGGAGCGCCGATGACGTAAGGCCCTGCGAGCAGGCAGAGCAACGGCGCGTGCAGCCTCGGGACCCTGCACTTGCCGCATTTGGCGGGGCGGCGGGCGGGCGGCGGCGGCAACCCTGCGAGTCTAGCCTGTCGGCCGCCGCTGCCTGCTGCGAGGTTCAATCTCCTCATGCTGCTGCTCCGGCTGCTGCTGTCCTCGCTGCTCCTGTCAACAGCGGATCATCGAAGCCGAGCCTACCTCTGCGGCATCGCCCTCTGTGACACCCAGCAGGCGTTCTAGCACGTTGTCCACTGCACCCATCCCAGTTTGCTCTCACAAGAACCAAGGTGATCGCCACTTCAGCAGGAGCGCTGCGCCCTCTGCCATATTAGCGTGAGGATTAGGGCATCACCGTCCACGCTGACCAGTGAACGCGCTCTTGCTGGTGGGCAGCACAGCGCGCTCAGCAGTGGCGTGCGGCCATGCGCAGTGCTGCGGCGGTGCCGTCATGGCAAGTTGGCATTGACAACACAGTCATGCATCTGCATCGAACCGTGCCAGTTAAATCCGCATGGTGCGACATCTTTAGAGTGATGGATCGGCGCAGCCTGCTTAGAGTGTCGCTGCGCAAACGCACACCGCACGTGGCGTCTGCGGCAAACCGCTGCAAGGACGGCGGCCGATTTGAAATGAGATGCAGAGATGGTGGTGTTTTCAACTGTTGCGCCTGCATGGCCCTGATGTCAAGTTTTGTGTCTTGCATTTGGTCTGCGGGCGTGAGTCACGGTCACGTGCGGGCTCCTGCGGGTGGCGGGAGGTGGCGGGAGGAAAGGACAAGCCGAATTGGCTTTGGCATCGCAGTGTTTCTGCAATCGGGACTTGGTGCAGCCATCTGGGCTGTTTACAGAGCCCTGCAGACGACGTAGGGGGCTGATGGGCGACCGATGGGATGGGCAGCGCAGCCCAAGCAAGTCCAGGAGCAGGGAGCGGCAAAGAGGAGACCGGGGAGGCGAGCGCTCGCCACGGGATAGGCGGCGCCCCAGCCGCAGCCCCGAGGAGCGCCGCCGGCAGAGCCGGGAGCGGCGGCGGCGGTCACGGAGCAGGAGCCGCAGCAGGAGTAGGGGGCGCTATGGAAGAGGTGCGGGGATCCATAGAAGCGATAGGAAGTTGGGTGGTGGAACCTGGGGATGCTTTTGCCACAAGTTGTCCTTCTGTGTAGCAGAGCTATTCAGCAGACAGTCTGCCGAGCAGCACAGAGCACCCTGCCATGCCCGTTGCTGCTATCAACCTGCAGACTCACGGAGGGAGCGGTCGCCGGCGCCACGGCGCAACCGCTCCCCTCCCAGCCGCGGGCATGGCAGCCGGTCGCCGCCAGGGCGGGGCGGGTATGGCGGCCGGCGGGGTGCCAGCCGGTCGCCGCCACCGCGGGAGCAGCAGCGCAACCGCTGGGAGCCCCCACGGCCAGACATGCACCCGCCGCCGCGAATGCCAGTGTCAGGTGCAGTTAAGACAGAGGCATCCAGGCACTGCCGCAGGCCTCTGCCGCAGTCATCAACGGGGCTCGCGCCTGGCCGCTCTTCCAGATGGCTGCGCTTTGGCTGGCGCTTCGGAGCTGCTGTGCTGCCTGCAAACGGACCACACTACACGCCGCCGCCCACACCAGCCGCACCCCACACTGTCACCACCTGCCCACCTGCCTGCAGACGTGCCCCCCGAGGTGGGCACCATCCACCACGCCCGTGTCGTGTCGGTGCGCCCCTTTGGCGCCTTTGTGGAGCTGCCCGGCTACCGCAAGCAGGCGCTGATACACCACACCCAGGTGGGGGTGGGCGGGTGGGCTGGACAGGCCTCTGCCGCACCCGCACTTTGCCGGCGTCCCTGCCGCTGCCGGTGCATGCTCAAACGTTTGAATCAGCGTGGGCTGATCTGGTGGTCTCGATTGGTTCCACAGACGAGAACCGTCGCCCCGGGTGCCTCCTGCTGCCTCCTGTAATGCTGGATCCTGACGCTGCCTGCTGCCACCGCTGCCCTGCGTGCCAGGTGTCGGATGAGATCCAGTTTGGGAGGGAGGAGGACGACGAGATGAAGGTCAAGGGTGCGAGAGGGAGCTGCTGCACCATTTCTAGGAGGGAGGGCGAGATATGCATGTGCCGGGGGTGGTCTGCTTGAATGAGTGGCAGCTAGTGTGAACCCCTGTCACACACCCTCAAGCCTCGCACTCTGCAACCCCCAACCTGACCATGGGATCTGTTCGCCCTCCCCGCCCCCCACCTGGCCCGCGCCTGTAGCCATGGAGTTCTTCCTGCCCCGCGGCGAGCAGGGGTGGTTGAAGGTTCTGGAGGTGCGGCAGGAGGGCCCCGGCCCGCAGGGCATCAAGCTGGCGGCCAGCATGCGAGCGGTGAGCCAGGAGGATGGGCGGGACCTGGATCCAGACAATGCGCTGGCAATGGCGGGTGAGCTGTGGGGGTGCCACAAGGCAGCACGCCCGGGGGAGCTGGACCTTGAGGCTTGGGCGAGTTGCTGCCTGCCGGCAGCAGCTGCCATGGCAGATGCAGCGGGGGCCAGTCGGAGTGCTAGTTGCATGCTGTGCTGTGCCGTGCTGTGCCGTGCTGCGATGTGCGTCGTGCGCGATGCCGTGCAGGCCGCGGCGGCCCCGGCGGCGGCGGCGGTCCCCACGGTGGCGGCGGGCGGGACAGCGACGAGCCGCCTGAGCTGTACTCCATCCACCGGGCAGGCAAGCTAGCGTACTGTGCACTGCTGCTGCTGCTGCTGTGGCTAGCTGCGAGTAGTGGTTGTCACCTTCCGCGCCTGCCTGCCGCTCTCTCTCCTGCCTGCAGCGGTGCAGCAGGTGCGGCCGTTTGGCGTGTTTGTGAAGCTGGATGGCTATCGGAAGTATGGGCTGGTCCACTTCAGCCAGGTGGGCGGCCTGCCTGGCTGTGTCGCTGCCCGTTGCCGGCCTTGCCCACATGCCTGGCCCGCCTGCCGGCCCCACATGTGCGACTCGCCGCCCCGGGGCCCCGTGTGTTCCATCCGCCGGTGCCCACAGATCAGCGACCACCTGAGCTTTTCTCGGGAGGACCCGGATGATGTCAAGGTGAAGGAGATTGGAGACATCCTGTCGATTGGGGACCCAGGTAGGGATGGGGGCGGGTTTTGAGCGTTTGTCTGTACATGTATGGGACATGGCAGCTGAGGCACGCCTGCGCTCGGGGTGCAGTGAGGTGGAGAGGACGTGGCACTGGCTGCTGGCTGGCCGGGTGCTGGTGAGTAGCGTGGCTCGTGCTGCGCGCCGACGGCTCGCTCGTGCCTGCTGGCGGGCTGTCCCCTCCCCGTGCCCGCAGTGTTTGTCAAAGTGGTCGACATCACAGCAGACGAGCGCGGCCCCAAGGTGGGTGCCTCTGCCAGCCATCAGGGGCGTGCCCGACCTCAGCCCGCTGGCATGTCTGCTTACGCCGCGTGCGCTGGGCACCCACCACCCGACCTGCCCTCCCCCCCCTGCTCCTGCGCCTGCCCCTTCCCCTGCTCTGTCCCGCAGATCGGGTGCAGCATCAAGCATGTGAGCCAGAGCGACGGTACCGACCTGGACCCCTCCAATACCAAGTACCGCCCACGTGGCGAGGGCGGCGGCTTCCAGGTGCGTGGCCCGTGGCCCCTGCACTGCCTGCATTTGTTTCGTCTTGCCCATGCCCGGCAGCCACGAAGCGGCACATCTGGTGGCGCAAACGCGCGTGACCCCAACCCTTGCCAACCCACTGCCTCCCCTGCCACCGTGGATTTGCTGCTTCAGGGCCAGCAGCCAATTGGCGCAAAAGCTGGCACGGCGCACGACGGGGCGGTGGAGTGGGGCTACCTCAAGGCCGATGTGGTGCAGTACGGTGCCGGAGGACAGCAGTACGACATCCTAGCTGGCGACTCTGGAGACGAGCGGGGCGGCGGCCCGTCGGGCCCCGGGGGCCGCGCCCTGCCGCCGCAGCGCCCGCCACCCCCCGGCATGGCCTCGGGCGCCAACATGGCTCCGCTGCCTCCCAGGTTAGTGCCGCTGCCCCTGCTGCCGGTATGGGTTGGTGGTGTCGGTCGGGGCTGGCACTGGGTTGCAGCAGCGTCTGGCATACAAGCCAAGAGGGAAAAAGGAGCAAACATGGTAGTGAAATAGGGACTGGGTATGTACCTCTGGTATTGAGAGGCCCGTACAACAAAATTGATCAGCGAATGGCTTGAACCATGCAGGCCAGACCGGCCGGTGTGGCTGAGTTTGCCGCGCCTAGCGGCCAGCCCGCTCCTGCTGCCGCCGCTGCTTGGCGGCCAGGTTGGCAAGCAGCCGCTGCGCCAGCTTGCACCGCGGCGCCCCGTCTCCAGGCTCCAGCTGCTGCTGCTGCTGCTGCTGCTGCTTATGCTTGGCGTCCTTTGGCCGCCGCTTGCTGCGGGCGCCCTTCGCGCCGACGCTGCGCAGCCCAGGTTGCTGCGGCGGCTGCGGCGGCGGCGGCGGCAGCGCCGGCGCCTGCGACTGGCCTGCTGCCGCGCCTGCTGCCGCGCCTGCTGCCGCACCCTGTCCCTGCTGGTCTCCGCTGTACAGCTGGTACAGCTGGCCGGGCTGCAGGTACCAGCCAAACACGCTGTACCGCGGCCGGTCGGTGCGCAGCGGCGTCACGCAGTGCCAGCGCGGCACCCTGAAGAACACTGCACAGTTGAACTGCGGCACGTAGGCGCGCCCCTGCTGCTGCCCCTGCTGCTGCCGGCCCGCGTCGCTGCCGCTGCCGCTACTGCACATGGCGGCAGCCGCGTCGCCGGGCCCTCCTCCTGCTGGTGCTGCTCCGTGGGCCGGCGGCGCCTCCAGGTCCACCAGGGCGCCCCCCATGCTTTCCTCCCAGTCCTTGGTGAGGTAGTAGACGCAGGTGACGTCGCGTGAGCACGTGAGCACCTCGCCTGAACGAGAACAACAAGCAGCGGGGAGGGGAGTGGGCTGCCTGCGCTTCAGGAGCTCATGGGAAAGAGCTGCTTGGTGCCAAAAGCGGGGGCGGCAGCCATTGCGACACCCTTTCCCTACACCCACCCGAGTCGAGCATGACTGGTGTGTAGGCGCGGTCGTCGTGCAGCGCGATGTGGTGGCCCCGCTCGTACCGCGCCACGCTAAAGGCGTTGAACTGGTCGGGGAGCAGCAGGGAAAAGGCGCGCAGCAGCGCCTCGAGCGCCGCGCTGGGGCTCCCGCCGCCGCTGCTGGGCGCTGGCGCGCCCCCTTTGATGCTCCAGAAGCGGTGTGCGATGTTGTTGTGCTGCGGCGCAGGCAGCAGGGAGAAAATGGCAGTGCTTGAGGGGCTGCATGCATACGCCTTGTTGCCGCCGGTGCTGGCGAGGCGGCGGCGAGGCGCCCAGCACCTCACCCACCGTGTAGTCCTCCTCGGCCGCCGTGTCGTTCCAGCGGCCGGCAGGCATGTCTTCCAGAATGCGCAGGGCGCCCTCAGCCACAAACTCGGGCAGGAAGTTCGGCACGAGGGCAATGCCGCCGCCCTGCTCGATGAGGCTCAGGATGTCATATCGAGACATCCACTTGCTAACTTTGGGATGCGAGTCTAGCCATCCCAGCGCCCTGGTGGTCCCAGCCGCACGGGGTTTCTTGGCAGGGGGCTGCATGCTGCCGCCATGCACGCTCCCAGCAGCTGGGCGGGTTGGGAATCAGAGCAGCTGTGCTCAATTGGGGTTTCATTCTGGGTTTGGGGCCGCCGCCCACCCGCCGCCAGCGGTGCAGAGCACCCTCAGCGTGACGCACTACACCTTCTTCTACTCCCCATTGTGCAGGGGCCGAGGCAGCGGAGCCGTGCTGCCAGCCTGGATGACCGGCGGCGGCGGCGCGCCTGGCAGCGGCGGAGGAGGCGGGCCGCCGGCAGTGCCGCCGCCGGGCGATGCAGGCGGGGCGCAGGTCACCTCCACTGCGCAGGCCCTGGCCATCCTGGAGGCAGCGGCCAGGGTGAGGCTGCATGCTGCATTTTTTGCAGCCTGCCCTTTGCACTGTGCTTGTACCTCGGTCAGCACCCATCACGCAAGGCTCACCTGCTTTCTGCGCAACTGGGCTCAGGCCAAGCGCGACAAGCGGAAGAAGCACAAGAAGGAGAAGAAGGGGAAGAAGGAGAAGCGAAGCAAGAAGGAGAAACATAGCAAGCACAAGAAGGAGAGGCGCAGCAGGCACGGGAGCAGCGGCAGCGAGAGCAGCAGCGGCAGCGGTGACAGCGATTGAGGCCAGCCATGCCATCGCCTGCAGCCGGTACGCCTGTTTCCATAACCGATGCTTGATACAATTGACTGGTGGTACCTTTGCGCATGGGAACCTGACTTCCCATCCGGCCAACTGGAAGAGGCTCTGGGAGGCTGGCACCAATGCTCTGTGGAGCCTTGCCAGCTGCAGTGCTGCTGCTCTGATTGGCCCCACACCCCCTTCTCTTCCAGAGGCTGGGCTGGTGGGATGGAGGTCATGAAGACTTTGCCCGCGGCGCCCCGCCCCCCCCTGTGCCGCGCTGGCGGCCATCTGCCTTTTCAAGGCATGCCTCAATCCGATGCCTTGTTTCTCAGCGCCTCGTTTGTACACTGCCCACGGCTGCGGAGGGCTGCCCGATAGGTTGCGCGGTGTCGTGTGGTTTTGACCATCCAACTTGAAGCTCCGGTGCGCGGCGCATCTGCCCCGATAGCCACCGCTGTGGTGCCGCAGACCCAGGGAGATGCTGCCGGAAGCCTGCCGATAAGCGCGGGGCGCGTTCCTGGGCGCGAAAGACCCAACCACCTCTGCCGCTTCCGCCCCTTCCGCCCCTTCCGCCCCGCCAGGCAGGGATCGAGGCTGTTCCGCAATCGTTTTCACGCTTTATGGTTGCCCCTGCTGCTCTGTGCTGCGTGCCCCGATGCAGGAAGAGCCCGACTAACTTGAACTTGTGCCGATGGCGGCGGACCTCGGCGAGAACGAGCGGCGCGAGACGCTGCTGGAGCAACTGAAGCGCCAGCTGCGCGAGGAGGAGGAGCGTCAGCAGGAGGAGCAGCGCGCTCAAGCAGAACGGCAGCAGCTGCTACTGTGCGTCCCGCAGGCAGAAGCCCAGCTGCAGGCGCTGCGGCAGCAGTTGCAGCAGCAGGAGCACCGCGCAGACGCAGAACGGCAGCGCGCTGACGCAGAACGGCAGCGCGCGGAGGCAGAACAGCGGCGGCTGCTGGAGCGCGCACTGCGGGCAGAGCTCCAGCTGGAGGCAGTGAGGCAGGAGCTGCAGCAGCTGCAGCAGCAGCACCAGCAGCAGGAGAAGAAGGGGCAGTGGGAGGCTGGTGAGGCGCTCGGCGGCCAGCGAGCACCTTTGGCGGCCGTCAACGTCAATGACCAGCACGTGGGCGGGCAGGAGCGTCTCCTCCACCTTTCGCCCCTGTCCAGGCAGCTGCGCGCCATGCAGTTGGGACGCCAGCAGCAGCAGCAGCAGCGCCGCGCGGAGACAGACGGGGAGCAGCTGGAGCGCGCACTGCACGCGGATGCCCCGATGCAGCAGCTCGAGGCGGCGCGGTGCCGTGGCGGGCCTAGCGGCAGGTCACATCAATCCACCAGGGGATACGGCGGAGAGGAGCTGGCTTTCAGCAGGGCTGACCGCGCAGGTGGGAGTGTGCTTGGGAGCACCAGGGAGCCGGCTGGACCTAGCTGCTCTGAAAGTGTATGTCGCCGCTGCGCTCACTCCTGCGCCCCCCCTGTGCTTGGCTTTGCGGCCCTGGTGCAGGAGGCTCGCGCGAGGCCCGCAGCCGGAACCGGCGGCTGCCAGTGGATGAAAGTGAGGAGGAGGAAGAGGAGGAGGAGGAGGAGGAGGTTGTGACCCGCCGCCGGCAGCCTGATGGTGGCAGAGGCGTCAGCCGGGCTGTGCCAGCTGGGCCTGGCAGGGGCAATGGCAGGGTCGACCCACTGCGGTTTGACACCAGCTCGTATGAGCTGGAGCAGCCGGAGGAGGAGGTGCCGGTTGGTGCCGACAGGCAGCCCGACTGGGCGGCCCACTTGCAGCGAGAGTGCCGCCTGCTGGGGCCCCGCGAGGCGGCAACCAGCATGGTGCGCCTGCCAGATGGCAGCGCGCTGCATGTGCCGCTGGCAGCGCGGCTTGCGGCCTCTCGCCATCAGGTGAGCAGCAGTACTGGGGCTGACCTAGTTGCTTGCACCTCCCCACACACCTCAGCTTCCTGAGCTTCCCCACCATCACCCCTGCCGCGTGTGTCCCCGGTGCTCCTTCCCTGTATGCAGGGCCTGGAGCCATCTCAAGTGCCAAACAAGGATGCCGCGCCCCTGGGGGAGGTCATGATGTTGTGGGTGGGTGGTGCTCTGGCCCCGCCCTGGGGCGCACCACTGCTTGCTGTGAAGCTGCCGCCTGTGTCTGCCCCCATCTTCCTGAGCTTCCCAGCCGCACCTCTCGCCTCTGCCCGTACTGCCAACACCAAGCGGCGCCCACCTTCCCGCCCGTCTCCTCCTCCTGCCTGCCCGCCCCGCCGCAGACCAACGCGCCTGTGGACCTGGAGGGCGGCAAGGAGGCGCTGTACAACCTCAACAGCGGCAACTACTTGCCGCTGCTGACGCTGGCCCGCACAGGGGCGGCAGGCCGCACCCTGCAACCCACAGCGGCCCAGCTCAAGGCCATGGCAAGTGCTGCCGCGGAGGCCTGTTGATGGCAGACCTTGTTTGGCGCCCTGGGTTGCTTGGTGCCCTCCTGCTTGATGTGTTGGGTGGCTGCTTTCAATGCCACCTGCCTGCTCTGCGCCTCCCTCGCTGCAGCTGCATCAGATGACGCCCAAGAACAAGGGCATGGATGGTGGCATTCGGCAGGGCCAGGGCTGGGTGGGTGGCCTGGACACGGTCACCTGTGCCACGTTCCGGGGCACAGAGAGCGCAGATGGCAGCGAGGTGTGCAGCCTGCTGGCACGCCGCTCGTCGTCGCAGCACAGCCGGTGGCCGGTGCGGGTGATTCGGGTGGCGGCGCTGGCGTCGGCGCAGGCTCGCACCGCGTTCCGCGAGGTGACCGCTCTGCTGGTGGCGCCAGACGACAACCTGTACAGGCAGCTGCAGACCTGTGTGGTGGAGTGTGCAGGCGCCGATGTGTGGAGCCAGCTGGCGGCGCAGGCAAGTGGCAGGAAGGGCGCCGGGGGTGGCACCAGCCTGCCTGCTGTGCCCAGCGGCTGCTTGGGGTAGCCTGCGACCTTGGTAGCTGCCTGCACCTGTGTGTCCCGGGAGCTGCCACCTGGCGACCACCGCCATGCCCCTTCTGCCGCAGGATGCTGTGGATCTGGTGGTGGTGGAAGTGGACTTTCATGGCTCGCTGGCTGGTGGCGAGCACGCTGTGGCGCGGAGGTGCGTGCACCCTGCCTGGCACCCACCCCGCTGCTGCCACACCGCTGTCTTGCATCTATGCCAGATGCAGTGCGCTTGGAAGGAGTGTGCTGCTGTGGGTCGTGTTTTGACCACGCTGCTGCCGCCGGGGCGGCCCCGGCTGCTTGCAGGGCGCTGATGCTGCGCGTGCCCAAGCCGGCGCAGGGACCGACGGCGGCCAGCGGCGGAGCCGCTGCTGGCAGGGCGGCCGGCCCCAGCGGTGTGGCGGCGCGGCCGCAGCTGGTGTGGGGGGAGGCGCAGGTGCTGGTGGGGCAGGAGGCGCCGCCGCTGCCGGCGTTTGCGGCAGGGCGGCCCCGTGCTGGGCGGGGGCCGCAGGAGCCCCAACTGCTGAGCGCGACTGTGGGGAAATGATTGGGAAGATGGATGTAACAATTGTTCATGTAGTTCTACCAAGAGAATGGTAGAATCGATTCCTGCAGTGGGTTGTCGTCGCGTAGCCGGCAATGCAAGCCCACAATGGTGGGCGGCACGGCGCCGGTGGCGGCCATCGCCGCCAGCATGCCCCGAGCGCCCGCTGTTCTCAGGCTGGTGCAGCCCCGGCAGCAATTGACAGCAAGTTCGGTGCTGCCGACACTGCCTGCTGGCAGCAGAACGGTACAGCAGGAGGCCTGAGCTGGGGCTCTGTGCCGCCTTCAAGGCAAATTGTATAGCTAGCCAGCTCAGGTGATTCTACCGCTTGTCTCAGTTCTCGCCAAGAGCGGCGACCAGCCCCACATCGGCTGAGGGCGTTGGCCCTCCAATGGACCGCGCTGCCGCCGCCGCCGCCGCCGCCGCCGCCGCCGCCGCCGCCGGTAACCCATGCGTGCCATATAATGGTCAGGATGAAAAATGTCTGCCAGCTACGCAAGGCAAGAGAGCTTTCGGTGGTGCCAGCAGGAGGTGTGCCATCTGGGCTCCCCGGCGGCAACTCCAGCCTGGGCCCCCATTCCTCGAGTTTTGTTTAACGTAGAGCTAGTTGTCGCGATGAAAATCTGCGATGAGAATCATGCTTCGCCGAGTCGCCCGTCTGATCCAGGAGGATGGCAATCGCTTGGGAAAGGGTGGGAAAGTGTCAGCTAGGCACAGCCAACACGGCCAGCACGACCCACCGGTTGAACGCTGCACCACCATCATTTTTAACTCGACCTTTGTGGTTCAACTGTCCAGGCCTCCGTTCAGGCTCCCTAAGAACGAGATGGCGTTCATCCAGGCGTATGACCGCGGCATGCGCCGTGTTATCGATGCGATTGACGATGTTTCCAGGCTCGTGGGCACTAACTCGGGCATTCAGGTGGAAACGGCTCGTGCAGCAACCCTTGGGCACCGCTTTCCCTTCCCGCCGGGCGGCAGCGCCGCCCGTCAACCCGCCTCCGCCCGTCAACCCGCCTCCGCCCGCGACTCCCAAGCCTGCAGATCCCAAAAATTGCTGTCGTTGGAGATCAGTCCAGCGGGAAGTCCTCTTTGATTGAAAGCATTTTTGGCATCAGTTTGCCCCGAGGCGAAGACATTGTGACCCGCACACCGATCCAGGTGGGCTGCGACTAATTCGCAGCTGCAGCCAGCGGCGTTGCCGCCACTCGCCGCTGCTGCTGCTAGTTAGGACAGCTGAGCGACACCTGCATGTCTGTGCAGGTTGAACACCGCTACAGCGATGGTGAGGCGTATGCTGAGCTGAGCTTCCGATCCAGCCCCGACTCCGAGGAGCTGATCAAGAAGCGCATCGCAGACCTCAGCACGATTGATGATGAAGTGCGCGAGGTGAGGGCAAGTTCTAGCTTGGAGGCGCAGCTGCTGCTGCTGCCGCCCTCGCCCTGGCTGCCACACAGGCTGCGCTGCCAGTGCAGGCGACCCGGAGGGTGGCAGGGAGCGGCAAGGGCGTGGTGGACAGCCCCATCTACCTGCGGGTGTACACCAACAAGCTGCCCGACCTGACGGTGCTGGACCTGCCAGGCATCACTCGCAACGCGGTGGAGGGGCAGCCCGAGGACATCGAGGAGATTATCAACACGATGATCGAGAGCCACATCGCGGGTACTTTGCACCTGGACCAGCTGCATGGGGGTGACGAGCGACGCCGTTCCAACGTCTGAGCCACCTCAGCTGCTGCTGTGCCCTGCAGGCGAGACCACTGTGGTGCTGGCCATCGTGCAGGCAAATGTGGACTTTTCCACCGCAGCTGCCATCAAGCTGGCCAAGAAGTTTGATCCCAACCGGGACCGCACCATGGTGAGTCCCAGCTGCTGCTGAGCAATTGCTGCATACGTTGCCTCTAAACAAGCACCACAAGTACCATCTGCTGGTGCCAGGCAGGTTCAAGCTGACGTGCTGGCTGGATGGCCGTCATCCAGCGCAGCGCTGCACGCGCCCGCCACACCACACTGGCAGCGATAAGCCTGCTGTGCTGTGCGAGTGCAGGGCGTGGTGACCAAGATTGATCTGGTGGAGTCGGGCTCCGGCATGGTGGAGAAGCTGGAGGGGGCAGGCAACAACCTGAAGCTCAAGCTGGGATTCATCCCTGTGAGTGCCTTTGGGAGGAAGCATCAGGCATTCATGAGCGGTCACCACATGCGCCAGGTGCCAGCTATCGATTAAGCACTGAATGCGCCCAGGACGAAGCGTCTACGCTGCCTGCTGGATCCCCACCTGCTGCTCCTCCTGCAGGTGCGCAATCGCACCACCCAAGAGCTGGAGGAGAGCACACCGCTGGACGCGGTGCGCCAGAACGAGGCAGCCTTCTTCAAGAAGCACCCCCAGCTGTCCAATTTGCGCAAAGAGCGGCGGGGCATTGATGCGCTGGTGGCGCAGCTGGTGCAGGTGCAGGTGCAGTGCATCGTGAAGAACCTGCCGAATCTTAAGAAAAAGGCGAGTGGGCAGGTGCCGCCAGTGGCCATCAACCACAGCCGTCTGGCTCGCATGCACGCCTTGGCGGGAAGCTGGCAGCACCTGTCACAGCACTTTGCATGAGGTTCCGCTGCATTGGACCAAAGACTGCACAGCACATGGCATCAATCTGCTTGTGCCCTGCGGATGCATGCAGTTGTGGGAAAAATTCGAGAGCACCAAAGCAGAGGTGGAGGACATGAATGGCACTGTGGTGGGCAGCGAGAGCGAGGCAGGCATGACGCTGCAGCAGCTGCTTACCCAGGTGGGCTGCTTGGTGATGAGCGCCTGCCCACCTCCCTGCATCATGTCTGTCTGATCCAATTGATTAATGCTTGCCTGTCGCCGCCTGTTGCCGCTTGCAATTGCCTGCCTCAATGGCATCGGCCTGGTGCCTTGCCTGCAGCTGCAAATTGACTTCCTGAATCTGCGCAAGGGCGTGTACGAGGACCTGCGGCCGGAGGACGAGGCCCTCAAGGTGCCCAGGCGCGTGTACGAGATGAGCTTGGAATACAGGGATGAGGTGGGGGCATTGCTGGGGACTGCTGGGCACTCTGGGCATTGCTGGGCAGCTGCATGATCCATTCTGGAATGCCGATGTGCTGCTAAATCATTATGGCTCCGTGAGCATAATCATATGACAAATGTATCCTGAGGCCGTCGCTGCAGCTGGCATCTGCGCGCCCTGCCAGCTGCAGGTGGAGAGCGCCTGCAACCTTCCTTGGTTCCTTGGGCAGGAGTGCTTTGATAAGCTCAAGGAGCAGAGCAAGGACACCCGCGGAGTGGCGCTGCCCAACTTCCTGTCCAGCTCTGTGTTTCACACCATGTTCATGCATAGTGAGTGGAAACAGCTCAAGCGTGCTGGTTTGCAGCTGCGGCCAGGCTGAGCACAACGTCAGCCAGGCCATTTGACGTCGATGGAAATATGTACCACCGGCCGCTGGAGTTGCTGCATGCACATTGCCCAGCCAACTCTTTGCATGCCATGGCTGCAGGGGTGCATGGAGAGCTTGCAGAGCCCGCCATGGACCTGGTTGTGCGGCTGCGGCAGTATATTGAGGAGGTGTTGACGGCCCTCATCGACTCCACTTTCGAGCCCTTTCCCCACCTGCGCGAGGCCGTGAAGGACCAGATGCAGGGCGTGCTGCACAAGCAGGAGCTGGGCACCAAGGAGCATGTGTCGCTGCTGATCAGGTGGGCAGCGAGAAAGGGAGCCACGCATGTCGGTGTACCTCACTGACTGCTGCGCTTATTGGTGTTCGATACAACCCACCCAGCGCTGCTGCTGCACCGGTACCGCACTGGTGTTTGCTGCAGACAGCAGTCGGTGATCATGACATTGAACCCCATCTACATGGATTATGTGAACAAGCTGAAGACCGCCAGCACGCAGCTGCAGGAGCATGCATCGCACGGCCACCAGCACGGGGATTGGAACGAGTTCAATAGGTTGAAAAACAGCCTGGTCATGAGTTACGGACAGGAGACCTTCGTGAGTGCGCAGCAACGCACTGAGTGGCGCGCTCCTCGAGGCCACCATGCCATGATCAGCCTCTCCAGGGCAACCATCGCCCTGCAGTGACTGCAGCAGCTGCCAGTGCAGGACGTTGATAGGTGTGCCTGGCTCTCCCTGCAGGACTTCGTTGAGAAGATGCGGCCGCATGCCAGTGACAATGATGAGCAGGCACTGAGGGAGATGCAGCTCAGGTGGGGGTAGACCACTGCATGCACAGCGTGGAGCACAAGCTGTTGGAAGCACAAACTGGCAGGCATGTGCTTCTGCACTGCTTGTTCAGCTGCCTCTGCCTCTTTGTATGTTCTGCCTGCTGCAGCCTGAACGCCTACTCCGAGGTGGTGCTGAAGCGAGTGTATGATGACGTGCCGCTGGGCGTCCGTCTGCTGCTAGTGGAGGATGTGAGTTGCACGCATGCCGGGGCTGCTGCTTGCATGGTGCTGCTGTGCCAGTTGCGGAGCTCATCTAAGGCTGAGCTGGTCCAGCCTGCTGCAAGCTGGTGCTGTGCCAGGTGGGGGATGCTCTCATCAAACTACGCAGGTGGGCAAGAAGCTGGCAGCCTGGATCCAGCAGGGCCTGCAGGAGCAGCTGGCCGATGAGGCCCAGGCGGAGGCCGCTGCCGCTGCTGCTGGTGGGGATGGCGCCGCGGCCTCCGGCGCAACCGTGGCGGCTGGACAGGGCAGCTCGGACGTGGGCAGCAGCCTGCTGGCACTCATGCAGGACCCAATGAAGATGCAGCGGTTGGAGGAGCTAAAGCGCACGGTGCACAGCCTGGAGAAGGCGTGGGCCACGGTCAGGAGCATCAGGGTGTGAATGGCAGTGCAGGCGCTTGGTGTTGCTTGCAGCAGACCGGGACAATCTGATGTGCTGGAAACCAACCCGTTTTCACATTGTAATTACAAATTACAGTTTATTTGTTTCATCGTATCAGTGGCTTGAATACGTGGCCTGGCCCAGCAGCTCGCTGTGAAACCGGGAACGAGCGCAAGGATGGGCCATTCACCCTGGCCACTCGGGCTGGGAGGTTACTCTTGCTTGTCCTCGAAGCCCTTCCACATGCACAGAGCGCCCATCACGCCCATCCCCACCGCGCTGCCCACCGCCAGCTGCTTCTGCTGCACGCCCATGTGCGCGTTGGCCGCCATCTCGCCTGCGCACAGGCGCGCGGCGGCAGGGGTGAGAACGGTCGGCGGCCCTGGCCTCACAGCGGTTGCGGCAACAGGCAACGGCTGGCTGGCGGTCGCGCTGTTGCGCATGGCCCTATACCTCACCAGCGCACAGCAGCCAGCCCACGCCCAGCGCCTTGAGGGCATTCTTCTTGACCTTCTGCAGTCCGGACAACGTGGCACAGGAAGCAGGGCAGCGTGGTGGGGTGTGGCATCGCGGTCAGCTTTCAGCTTTGCAGCACCTCCTCTCCTGATCCCGCGCAAACCCCTGCCCTGACAACAGGCGCCATGCAGCAAACACCACGGCAGCACCGGCTGCTGGAAACAGCAGAGTCGTGAGCGAGGAGCGCACCTGGTCATCGGAGGCGCGCACGACGAGGACCTGGGAGGAGCTGCAGAGCTGGGAGGTGCCGAACCAGCGCCAGGAGGCCGCGTTGTAGGTCTGGTCCTGCAGAGGGAGATGGCGGGAGCATCAGGCCAGCGGGTATGTGAAGAAGGGCGAGGGGGTGGAGTCCACTGCTGGCGGCGCCGTCAGCGAGCGGCAGTACCGGCCGAGGCGGGAGTCTCACATCTGGCGGCTAGCCCTATCAGGCCGACACCAGCCTGAAGGCATCCACTCTTGCGCGTGCAACCCGCTCGTGCGGCGAGCAGACGCGAAGTAGGGTTCAGCGTCCACCATCCCCTCGATCACGCCCGCCGATACTTGCCTTGCTCATGTAGGTGTCATGCATGTTGCGCGTGGCAACCAGGGCGTGGGCGCCATAGAGGGCGCCGCTCACGCCCGACACCAGGAGGAGCGTGACGTCAGAAATCTCGAAGCCCATCCTGGCGCAGGTGAGGAGGAAGTGGGAGCGATGGCTGAAGGCAACGAAGCCTGGACAATGCAGGAAGGGAAGCCAGGAGGGAAGCCGCGCGCGCCGCGCTGTGGGAGTCCTGCCGCGCTCTAATGACCACACACCTCCTGCCTGAGCAGTCCTGACCATCACATGAAGTGGCATGCATTGCAATGCGTAGAGCATGGCAGGAAGCGAGAAATGGGGCTAGGGACCGCTCCGCTCCCCGCCATCCTGCCCTGCTTCCGCGCCGTCTCCAGCGCCGCCTGCTGCCAGCGCCGCCGCCGCCGCATCGCTCAGCGCGTGCTGCAGCTGCAGCGAGGGCGCGCGCACCGCCGCCGCCTCGCTGCCCGCGTGCGCATCCGCGCTCGCCTGCGGCGCCAGGCCCGCCGCTCGTTCCGCCGGCACCGCCTCTCGCTCCTCGCCCACCCCTCCAGCCTGCTGCTGTTCCTCCTCCGCCGCTGCACCTGCCCCAGCTGCTGCTTGGCGCTTGGCACTTCCATAGTAGTAGCGAAGCTCCGTCTCACTGCTGCCGCCCCCCTCAATCGCGCCGCCGCTCGGCTGAGAGCCGTCCCTTGCTTCCCCGGCCGCTGCTGGCGTGCCCTGCTGGGCTGGCGCCAGGGAGGCCGCCATGGCTGCTTCCAGCATGGCCTGCTCCTCATCTCTGCAAGGAAGAAGTAAGAAAGTTTATGGAGGAAGGAGACAGAAGCAAAGCGCACGTGACACGTGCAGGACTGACTAGCACCGATTCGGCGGCCAACTGACAGCAGGCCGGCTGCTGCTGCTCCCAGCGCACTCACATGGAGTGCGGCACCTCGGCGGCGGCGCTGCGGCTGTACAGAGGGTTGCGAGCGCCCTCGCCACCGCTGCTGGCAAAAGCCGGATTGTATCGCGTGTGCAGCGAGGGCGCCGCATCTCGCCTCGCTGCTGCCTGCTCTGCTGCCTCCTGCTCTGTTGCTTCCTGCTCCTGCTGCTGCTGCACCTGCTGCGTGCCGTACACCAGCGCGGCCGGCGCCTGGCCGCCAGCTGCTGCTGCACCTGCCTCCCCGTGATCTGCCACCCCCTGCTGCTGCTCTGGTGCCTTGGCCTGCTGCGCCTGCTGGCGGGCGTCCTGCAGCGAGGCCTCTAGTGCCATCTGCAGCGCCTCATCCTCATTCAGGCTGAATGCCCCAAGGTCCGCAGCCAAGTCAGCGCCGCCATCCTGCTGATGCGCAGCATCCCCGCCGTCGGCGCCCTGCCCCTGCCCCTGCCCCTGCTGCAGCGCGTGCAGCGAGGCAGCCAGCTGGTCCGGCGTGCGGCGGGCCGACGGCTGGCTGCGCAGGTGTTCCAGCGCCCAGGGCGGGCTCAGCGTGCGCGACATGCCGGAGCGGGACAGGTGAGACAGTGTGCGGGACAGGCTGGCACCCGAGCGCGGCGAGGAGGCGGGGCTGCTGCCGCCGCTGCCGGCCTCGGCCAGCGCGGCGTCCAGCTCGGCGGCGGCCAGGTTGCGGGAGGCCGTCACGTAGATGCTGGTGTGCGGCGCACGCCTGCGGGTTTGGGCAACATCGGAAATGATGCGGAGAACCGTGGTGATTGAAAAGCGGAATCCCGGGCCTGAGCCAGCAGCACGCAGCAGCCGGCTCGAGCCCCACACTGGCAGGCAGCAGCAGGACAGCAGGGGAGTGCAAGGAGCAGGCAGCAGGACCGGCAGCGGCGGCGGCGGCGAGCGCGCAGGCTTCGCGGCGCTCACAGGTGCGGCAGGGCGTCCTCCGGCAGCGCCTGCAGGTCCAGCGACGGCCCCACCAGCTCCTCCACGCGCAGCGCTTGCACCAGGAAGATGAGGGCGGAGTCGTAAAAGAAGTCGGGGCGCACTACACAGGAGCAAAGGGTTGCCCAATGAAAAGTGGGTAAAGGGTGTACGATCGGAGGCAAAGAAAGGAGCAGAAAGGATGCGGAGGCCCGGAGTGGAGATGAAGGTGGTGGGGGGGGAGGCAAGAGACGTGAGAAAGCAGGGGAGGCAGGCGGGAGATGGAAGGGAGCAGGGAAGGGCATGGTGGGGGCGCTGTGCCACACGACCAGGCAGACGTGCCAGGTGAGCATCTGGAGGCGAACCTGAGTTGTGGTCTCCCTCGAAAGATACAAAATTCTTGTCCCCGGCATACGCCTGCAGCAAGCAGAGCAGGCGCCAGCACTCAAGACTAGCGTGTGCAAAGACCTGCAAAGACCTGCAAAGACCTGTGCAGCGCTGGACTGCTGCCCCGCCAGCAGTGCCTCGCTACCCTCACCTGGAACAGCCGCTCGCTGTGGTGCTTGTGCACAAAGGTGTCGTCGCTGGCGTGGCCTGCAGCAGCAGCGGCAGCAGTAGCAGCACAGCAGCCTGGCAGGACCGTGATCCACAGTAGATGCCGTCCATCCAGCCAGCCTACTCACCAAAGAGGGCGGGTATGAAGGAGCCGTTCACGCAGTCCAGCGGCGCCACCTGCAGGGCCAGCCATTGCGAGATATTCGGCATGTTGTTGCCCTGCTCGGTGGAGTGACCGGGCACTGCATTGGACTGTGTGGCAGGTTCGGTAGCAGCGAGATGGGGTCTGCAAAGACGCGCAAATTTGAGTGCATGGGCCAGACATATCGATTGACCAGGCTTGCCTTGTCCACCGAGAAGCAGGCCCGCTTACGCACGCTGCGCTTCAGCATCGCCAGTGCCACCTGCGGGCGGGTGGGGGCGCTGGCGGCCTGAGCGGGTGCGGCCTGCTTGAAGGCCTCCCCTCAAACCCCGCCCCACCACCGCAGCGGCAGCAGCCGCACCTTGAGCAGGGGCTTGGGTATGCGTAGCTGCTGGTCGGTGGCCAGCTCCATCATCAGGTCCACCAGTCGAGAGAAGGGGCTGTCCAGCACCTGCAGGAGCAGGGTAGGTTGAACGGCAGCATCCAGTGAGCGCCTCGGCAGAAGGAAGGCGGCTCGGGACCAGTAGGGAAGGAAGCCAGCGGCGCAGCACCAATGCCAGCAAGAGGGCTGCAGCAGCTGCCACCCACCATGCCGGCGATGGAGGGGTCCTGCTGGCTGTACAGCAGCGCGGTAACAGCCCCCATGGAGCGCCCCCAGAGCCCAATCGTGCTGGTGCTGCCTGCAACGGCCGTGCCGGGCAGCCATTTTCCCATCAGCATTCACAGGCAGGAACATCAGCCACAGCTGCTGATGTTCAGCGCGGGAGGAGCAGGAAGGGAGCAGCACTGTAGCAAAAACCACAGCGCATCCCTTGCGGTACCCCCTGACTGTACCTTCTTCCCGCAGGTACTGCACCACCGCTGCCAGGTCATCCACTTCTAGCGCCCCCAGCGTCACGTAGCCGCCATCCGACAGGCCCGAGCCCTGCAGCCCCAGTGTTCACCAGCCTGTGAATACCGCCGATAAACCTGGTTTAGATGTCCAAATGAAATAACCAACAACAGCACGAAATGCTGGCTTTGCAAAGCACCCGTCGAGCCAGGCACCCGGCACAGCAGCCCACCGCAAAGTCAAAGGCAAAGACGGTGACGCCCTTGGGCAGCATGTGGTACAGAATCTCCTCGGCGTCGCGCCGGCTGCCGCTGTTGCCTGCGCAGCGACACCCGGGCGTTTTGCACATGAGATCAACATGAAATTTCGGGGAGGCCATGGGCGCACCAGGTGGAGCTATATGCTCAACAGGCGGCAGTTCGATGTCTGTGTTTGAAAGCATTTGCAGGGAAGGGCAGCGGCGGGCTCACAGTGGCAGTAGATGACACAGGGCAGGCGGCCATCGGAGGAGGTAACCACGCAGGGGCGGTAGTGGCTGCACTGCAGCTTCTGCCCGCGGTTGTTCTCCTGCACGCAGCACAGCGCAAGACAGGTACCGCTGAGGCTGAGGCATCCCAGGGTGCAGCTGCGTGTTGCAGCATCGCGAACAAGCAGACTGGCTCTGCCCACTGCCTTCTCACCAGGGTCACATCCAGGCGATAGTAGCGCCGGTCGTACAGCCTGCACAGAAGCAGGGAATAACAGGTTGCAACCTGCAAGCCTCGCAGCAGCAGAGTCGGGGCCTGGCGCCCGCCTTGACAGGCACCCCGCGCAGGCGCGATCTCGATAGCCAAGGAAGAACAAAATCACTGCCCACAGGGCACACATCAGGGCACACAGAGTTGTGGACTCTTTTAAGTGGCAGGCATGCGGCACCCCCGCAAACCTGAAGCTAGCGCGACGCCCGCCCACCAAGTCTGCCTCGGCGTAGCCGTCGTCCCGTGGCGGCCGGCACACGGCATCCACCAGCTGGTCCCAGAGCCCTCCGATGTTCATGCCGGCGAGTCGCTAGGCGCCAAATGCGGTTCGTGGGAGCGCCGGCCGCCCGGGCGCCGCGGCAAAGGTGGCGGCGGCGCCAAAGCCCAAGGGGCGTGCAGCCGGAGCGGGCCACTCCGGGTTGGCGACTGGCAGCGATGCGCCAGCGGTGCGGCACGCCAGGCCAGGCGATCGCAAGGTCCCGAGGTGTCCCTAGAGCCAGAGGGTGCCCGCGCTGGAGTCCTGTCAGCCCTGACCGCGGAGTTGCAAACCGCAGTTTGGATGCTGGTGTCTGCAATGAGGGCCCTGATCAGCCCGGTTTGGCTGCTCCGCCATGCTGCGAGTCAGCGGGGCTTGGAATAAGTTGGCCTGCGCTGTTTTTCTCTTCTATTTTAGCTGATCACGATGTCGGAGAGCTCCCTGGACTCCGAGCTGCTGGCGGTGGCAGGAGCAAAGAAGAGCGCCAAGAAGCGGGCCCGCAAGGCGCTCAGCGAATCGGAGGAGGAGGATGTGTCCAGCGAGGATGTGTCGCTGGACGATGAGAGCGAGTTGGAGGAGATGGCTACCAGGCGCGTCTCCTGTGCAGCGCTGAGGGTCCGGCTGGGTGCTGCAGGCAGTCCTTGGGTTGGATTTGCCGCAGCAATCAAGACCGCGGGCGCGGCCAGGCACGCCACCGCCTACCTTGCCGCCGCCGCGTGCCTCGCGCGGCTGGCCCACCCACCCCCTTCACCTCCCTGCCCTGCTCCCGCAGCAAGAAGCGCTCCGGCGGCGCGGCCGCCAAGCCGGCGCGCAAGCGGCAGGCCCGAGGGCGCGCTGCAGCCGAATCCTCTGACGACGAGGATGCTGCGCCGGCAGCTGCCGACAAGTCGGAAGAAGAAGACCGGCTGGAGATTGATGAGGAGGACCTGATTGAGGACGAGGAGGACCGCAAGCGGTGAGCAGGCATTGCAGTTCGCCTGCCGACGCGTGCTGCAGCCTGGCGGCGACGGGTGGGGCTGGGGACAGGCGCCAGCCCGTGCTGCCTCACCTGCCGGTTTTTACCCTCGCCGCCCGCCTGGTGCCAGGCTGGCTGCAATGACTGAGCTGCAGCGCGAGTATGAGCTGGCCAACCGTGCTGAGAAGCGCAACCAGGAGATGCTGCGCCAGAAGCTGCTGGCAAAGGTGCGTGTCCTGTGTGCAAGGTGGATGGGTTGGCGCTGCCGGCCGCCCTCTGGGAGTCCTGACCGATGCTGCCGCACAGCGCGCACACACACACTCTCCCACTGCCGCCTCCCCGCCCATGCATGTGCGCAGAACGACGCCAAGGCGGAGCGTGCAGGCGCCAAGGCCGCGAAGCGCGTGGGGCGGGTCAAGTCGGGGCGCGAGGAGCGGGAGGAGGCGGCTAAGAAGAGCGCCATGGAGGAACTGAAGGCGGCGCGGGAGCGCAAGGCGCGGGGCGCCGAGGAGCGGTGAGCTGGGGGCAAGCATCGCTGGACCGCCTTGCCCTGCATTGACCACCTGCCTGATGGTATTTCGTGGTCGCTGTGTCTTCCAGCAAGCTGAGCCCCTTCTGTTGCTGCTTGTTTGTTTCTGCGCTGCTCGCTGTCCCCATTCCGCAGGGCCCGCAAGCGCGAGGAATCGGATGAGCTTGATGAGGATGATGAGGATGACGGGGACCGGCGGCGAGGCAGGCGGCGAGATGCTGACCGGGAAGGGTCGGAGGAAGGGGCGCTGGACTCTGGTGAGGCAGGCTGCTGGGCTGCCATTACCTGCTCGCTGGCTTGCTGTCGGGCTTTGGTCCCAAGAGGCTTTTGGTACGAGTTGCAGGCATCGGTAGCGGGAGTAGCCATGGCTGTGCATCCACCCTGCCTGCCTGACCTTGGCCTTGACCTTGACCTGGCCGTGCCTTCTCTTGCAGAGGATGACCTGTCAGGCGATGACCGGCGAGACGGCGGCCTGTATGGTCGGCGCGGCATGGAGGTGCGGGGGCAGCTCAGCCTCGCCTGCCGGCCCGCGAGGTGCAGCACCCGCTGACTGTTGCTCGGGTTTCTGTCTGGAGAGCAGCGGTTGCCCTGGACTTGCGCCGCGGATTGTGGATCTGGCCTGCAGGAGGGCGCAGATGAGGAGGACGAGGCGCCAGAGGAGGATGTGAAGAAGATTCAAGGTGGGCGCGTGGCCTCGGCTTGTCGCAGCGCTGCTTGCGCACCAGGAGGGGCATTGTGAGCTGTGGGAGCAGGGCTGGCAGCCCTGGGGGAGTCGGGCAACAGGCAGCAGCCATGCCCGCGAAGCTGTGTTGCGGCGCTTTGTGCCCCGCTGGCCTGTCTGCAGTGCGGCGTGTGAAGCTGGAGCAGTGGGTGAACGAGCCGTTCTTTGAGGATACCCTGCCTGGCTGCATGGTGAGGCTCGCGGCCATGCACAAGTCATCGACAAGGGCAGAGGTTGGCCACGCTTGGTGGATGCAACACGCCCACACCTCTCCTTAGCCTGCTGAGCGTCCACCCGCCTGGTTGATTTTGTGCGGTCGCGCCATGCCCCCTGCAGGTGCGTGTGGTGGCTGCCGAGCAGGGGTCAGACATGTCACAGAAGCGCTACGTGCTATGCCAGGTTGTAGCGGTGGAGGAGCGGGCTCCAGGCTATTACAAGTGAGCGACCCTTTTTGCAGGACACAGCTCCTGGCGCCGTATACTTGCTGCCGCTCACTTTTGCGCCCATTCCTATTGGGCCCAAACCTGCCCCCGGGTGCGCGCACCTTGCTCGCCTTCCCTGCGCGCAGGGACTCTGGCCAGGCCTGGCGATCGCCCTACCCCTTTGGGCCCAACCAGGAAAAGACCCACAAGTGGCTGCTGGTGGAGCGAGGCAACAGCCAGCGCGGCATGCCGCTGGCACAGGTGTGTTGGACACGGACGGGATGCACCGGGTCGCCAATGGGGTGCCTTCTCGCCTCCCTGCACCCTGCTTCCCTCAACGCTGCAAATGCGCCCTAGCTGCTGCCTTGTCTTGCACCCTCCCCCCCGGCTTCCATCTCTACCCTGCCCTTGCCTTGCCCCTATTGGCGTTCTCTCCCGCAGGTATCCAACCAGGGCTTCACTCAGGCTGAGTTTGAGAGCTGGCAGCGCACGCTGAAGGAGCAGCACCGGCCGCAGGTCAGCCGGCGCACCGTCACAGAGACACATGGGCGGCTGGTGAAGGCAAACACGTGAGTGACGAGATGGTGGGGGTGGGGGTGTGTGGCTGGATAGAAGCGGGATGTGGTGCGTGTGTTACGGTCTGGTCGGTGGGGTCTGTGGCTCTGTGTTTGTTTTGGAGATGCCATTGCTCTCGAAACTGCACTCCCTGCTGCTCACCTCTCTGCCCCGCCCTTCCTGCAGCTACACATACACGGCAGAGGATGTGTCGCGGCTGCTGCAGGAGAAGAAGGCGAAGGGACAGGCGCCCCGCAACATGGGTGAGGTGCTGCAGAGTTGGTTGTCCTATTTGTTAAGCAGCGTAGCTGCGAGAAGACTCGGAGTTCGTAAGGGCTGGGCTCTATGTGAGCCGCATTGCCGTGCCGCATCTGGTAATTCATGTATTCCCCCTGGCCCGTTGCCTGGCCGCAGCGCTGGAGAGGGCCCGGCTGGAGGCGCAGCTGGCGGGGGCGCGGGAGAATGGCGAGGAGGAGAAGGTGGCAGAGTGAGTTGTGGTCTTCCTGACTGGCCATCCTGCTGTCATTATCTGCACCCCATGACGCTCGCATCCCGGTAGTTGCCGCTGACCCTTCCCTTTGCCGTTGAACACCCACTCTGAGCGGTTGCTGCTGCCGTCTTACTCGCCAAATCACCATCCTCTGGGTTGCAGGCTGGAGGCCCAGATGGCGCAGCTGGAGGCGGGGCTGGCGGGGGGCAAGGGGCAGCGGCGGGGACACAACATGGCTGACCTGAACAAGCGCAACGCAGACATGAACTTCAAGGTGGGGTTGCTATGCCCCCGAGGGAGGTAGAAAGGCGCATTTGCCAGACATGACCTTTGTGTGTTTGCGGAGAGCAGGACTTTCGTTTGATTGGAGGGAGCAGATCAGGGGCAGCAGCAGCAGTGACAACCACGCCATGCACCGCTCCATGCCTGCTGCCTTGCCCACTTGGACGTTCGCTGACCGCCACACCTGCCTCGTCTGATGCTGCAGAATGCGCTTGACAATGTGTCAAACAGAGTTGGGGCGGCCGCGGGGGTGCAGGACGCCACCACATCTCAGCTTGACCCCTTCAGGTGGGCCACCCGCCATGTTCCTGGCTCCGGTCCCGCACTCCTTCGTATGTGCCTAGCCCATGACGTTATGTCTGCGCATCGCTGTGGTCTGCCTGCAGCCGTCGCGCCACGCGGCCCATGATCTATTGGAGCACCAAGCGGCAGCAGCAGCAAGGTACGGTGCTGGAACCAACAAGCAGCCTTAGGCTCTGGCCTGGACATGCTGCGCAATCCCAGCACGTGCATCCCCATGCCCTTCTCATGCATGCCTGCGGGGACGTGTGCCCGCCCACCTCCCTCTGCAGGCGAGGAGCCACAGGAGCCCGATGCGGCTGCCAACGGCGGCGAGGCGGCGGCGGCAGAGGCGGCGGCAGAAGCGGCGGCAGAGGCAGCGCAGCAGCAGGAGCAGCAGAATCAGCGGCCAGACTTCAGTGCCATTGTCGACCTAAGCAGCTTGGACCTGTCCGTCCTGGAGCGGCCGCCCCGCATGCCGCCCATGGCCAGGGTGCGCCAGCTGGGCGGGCGGGGATCCCTGTTATGGTTTGCCTGTCGTTTGAAGTGGGGGTTTTGGTGGTTGCAAAGTGCTGCAGCTTGTGCAACCTCCCCTTTCCGCTCTGCCTGCTCTTGCAGAAGCTGCTGGGGCCGACGTGGCGGCCCGCGCCGCCGCCGCCGGGCGCCCGCATCATCTCCCTGGACGAGTACAACCGCAGCAAGGGATGGGCATGATGGGGCAGTGGGAGGCATGGCACGCACCTTGGTGCACACTGTAACATTGGCTCCAATAGCTCCACGGCATCATGCTGCAGTAGTTTGGCTGCGGGAGGGGTGTACCTTGGCAGCGGCTTGGTTGCTCCAGCGAGGGGAGCAGGGGCATAAGCTGAGCAGCAGCGGCTGCTGTGCATCCCAGCGGCGGTGCAAAGGCTTGCTGGCCCGGCAGTACACTGGTCAGTACAGGCGAAACGCGGCCATACCCTAGGGCGTGATTCTGCCATAGCAATTGTCTCTCACTGGTGAACGTGGGTTTCTTGGCGATTGCAGCCACCCAGGCGCTGGGTTGGCCCACACCTGCCTTGTCCAGCTCCAAAGCTGCTGCTGAGCAGCACTGGACCACCTCTCCTGCTGGACAGCCTGCCACGTGAGTTACTAGCAGCCTGAGGCTGTGGAGGCCGGGCCCGTTCAACATGAGCTTGTGAGCACTGCCCTGAGTGTATTCTTGCCCGCCCAGCACAGCTCAGGTCTGCTGGCGCCTTGGAAGAGGCAGCAGGATGGGTGCAGCGCTCGCTGTAACACCACCCGGTGCCGACCGCCCTCCCATGCCCCCTCTCTCTGCAGCAAGACATGGAGATTCCTGGGGGGCAGTTCTTTGAGCGGCGCCTGAAGCGAGCTGCAGCCAGCCCTCATCCTGAGGCCCGCGGCTTTGCTGAGGGAGCTGAGCTGCTGGCCTGCATCCGCCGGGAGCTGCCCTGCGACTTTCAGGCCGGCCGCGTGCAGTTGCAGCCAGGGCGCGAAACAGCCGGCCACATGCTGGCAGCGCTTTACTGCCTTGTGACAGCATTCTACGCCAGCTCCGGCGCATTGATCAGCAACACACAGTTCTACAACCACCTCGCCAGCTATGGCCCTCGCTACTTCACTTGGGCCTCGACTTCATCAGCTAAAGCGCTGGCTGCCAGCATTGCTGGCGGCGCTGGACGCAGCGAGAGGAGCCAGCGCGGTGCCGCGGCTCAAGCCCTGCACGTATTTGGCAGCGGGCACTATCATCTCTACCGCCGGTGTGGCATCAGTGCATCCGGCTCACAAGAGCTGTCAAACTCGCCGCAGGACACACTGGCAGCGCTGCGCTACTTCTCCCACGCGGCTAAGCTGATCTCTGGTCCGCCGCAGCGGGAGCGCGAGTGCCAGCAGCAACTGCAGCAACTGGCCCAGCAGCACCGCCTGCCACCCCTGTCAGCCCAGCAGCTGCTGTACCAGTGCCATCGGACCGCTGCCTTCATAGCTTCAAAACCACTGTTTTCTCACGAACGCGATGCACACAGCAGGGCAGGCCGCGCATGGGACGGTGATGAACCCCCTACTAGTATATCCCGACGAAGTGCTAGCAGTAGTTTTGCAGAGCAGCGCCGCGCAGTCCATCCTGCGCAGCGGCCAAGCCAGCGCAGCAGCCCTGCAGCTGCTGGAGCCTGACAACCCCGAGTCGTGGCACTGGCCTGCAGTTCTCAAACTGTTTGTGGGCGGTGTCTCTGGCATAATGCAGCTCGACTCCGCCATCCCTCTATTTGAGCTGGTTTGGCAGTTGCGCCAGTGCCGAGGCACCCGATACTGGATGATAAAGAAGGGGCTTATTTGGCCCCGTTGCCTGGCGAGTCCTTTCAAACTGCTCAACTCCCATCATACTTCGGTTCCGGCGCAGCAGGTGGGTGCGAGGCGCGGCGGGTAGGGGTGGCGACAAGGCCTCTTCGATTGCTGTGTGCCACTGAAGCAGCACTCAGTCAGGCTAGCATGTACGAATGTTGCCCAGAGTCTGCCTTACCCATGGGGCGCCTCTTTGGTGCTGCAGGCACTCATGCTGCTCCAGGAAGCTGACAGACCCTGGGCAGCGCCACACGCACAATGCCAGAGCAGTGGACGCATCATCTGAAAATGACATTGAACCATGCAAGGCATCTGGTGGCTGTCCTAGCCAAAGTGGGGAAGACACCAGAGCATGACATGCTGGCGGAACTGCTTGTCTACGCATGTATGCAATTCCCCTGTGGCTAAAGGTTCCCATGCTGAGATGGCACAGCATCCCTGTAGGCTTGTCAAGGCATCTGAATGCAGGAGAGCAGCACCAGAGATACATGCCGTGCTGCACCGGCTGTGGCAAAGATGTAGTGGGGCTTCGCCGATGCCAGCAGTGCAGGGTGACGCAATACTGCAGGTGATGCTCTGATCGGTCAAGCGTGGACACACATGTGCAGCCTGGATGTAGCCTGGTTTTAGTCTGCCCCTTGACACATGTGCAACCCTGCTCTGCACCCGTAGCCGTGAGTGCCAGGTGGCACACTGGATCGAGCACAAGGCGGCGTGCAAGGCTGCTCGCGGCGCCAGGGAGCAGGGCGCCAGCAGCAGCGGTGAAACGATGCTGGGCAGCAGCGCGGCTGCTAACTCGGATGCAGAGGACCTGGCAGGCGGCATGAGCGGCAGCCCCACCGGCGCCGTGTCGAGCGCTGCCCCCTCTGAGCACCCCAGCAGCCACCCTGCCGCCCAGCCCAGGCCACACCCTGTGTCGGTCATCAGCATGTTCAACATGCGCCACATCTGGCACAGGTTGTGCCAGATGTGGCAAAGCTTCTGGTCCAGCCTGGTGCTGTTGTGCATCCTGCTGCATCTAGCTCATGCAAAGTGGAGGACTCTCGAAATCACTTGTTGGGCTTCCCTCTGCCAGAGCGCCCTGAGCCCTGAGCGAGCCAAGATATCTTACAACAATTCAGAGCACACATGGTCAACAAAAGAATGCACATATCCAGTACACCAACATTTGCAACGAAACATGCAGCATAGCTTGGCTGCAACACATACATGTTGTACATTGATGCAAGAGAGCGCTAGGAGGCTGATGGCTTGGCAGCGAAGCCTGCGCTGCCCTCTCACGGCAGGGCGATGAGGTGCTGCCGCGGCGAGGTGGGCTCCATCACCCGCTTGCCCGCCGGCTGCACATCAAATGCCTCGACTGCTGCCGCAGCAGGGGCCTGATCCGCGGCCTCGCCCTGCTGCTTGCTGGCACCTGTCACCACATCCAGGCCGTGCACAGCCCGCAGTACAAACAGCGCCACGTCCACACTGGTCCAGTAGACAAAGTGGGCCGACAGGGCGGAGAGGTACTGGTTTTCAAGAGACGACTCCTGCAGCACACCAGGAGAGGAGCACATTTGATGCCAAATCGCTGCTTGGATCTCTACAGCAGAATTTTCCCTCAGCAATGCGTCCACTTTGCCACAGTGACCAGCATTCCTGACATCGGCAGCTCAGTGGTGGGCGGCAGCAATCTGGATCTCAGCTAGGCAAGCTGCACCGGCAGCGACACAAGCAGGATGGATGCGTACACCAAGCTGCAAGGCCCCAGCACGGCGCTGCCCAGCTTATCCTCTTGCTTGCCTGCATGACAAAGTCGAGGCGGCCCTGCGCAGACCTGCCGCCAGGCACTGGAAGGCCGTCTGCCACCCTGGCAATGCCGCTGCAGGTGCTGCCGCCCTCGAGCGCTGTGGCCAGGGGTCCTGCTCCTTGCCGCCGCCGCGTGGGCGAGGTGGCTGCTGCAGACGCTTCTGCTGACACAGTGCCCGATGCGCTCTGGTCCATCACCCCAAAGCTGAGCGACGCATACAGCCGCCCTTCCTGCAGGTGCTGCTGTTCTTCCTGCGCCTCGCCCATGAAAGAGTCGCCGCCTCCCAGGTCAGGGGCAGACTTGTTGCCGGTCAGGCGGCGCACTGCCTCCTCCTCGGCCAGCGCCTCTGCCGCCTCTGCTGCTGCTTCTGCTGCTGCTGCTGCTGCATCTGCTGCTGCTGTGCCGCTACTGCTTCCCTGCCCGCCCCCATGCTGGGCCTTGTAGGTGGCGCTGCCTTTGAACTTGGCAAAGGCCAGGCTGCTGAGCAGAGAGGTGCCAAAGCGACTGGCAGCGCTGCCCACGTCTTCTGAGAACTCCTGCATGAAGGCGAGCCAGAGCCGCGCACATCATGTGCAGGTCTCGAAAGCTCCTTTTCACACCAGCATAATGGAAGCGACAGAAGCGACAGATGTACAGGTCGTACTGAGCTTGCCTGCACCGCCAGGTGGATGCGCTTCCCTCCCTTGAACAGTGACACAAAGGCCGGCCGCTGCACATGTGCATGCGGCTGCGTCAGGGGCTCTATCCTGCAGAGCAGGGAATGAGCTATGCGATCATGCAAGGCACAGCCCAGCACGGCAGGTCGAGGAAATATTGCAAGCTAGTCCAATGCCAGAGCATCCCACCTGTGCGCGACAGGGTCGTAAGGATGATACACGTTCAGCAGGCGGCGCACTGCTGGCAGGCCATCAGGAGAAAATGGCTGCCCAGGCGCCAGCTGCAGTGCAGGCGACAACAGTTGAGTGGGAATGCGCAAACCGTTGCGGCAACCAACACAAGATGCCAGAAGACAAATCCCATGCATGTCGCTGCAAGTCGCCCGTTCAATGCAGCACCTGCATCAGCGGCGCAGAAGCTGCGGTGCCCAGGCCCGTGCCCTTCGCCTCGCTGACGCCACGCAGCGCCAAAAAGCAGCCCAGCGGGGAGCCCAGCATGATCAGCGTGTCCACGCTGCAGTGCAGGGAGGGCCATTCCAGGATCTGAAGGGTGAAGAGATGACAAAACTGACTGGAAAAAAGCCCGTTTGCGATGTGTACAGCGGCACTCCCGCCAAGGGAGTTCCTTGACAGATGGAATGCAAGGCAACACTGACCTGAACTGTAACCCTGGCCACTCTGCAGCTTCCGACTGCTCAGCAGCGACAGCTTGGTCGGTCGGCGGCGGCGACTGTTGCATCTGGCTTTCAGGCAGCGACCCACCAAAGCTGCCCTGCGCCCTGGCAACCTCCAGCTGCAGCTGCAGCCGCTGGTTCTCGCCTCGCAGCCGCGACAGCTCTTGCTGCATGGCTGCCGTGGGGCTGTCTGCAGTGAGGTCAATCGCCATGTCGTCGCCGCCCTCAGCGCGACTCCTTCCTCTGCTGCCACCTGGCGACTGCCCCGCGCTGCGTAGCGGCGGCCTGGGCGGCGTGCTTGGCAACGACTGCATGGCCTGTCCCTGCGGCGACCCTGCTGCTTCCGGTGCTGTGTGTGGCAGCAGGCTCGCCCCATCGACTAGCTGAGGCGACAGCGGCTGGGCGCACAGGAGGTCGTAGCAGAGCACGGTGCCCAGGCTGTGCGACAGAATGGACACGCTGCCCTGCATTAGTGTTGGGTGGCGGGGCGGCGGGGCACGAGTGTTCGAGCCGTGCCCACAAAATGCAGCTGCAGTGCTGCTGCTCCTCCCGTCTTCCGAGCAACTAAAACTATCAACCCCAGAGGTACGAGTGCAAAGGTCGCACTTGCCTTGAAGTGCCGGTTGCGGCGCATGAAGCGGCGGTAGGCGGTGTTGAGGGAGGCGACCAGGGAGGCGACGATCTCTGCGCGGTGCCTGGGCGTCATGAAAAGCAGGATCTCCACCACGGTGCTGTGCAGCACCTGAAAGCAGAGGGGTTCAAATCGGATAGAAACATAATTGGGTGTGCAAAACATGTAAGCCGCACCTGGGCAAGCAGCCACCACTCAACCCAGTAATCATGCCAAACAGGTGCACAACACTCAGCCGTGCGCACTGCTGCTTCGACCACCGACTTTGTTTTCTGCGGCCCACCTGGCGCAGGGCGGGGATGCCCGGCGGCATGAGCTGGCGGCTGAGGTGGTCTGCCTCCAGGACCAGGTGCTTGCGCCACTGCACCGGCAGCACCTCGGTGCGGCCTGCATGGGATGGCAGGCAATTGCAATGGCATGGCTGGTTGCAACCAGCGAGTCGGCCGTAGAGCGCGGTCGACGAGAGGGAACTGCCACTCTATGCATGTTTCTGATAGGAATGCAGAAGATACAAAACAAAACAACTCTGCAGATGAAGATCCAGCACAGGTGCCGCCCACCTGCTGCTGCCTGCTCATCCAGCAGGCCCTGCTGCGACTGGTCCTGTGCCACCTGGCGCAGCACGCTGCGGAAGCTGCTGGCATCCTGCGCAGGCGCAGCAAGGCAACATAAGTCAGCCACGGGAGGCTCCACAAACCCATAATTGCAGCTGCCTGTCCCATGACAGGCAACTGTACCATTACAGTTGTAGGTGTCTGCATGCCCAATACCCGACCCATCCGATACTTGAGGCATGCATCTGGTGAACTGCTGGTTCGTCGGCTGCGCATCGTGTCCAGCCGCCGGCTTCACCCACCTGCGCCACGTTGGCGCCCTCCAGCTTCTGCCCGATGCCGTGCACAACCAGCACGAGGCGGGACACCGGGGCGGCGGCGCACGCCTCGTCCAGCTCCTCCTGCCGCAGGTCAGCCTCCTTCTCCAGCAGCGCCTGCGGTGGACGGGGCAGGAACACATTGCGCACGCAGCAGACCAGCAATGCGACTCGCCACGAAACGCAGCGACGATGGAGCAAGCGAGCTTCTGCGGGTGTGAGCAGTCGGCACTTGTTCTCTCGCCTTGCTGCCAGGTTGCTCGTAGCCACGGCGCAGGCGCAGGCGCTGCTGGCCGGCGGTGGACGACGCCCCAATCTTGCGCAGCCAGCCCCAGCCTGTGTCCTGGCTCAGGAACACTTCGTCCTCTGCAGCGCGAGCAAGAATGGGAAGAAGCAGGTTGGCGATGCCTCTGAACAATGCTGACAGCAAACTCAACAGCCTCTATATCAAAACATGCAAATGCGTGCATAGGGGCGCTTGCTGTATTGTGGAAGCAGCACACGCAAATGTTGAGCAGCGAGGCATTCGCACTGCCCTTGTGGCCCACCTGACACAAACAGTGCATAGAGCCCCTTTTCTATGTGAGTAGTCAGCTCCAGGCGTGCTGCATACCCGCCCCCCACCGTCTGCGGCTGCAGGCGCCCCCGCTGCGGCAACCAGATGGACTGCCGGTACCCCTCCTCTAGCTGCTCAGCCAGCGACTCCTGCACCGTCAGCAGCAGCCACAGCAGGCAAAACAGGAGGAGCAGATGACCAATGACAACACGTTACCCCGCAAGCAACCCAATTCTTCCTCGGCCAGCCCGCGGTCAACCCACCTTGAGCGGCACCCACTCGCCGCCCTTCTCTGCAAACCAGGTGCCTCGCAGCACGCGGTGGCGGCTGGCGGGCCAGTAGCAGGGGCGCAGCTGGCGGCAGCGCAGGTCGACTTCGAATGCGCCGCTGCGAACTTGCACACGAGGCTCGTCGTCTGCAGCAACGGGTGCAGCAGAGAACACACAATCGGTGGTGATTGATGTCATGGAATTGCCACGAACTACAAAGTCTCGATGAAGCGGCATGCCACCTGCGCAGTCGCTGCCCATGAAGTAGCTCCACCCATCGATGGCTGCGGGTGGGGCTGGCAAACCATCAGGCCCCTTCTGCAGCTCCGCCTCCTCCTCCCAGTAGAAGCGCTCTAGCTCGTCGTGCCGCGACCTGCGAGCCGCAGAGCATCAAGAATGCTGAGCGCTGACTGCTGAGCGCTGACGAAAGCAGCGGTCGGCACAGGAAGGTGGCGCGGACCGGTGGCACTCGCACCGGTATGCGGCCTCTAGCGCCGCACTGTCGGCCTCGCAAAAACGCAGCAGCGAGCCGCGGTGAGGGATCTCAGTGGCCTTGGACAGTTCTGCAGGTGCCAAGCCAAGGCCAGGGAGGCCAACACAACAGCAGGTATGCCGGCCCACAGCAGAAACGTTGGCCAGCGGCGGGGCAGTGGCGCCCGGCCCCCTCGGGCCTCTCGCGCTGCACCGGACTTATCGGCGCACCCGACCTACCTTTGATGTCGTAAGGCGCTCTGTAGCTGAACCACCGCACGGATTCTGGCGACAGGGGCGCGTAGACGAACTCAATGTGCACCTCGGGTGAGGGCAGCAGGTCCATGTCGCTGCTCAAAGCATGCCCGAGAGACGCTCCGAAGGACGAGCAGAAGAGAGGATCCAACGGAGCTGTGTGGCAAGTCCAGCTCGACACCCGAAGGGCTTCGTGGCACTCTGCGCTGTCGTGAACGTGTCGCCTCGCAATCACATCCCAACATGGCAAGCGCAGCAGCAGCCCTCTACACAGACGAGCAGCTCGACTTTTGTTGCAGGCTGCCAAAAGTGGAGCTCCACGCCCATCTGAATGGCTCAATCCGCAACTCCACGATCAGGCAATGCCGCGGCATGTGCAGCTGCCCATCCAGTGCCGCCGCCTACTGCCGCCGCCGGCCGCCGCTGGTCGGTGCCCCACAACCGCCGTGGCAGGCAGGCAGTTGCGTGCGCAGTCACAGCGACGTGCCCAGTCAAAGCGGCGTGCCCATTGCACATGCAGGGAGCTGTCTGAGCAGCTGGACGGCGCTGCCATCAGCCTGCCCGAGCTGCAGCGCTTGACGCAGCAAGGTGGGAAGGTGTCTCAGCGGTGGTTGGTAGCAAGCTACTTGTTCGAGTGTTGTCGACGAGTTTGCCCTGCCTGCAGCCAGCCGCACGCTGGGCGAGTGCTTCAAGCTGTTTGACGTGATCCACCGCATCACCACCCAGCACGCCGCCATCACCCGCATCACGCGCGAGGTGTGTCATCACTGCAGCTTCGACATTGGGGGAAATTGTGGATGCAGTAGGGATAGTACAGCATGCGATATCTATGATGATGCGCCAGCTGTTGCCTCACTCTTCGGGTGTGCCAGGTGATAGAAGACATGGCGGCAGACAATGTGGTGTATGCAGAGATCCGCACCACGCCAAAGGTGGGGTTGTGGGCGCCGCTGGGGCTGGCAGGAGGAGACGAGTAGCTTGCTTCTCACCTGGGCGGTTGCTGTGTCGCTGCCATCTGACTGCATCTGTGCGCTTGCACTCTCTGCCAACTTCCAGGCCCGGCCAGAGCACTGCATGGCCAAGGATTCCTACCTGGATGCTGTGTTCCGCGGCATCGCCGACTATTACGCAGCCAGCCGCAGGGCGCAAGGTGCGTTGGTTGTGGGGATGGTCCAGGGGTTGCTGGCAATGTGCACAGTGGTGCCCTTGGTGTAGCGGCGTGCTAGCTGTTGAGGGCGCAATGCTCCAGATCGGGTCCCTATCCCACCTGGACCAGAAACCAGATACTACTACTGCCACTGCCACTATCCTCCTCCTGCTGCAGACATCCAGGTGCGCCTGCTGCTCAGCATCGACCGGCGGCAATCGGCAGAGGAGGCGATGGAGACGGCTCGGCTGGCGGTGGGGCTGAAAGAGGAGGGCGTTGTGGGGCTGGACCTGAGCGGCAACCCCAGCGTGGGCCAGGTGCTGGGGGGGCGGCAGCCGACGGACGGCTGTGCTGCTGATGTCAGCGTTGCTTGTACACGTCGATTTGAGCAGTGCGGGGACAAGACCTGGATCCATGGACTGCTCTGCAGTGGGAGACGTGGCTGCCTGCGCTGATTTATGCTCGACAGCAGGGCCTCAAGGTCACGGTGCATGCAGGCGAGGTGTGGAACCCAGGTTAGATGGCAGGCGTTCAAATGTTGTTGATGCGTCACAACCTGGCGAGTCGGTGTTGCATGTGCAGTGCACAGGCACCTGCAGCACAGGAGTGCGCAGGCGCCTGTCTACTGATGCGGCCCTGCTTGTGCTCCTGCTGCTGCTCCCCCCTGCTGCAGAGGAGACTGCGGCTATCTTGGCGTGGAAGCCCGACCGCTTGGGACACATGTGCTGCCTGGATGCGGGGCTTGAAAAGCAGCTGCTTGAGTGAGTGCATGCAGGGTGAAGTTCCCTCTGTGATCACACAAGGCGCATGTGGCATGGTGTGGTTGGCGCGGTGTTTTGATACAAGCCCAGCCATTTGCTGGATGCAGTTCTGACATCCCGCTGGAGCTGTGCCTGTCCAGCAACGTCATCACGGAGAGCGTGGCCAGCTATGCAGACCACCACTTCTCGGCATTTCATTCCGGAGGCGAGCAGCTGCTTGGCTGTTTCCTGCCCTGCGGTCGGCAGTTCATTAGGAACTGGGTGTGAAAGTCTTCTTGCCAGCTGCACCCGCCAGAAATTCGATCCAGGCACCTGTCTACAACTGGCAACATCATGCACTTCCCTTCTGTGTGTGCAGGCCACCCGGTGGTGCTGTGCACAGACGACTCGGGCGTCTTTGCCACCTCGCTGTCACGAGAGTATGCCATCGCAGCATCGGCGTTCGGGCTCAGGTGGGCGCAGGGTTTTGCTCATGGCTGCTGTCCTGGCGATGGCATCACAGGCACGTCCATCGCGGGTTTGCCAGACCGTGTGCTATGCTGGTTCATCTGAGTTCCATCCAGTGGCTGCAACCATACATCACAGTCACACATAGACTCCTCTCGGGTGCAGTGAGGAGCAGCTTCAGCAGCTGGCGCTGGCAGGAGCAGACTACATCTTTCTTGAACCAGGTTGGTGGAGCATGTAACCTCTGCTGTGCACTTCCGCTGTTGCATTTGGTTCTGCTCAGCCTGCACTTGACTGATGGGCAGACCAGCGCCGCTGCTGCTGCTTCTGATGGGTGCAGGGGAGCAGCAGGCAGTGCGTGAGCGCATGGAGCAGGCACTGTTTGTGGAGAGCATCGACAACAGCAAGAAGCCGTTCTGCATGTTCTGCGACGAAGCTGGGGGCGGCAGCTGCACACGGTAGCTGATATGGCAGGTTGTTCAGTGTATTGGCATCGCGTGAAGTGCAAAACTTGCAACATCCCACACGCTGGCTTCTTTGCTGGGGCAGAGCAACAACCTGGTTGTGAGTCAATCCTTAATACAGTAGGTCAGTACCAAACTGCTTGCTTCATTCAAGGGCGCATCACCATGAGGCGGGCACTTGATTCGGGTAGAACACAACCAACTGACGGCGGCGTGCAGCCTGTACTGCCGGCGAGCCTGCACAACTTCGCATCCCTGAAAGTTCGCTTCCCTGAAAGTTTGCCCACCACCTGGATGCTGCATCACCCCCGATGATCACGACCACAACACAAGTTGCCATACACAGGGGTCGCTGCTGACTGAAACCATGCCCTCTGCTCAGTGCTTGCACGGAGGCCTCACAGATCGACAAGAAGAATGGATACATTTCAGTGCGGAATAATGGCAGGTCGCTCGTCTCACAGCAACACAACGACAAGAAAAGGTGGCGACAGTTTGCCTCTACAGCAGCAGCGCTCACAATATCCACCGCTGCAGGCTGAGCACAGCGTGCTCGCCGCCCATGAGGCGAGCCACATCAAATGCCCAGCACTGTGCGGCCATGCGCCAAGAGCCTCTTGCCGCACCAGGTAGCACGCTGCTGCTGGCGGCCAGCTGGCGCCTGCTGCCGCTGCTCCCTCTTGCCTGCGTCGGCTGCACCAGTCGCTGCCGTGCAGCCCCGTCCACCCCATCCAGCAGCCTCGCGGCGCCATGGTCACGACGGTGCTGCCACCCATGCTGCTCTGGGCGGCCCTCGCTGCCAAAATAATCACTGCTGCTGCTGCTGCTGCGCTCATCTGCCTCCAGCTCCCTGCTGCTGGCGTCTCCGCTGCCGGGCGCCTGCAGGGCCCCAAACTTGAGGGTGGTGACCCGCACCCCAAACTCCTCCAGGCCCCACACCCGTTCCATCAGGTCTGCCGCCAGCAGGTTCATGTTGCCCCACAGGTCAGCCAGGTTGTCGATCCACAGCTGCACAATGGTTGGCTGGAAGATGGCCTGCGGGGCAGACAGAGAAAGAGCACGGACAGGGGGCGCAGCAAGGTGGGCTGGCAGCAGCCAGGGGATCCAGCAGCGGTGCCAGGTGTTTCACATGCTTTTTGGATGCTGCTCCACATGATACCATTCCAGCGCAAGGCTGACAGTCCTGGGTGCGCCAGCCAGCCCGCTGCCAACCCGCAGGCGAGAGGGTCGGGGCGGCCTGTTCCGCAGGGCGGCTCACCCAGTGGAAGCGGATGCAGGGCAGCGGCTGCGACACCGCGGTGCGCACAAAGTAGGCGTTGCCGGCCAGCGCCGCGCCCGCCAGCTTCAGCGCGTGCTCGCCGTCGCGCACAATCACGGGACGCACGAGCTGGCCGCTGCTGTCCAGCACGCGGGAGATGAAGCGTGTGCCGCCAAGGTTGTAGTTCACGGTCAAAAAGGTGGCCAGCCCGAGCACCTTGTCCTCTGCAGAGTGGGCAGCGACAGTGAAGGACCGGTTGCGTGGGGTTGGAGGGCAGATCGGCCCATCTAGTGCGGGTGTGCAGGGGTTGGAAGAGGGGGTGGGCGGCTGTAGGAGCGCAGTCAGTTTGTAAGCGTGCAGGCCTAGCATCGAGCGCCTCTCTCGTAGAGAAGGCGAGCGCAGTGCTTACCCGAGGCGTTGGCGCAGGCGGTGATGTTAAACTCAAAGGCGGGCTTGCCCACAGCAGGCTCCAGCTTGCTCACGTTCAGGCACTCATCCTGACTCAGCCCCGCGTTAAACATGCCATACGCCACCCACCTGCAGCCAGTGAGCGGGGGTCGGTTCAGGCGGCGGCTGCCGACGAGCGGGCGGCGATGTTGGCCTGCCCTGCACCCTACGCTAGCTCACCATGGCGGGCTCAGGTTTTGTCCCATTGCCGATGAAATCCAGCATGCCGCCAAGACAAGGGCGAACGCCCTTGCACCGGGCCGCCCCATCTCACGTGCTGGCGGCGGGGCAGAGAGTGAGTTGTGGGGTCACTGATCACTTGTACACGCTTCCCGCAAAGTGCTGGCGGGCCGTGAGGGCGCGTAATGTGCGATCAGAGACAAAAGGGCACTACAGCTGTGTACTTCGCCCCGGCCTGTCCGATCCGCCGCAGGCTGCCAAAGGGCGTCTTCGGCTGCTGTACCTCCCCCCCCACACACCTCGGAGGTCGAGCTTTTGTTCTCGCTCCCTCCTTTTTGGGTTGTGTGGGGTGGTGGGTGACTTCACGCCCTCCCAACTTCCTGCCTTTCCCTGGCCTTGCTGCCGTGAGTGCACACCGAGCCACGCGCTTCTAGACAGCGTTTGAGGCAGAATCTCTTGCTCCTGCCCAGGGCCAGTCTTCCGCCCCTGGCATGGCCTTGCTGGTGGCTGGCAGCCCCGCCCGGCTCCTAGCCAAGTCTCTGCAGGCAGCCAGCCAGCCGCGGCCGGGCCCCTTGCCCGCCAGCTGCGGGCACCGCCCCCAGCGCCAACCACCGCGGCGGCAGCAGCGGCGAGCAGCCCGCGCGCACTCGCAGCAGCCCAAGCAGCAGCCCAAGCAGCAGCAGCAGCAGCAGCAGCATAGCCATGATCCTGATGGCTGCCTGATCGCCGACCACCACCATGGTGCGCCCCAGCTGCGACTTGCCTCTCCCTGTGGGAGAACACGACCTCGCCGCACTTGTGTGGGTGCTGGTGCTCTGTCGTAGGGCTGCTGCTGCGTTGCGACTGTGTTCCAGATCAGGCCGTGCTGAATGCATGCACTCCCTTCAAGCAGCATCCACACCCCCAAACCCTCCCCGCTGCTGCAGCGTCGGCAACAGGCTCCATCGACGTCCTGGCCGCTGCCGCCGGCCCCGACGGTGACACGTGCCCACCCGGCAGCGCGCAGCGCTGCCAGCACGACGCCAACACGCGGTGCAGCCTGTGCGACTTGACCACGCGGGCGCCGGTGCGGGACGCCGACTGGACCGCGCTCATCGGCACTCTCTTCCGCTCCAGCAAGCACGACTCTGCCATCTTTGCCCTGGCAGTACCAGCCGTGCTTGCTCTGGCAGCCGACCCGCTGCTCTCCATGGTGGACACCATCTTTGTGGGGCAGGCAAGCAGACGCGCAGACCCCTTCACCCATGCACGCCCTGCTGTTGGCGTCCTGCTGTGGGCTTGCTGCTGCTGTACGCGGCTGCCCAGCCTCGCCTGCTCCTGATTGCGGCTGCTGGCGACATGCTTGCTTCTCTGTGTGAACTCCGCTCCTCACTGCGCCCTGGCTGCGTGTGCTTGTTCGTGCGCAGGCGGGTGCCGACGCGCTGGCTGCGCTGGGCGTCAACTCTGCGCTCTTCACCTTCTCCTTTGTTGTCTTCAACTTCCTGGCCACCGCCACCACGCCCATGGTGGCTTCCTCGCTGGCGGTCGGGGACAAGGAGCACGCCGGCAAGGTCACCCTGCAGGCGCTGGGCCTGGCCATGGTGCTGGGCACGGTGCTGGCGGGCTGCCTGGTGGTGTTCTCAGAGGGCGCGCTGTCGCTGATGGGCGCGGGGCCCGAGGCGGGGCGGGTCCACGAGCTCGCCACAGAGTTCCTGGTCGTGAGGTGCGCAGGGGGTTGGGGCTGACAGTCGGGGCTGGGGCTCGGAAGGTCGGGGCGGACTGTGCAGCAAGCAGCTTGGCCCGCGCGTGCAGCGTGGCAAGGCGGGTGCAGCGGGCGCAGAGTGGCAAACGGGGTGCGCGCCGCACGGGAGTTGTTGGCACAGTTCAGGCCTGGCATGTTCAAACCACTGATTGCCCCCCGCCCGCCTGCCTGCCTGCCCCTGGTCTGCTGCAGGGCGCTGGCGGCGCCCGCGGCGCTGCTGATGACGGTTGGCCAGGGCGCGTTCCGAGGCCTGCAAGACATGAAGACGCCTCTGGCCATCACGCTGGCCGCCAACGCCATCAACCTTGCTCTGGACATTGTGCTGATCATGGGGCTGGGGTGGGGCGTGCGGGGCGCCGCCACCGCGACCACCACCGCGGAGTGGGTGGCGGCGCTGGCCTACCTGGGCGTGCTGTACCGCCGGCGGGACGAGCTGGGCGGGCTGGAGCCGCGCCTGGTGCTGGGCAGCGCGGTGCAGGAGGCGCTGGAGGAGATGGCGCCGTTCCTCAGGGCGGGCGGCGCCATGCTGATGCGCACCGCACTGCTGCTGGGCACCAAGACGCTCGCCTCCGCCACAGCTGCCAGGTGGGCGGGCCGCGCAAGCCAAGTTAGAGAGTTGTGTTGGGTGCCCGACTCGAAGCATCGCAGCTGGTTTCCCCTTCTTTTTTTCTGCTGCACCATGGCTCGTCACCACAATGCTCCAATGTTTTTCTTGCAGGCTGGGCGTGGTGCCCATCGCAGCGCACCAGGTCGTGACGCAGCTCTGGCTGCTCTCCTCGCTGATAGTCGACTCGGTCGCGATAGCTGGGCAGACGCTGGTGGCGGTGCAGGTGCGCGCTAGCTGGCAGTTTATTGAAAACGGGTTGCAATGCCGCTGCACCAGAACTGTGCAGATGCAACATTGCGTTTTTTTGTTGCCACCTCGATCTGATTCGTTTTGACCGTTCTTGGGTTGCTCACCTGCCGGCTTTGCGCTCCGTATGTGCAGCTTGGCAAGGGCGATGTGCGCGAGGCGCGCGCCGTCAGCAACCGGCTGCTCGGGCTCGGCATCGGCGGCGGCGTGGCCCTGGCCGGCGCCTTCTGGCTGGCGGAGCCCATCGTGCCGGGCGTGTTCAGCAATGACCCAGGCGAGCTATCTGTCCTATGCCAAGCTGGCCCGGCTGCTGCTGCGTGGCCTACAACTGAGTCTGCTGCCTGTCGTTGTGGCAGGCATGCCTCTCCAGTATCCATGGTTGCTGACCTCGGTGTCCGTACCTGTGTTGGTGTTGCAGAGGTGATTGCTGCCGTGCGCGAGATCCTGCCCATCGCCGTGGCCATGCTGCCCGTCAACGCCGCGGTCTATGTGTTTGACGGCATCATCACGGGCGCGGCAGACTTCAAGTTCATGGCAGGCACGTGCCTTGTCCTTGTTGTTTTTCCTTGCCAGGGGCACCTTTTCCTTACGGCTTGATGCAAACAAGATGCATTGCTGTTGAGACGACAAAAGCAGCTTGGCTTTTTCCCCCCCGGACTGACTCTGGCCTCCCGCCCCCTGCCCTGCTGTGCAGGCGCATGGGGGTGGCTGGCCGGCACGCCGTTGGGGTTGTTCTGGGGGTGGAAGCCCCTGAACTTGGGCTGCCGGGGGTGTGGTATGCCATGGGCTTTGCTCATGGCCGGCCGCCGGGGACCATTGTGGTGGCGGAACAGTCTGAGGCGGGGCCGCTGCCGCCCTCAGGTGCGTTGCAATGTTGTTGTTGGCTGCTCTTGTGTGGCTGTTATCTGTGTTTGCGGCTGCCCACTGGGCCTGCGCGCAGCTCTATCGACGCCACATCGCCCCTCCCTGGCTGCAGCTGAGCGGCTGGAGGCGCAGCCCGCAGATCAGCTGCCGGCTGCATCAGCAGCGGCACCAAGCAGCAGCGGAAGCAGCAATGGCACTGCGGTCGTCCACGGCTTGGGCAGCAGCAGCGCCGCGCCGAGCCTGGCCAGCAGCACCGCCTCCACCAGCTTGGACGTTCTGGACGACCTCAGCAACAATGTTGTGGAGAGCTCGCTGCCGCCGCAGGGCAGCCCGGCGTGGAGGGAGGCAGGCCCGGGCCGCAAGCAGCGATGAGCGGGTTCATTGCCGGTGTTGTTACCCGCCATGCTGAGCCGCGCCGCGCTGCACCCTGTCTCGACAAACGACCCCATTCATATCTAGCCTGCATTTTAGCGCGCCTGTCATTGCCTGGCCGCCGTTCCGGGCCCCTCCTTGAGCCTCACGTTGATAGCTTTGAGTGCGATCAGTCCACCACTGCCCTGCCGTTTCGTTCTTCTTTAGCACAGTAACACTTGCTGATGTTTGCTGATGTTTGTTCGGTGTATAACATACGTATGACCCAATGTGTACCAATGCATTGTGCCTCCCGACACCTGCGCCGCCATGCCCGCCATCCACCGCAGCGTGCCCGTGCGCTGCACAATTTTTACACCCCTTTCATGAGTTCCTCCAAAGCGCCTCCCCCTGTAACGTGGCGCTACACTTTTATTCGAGTGCACGGAGTACACGGGAGGGACATGGTCGGAGCCATGCAGGCTTCTTCAAAGCCCACAACTCAGGGCTGCGCGTCGCGGCACATGTCCCCCATTCTGCGCCATCCACTGATGGAACTCGCCCCAGGCAGGCTGCCCGCGATGTCTGCCCTTCGCAGCTTGGGCACGGTCACAGTCGCCAAGTGGTCGCTGCGCGCCAGTGCTGCGGATATCCTGGCGCCGCTGCCTGGTGCGGTTGGTTGCGCGCCAGGGGTTGTGGGTGGCTCGGGGATAGGAGGCAGCAGGCCAGGCCAGGCGGCGGCTGCCGAGCTTGAACCTGCCAGGGGTCCGCTGGCAACCGCCCTTGGTGACGAAGCAGCTGCGCAGGGGACTCTAGTACGCATGTCGTAGCTGCCGTTGGTGCAGCGCCTCACCCCGCAGGCCAGGCCGTCCAGCAGCAGCAGCAGGTCGGCTTTGCTGCAGCAGGGAAGGGGCGCACATCACCAAATTCTGGAAATGACTCGCTGCGACTTGCCCTGAGGTACAACTCCACATTAGTGCAGCCTAAAGCTTAACAACCATCGGGCTCACCTCAGTGCATCCCAGTCCAGCTGCTCAATGTTTGGCTCATCAGGCTGCCTGGTGCAGCCCGGGGCCACCAGCAGATGCATCATGCACTCCAGGCAGTAGCCCCTCAAGGACGCCAGGTCGTGCCTGCTCGCATGGGTTGGGGAGACGAAGGGGCACATGTGAAACAACCATGGTTCATTGGTCGTGTTGCACAGTGTTTTGGAGCATGCGGGTCCTGCCCTTGCCTCACCTCTCCGCCACATCCAGCCAGGCCGCAAAGTCAAAGCGAACCATTTCCCCCATGCGGTGCGTGCGGCTGCTCAGTGGCCCCCGAAGCGAGTCCAGCAGCAGGCCAAACCTGCACCCGTGCCGCCAGAGCAGGGAGCAGGTCGCACACAGCACATGTCATGCACACGCACTACAGCTTTGATTTGCTAAATGTTAGCCCTGCAGCCCTGCCGGGGTGAGCGATGCCAGGGAGAGCAGCGGGAGTTCATCACATCGGCTCAGCAACAACACCTGAGGAACGCAGCTATGTCCAGCTGCGCGCCGTAGGCGGCGGGGCCCTGCAGCCCCGCCACCAGCGCCTCCAGCTGGTGCGGGTGGTACACGGCGTGCAGGGTACGTGCAATCTCTGCTGCGCTGTGATGCTCCAGGGCCACCCGCAGCGGCGCCGCTGACGTGGGGCGGCCCTGCACGCCGCCCTCAGGATCCAGCAGCTCGCTGAACAGCAGGCAGCTGCGTGCCAGGAACTGCGAGTGCGCGGGCAGCTCGCAGCCGCCGGCCGCCACAAAGCGAACATCCGCTTGCGCCAAAAAGGAGGGCGGAGCTCCATGCAGGTAGCTGGGAGCGGCGGCGGGCGGGGTGGCGGAGGTGGGCGTGCTGCCACGCTGGGGCGAGGCACTGCCGTCTGTGAGCGGGTCCATGCTGCTCGCTCTGGATGTGAGCGTTGCAGGGGGACCAGAGTGCAACAAGGGCGCGGTGCCTGAGACTCGGTGCCTGCGCGGTCTCAAGACACTGATTTCCGGCCTTGATAGCAGCAGCGTAGAGCCTCGGCGAACCTGAGGAAGGAACGCAGCACGGTGCCTCTTGTCCTCGCTGTGTTCCAGCGCCAAAGTGGCAGAGTTGCGCCTTGATGTCAACAGTGTCTCGAATTGCTGGATTTGTCGCAGCTTGCAAGTTTCTGAATTACAGGAGAAATTGAAGACATCTTGGCAGCGAGGCTGAGGCTCATTTGCCACTAGTGCACATGGCCGCAGGCCGCTTCCCGCAGGGTGCCGCGGATGTCGGGGGGCGGCAGCGTGTCGGGGTCGACTGCAGACGGTGGTCAAACAGGGAGGCGTGGCAAGACATTACTTTGTTGGCAGCACCCATTCATATCAAACATTGTGAAATCAGTCTTGTTGTTCGAGTGCTTCAGCCAGCACGTCAATGTCCACACTCCGTGTGCCACCCCTCCGCCCACCTGTCCTGTCCAGCTCGCTGATGGTCTGGAAGAAGGCAGTAAACGCGCGAAGGCCGTGCGCTGCATCTGACACAGTGCACATCTGCAGCTGGGCGGGCAGCGGCGGGGCGCTCAAGGCATGCATGCCGTCAAACCACCCAAGCAACTACCCTTCATCCCCAGCCCTCCTCCCAGCCGTTCGTCCAAGCCGTCGTCCTCTACCAGCACTACCAAGCTAGCCCACCCACCTCCCGAATCGAGTGCATGGCCAGCTGCGGCACACCGATGTCTACGGTGCGCACACCCAGGCCCGAGGCCAGGATGGGGCCGATGGTGCTGCCGCAGGCCATGTCGGAGCGCACGGCAAACTCGGCGGTGGGCACGCCCGCGCGCCGGCACACCTCCCTGCACGGCAGGTCATAGCGAGCAAACGCAGCGGCAGTTTCTGACAAGCAGGGATGCAGGGCAAGTCATCTTTTGCAGGCAACAACTGACAACTGCAGCATGCCGCGCCTGCACTTAACTGCTGCTGATCGCATCTGCCCAACCAGCACTCTGCCGCGCCATGTCTTTGCCCTGCCCACGCCCACCACCCACCACCCAAAACACGGCTTCCCACCTAAAGAGTGTGGCGGAGATGGACGTCGTGGCGTAGCGCTGGTTCACATTGTGCTTCAGCACCAGGCCGGAGCCCAGGCGGGGCGCCAGGTCGGGGTCGTGCTTGTCGGCATAGTTGGGGTGCAGGGCGTGGGCCATATCTGCAGGGCGCAGGGGTCGGCGGTTTGGACCATGCGAGACAGGCGAGCAGAGTATGAGCGCGGGGCTTTCACGGCAAGGGAGAGCAGCGGGCACCGATGGAAGAAAGCAAAGGCTGAAAGTGAAGCTTGCCAGCAGCAAGAGCCAAATCGCGGCAAAAGTGGGAGACCCGTGGATAGTGCCACACCTGCCACCCAGCCCAGCCCAGCTCCCGCCCACCTACCCGCGGAGATGAGGAAGGAGTTGCGCATGGCTCGCTGCACCGCGCCCTCCGCCCCCGCCGCCAGCAGCTGCGTGACGCGGGTGATGCAGTCGCGCATCACCGGGCTGCCCGCGCCCTGCACGTGGCCACGCATACAAGCAGGATGCACCTTGGCATTTCGCCTGCACTGTTGTGCTGCAGCAGGCCATGCGCGTCCTGTTCATACAATGCTGCTGGCTGTGCAAAGGCGAAGCAGCTGATTGGTGCCCTTTGGCTCGCCTGCGCCGAGTCAGAGCCGACTTCCTCGTTATCAAACAGCGCGATGGCGCGCACCCCCGTCTCATCTGCAGCACCAGCAGCGGAGGTGGCAGCTGCTTAGAGGCCAGCATCTATCAACAATGATGTGCTTCCAAGCTGCACCTGAGGCAGGCAGACAGGCAGGCAGACAACAGATCAATGCCCAGCACCGCGACCCCTCCCTCACCTGCCAGCGCGTCGGCGCTGCCGCAGGTGTCGATGAGTGCCTGCAGGGAGCAGTAGCTCATGCACAAGTTGTCCAGGCGGCCGCAGAAGATGAACTCATCATCGCCACCTGCACATGAGAGCAACGAGGAACAATACAGCTGAAAATAAGGAGTTGTAGGCAAGGTACAGTGAATTTGCAGTTTGAGTGCAGCCACACAACTTCTCTGCTGCAGCTATCCATGGCTGCCAAACGTTTCCACCAGCAGGCAGACTGATCACCCACCGCCAATCACTCCCGGCTGCGTGTCGATAACGTTCAGCTCAAAGTCCACAATGTCGTCGGTCGCACACCCCAGCTCCTTTGCTAGCAGGCGCAGCAGCAGCGAGTGGTGCCGCGCCGCCGCACCGTCCGCGGCGTCTACTGCGGCAGCGCCGCCGCCTCTGGGGCTCGCTGCTGCCGCGCCGTCGCCGCTGCCGTTGCCCGCCTCCAGCTTCTGCTTGATGCTGGTGGCCAGTAGCGGGGTGCACTGGGTCTGCAGGGGGCACAAAAGCATCGTTTCGGCCAGGTGTTGCCATCCAAGCAGCTGGCTGGGCGTTTTCAAACACAAAAATACACAAAAATACAGTTTGATTTGGTGACCAGCCCTTCCCAGGCCAGGAGCGGGCTGTTGAGTGCACAGGTCCCTGCTTGCCTGCTTGTTGGGGTTGAAGCCTGCAGTGGAGAGGTCGCGCTGCAGGTGGATGGCCAGCATGGGGATGCGCAGGATGGGCTTGGGCACCTTGACCTGCAGGAGCACCACCGGACTCGAGCCAAAATGGTGACGATCCAACTGGATGCGCACGATTTTGCTTGCAACTGGGTGTTTCCACTGCAACCGAACACCAGTCAGGGCAGCAGAGTATCCAGGCAGCAAACGGCAGTATCTCCCATCCCCGCCCCACCAGCTTGTGCGCCATCTTATCGCCATCCTTCAGCAGCACCCGCCCCGCCACAGTCAGGTCCCGATCAAACCTGCAGCAGCCACCAGTCACGAAGCCAAGCAGCACGTTTGGGAACTGTCTGAACAGCGCTCCCGAGTGCGTCCAGATCAAGGCGAGAAGTGTCAAACAGCGCGTCTGGCACCTACCAGGTGTGATGCAGCAGGCCGCCATAGGGCTCCACATTCACCATGCCTGCACAAGGTGGGCGCACAGGTGAGGTCAGACGCTGCCATCTGCTGATTGAAATCTGTCAGTGGACCCACCATATCCAGACTTAATGCTCTTGCTCACGGGCTTCAGCTTGAAGCAGGGGCTGCAGGACAACGGGGCACAGCAGCGGCGCTCAATACTTGGGCGTCGGGAGCGGCCGCTGGGCAAAGGGCAGCAACATCTGTGTGCGGTTGGCTGCTGGACGCAGCTGCGCCACGCGCCGCACACACCAGTCCCCCAGCGCCTGGCCGCACCTGTCGGTGTGCGCCCCCACCATCATGAAGCCGTTGCCGGGCTCGTACTTCTGCCCCACAGCAAACGCCACCAGGGTGGAGGCGTTGCGGGTGAAGAAGTAGCGGCCGCCGGGGCCCAGCCCGTCCCACTCCTGCCGCTCCGACAGCTCAGTGAAGCCCGCCTTCTTCAGGCGCTGGACGGCGGCATCCACGGCATGGAACTCTGGATGCAGAGCAGGGCACGCAGGGGGCATCAACAGGGCTACAAGCGGCGCCGACCTCGCTCGGGGCTGCTGTCCATCACCGCCGGCGCCGCCGCAGAGCTGCTGAGCCAGCAGCTGGCGCGGATCACCCACCCGTCACTCCCACGTTCAGGAAGTCGAGCATGTCTGCTGCTATGGCCTGATCGGCGGGAGAGGGGGTTCCCATGGCGACGGTGGCGCTGGCGCTGGCCAGGGCACGGAGCGAATGCCTGGGTGGGGATCGGATGAATGGTCGATACACGGATGAGAACGCCTGCTGCTGGAGCGGCTTGGTAAGGCGCAGCAGCGAGCGAGCAGTGACAGTGCAGGGCATTGCCAGATCGTGCAAATGTGCATTGCTCGGCGCTTGGTGCTCTTTTAGCCCTACATCCCCCAGCATGCCCGGCGGCGCTGAGGTGGCCGCTTGTTTTGGTCGCGTTCTCTCTCCCACTTGGCTTGCAGCCAGAGCAATTTACATACAGAAGGGGCCACACAGTTATTGTCTGGAAGTACAGGGGTGTAGGAGGCATGTGGTCCGGCGCAACAGAGCTGGAGCTGCCGCGGATTGCGATAGAGCGACAGGAAAAGGAGGCGATCGATAGAGAGTACAGACTACAGCAACAGGAACTGAGAGAGGTGTGCACACTGCACAGAGTGGAGGGAAGGCATCACGGAGGATGAAACCCCTCAAGGTGGGGGAAAAGCCGGACACAAGACCAAGACAGCGCGACTCGGCATTCACATTTCAACGCCAGACCAGCACAAGCCAGACATGGGCAGAGCTAAACGACATGGGCCCAGCTGGGCTACACCCGTGGCACCACCGGCACGGCATCGGGCCCCGCCGCCTCCTGGGCGGTCTGGGCGGTCTGGGCGGCGGCCGCCTCGGCTGCCGCGTTGGCCGCCTTGGCCTCCGCCACCTAGCGCTCCGTCAGCGCCTGCTGCGGCAGCGGCTTGGGCCCCTTGTACATCTTGATGTGCAGCAGGCTCTCCACCTGGTTGCGGCAGATGGGGCACTTGCTGGTCTGCTTGCGAAGCTCCTGTGCGCACTCATGGCACATGCACCTGCGGGGGCGGGCAGTGGCGGCCGGCAGCAGCAGCGCGGCGGTGAAAGAACATGCAATCACTGCCAAACGCTCCTCCACAGCTGGCCTTCCAAGCAGGACACACAAATTGTGCTACCAGGCTGCTTGTCCTGAACCCGGAAGCACACCCATCCAACCACGTGCCAAGCACACCCGCCGCCGTCCTCCCAGGCGCTCACATGTGCCTGCAGGGCAGCACCGTCGTGTCCCGCTCGTTGACCAGACAGATCACGCACAGCCGCTCCTCGTTGTCGGCATCGTCGGCATCAGCGCGCGCGGCCGCCACCGACTGCTCCAGCCCGTAAATCTCCTGCAGCGCGGACCACCAGCGGCGCAGTGGAGGCGTCGAAAACAGGAAAGGGTCGACCACGGCAGTAGCCCCACGGCATTTCAGGTGGACAGCGCAGTCCAGCCCCAGCCCAACACCCAGCCCGATCCCTGGTCCTTGCTGAGCACAGCCGCCCTGCCTCACCTGCAGCTCGTAGCTGACCCCCTCCACCCAGATCTTCTGCTTGGTGGTGCGCACCGCAAAGCTGCCGTCCTCCTCGCGGTGCAGCACCGCAAACGTGGTCTGGCTCTGCACCCACGGCTGCTGCTCCGCGCCGGGGCTGCGGGCGGGAAGAGGCGGGCGGCGGGGATGATGCATCGACACTTGTGTCAGTCCAGCGGCACTGGTACGGAACTAACCAAACACGATCCTGCGAGCCTGCCGCTGCTCGGCGCAGCACCTAGCACCTATGTGCCAGCAGCCTTTCACAAACACGCTGACACCACGCCAGAAGCTGCACGTGCCCGCCCCCGCACCACCTGCCCAGGCCCTCACCTCAGCTCCTGCAGCGTGCGCCCCTCGCGCCGCCCCTTGTCCGTCACCGTCTCCAGCCGCACCACGAGCGGGAAGGTGTCGCGGCCCGCGGCAAACAGCGCCGCCTCATCGTACAGGCCCATGTCGATGACGTGCTGGGCGCCCTCGGGGGCAGAGCCCGGGAACTTGAGGCCCAGCTGCAAGGGGGAAGAAGCGAGGAGCACGCAGGGAGGAAGAGGAACACTGGTCAGGGGGCGGTTGGATGGGGAGAGAGCGCGAGATGGGACGTGCTGAAGCGAGGTGCAGGGCCGCGGACAAATCCAAGCAGGCACAGCGTTGCAGCAAGCGGCGGGGCGGTGGCAGCGGCCGCGGCGGCGCACCCCCTTTTCGTAGAACAGCGGTGGCGCGGCCTCCTGCTTGGCAGGCGTGAGGCGGCAGGCACGGGCCGGCTCCTCGGTGGCCGCCACAAAGGTGGTGACGGCGCAGGGCTGGGAGGCGTCAAAGGTGAAAGTGATGGCCAGCTTGTTGGGTGTGCCTGGAATGGGCACGGCCTCCAAGGTGTTCTTCTTCAGGTTGACGGCGTTGCGTATGGTGGCCGTCTGGGTCAGCTCCTGGCTGGGGCCCGGCGCGGGGCCGGCGCCCGGGGCCGCCGCGCCGCCGGGCGGCGGCGGCGGCATGCGGCCGCTCGGGTGCTGCTGCATGAGTGCCGGGTACTGCAGCAGGGAGCGGGGGCGGGGTTGGTGATGCAGAGCTATAGGCGCAGAATGCTGATGGTTGGTGCCCTCGCGCGCGCTGCGCCCAGCAGGGTATTGCCCGCCAGAAACAACATGCCGAGCAGCACTGGCCTCCACCTGCTGCGGGGGGTAGGGCGGGCGCCAGCCGCCGTACATCTGGCCGTTGTTCATGTATGGCTGCGGCTGCGGCGGGTAGTACTGGCCCTGTTGCAAGCAACGGGGAGATTGCAAGCAAGGTTAGGGCGACCGAATGGGCGGCGGGCGAGTGCGGCGGCTCACTTGCAGGCTTGTGAGCATGCAGGAGTTTCCGTAAGATGTGGCGGTGGCGAGGGGGTCACTCCCATCACAGGCAACCCAGCGGGCCACTCACCGGGGGGGCGTACACCTGAGAGGGTAAATGGGCTGCGTCTGCGTCGAGGGCGGCTGCTGTTGCTGCGGCTGGGTCTGGGAGTTGCCAGACGCGGCCGAGGGCCGCTGCCGGGACGTTCTGTTGCCCATCCTGACTGCATTTGCAATAGCAGGCAGGATGCTCAGGGCAGCAGCGCCAGCGGGCCGCCGGCCGCAACGCCGGAGAGACCCGCCGCCCTTGTGACGCGACCCCGCGCTGCCCCCTGCCAGCCGCCGCCAAAAGGATCGGCAAGCTGGGACATCCCACAGGTGCGCAGGGCTTGAACACCGCGGTGCTCAGCCTAAGGATCAGCCACTTGCGCCCACACGGCTGCCAACCTCACCTCGTGCACCGATCAAATGGGAAAGGGGGTCGGCAGTGTCGTGGTCTCCGAGCCGCGACGCTGGTAGGTGAGGAGAGGGTTGGACTGGGGCCTTGGCACAGGCGCCGACACGGAGGGACGCAGTGTCAGCGAGGCTGGGACTCTGCACCGCCAGGGCGGGCACATGGGCCCTTTCTGAGTCTGTCCTGCCCGGCTGGCCCGGTACACACGGACCCATCCGCGCCAGGCCAGTGTGCATGCCCCCAAATCAAGGTGGCCGCAGCCTGGGTGGTATTGGGCACTTGCTGGGCGCAGCAGACTCAGCCATGCAGGCCCTCACCCTTGCGCAGGTGTGTGCACCGCTCCGGCAGCCTCCCACCGCCCCTGCCATGCTCACATTGCCGCCACAGCGGCAGATGTGCCGTTGGGGCCGCAATGCGTCCGTGCCGGTGGTGGTAAGCGGCCCAGGCATGCTTCTGCTCACGCCCTGCACGCCACCCGCCGCCCCCCGCAGGTCAAGCCTGCGCTGGCAGGCTCCTTCTTCAGCGGCAAGCAGCTGCAGCAGCGGTCCCTGGTGGCCAAGGCCGCCCGGCCCAGCATTGCCGTGGTGAGCAGCGCAGTGGCAGAGGAGGCCGAGCGCCTGCGCCTGAACAACCTGTCCCCCCAGGACGGCGCCAGGAAGAGCAAGAACCGCAAGGGCCGTGGCTACGGCGCAGGCCAGGTGGGTGGGGCGGGCGAGCAGTGGCCAGGCCGACACAAGCCAGCCTTGCTGCGTATTTTATGCTGCCATGCTCACTCGCATGGATGATCGCCCGTGCCACTGCCGCAGGGAGGCACCGCCGGCTTTGGCATGCGCGGCCAGAAGTCGCGCAGCGGCAGCGGCATCCGCCCCGGCTTTGAGGGCGGCCAGACGCCGCTCTACCGGCGGCTGCCAAAGCTCAAGGGCATTGCCGGCGGCATGGGCGCTGGCCTGCCCGACTTTGTGGTGGTCAACCTGGCGCAGCTGGACAAGTTTGCTGAGGGCGAGGAGGTGACCCTGGAGAGCCTGGAGGAGAAGCGCATTGTCAACCTGAGCGGCCGCGAGTCGCGCCTCCCCCTCAAGGTGGGCAGCGCTGCTGCAGCCGGCATGGCAGGCCGCCGGTGGGCCGCATCGGCGACGGACTTGCAGGCAGCTGGCGAGTGCGCAGGCGCCCGGCAGGGGCGCGAGCGGCAATGTTGCACGTTCAGGGCCGCGAGTTGGGGACGTGGTAGCATGCAGCCTGCCCTGCCCTGTCCGCAGTCGTCCCACATGCTGCTGCTCCTTGGCGGCGTGCTGAATGCCATGCGCATCCCGCTGCCGCCTGCTCCTGCAGGTGCTGGGCACCGGCGAGCTGACCCAGAAGCTGGTGATCAAGGCGGCGGCGTTCAGCGAGAGCGCCAAGCAGAAGATCGAGGCGGCGGGCGGGCAGGCGGTGGAGCTGCCGCAGAAGGTGACCTGGACGCGCAAGGCGCACGAGGCGCGTGTGGCAGCTGCCCAGAAGTGAGTGCGGGCGCCCACCACCCTGCGCACTGTAGTTTTTTCTTTGCTTGCTCCCCCAGTTTTCAGCTCTCGCCACACCTTACTCGCACCACTGCTAGCCAACACAAGCCCCCCGAGACACGCCCAGGGCTGTAACCAACTGCCATTCACTCTCACGTTTACACTTGGACGCTGCAGCCGGCTGCATGGCTGTGAACCGCAGCAGCCGGTCTTCATCCCGCAGGGCAGCTCACAGCGCCACCCAAAACACAGTCACGAGGGCCAGGACCGTTTGGCTCTCCCAGTGCACGCTCAGCAGCCCTGCGGTGGCGGTGGGCAGGGCAGCATGGACACCTGAATGCCAGCGCTGTGGCCAGGTTGGTATATGTGCAGCCACCCAGCCCCCAAGCCCCCACACACCGTCGGTCTTCTGGTTCCAGCGGCTGCAGCTGGCGGCATGCAGGCCGGCGCCGGCACGTTGCGTCAGGCTGACGTGGCAGATGTACTTCATCGGCTTTTGCAGCGCTGCCAGCTTCTTCAGCGCGCCTTCGATGATGTGGGACGTCCAGGTGCCCACCTGCGGCGGGAATGTGAGCGTCGGGGCGGGTGTTGTGTGCACTCGCTGGTTTGCCCAACACCAAATGCTTCAGCCCGCCGTGCTGCACCCCCGCACCTTGCTGTCGGCCCAGGGCGTGTCGCCGATGGTGTGCAGGATGGACTCCCGCACGATGCTGTCCACCTCTGCCTCGTCAATCAGGTCGTTCTCGTGCAGGCCGTCCAGGCCCGCCTCAAAGTCGGCCAGCGCCAGCGGGTCGAGCTGCTGGTGCGCCGCCGCCGGTGCCGCTGCCGCTGCCATTGCTGCCGGTTGCTGCGGACGCCTGCGAATTGCCTATTCGATGCTGGCGCAGCTCAGGCACGGCTTTAAGCTGCGGAAGGCGGAGTGAGAATGGCTCCGAGAGATGCTGACCGACAAGAGGATGGCTTTGCAGTTTGCAGTGACCAGTCTGTGATGCGTGGAAACAATAATCTTGGCAATGGGCTGCTGCTTCTTCTGGTCCTCGCCGAGTCTCGGCGCCCCGCACGCATTTCACGCCCATTCTATTCTTCGCAATATCATCGTCCAACCCATCTGCAACGTCCTCTGTCGCATGGGAGGGGTGCAATCGACTGTCTGATTTACCCAGATCTGCGCTCAGAGGGCTAGGACTCAAACCAGCAGTTCACATTCGGCCGGCAGCCCGCGGGCGCGGCAGCTGGCAGCTAAATGTCGGACTTTGTGGACCTCACAATCTCAGACAGCGACGGAGAGGCCCGGCGGCCCGCCAAGCGGCACAGGCGCGGGAGCAGCAGCTCCCTGGACGCCTTTGAGACCGCCCCCGAGGCAGAATCGGACGATGTGGTGCTGGTGGAGCGCTCAGAGCAGGAAGAGCAGGCGCAGCGACAGCGGGAGCGGCACGTTGATTTAGGGGACGAGGAACTGGCGGTGCTGGGCGAGCGTGGGGAAGGTGAGGAACTTGCTGGGACACCGGAGCGCATGGTTCACGCCGAGACGGCCTGCTTGGACCGCCCAAGGCAGCGCCCGTGATCAGGCGGGTGCATTGTGTTTTCCGCCGCCGCCAACTGGATGTGCCACTGCCTGCCTGCAGTGTGGAATAAGAACCTGCCACACACGCGCGACATGTGCGGAGAAGTGCCCTTTTCCAAGAGCCGCAGTGCCACCAACAAAATACACTGCGACAAGGTGAGGGCTGGACGGTGGGCCCATGCCGGTGCGCCTCGCGAAATGTTGCATTCCGGCCGCCGATCCATGTCGGCAGCTTCTGGAGCTTGCACTGCCGTGGCATGTCTTGTACCGGTCTGCAGTCAGCCCCCACTCTTCTGCAAGGCCAGGACGCGCGGTTTCCGTCCTTGCCTGTTCCCCTTCTGCTTGCTCCTTGCTCCTCTCTCATCCCCCTGCCCCAACCGCCCCGCCGCCGCCGCCCTTCCCCCACCCCCAGTGCTACTGCTACATCTGCGACTGCCCAGCGGGAGAGTGCGAGGAGTGGGGCGAGGGAGGCTCTTATGTGGATCATTGCAACGCCCACGACGACTCCGATTTTTTCCGCGGCATGAAGCGCCAGCGCAAGGCAGCCAAGGACCGCGCCGCTGCGCAGGCCGCCGCGCGGGCCGCCGCGCGGGCCGCCCGCGCGGGCTTTGGCTTTGGCGGCGGCATCAGCCCTAGCGCCGCAGAACTCATGATCATGGAGTGCGCCTTTGCGGCGGTGACGGGGCGGCCGCGCCCCGGCAGCGCCGACGTCAAGGCCGCCGCCAAGCCCGGCCTGCCACGGCCCTGCACGCTCAGGAGCATCCCTGATCCGGTCGCCGACCGCGACCTCATGCTGCTGGCCAGGATTGAGGTGGGCGTCAAGGCGCAGGGCAGCCACACCATTGCCAAGCTGCGCAAGCGGCTGGCCCCCACCGGATTCTACCTCCCTCCGGACCTGCAATCCGACGCCGGCGACAGGTGGGTGCTGGGGTAAGGGGTGCGAGGGCTGGTGGATGGGTGCTGGCAGCTGTAAGGACAGCGCGTTTGGGCCTGCATGCTGGGCCTTCGATGTATGTGCCTGCCTCCACGCTGCCTCCTTTCTCGACCATCTGCCCCTGCTGCGACCACAGGCTGCACATCGGCAACCTGTTTGAAACCCAGTGGGACCTCCAGACCAGCAAGTACTCCCCTACGCTGCTCAAGCTGAAGAAGCTGGCGCTGGAGGAGGCGCCGCCAGAGGACATCGCCACCCGTACGCGCCAGGTCAGCTGCAGGATGCAGATAGGGAGTCTGGGGAGAAGATGAATGGCTTCCTGCGGGCTTGCCAGCATCGTGCATACTGGCCGCACGTGTGTGCCTGCGCCTGCTTCTTGACCCTTCAGCCCGCCACCCGCTGCACCTGCAGGTCACCATACTGCACTATGACGGCCGGGCGCGGCCCACGACCTATGGCGTGCAGGTGGGTGGTGCAGCCAGGCGGGCAAGCGGGCATGGGTGCAGGAGGCAGCAAGAGACCTTGGGGATGGGTGCTGTGGCTCGCGGTCTGAGTTCCAGCGCCCTCTGCCGGTCGCGTTTCCTGGTGCAGGTGGGCAAGGAGGCCACAGTGCAGGAGATCATGGATGCGGCGGCGCCGCTGGCGGGCCTGGATGCCCAGGGCGAGCAGTTTGTGGCGGTGGACCTGGCCGGCGGCCTGCTGCACGCCTCCTTCCTGGCTGGCAGCCACAAAGTGAGTTGGGGGGTGGGCTGGGCTGGGGTGGGTGGCCTGGATGCGCGCTGAGTGGCGCCTGGGTTAGCAGATGCCTGCCAGCAGCCTCTGCTTGGGGCAGAGGACAGTCGGCACATCCTGCCCTCCTCGCCGCACACCTGCGGCTCCCACGGGCCATGCCTGCAGATCACCGACCGCGCCAGCAAGACGCTGAAGCTGGGCCTCTGGCGCCTACCCAAGCCCACCGAACCCGGCCCTGGCACCCCCAGCTACGCAGGTGCGGGCCGCTGGGCCGCCTCACCGCAAATACACCACGAGATGCTTTAAAACTGAAACTGTTGCCCCGCCACAGCTCCTTCCTCGCACCAACCACGCTCCTCCGCCCTCCACACCTGCCGTTGCCGCGCAGTCGTCTTCCACCGCAAGCCCAGCGGGCAGGAGCACCTCCAGTGGACCGACTACCCTCAGTGGGAGGGCGCCGGCTTCTTCACCATGGTGCCGCTGGGCAGGGCGCTGGCCAACGGCGGCAAGACCGCGGAGCGGGCGGTCCTGGAGCGCGTGATGGATGCGCTGACGCCGCTGCGCAAGGATGCAGAGGGCGCGCCGCCGCCCGCGCAGGTGCGCCGCGCGGGCCGAGGCGGCGGCCTGCGGGTGTGGTCCCACTCTGTGGCAGCGAGGGCATGTGGGGAAGGCGCACAGGCTCAGAGCGGAGTGCCCGGGCAGCTTCCCGCCCCATCCTCCTCATTTGTGCCGGCCGGTGAGGCCTGCCCGCTGCCGCTGCTGCTGCCGCCGCGTCTGCAGGCGGCCAAGGACCTGGTGGGTGCCGGAGTGCACCTCTGCCGCACCTCGTCCCACGGCGGCAGCTACAGCATGAGCGACCCTGCCGCGGAGTTCTGCATCAGCAGGCAGTACAACTCCTCCATGCGCTACGGCGAGGTCTGCTTCAGGTGAGGGGGCGCTGGGTGCCGGGGCGGGCGTCCAGGCTGGACTGCCTGGATGGGGGCACGCTGCTGCATGCTTGTTTCGGCTTTCAGGCTGGTTAATCTTGACAACACTTGCTCCACTGAGCCCCCAGGAGTTGAGTACGTGCTGGCTTGGTTTGTGTGGAAGAGCAGCTCTGATGACTCTTGTTCATGCCGCCCCGAGCGCCTGCACTGCAGGGATGGCCGCGTCTTCCTGCGCCTGGATTGGACCGCGGAGCGGCTGGCGCCGTTTGACACGCAGGCCTGGACGCACGCCGCCGTGGACGACAGCGCCTCGCCGGCGGCCATGCAGCCCACGCTCGACATCATCAAGGCGAGGGCTCATGGCTGCCCGCATCTCCCCTGCATCCTTGTGCTGCGTGTTTCATGTCCTTATGGTCCTGCGCGCTGCATCCACCAGTGCACGAGTGCATTGAGCCAGCTGCCTGCACGCCGACCGTGCCCCTGCCCCTCCGCCGCGTGTGCCTGCAGGCCCACGACGATTGGGCGGCCAAAAAGACGCGCGCCAAGCAGCTGCCGTACTCCATGCTGGAGGAGCTCAAGTCTGCGGCGCGCTGCGCGGAGCCGGGCGTCGTGTACCCGCTCCAGTGAGCAGCACGCGTCGCAGGCCCGCGTGGCGGCTTATGGCCAGCGGGCATACACCAGCCTGGGGGCCGGCAGATTGTCTGATCTGTGGTTTCGTGCTTCCCCACCTTTGTGCCTGCGGCCTTGCTCGTCAAGCCTGCCCGTCTGGCTCCCTTGGCCTGCTCTCCATGCAGCCGCAGCGCAGTTGATCCTCTGGCGCGTGTGGTGGTGGACCTTGTGCCGGATAGCGACGGGCCGAAAGGGAAGAAGGGCAAAGCGGTATTCAAGGTGAGTGGAGCAGGCGCAGCCTGCGGGTGCATTTGGGGTCGTTGGGTGCTGCGCTACCTGTTAGAGCCAGCGCTGAGCCCTGAGGGGAGCAGGTCCAAATGAGGGGCCTCAGCGCCCGCGCTCCTCATCGCTTGGTCGTGAGCTGCTGTCGAGCGCAGGTGTATGTGTGGAAGGGCGATCGCGGCCCGCCGCACCGCAACTTCTTCCGTGCCCACGACTCCTGGGATTCCGGTGGGTGGGCGCTGCCCATGCTCACCACATCTTGAATGCTTCCTGCCGTCTTGCCTCAGATGCATCTGCCCCTGCCCGCATTGCGTGCCTGCTTGCCCAAACCCAAAGCCTTGTTCAAGTTTGGCTCACCAAATCGCTGCGGCCCCGGCTGCCGTGCCCCCCCACCTGCAGGGCGCAGCTCCCGCCACCAGTTTGCAGAGCTGGGCAGCAACCCGCTCAACTCGACCATGGAAGTGATGCTGTGGGGCGACGCGGAGCACCGGGCCATGAAGGCGCGGGTCAAGGAGTGGTGAGGAGGTGGCAGATCAGCAGCCTGGTTGGCCTACTTGGGTCGGCAGGGCCTGCAGCCTCCTCATCTGCATGCCTGCTTCCCTTTGGTGTTCCTGATGAAAGGCACACTGATCGCATGCCGACCTCCTGTGCCTGCCTGCTCCCTGCCTGCTCCCTGCCACAGGTCGGACAAGGAGCAGGGCTGCGAGCGCAGCATCCCGGGCCTGATGAAGGCGTTGGAGCGTGGCGAGATGCCGGCGGCGCCTCAGCCCCCCGGCCTCACCGTCACCATGCGCCCCTACCAGCTGCAGAGCCTGCAGTTCATGCTGGACCGCGAACGGGGCGAGGGCGACTTCCGGTGGGCGGGGAGCAGCTTCTCTGTGGTCGCCACACATGCGAAACCTTGTCCCCCTGCCTGCTGACCAGTTCCACCCGAGCCCTGCTGCAGCCGCCTGTTCTGGGAGCGGCTGCAGACGCCCAGCGGCACGTGGTACTGGTGGAGCACGGTGCTGGGGCGTGCCAGCCTGGAGGTGCCGCCGCAGCAGTGGGGAGGCTTCTGTGCAGAGGAAATGGGGCTCGGTAAGGTTAGTTGCTGCCAAGATGGGGCACGAACGGCTGCGGCTGTACAACAACCACGCGGCACGCCTTCCCTCCCGCCGTGCGCCTGTGTGCAGCTCACCATCTTTTGAATCTTTCCAACCATGCATGCGTGCCTACCCATAGAGGCCGCCTCCCTGCTTCCCCTGCCTGCGCTGCAGACAATAGAGGTGCTGGGTCTCATCCTGGCCAACCCCGCGCCGCCGTTCCCGCCAGAGGGCAGGCACAGGGATGGGTCGTACCGCACAGCTGGCGGCCTGATCAAGAGCCGTGCCACGCTCGTGGTGAGCGGGCAGTGCCTGAGGGAGGCTGCTGCGGCATTGCCTGCTTGCTGCTTCAGACCAACTCCTGGCAAGCTGGCACGATGACTCACCGCCGCCACGGCTGCATGACACCTGCAGGTGTGCGCGGTGTCGCTGGTGGGGCAGTGGATCGCCGAGGCGCAGGCCAAGCTGGGCGGCAGCCTCAAGATGCACATGTACCACGGAAATGGCCGCATACGCGACCCCGTGCGCCTGGCGACGCAGTTTGACCTGGTGTGTTGGTGGCGGCCTCTGGCTGGGCCGCGTATATGCTGCGCCTGTTTACTGTGTTCCCGTGGCGGGCTGCTGAAGGGAGCAAGGCGTGGGGTCTCCTGCCCGCAATGCCGGCTCTTAACTGTCGCTGCCGCTCCTCTGACTGTCTGCCTGCTGCTGCTGCTGCTGTCGGCACATGTGTGTGCAGGTGGTGACCACATATGCGACGCTGAGCACCGATTTCGGCGGCAAGAAGGGCAATGCGCCGCCGGTGAGCGGCTGGGCGCCTGCCCCATCCCCCAGTTCCACCGTTGCCAGGGCTCGTGTCCCTGGCTGACGCCCCAACCTGCGCCATGCCCTGGCCTTTCATGTGCCCCCTTGCCTTACTCTCTTGCCTGTGCCTCCCGTCTGCAGAACTTCCCGCCGCTGGGCGCCATCGAGTGGCACCGCCTCGTGCTGGACGAGGCGCACACCGTGAAGAACGCCGCCGTGGGCCACTCCAAGGCGTGCGTGGCGCTCAAGTCGGAGCGCCGCTGGATGTGCACGGGTGAGGGAGGGCGCCAGCTCCCGCAGTGTGTGTGTGTGTGTGCGTGTCCTCTTCAAAAGCCGCCTGCCTGACTTTCTGTGCCAGGGCAGCCCGCCGTGAAATGATACTGGCCGCTGAGTTTAATTCTGCTGTGCTCCCTGCAGGCACGCCCATCAATACAGGTAACCGCTGAGGCTGCCCGTCTCCTTGCCTCTGGGCTGAGCATCATCGTGCGTTGTGTAGTCATCTGTGGGAGTATCCACTCAACTGTTTGGGTTTGCTTTGATGCGCTGCAGATGTCGGCGACTTGTATGGGCAGCTCTGCGTGCTGGGCCTGTCTCCCTTCAACATCAAGGTGAGAGACGTTGCGTTTCTGTTTTTGTTCGCTCCCCTCAGCTCCCTGAGGCATCCGACACGCTGGTATGAGCGTGGGTTTGTTGTCAGCTTGCGCCAGCACGGCGCCAGCTCAGCATCATCTTGGTGAACGCTGCCCCGCCTGCAGAACTTCTTCGACCACAACATCAAGTCCGCCTTTGGCAACAACGTGTTTGGGGGACACTGCCCGGCCCTGCTGTACACACTGGTGAGCCGCCCGCCCCAGACCCACTCCAGCTGGAAGTCTTGGACAGGCAGGATCAGTATCCCGCTCACCGCCATGCCGCCACCCTGGCTGTTTTCTCCTGCCAACAGTATGCTGCTGTTCATTAAGAATTCACATCTGCCGGGCCTGTTGCCTGTGTCCCCCGCTCGCATCGCTACAGGGCCAGGTCATGGTGCGCCACACCAAGAAGCAGGTGCTGGGCGGCGAGGAGGTGCTGCGCCTGCCTTCCAAGACCGAGGAGACGGTTGCAGGTGAGGCAGGGTGCGCTGGTGGAGTGCTGTGGGTGACAGACAGCGAGGTTGTAATGCCCCCGAATGCCTCCGAATGCCCCCAGGTCTAAACTCCCAGCTTTGCTCAATGTGATGAGCAAGCCACGCTCTGCAGCCCTCCACAACTCCATCAAACTCCAACTCGCGTCCCCTCCCGGTTGCCCGCCCCGCAGTGGTGCTAACGGAGGCTGAGCAGGAGATGTACAAAAAGGCGCATGCGGCCAGCGTGGCGCTGTTTGCGCAGTACCGTGCCCTGGGCAACGCCTGCATCAACAAGCACCTGCTGCAGATCATGGCGCTGCTGCTGCCCATGCGCCGGGTGTGCAGCGGTGAGTCTGGGGCCGTTTTGCAACACAGCAAGAGGACGGGGGTGGGGGCAGACATGCACGTGGAGGCATGGCATGGGGGGCAGGAGTCCTGGTGGATTGGCGGCGCTGGGGATGTCTGCGCTCAACTTTGTTGGGACTGTGTGCCTAGCGGCTGGGCTCTGATCCGACCTCCCTGCCCTCCCTTCCTTCCTGCCCCCTGCCTGGCCCCGCAGGCGGCACCCTCAAGCAGCGAGATCTGTCCGTCAAGGACCCTCTGTTTGGGGAGTATGCGGGGGTACGGCGGCGGCGCCTGTCCGGCGGCGCCGGCGCGGGCGGCATGGTCGCCACAGACCACTCGCTGGTGGCGCCTGAGGAGGAGTGAGTGGGGGTAGCCCGCTGGGCGCGATCCGCTGCCGCTGCTGCGTACCTGTGGGGCGAACGCGGTTTGTGATGCGCTGCTTTGGTGCACCGTTGGCCGGCATCGGACGTGCCCCCCTCGCGGGTGTTGCCATCCCACAGCGTGCGCCGCCCACCCTCGGCGCTGCCAGCCGCCACCCCCCAGTTGAGCCGAGCTGCCGCCTGTGCTGCCTCGGTGCGCTGCTGCCCCACCCCTTTTCCTGCAGGTGCGCCATCTGCATAGACATGCTGGAGAACCCATCGGTGACGCCCTGCAACCATTGGTTCTGCAGGTGTGCGCCTGTGTGGGTGGGTGGTCGTGGCGGTTTGGTGGCTTTGCGAGTGTGGGAGGGTGGGTGCAAGGCACGTACCCCAGCACCTCGTCTTTTGGGTGGAGCAAGGGCAGCTGCGGGCCTGCTGGTGGGGCCTGCTGGGATGGCTTGTGATGTCGCTCCGGCCTGCTGCCGCTCATCTGCAGGGAGTGCATCCTGGGTGTGCTGGCTGCCAATGCCAAGTGCCCTCTCTGCCGCCGCGACATCACTGCGGCCGACCTGCGCCATGGAATCACTGCGGCAGAGGCAGACGAGGAGGAGGCGGCGGCTGCCGCGGCGGCGGCCGCGGCGGGCGACAAGGGCAAGGCGCCTGTGGGCGAGGGCGGCGGCAAGGAGGCGGGTCCGGAGCCCGCTGTGCCGCACGCAGAGCCGGTGTACGTGTCGGAGAGCAAGCTGCAGGCGCTGCTGAAGGAGGTGCGCGGCTGAGGTGGCGGCTGAGCTGGCGGGGAGAGCAGCAGGCAGCAACCAAAATGCCCGACCGCCTTGCCTCCCTCCCCAGGAGGCCCAGCAACCCGCTGCCTTGCCTGCTTAACCCCCACCCTTACCTCCCACAATGCCACCCCAACCATATCCTCACACCCGGCGCTCCACCCGCTCACCTGCAGCTGCGCTCGATGCGGCGGGCCGACCCCTCCGCCAAGGCCCTCATCTTCTCCCAGTACGTCACCACCATCGAGTGGCTCAAGACGCGCCTCACCCAGGCCGGCTTCGGCTACCGCTTCATCTCGGGATCCATGCCGCTCAAGCAGCGCGCCAAGGCCATCAACGCTTTCCAGCAGGACCCGCCCACCACGGGTGAGGCGGAGGCTGGGGCGGCGGCTCGGGGTGGCGCGCCTCACCCAGGCCGGCCCCCGGCCTGTGGCTTTTGCTGCCGGCCGGGTGGCCGGCGAGCGGGCGAGCGCTTGGTGCAGCAGCCGCGCCCTTTTCCAATACAACCACGCGCGCCGCGAACGCCGCCCTCTCGCCATGCCCCCTCGCCTCCCTCCTTGCAGTCTTCCTGCTCAGCATGCGCAGCGGCAGCGTGGGCATCAACCTCACCGCCGCCTCCCATGTCTTCCTTATGGAGCCGGCACTCAACCCGGCCCTGGAGGAGCAGGTGTGCGTCGGGGTGCTGGCGCGCAGGGTCTGCTGCCGGCTTGTTACCCACCTTAGAAGCGGTCAGAGGAGGTTGGGGCAGGGGACCCACGCCTGGCGTGAGGCCTCGGAGGGCCCGGTTCTCTGTAATCTCAGTCGGTCGATCAGTCGGAGGTCGCTGCGCCGGTGCACAGGCCTGCCATCCCGACGGTTGCCCCCATGCATGGCTGCCTGCCCTGCAGGCCATCGGCCGCGCCTGGCGCATGGGCCAGCAGCGCACGGTGACGGTCAAGAAGTTTTACGTCAAGGCGAGCCCCGGCCCGCTGCCTGCCCGCCCCGCAGCTCGCGCCCTGGTGCAGCGGCTTGCCCCGCATGCGGTGCCTCGCCCCCACCTGCTCCCAGCGCCAACCCCAACCACTCCAGCCACCTCGACCCGCCTTCCCCATCCTGACGTCCCCCACCACACCACGCACCCTGCCCCACACGCAGGGCTCTGTGGAGGAGCGGATCATGGAGGTGGTGAAGCAGCGCACCGACGCGGTGGCAGGCGGCGGCGCAGGGGCAGGGGCAGGCGCAGGCGACGACGAAGACAGCGAGTACGAGAATCACTTGCCCACCCGCATTCGGTCGCGGCAGCAACGCACCAACGTCCGCATGCAGGTGAACGCCGGCGCCGGCTCCCGGGCCTGGCGAGGACCCCGGGCGGGCAGAGCAAGCGGCCGTTTGGGGCGGGCGCGATGCGGCCCGCGGCCACCGACCGAGCCGCCGGCTGCCCGCTGCTTCTGCGCTGCCGTTTGCTGAGCCTGCGGCGTCCTGTTGCAGCAGCTGAGCCTTTGGCTCGTTCCTGCCTGCCCGCCTCTGCCTCGCAAAAGCAGGTGCTGGCCCTGTGTCCCGCTGCCTCTCTCCACCCCGGTGGCCCCCTGCCTCCCCGCCCCGCCCCGCCCTGCCCTGCCCCGCAGGACCTGGTGGGCTCCATCAACGCCGACCGCCAGCAGCTGCGCGTGAGCGAGCTGGAGGTGTTGTTCCAGGTGGGTCAGGCTGGGCTGGCGGCAGGCTTTGCTGGTGGGGTTGCATGTCAGTCCGTCCCTGTGCTGGGGTGGCCTGGCCAGGCCTGTACTTATCATATATATACAGGGCCTGGCAGTGGACAGCAGCCCAGGAGCTGCGTGAGGTTGGTGTGGGGTTTATCCCTGGCCCGAAACACAGCGCTGTAACGATGCGTGCGGCGCTCGGCCTTGCGCCCTTTGCCGCTGCAGGAGCCTGCGTTCCCGGCGCCGCGCGTCCCGGAGAGCGACAGCGAGGATGAGGAGGAGGATGCGAGGGCGGCGGCGGGGATCGCCGCCGTGGCAGCCCACCGCGCCGGCACCAGCCGCGCCCACGCGGCGCTGGGCGGCAGCTACCCCCGCCGCGGCGCCGGCAGGCACCTGCGCAGGGTGGGCCGGGCGGCGGACAGCGAGGAGGAGGAGGGGGAGGATTGGTTTGAGGAGGAGGCGACAGGGGCGGCGCCGGGGCACGGCGCTCGGGAGGAGCCTCTGGGGCGGGGCGCCCGCCGCGCCACCCGCCGCGCCCGCCCCATAAACTATGCTGAGCTGTCGCGGGGCGAGGACAGCGAGGTGGAAGGCGCGGAGGACGAGGAGGAGGAGGGCGGCAGCGACGATGGCGGCGAGGACGAGGCGGCGGCGCCGCCGCCGCGCCAGGTGCAGCAGCGCCGTGGCGGCGGCGGCATTCGCGGCCGCAAGCGCAAGCGGCTCGGCGGCGGCGACTCGTCAGATGAGGAGTGGGCAGCTCCCCAGGAGGAGGAGGAGGAGGAGGCGGCGGCCAGGTGCCCGAGGAATCGCCCGCAGCCCGCCTGCCTGCCTGCCTGCCTGCCTGCCTGCCGCACCCAGCCACGGCACCCACCCGGTGCTGCTGGGGTCACTGCATACGCTGCCTGAGCACTCCCGTTTGGCAGGCCTGGGCCGTGGAGCCTGACACTGACGCCGCTTCCCTCTCCTGCCTGGGTTGCTCCCTCCTGCCTGGCTCCTGCTGCTGCAGGGCGGCCTCTAGTGAGGATGAGGACTTCTCCCTGGAGGAGGAGGAGAGCCTAGAGCTGGAAGAGTGGGAGCGCCCCGCGGCACGGAGGCGCAGCGCGGCGGCCAAGGCGCGCGCCTACGGCAGGCAGGCTGCGGCGCGAGGCACGGCGGCGGCGACGGCGGATGGCACGGATGGCGAGGAGGAGGCGGCGGGCGAGGGGCGGCAGCAGGAGCAGCGGGAGCAGCAGGAGCAGCGTGGAAAGCATGGCGGCCGGCAGGAGCAGGAGCAGCCCGCCGCACGCATCAGGAGCGTGCAGGTCGGTAGCCAGCCGGCGGTGGCGGTGCCGCCTCTCAGCAGCCGCCCAGGCAGCGCCTCGGGGCGGCTCAGCTCTGGGGAGCCTGCCGTCGCGCCCGCCAGCGACGCGGCAGCGGCGGCCACCGCCGCGCCGGCCGTCGCCGATGGCAGCCTGCCCCGCCTCGTGGTGCGCGGGCCCAAGCGCGGCCACCGGGTGGCGGCCTTGATGGCGCACCTCACCCACCCCGCATCTGCTGAACCCGCCGCCGGCGACGGAGCGGCAACAGATGCCTAGGGACTAGCACAGGAAGAAGAAAGCCGCTAGATCAGCTCGCAACACCAAACCCAGCACCTTGTAGCCAAATCTCCCCTAGTCTAGCGCTCAGCTTGCTTTGCCTATTTGTACATATCCCTTGTCCATATCTGCCTTTACCCTCTGCCTCTACATGTTTGAAATTCAGGAATCTGTGTGAAGCGTCGGGGCCAGGCGTGCCTTGCCCTGACCCAGCAGGCCCCCCTGTAAAGCTGCGGCGCTGAACCCAGGCGGGCAAGCGGGGCCGCCACGCGAGGCGGCGAAAAATGGCGGGCAGCGAAGAATAGCGGGCCGGGAGGCCGCCAAAATGAAAGGCTGCACGACAGCGGGGATGCGGTAAGGCGCAGGGAGGCTGTGCTGCCGCCACTGGGCCAGCCGCCTCTCAGCTGAGCTGGCTGGCTAGGTGGCCAGGTGCGTCAGTAGTCTTGAGGCAGCGCCTTGGGGATGGGCATGGCGGGCCGCAGGATGTGGCGGTACTGCAGCCAGCGCGGGCGCACCAAGCAGGCCAAGGATGAGGCAGTCGGGCAGGACAAGAACACCGACCACTGCATCAGCATTGGTTGCCTGCCTGGAAACGCGTGCGGGGACCCAAACCATGTGCCACACGCCACCCATACAAGCGACAGCCCACCTGATCGATGTGCGCCAGGATGAGCAGCCGCGGCCCCGCCGGGATGCGCACCTCCTGGCAAGTGGGGGCAGGCAGGGGCACCGAGTGGTCGTTGGGACAGGTCGGCGCAGGGTCAACGCCAGGAGCCAGCCGAGCGGCAGCTTCTGCCTGCGCCATGCGCGCCACCTGCCGCACCAGCCCACACCCGCGCCCCACCTGCAGCGCCGCATTGTCCCAGAGGCCTATGGTGGTGTCGTTCAGCATGCCCTTCCTCACATTCTTCTCGTATTGCTGCAGCCAGGGCAGCAGGCGGCAGGCGTGAGGGGCCAGGCTAGCTGGCCTGCAGCGCCTAGGGATCAAACCCAATCCCAGACAACCACAGGCCACGGGGGCGCATAGCCCATGAAACGGAAATTGGCGGCAAGCCGTCGGCGAGGCTGCCAAGCGGCAGGCTCGCTCACCGGCAGGTTCAGCGAGGTGAGCATGGCCTTGACGCGGGCGTACTCTGTGTCGGCCGCCTTGGGACCAGACCAGATCTCTCCCAGCTGCGGGGGAGAGGGGCGGGCACAGAGCACGCATGTTGGCAGCTGTCGGCACTCGCATTGTCTTCAGCACCTATACATGTACATCCTTTCAACAGGCTGTTTTGCTAGAGGGCACGATGAGGGACCCCGGTAGCCAGCCAGCCAGCCGCAGCCCACCTTGAAGAAGGCGCCCTGAAACAGCGCAAACACGACGCCCGCGGAGAAGGCCGCCATGAGCGGGTTTGGCGCGGCCGCGCCGGGCACGGCCGCTGGGTTGGAGATGCCGCCGGAAACCAGCGAGAAGCTGGCGCCGCTGAAGAAGCCACCTGCACAGGGCGGTGTGCCGGCAGGAGGGCAGGGAGCACAGCCGAGCGTCACAGCCTGGCTGTGAGAGCTTGTCGGCGCGCCGCATCCAGTGGCACTCAGCGACAATGCCACCGCGGGCCCTACTCTACAGGAGCCCTCTCCTTGGGCTAGCCGGCTTCCTGCCGTGCTGCCGCCACGGCTCGCTGTTCCAAGCCCAGCCCGCAGCCACGTCCGTGGCCCCGCAGCAGCAGCAGCGACTCGCCTACGAGCTGGTTCTGCACGTCCTCGCGTCCGCCGCGCCAGCGCTTCATCATCGCCTGCACCCCCGCGTTCACGCCCGTCATCACCGCAAAGTTGCGGGCCTGGGTGACGGGGCCGCCCATGTTGAGCATCTGAGGCGCCATGGGCGCGCCGCCTGCGCGTGCAGACAGGGACGGCAGCGAGCAAGTCAAGCCACGCAACGCGCGGGACTTTCTGTGCACACTGGCTGCCCCAATCTGGGTGTGGTTGCCGGCCCAGGCACACCCAGATTGGGGCAGGCATGCCCCCGCTCCAGTGCAGCAGCCGCAATTCACAGTGGCAGGTGCAGGTGCATGCATGCGAACAGAAGCATCAGGCTGTATCGGGCCGCTCACTTGAGGCTGCTGCCTCCATGTTCATCTTGCCCATCGTGCCCATGATCAGGCCCAGGAACAGGCCCTGCATTTGAAGAGCCAGCGACGGCGAAGTCGGCGGTTTGCAGGCATGACGGGACAGGAGGCAGCTCACAAGCATAAATGGCAAAGGACAGAGCAACAACGTCAGGATATTGCAGCACATCGCCTGCACAGCGCAGACCGCGGCTATCTAGAGGTGCAAGCAGCACAGGGCGGGCAGGCGGCAGGCAGCACCGGCGGCTCAGCGCACCTGGCCACTGCCCTTGATGCCCGCCACCACGCCCTCCACCCACGCCGGCTGCTTTGCTGTCCAGACATCCAGTTTCTGCTGGACCTGCAGGATCCGCGGAAGGAAGGAGGCCAATGCGTGACACACGCTTCCAAAAGCCGAAGCGACCCACAGGCAGGCAGGGCCGGCGCCGGGCGGCAAGTGATGGAGGCGAGCAGGAGTGGCCAGCGCCCTAGCGGCGGGGCTGGCGCACTCCAAGCCGCCGACTGGGCCGATATGGGGCAGCAGCAACGGGAATGCGCTGCTGCGGTGACTGGGCAGGGTGGGATGGCTCAGCGGCGAGGCCCTGCCGGCATTGTTTACAGCTAGATCGGCCTGCCAGACCCACCTCGGCGGGTTTCTCGGCAAAGAAGGTGCGAATGGCTGTCAGGGGGTCTGGCTGCGCAGTTGCCGCCATCGCGGCTATGGGGTGTGCTGATGGATGGATTCAGCAAGGTGAAACTGGCGTTTGGGGGGCAGGCAGGAATAATGCAATGCATGCCAACCTGGCGCGGAGGATGAAGCCCAAAATCCTCGCAAGGGCGAAGACGAGCACCCCTCTAAGCACACCACTGCAATCTCTGCACTCGGACATCGCAATCCACGCCGCTGCCGCGCCCAGCGAGCACCCCACCCGCACTCCTCTCTGCAGCACGCTGGCTGCAATGCTGGCCTCCCATCTCAGCAGCAGTATCAGTAACAGCACGGTAGCAGCAGCAGGTGGGCCAGGGAGTAGGCGTGCCGTCGCGGTGCCTTGCCCGCCGCTCCGCCCGCCGCCGCCGCTATCACCGTCCAGCTGCTTCCACGATGCATGCCATCCCTGCCATATGCAGCAGGTGCACATGCGCAGCGCGGCAGCAGCCTCACAAGTTGCCCCGCCCAGGCGCGGCAACGCAGCCAACCACGACAGGCGTCGCGGCGGCCGGTGCAGACTCGGGCACAAGGGTGCGCTGCAACACCCCTGCAGCGCAATTGGTCGTGCTTTATGGTGACAAAGCATGATGTGTCCTGCAGAGTCGTCCTGCAGAATCCCAGCGTGGTGACCTGCCTGCGTGTGTGCCTGTTTGCCACCGTACGGTGCTTGCAGGGAGGGGCTGGCCGACAGCATGAAGCGAATGGCCAAGCAGGTGACTGGCGCGCTGCCCATCATTGGCCTCATCTCACGACTCACTGCCACAGAGGGCGGCATTGGCAACGATGCGCAGGCAAGCAGGTCGCCTGGCACATGCCGCATCGCTGCCCGCTTGCATGCCTCAGCGCCTGGAAGGGCTGCAGTGCTCAAACCGTGCACAACGTATGCATTCAATTCAATCTGTGTCTCCTCTTGCTGTGCAGGCATACCCTGAGTACTGCCGCCAAGTGTTTGATGCCGCGCCGCTGGGCTTCCAGGTGGCGGTGGCCGAGCTGCAGACCAAGTATGGCAAAGTGAGCGAGAGCTATGGCACTGCCGCTTTGCTTGAGATTCCCGCAGTTGCCGCTCAGCTAACCCATCCGACATCATGTGGCCTGCCGCCCGACCGCTGCCGCCCTCCCCGACTCGACCGCAGGCAGCGCAGCGGCGCTACGTGCTGCTAGCGCTGTGGATGGCGCGGCACGGCGCGGGCGTCGTCCCCGGCAAGGCGATTGTGGACGCGGCGCGGCGCCTGCGCGTCTCGTGAGTCTTTTCTGCACGCCCAGCCGACCTGCTGGACCGGAAGGGGCTGTCCCTTTGCATGCTTCTGTTGTGCCCCGCTTCCACGCCCCTGCTCCTCCTTCTCAGACTTGCTCTCTTCTCATACCTCTTCCCGCCTTTCTCATCTAAACCTTTCTCATCTGGCCACTGCAGCTCCGACCTGGAATTTGAGATGGAGCGCTTCTCCGAGGCCCTGGCGGAGCAGACAGCCAAGTACACATACATGGAGAGACCCCGCGGCAGCCTGGCGCAGCAGGTGTGTGGCACTCAGGCCGGGATGGTGTTGCTGCTTGAGAAGCTGCAGCCAATCACGGACTGAGCTGCTGCAGCCGGCAGCCTGGGGACCTGCTTGCGCATTGGCATGCACCCTGCTGGCATGGCATGCACTCTTGAGTTGCTCTCGTCACGGCTTTCAAACCACCGTCTCTCCTTCCCTTCTCGTCCCCGGGCAGGCCGATGTGGCAGTGGATGCAGTGGTGCGCCTGGTGCTCGGCCTCAAGGACGGGCAGCCGGTGCCGGCAGAGGATGCGGCGCTGGTGGAGGAGTGCGTGGCGGGCGGCTTCTGGGATGTGCCCGGGTTCAAGGAGGAGGTGCGGCGCAGCGTTGCGGAGCGCGAGCAGCGGGCCGCAGCATACGCCGCGTAACGGCTGGTTTAGGGATCAAGCCGGGCAGGTTTGGTGACGCATGAAAGATTGCCGGGCATCGCGTGTACCTTGGCTGAGCGGAGCCTCCTGAACTGAAGCCAGATGCTGCAACTATGACATTGCATTGAGCGATTTACAGCATGTAGGAAAAGGGAGTACAAGAAGGGGCAAACAAACACCTGCTTGGGGCAGGGCACCTTGCAGGCTGATTTGTGCCTTTCAGCGAATCTCCGGCACGGCCGGCAGCTGCTGCAGCTGGGGCAAGCTGCTCAGCAGGCGCCCGCGATTGTTGAACACAGCAAAGTCGGTTCGCAGCGGCCGCATCACCACCGTCCTGCACGCGGGGCGGGACGGGCGCCGAGGGGCACGCTGGTGGATGGGCGCTGGGCTGGTGCCGACCGTCTCTCAACCTGCCAGCCCCAGCATCCATCCAACACCCGCCAGCAGGTGTGCCCACCGCGCACCGCCTGCACTTACTTGGGCGCATCTGAGATGCGGATGGGCCTGAAGGTGCCAGACACCTGCAGCCCGCCGAGAGCGCACACTGCCACCGCCGCCGCCAGCTGCGCCAGCAGCGCCAGCGGCAGCGCCTCAAACTGCTGCTGCGTCAGCCTCAGGTTCTCGCGGTCTGCAGGGGCGCGCGAACTGGGATTGAGGGGCGATCCAGCCAACTTGGGAACGCCGGAGAGTTGAAGAGCAAGCGGCATTGGGAGGGAGGGCGGGCGGGTGAGGCGGCAGTGAGGCGGCTAGGCCGCCCTGTCCCCGTGCGTTCTGCCCACACCCTTTCCGCTCACATGTCATCGCCTGGTAGCCCGTGATGGCCAGCGCTGCAAGCCCCAGAAGCACCAGCAGCTTGCCAGCGCCTCTGCCGGCCGCCATGTCGCGTGGTGACTGCTGCAAGCCGTGCTGCTGTCACGAGTATGCCAGAGGGCGGAGGGAGGCTGAGGAGGGGTGCCAATCAGCGGCAATCAAGTGGGAGCAGGGAGCGCAGGATTGGGCAAGCAAAAGGGAGATCGAGGAATCGAGTTGTACGCATCGAGGCGCGCGATGGGCGGAGAGACAGCATGCTCCTACACCGCCACCTCCCGCCCGACTGGCAGCGCCGCCATCGGCAACCCGCCGGGCCGCCATTTGCATGTGCCCTTGTGTTTGCAGGTGCCATCAAGTACAACACATGGAAGGTACATACATACATATTGGGCTTAGATTGCAGAAGCACGCTACATGGGAGGGACAGCTTGACGGCCCACTGACGCCATCTTGCTCGGAACGTGTTGTTGGGAAAAGAGGGGCAAACTGAGGTGGAGGCAGGCTTGCGTGGAGATGCTTGAATCATCTCTGAGTGCATTGGAAAAGAGGGGCAACGTGAAGATGGATGTTTAACAGGTACACATAGAACATCAAGCTGTCGGCGGCTGCTGTTCGCATGGCTGTGCTGCAACCCACCGTCTCCAGGCCGCTGGCTGTTGATCAGCAATATGACCTGCCAGCACCATGGTCGGCTTTCGCAAACACAACACAGGACTCAGTCTCTGCTTTGACTCATGTGGGTACGTTTTGGGTCAACATGGCAGCGGTGTCATTATAGAAAAAAGTAAAAATCCATGCAGATGAGTTAGCAGAGTGTGTATGCAATCAGACGGTGCGTATGTGGTGTACAACAGGACATGCAAAGCAAATAGGGTGCCAGAAGGACAGGCAGGGATGCAATTCGGCGGAAACAGCAGAAACAAGTGCCGAGGTCAAGGAAGCCTAGAACAGGCGGCTCTGGGCGGCCAGCGCACGGTTAACCGTCATCCAAACAGCGGCAGCCAGCTGCGCCGCCGCCCCATCTGCTGCTCCATGAACTGCAGCCGCTCATCCACGCCGTGTAGCTGTTTGGCAATCGTGCGCAGCTCCTCCCGCAGGTCCTGCAGGTGGTGGCAGGAGCAGCAGCAGTGGCAGTGTTATGAGGAGCAGCTGCCAGCATCTGATGCGCCTGACTGCGTGCCTGAAGCAGCCGCCAACCGAGCAGGGAGGCAGCATCTGTGCACCTTCGCCTCGCCCCTGTTCCATGCTGACCTCCATGCAACAACTCGCCTTTTCCGCCCTGAGGTGCCGCTCGTGCAGGTCCCGTATCGCTTGCCTCTCCGCCGCCTCCTTTTCTTTCTTCACCGCATCCTCCTTGTTTTTGCGGTGCAGCTCAACACCCAGCAGCACCACGCCCATCTGCGCAGCAGCAGCGCAGGCGCCAGCCGGAGCGCGGCGGCGGGAGTTGAGCAAGGGAGCCATGGCTAGCTGGGCAGCCCTGAACCTGCAGCCCCACAGTCTACAAGCTCCCACACAGCCTCAGCATACTCTCCTGCTCCCTCTGTCACTCCCAGGCCAGCATGGCCAGCACCAAATCTCACCCCGTAGAGGAAGCCCTCCGACACCACCTTGCTGGCCAGCTCCATCGCCTTCTCCTCTGTCATGCTCGCCACAAACGCCTTGCCGGTGCGCCCCTCCGCGCCGCGCGTGATGCCCACCTCCATGCGGTGGATGCGCTGCACAGTGAGGTACACGTGGCAGCAGGCGTCAGAGATGAATTTGCAGGCGACTGAGACCTGCTCCTGCGTGCCTGCCTGCACCGCCTCCCCAGCCCGGTGCACACGCTGGCACCTGCAGTCCCCTGCCCCGGAGGTGGCTTGCCTGCGCAATGTCGATGACCCTAGTGCGCCACACCGGGTGGCTCATGACCACCTTTTCGAACCGTGTGGCCAGTGGCTTGGCTGCCGTCTTGAGCGTCAGCAGCGCCACCTGTGTGTCACACGCACACGTGCGTGCAGCAGTCAACGAGTTGCCCGGCAGCTTCAGCAGCAAGGCGGGGCAAGCTATGGAGCAGCAGAATTGCGGCATGTTGCAGACCAGTTCACACACCTTGAAAATCATGGCCGCCATGGTGCTCAGCTAACTACGGCTGCTGCCACCGCCCAATCGGTGCCGGAACCCGCCCCGCTGCAGGCGGTGATTGAGCTCCGCTGCCGCTACGCCCGCTGAGCCTGCACGAGCGTGTCTGCACCGCGTTGCCGTGAGCAATTGGCAGGCTCGCGCCCAGCAAGCTACTCGAGACTTGCGAGGGCAACCCGCGTTTACCTAACCCTGATAAAGGAAACGTGCGCCCTGGGCACCCAGTACGTTAAACACACCGTGGAGGACGCCGAGCAATGCCCATTAGCGTGTTTGAAGTATATTTTAAGGGGTCTGCTTCGCCTGCTGTGCCACCTCCCACCCGACCCATCCACATGGTGCACGTAGCTGCCATGCTGCTCCGCTGCCACTGGACCAGATCACAGCTGTATCCCTTTGCGTGCTCCCCGCCGTCAATGCGCCACTGTTGAGGAGATATGCAGGCAGCCACCGCAGTCAGCACAGCCCCAGTGGCTGGCAGCCGCAACGGAGCATTCCCTGCCCCGAGCAAGAGGCATGCACCGCCACGCCGGCGCCTGGAAGCTCGGGCCGCCACCGAGGAAAAGGTGAGGGGCCTGTGCCGGCCAGTTGCGGTCAATTGGCACCCTTCTCACAGTATGAAATTGCACCAGGACTCCATCGCAGCGCCCCGCTCCTCCATCAGGCGCCGTCTGCCTTGAGCAGCTGGTGGTGCTGCTATCGCCGCCGCCGCCGCCATATCGTTGCGTGCCTGTCTTTGTTGGGCCGCAAGCTCTATCCTATTGGCCGCCGCTCATTGGCCACTGCTCCGCCAACTCCACACCCGCAGGAGGAGTATGACCTGAATCAGAAGATCGACACCGGCAAGCTGATTGATGCGGCAGGGGCGGGGCGCTCCATGTTCAGCCCGGGCTGGCTCACGCAGCTCAACCAGCTGTGGGGCGGCAAGTCGGTGCGCGCGGCTGCCCCCCACCTGGCAGCCCTGCACCTGCGGAAAGCGGTGGCCTGGCCTGCTGCGGCTCCTGCCCCGTTCCTGTTGCCATGACGCCGTCTGCAACTGCATGTTTGTCAGGGAGGGGTTGACAAGCTGCACGAGGGTGAGCTGCCAGGCACACCCACCGCCCGCCGGCGCCGCCCCATGAACGGCGCTGCAGAACGTGCCGGTGGCCAACGCCAAGCCCGAGGACATCCAGGACCTGCTGGGAGGCGCTCTGTTCAAGGCGCTGTTCAAGTGGATGGTGGAGTCGGGGCCCGTGTACCTGCTGCCCACGGGTGGGTGGCTGGGTGGGTGGCGGGTGGAGAGGTGAATTGGGGTGGCCCGCTGCGCGGCAGGCGAGGCGCCGGCTATCTTTGGTAGGCGCTGACCAGCAGCATTGGCTGCGGACGGAGCAAGGAGACTGGGCTTCCCATCCGTTTTTAGTAAGCGAGGTGGCCTCGGGAAGGGTGCCTCTGGGAGCCCCTACAAGTGCTGCTTGTGTGCACGCACTTGCTCCTGCAGGCCCCATCTCTTCCTTCCTGGTCATCTCAGACCCCGAGTGTGCCAAGCATGTCCTTCGTGCATCAGGTACGGCCCCCCCCTGGCTGCCTCCCTGCTCCACTCTGCACGATGCCTGTCACATGCAGTTCACAGAACCACTGGTGGCGACGTCGTGGCAGTGGTGGCGTGTGCCCCGCCAGCCTGCCGTGCCGCCCAGCAGCTCTCGGCTCTCAAGCTGGCCGCTTTTGCCATGCGCCTTGCCATTCAGACAACCCTAGCCGGCCCATCTACGAGAAGGGGCTGGTGGCGGAGGTGTCGCAGTTCCTGTTTGGGGAGGGCTTTGCCATCACGGGCGGCGAGCAGTGGCGCGTGCGCCGCAAGGCCGTCGGGCCAGCGCTGCACAGGTGTGGTATGGAAATATGGTTTGGCTGCTGGTCTGCCCGGCCTGCCATCGGCACCATGGCGCCTTTTGTACTCCCCGACTGCTGAGCGCTTTGCTAGCATGGCCTGCCGCCTTCACATCCATCCACTGGCCCACCTGCTGGCTGCAGGGGCTACCTGGAAGTGATGCTGGACCGGGTGTTTGGGGAGTCGGCGCTGCACCTGAACAAAAAACTGGAGGTGGCGGCCGCCTCGGGTGCGGCACCTGCATGTGTGGGGCGTGTGTGTGCCCCCATGCCTGGCCCCACGCCGCGCCCCACCCCTGGCCCGCAAGGCCACGTCCACCTGTCCCTGGGGCTGCCGCCGCAGGCGAGCCCATCGACATGGAGGCCTGTTTCAGCCAGCTGACGCTGGACGTCATCGGCAAGGCCGTGTTCAACTACGATTTCGATGCCCTCAACAACAACACGCCCGTCATCCAGGTGGGGGTGCAGGCCACAGCCAGAGCGTGGGCAGTGGGGTTGGGTGGTGAGGTTGAAGCGTTCAAGGGTGGGGTGTGCAGGTGGAGTGCGAGCAGGGCACGAGCCGCAGGCTGCCAGGAACGAGCTGGGTTGTGCCAGCAAGTGCCCACCCCGCAAATACACACGCCCAGCTCTCACCTCTTGACCACTCCGCCCCGCCCCGCCGCGCCCCGCCCCGCCAGGCTGTGTACACGGCCCTCAAGGAGACCGAGACGCGCGCCACCGACCTGCTGCCGTACTGGAAGTACCCGCTGATCAACCTGTTTGTGCCGCGCCAGCGCAAGGCGGCCGCCGCCGTGGAGCTGATCCGGTGGGTGGCTGCGGGGGAAGGACCGTGTGGTGGTGGTGGTGGTGGTGGTGAGCAGTGGTTGGCTGGAGCAGGCAAGGACGCTATGCCTGCCTGCCTGTTCGCATCTCTGCGTATTTTTGTCGCCTGAACTGCTCAGCTGAAGCCGTCTGTGCAATCATCTCCTCCCACCGTGGCCCTGCCCCGCTTCCCGCCCCTGCCGCAGGCAGACCACGGAGGAGCTGATTGCCAAGTGCAAGGCGATGGTGGATGCGGAGGAGGCGGCCTCGTTTGAGGAGGGCTACATCAACGATGCAGACCCCTCGGGTGAGGCCATCCCTACCGTCAGCAGGGGGCAGGGATGCACACCCCTGGGCCAGAGGGCCAGCGGCGACCTGCGGGGGGTGTCGGTCGGGACCGGCCGGGTGCCCCCTGCTCTCCCTCCCGCTGCGCCCTGCTTGTGCCTTCACCAACCCTCCCTTCAAACAACCCACACCCCACCAACCCGCCCTTCGCAACCCCCCACCCCCCACGCCCTGCCGCCCCCAGTCCTGCGCTTCCTCATCGCCTCCCGCGAGGAGGTGGGCTCCCAGCAGCTGCGGGACGACCTGCTGTCCATGCTGGTGGCGGGGCACGAGACCACGGGGTCGGTGCTGACCTGGACGCTGGACCTGCTGGCCAGAAACCCAGAGCAGATGAAGAAGGTGCGCCACCTTGAGGGCACAGCACGCGTATACATGTATAGCGTGTGTCCTTGTATTGAATTGTTATAAGCGGCCCCGCCCCCACAACGGCCTGCCCGCGACGCCGCCGCTGCCGCAGCGGCTACAGCAGCTGCGCCGAGCGCCAGCAGGTGCGCTGCGCCGAGCCTGCGCCGCTTCCTGTTCCCTGCGTGGGCCTGCAGGCGCAGGAGGAGGTGGACCGCGTGCTAGCGGGCAAGTCCAAGCCAAACATGGGTGAGCAAGCCTGCCAGCTGGCGTCGACAAGCGGGAGGGCCAGCCTGGAAGCCATGCGGCATGGTGGCGGCAGTTGTGCGCTACAGTGTCGCCGTGACATGCTCGCTTGCCACCCAGCCCCGCCTTGCCCCGCCCCACCCCACCCTGCAGAGGACTACATGGCGCTCAAGTACTGCATGCGGTGCGTCAACGAAAGCATGCGGCTGTACCCGCACCCGCCCGTGCTGCTGCGCCGCGCCATGGTGCCCGATGAGCTGCCGGGTGAGTGAAGAGGGGCCGCTGCCGCTGTGACCTGTGCAGAGGGGGCACTTGCCTTGCGGGTCCATCTCGGCAGGCAGGCACGCTGTGATGCGCCACTCACGCGCAGCGCTCTCAGCGCTGCCGCCAGCATCCCTCTTGCCTCGCTCGGCCTTGGCACCCTCAGACGGTGCATCCGTGCATGGCCCTGCCCGCCCCTCCCACCCCTGCAGGCGGCCTCACGGTGCCGCAGGGCCAGGACGTGATGATAAGCGTGTACAACATCCACCGCTCCCCCGCGGGTGCGGCCACCCTGTCCCAGCGGGCTTCTGGCTTTGCAGCTTTACATTTCAACTCCCCTGCCCTTGCTCCCCCAGCTCGAGCCCCTGCCGCGGGCCCGCTCCTGCCGCTGTTCCGGCTGCGCGCGCCTCAGCAGCCAAGCAACCGGCCGCCCTTCCCCCCCACTAGACTGGATGCCTCCCACCCTCGGGCCCCGCGCCTGCAGTGTGGGACCGCCCCGACGACTTCCTGCCCGAGCGCTTCCCGCTGGATGGCCCCGTGCCCAACGAGCAGAACACAGACTACAAGTACATCCCCTTCAGGTGGGGAGGGTGGGTGGGGGGCAGGTGTGCCATGTGCATGCGTGTGGCAAGATGAGGCACAAGGGAGGCGGAAGTTGGGCGGGCGCCAGGCCCTGGCCGTGGGCAGGGAGAGCGGCCTGGCGCCGCTCCGCTGCCCTGCCTTGCCCTGCGCGCGCGGCTCGTCTGCCACCCCGCCTCACCCGCTCCATGCCCCCGCCTGCCCCTGCGCAGCGGCGGGCCGCGCAAGTGCGTGGGCGACCAGTTTGCGCTGATGGAGGCGGTGGTGGCGCTGGCTGTCATGATCAGGGAGTTTGATTTTGCGCCCCAGCCCGGCCACGACCCCGGCATGACCACCGGGGCCACCATCCACACAAAGAACGGGCTGTACATGACAGTCGCCAAGCGGCGGCCGGGCGGCGGCAGCAGCTGCAGCGGGGGCGCGGGGGCGGCCGCGGCCGCGGCGGCGGTGGGCGCGGCGTGAGGCGTCGAAGAGATGCTGCCGAGTGATGAGACCTCGTGCTCGTTTTTTCGCTCCTCTTGACGCTATTTAATTGTGCCCCATTCATGCATGGATGCCCATGCAAGCTGCTCATCATCCCTCTGCTGCCAAAGGTCGTCGAGGTGGCGCGACGGCGGGGGCGGGGTTGCACGCTGGTGTCGGTGCTGGTGCTGGGGATGGGGGCACCGCCAGCCTTCTGAGGAGTGGACGCCTGCGGTTATTTAAATCCAACATAAAATGGGTAGCAGTGTGTAGGATAGACCACAGACTGGTACAAACAGTTAGTAACAAATCAGTGAACACAGCACACAGTGAAGTGACATATCCTGCCGCCCCATGCGCTGCTTGAAGCTGCGCGGCTCCTCCGGCCGGCGTGCCGCTCAGGTGAGCGAGGTGCGGCGCTTGATGGTGTCCACATCCCGGCGCAGCCCCTGCACCTCTGCCAGCACCGCCGCCAGCAGCTGCGCCTGGCGCACAGACCCCGACGCGTCCGCGCTGGCCGCCGCCGCCGCCGCCGCGACGGCGGCCGCCGCCTCGTGCTCCTGCTCCTCCACGGCGCGATCCAGCATGGCGAGGGCATGCTGGGTAGGCAGGCGGAGCATGGACTTGTCACCCTCTGCAGCCTGCATTAGGCCAGAGGGCGCCAGATCTTCATCCAACTCCTCCCCATCAGCAGCCTGCTCCTCAGCATTGACCATCGTGTACAGCAGGCCGCGCTTGGCGGCAGCGGCCGCCGTCGTCACCACCGCCGCGGCGCCGAGCGACAGGCCGCGCCCCGCTGCCGCGGCGCCATGCTCTGCCATGACCATGACGCTGCGCAGGGGCTCGTGGTCGTGGGGCGAGCCGTCCCGCTCTGCTGACATGGCGGGCGCCGCTGATGTGGCGGCGGCCCGCACAGGCGGCGCACTGGCGGCGGGCACGTCGCCGCCCGGACTCTCATCCGACACAGAGACTGTCTGCTGCTGCTGCTGCTGCTGCTGCTGCTCCTGGAAACCTGCATCCAGCTGCACCGGCCGGCCCTCGGCAACCGGCGGCAGCGATCCAGATCCCAGGCGAGCGCCAGCAGACAGCCGCACCAGCAGCGGCGGCCGGGGCCCTGTCGCTGCTGACGCCGTGCCCTGCTGCTGCTGCTGCTCCTGCTGATGCTGCTGCTGCTGTGGCCGGGCCGACGAGGCTGGCGTCCCTGCGTCCGCTGCCCCTCCCGCACCCGCCGCCGCCACGTCCTGCCAGGGAAAGGAAGCCGAGGCTGTGGGCCCGAGACGGGATGGGCTGCCCCCCCGGTGGGTGCTGGGCGAGAAGCGCAGCTGCTGCCCGTTGTCGCCCCAGCTGACGGCCCGGCGGTGCGCGGCACCGGCGGGCGCGCTGGCACGGGCCAGCCGGTTCCGGATGGCGGCGGCCCCGGCGGCGGCCTCCTCATCCTCGCCCTCCTGGCTCTGCCCAAACATCGCCCCCGTGACTGAGGCCGCACGCGAGACAGAAGGGTCGTTGGCGCCGGTGCGCAGGCGCTGCAGGCGGGGCAGGCACACAAAGGTGCGCCAGTTGGGGCGTGACGCTGCTTCGCCAGCGGGCGTAGCAGAGGGCAGCAGCCAGCCACATCGGCAGCGGACCGCCTGCCTCCCTCCACCTCCCACCCGCCTCCCACCTCCCACCTCCACCTCCCACCCGCAGACTCTGCCGCATTGCCCTGCCGGCCGTGCTGCCCCACATCTACTGCCCGCCGTGCGCTGCACACGCTGCCGCCCTCGTCCCACAGGCTGCCAACTGGGCCCTCCCACCCTGAAAGCCTTCCCTGTGCTCACCCTCAAGGCCTTGTCCTCCCACATCTGCGGGTACTTGTGCATCCTGTCCGCCAGGCTCTGCAGCGCCCGCGCCTTCACCAGCTTCTGCACCGCGGGGCGCAGCATGGGCTTGAAGTCGCGGCAGCGCACCTGCGGGGGCGGGGCGGGGGGAGGCGCGTGCCCGCATGTGTGTGTGTGTGAGTGCAAGTAGTGGTGTGCAGGCACTGTGTGCAGGCACTCTGTGGCGTTTGGGTGCATGCCGGGACACCGCAGGAGGTCAGGGAGCGGGAGGCGGGCTGCCAGGTCACACACGGCACACCCACAGGAGACCTGCCCCCGCCGCCTGCAGCCTCACCATCCAGCAGCTGCACCCGGTGAGGGTGCGGTAGGTGCAGGGGTACGTCTTCAGCGCCTCCTCGTGCTCCTGCAGCAGCACGCTCTCTCCCACCACCGCAGGCCCCTCCAGCCGCTCCGCCTCCCGGTATTGGTACAGAGCCACCACCTCGCCTGCAGTGCAGGCAGGCCGGGGGCGGGCAGGAGCAGCGGCCCGGATCAGGCCGGGGGAGTGCAACGCGGATAATTGTAGAGTCCAGCAGAACAACCAAAGCAGCGCCAGGTCCCCGCCGGGCACCCAGCCCCCAGGCTGTACCTTCCAGCAGGAGCCAGAAGCGGTCTGCGGGGTCCCCCTCGGTGACCAGGTCGTGGCCCGGCGCAAACCTGCGGGGGGCGCAGCAGGACACGGGTTGGTCAGGCAGGGCGTCTCTCTCTCTCTCTCTCTCTCTCTCTCTCTCTCTCTCTCTCTCGCCCCCCAAAACCTGAACGGCGTCATCTTGGATGCCAGCAGGTAGAGCGTCTTGTCATCCAGCTCGCGAAGCAGCGGCAGGCGCCTGCAGCGCGGCAGGAACTGGCACACGTGCTTAAGTTGGCGGTCTAATGGAGCTTGCAGCCGGACTGGCGGTTTGCGCACCTAGACATCGCAGCTCGGGAGAAAAGGAAGTGCCCCGGGAGGTGAGTGGGCACGACCCATCCGACACACATGCCACAGCCAGCACTGTCACACCCAACCCCGCATACCCACACAGCACACACACCGCACCGCACCGCACCGCACCGCACCGCACAGCACACCTGAACTTGCGCCTGCATGCCTGCCAGGCCACCTCATTGCGCAGCACATGCGGCAGCTCCTGGAACAGCACAGTCTCCTCCTTCACCTCGTGCTGCCGGATCCACACCTGCAGCGTGGCGGCGGTTGTGTGAGCAAACAGCCCAACGGCGATAGCTGCGCCGCCGGCCGGCAGTCGAAACCCGCAGTCAGAGGCTCCTCAGATGCTGGGGGTGGCAGCCACACGCTGCTGCGCGGGACCCCGGCCACTCACGCGCCGCCCGCACCTCTGCATAGAAGGTCTTGATGCGGCGCCGCAGCTTGGCGGGCAGCGCCTGCTGGTGCATCCACCGCTCCACGCTCTGCATCTTGGATCGAAACATGTTGACCCGCCGCGCCTGGCGGTTGGCCTGCTGCAGCAGCTCGCTGCAGGGGCAGGGCGCGGCGCGGGGCAGGGCGGGCGGGCAGGTGGGTGGGCACGTCGGGTGATGTTGACCCGCCGCCACCACACACACACACATATTTAAGTCGCGGGGCGGCCAGGGGCGGCTGGCCCCTCAGCAGGGCTGATCCCTCAGCAGGGCTGATCTACAGTAGTGCAAGTTCAGCAGGGCTCCGTGCAGCCGATCTCAGGGGGCTGGTCTCCAACACACACACACACCTCAGCCCCACCACTCACCTGATGGAGGAGATGACCAGGCCAAAGAACATGACGCCTATGACCATGACGCACATCGCCACGCACGCCTCGCCCGCGTTGGACGCCACCACATCGCCATACCCCACCTGCCCTCACCGGCGGCGGCAGGCAGGGGGAAGGAACGGCCTGGTGAGCCCTGCTGCCGGCTGCCAGCCTTCGGACGGCCGGCAGCGCAGGCCAGCTGCGGGACTGCCCAGCCCGATGCGGCTGCTTCATGGGTGAGGGCATCCGCAGAAGCAGGAGCAGGGCTTCTGCAAGGGCAGGTGTCGCCCTGTCGGACTCGTCTGGCTGGCTGCCTGCCGGACTTATTTGCGGCTCACCGTGGCGACGGTGGTCAGCGCCCAGTAGTTTCCCACCAGCCACAGCCAGGCGCGGTTCACCTCCAGCGCCTCGTCTGCAGCGGCAGCAGTTGCGGGGGCAGCGTGGCGGGAGCGAGCGACCGACGCTGGCGGGCACACCACGACGTGCTGCCCCAGCTGCCCGTGGAACAGCCGGCAGCGCCGGCGCATGCGGTGCAGAGGCATGCCATGCGCAGTGCACCGCAGCGCACCGCGGCGCGACCCAGCCGGGCGGCTGCGGCTATGCAACCCAGAGCGACAGCCAAGGCGGCGGCGGCCGCACCTCGGGTAAGCTCGATGGCCGATGGGTCTGCGGCATAAGTGCGCACAAAGGGTTCGTAGTAGTTGACCCAGCTGTTCTCCCAGCTCTCCGCGCCCGCCACAAAGTTCCTGCACGCCAGGCGCACGGCCAGGGGCAGCAGGAGGGGAGCGGGCACTGGGGGCAGGGGGGGCCTGGCGTCGGCAAACTGGCAAGCTAGGGGCAGCCTACCGCGTTCCACCGCTCGCCTGCATTCCTCTGCACAAGCCCACCCCAAGCCTCCCAGCACACCACCACCACCACACCACACACATACACATCGACACACACCACCACATTGCCCCCACCGCCGCAGCGCTCCCTCCCGCTCACCACAGCGAGCCCAGAAAGTTGACCACCACAGCGATGAGATACACGAGGTATGCCATGTTGAGGAAAGTCTGGTTGCGCAGCCATTTGAGGTAGGGGCTCTGCGGGCACGGGGAGGAGCAGGGTGGGTGGCATCGATTGCTCCGCGCTGGTGGCGCCGTCCACGTCAGGCAGGCTTCAGCTCCAATCACCACAACCACCGTGGGCTGGGGCGGCGGCCCTCACCCCTCTGTGTCCCGACCACCGCCCCCTACCGTGACTAGCAGCAGCAGCAGAGAACGGCGGCGCTCACCTCCATCACAAGCGTTGCGTACATGCCGTTGCTGACCAGCTGGGTGAGCAGGCGGATGACGCGCAGGAAGCGGATCAGCCTGCGGGCGGGCAGGCGGCGGCGCGGCCGGCAGCACATATTTCCAGAGCTTGCCCTCTAGGGCACATTCTTTCCCATTAACCCTACCCCACATCCGACCTGCGCCAGACCAGCACGGCCACACCGGCATTTATGTTTTACCCCAGTCCGCCACACCCCCACCAGCCCACCCACCGTATGCCCTCCATGGCGATGAGGGCCGTCTTGGGGTCGAACGTGTCTATCGAGTTGTAGAGGATGATCATCACAATCTGGGCAAACCAGGCGATGGAGGCGCAGAAGTCGACGAAGAAGGAGAACTGCGGTGTGGTGCAGGGAGACAGAGAAGGCAGACAGGATTGGCACCCGAGGGGCCGTCTACACAGCCAGTCAGTCCCTGTGCCCCGTACACTTACACCACGCAGCCCCCGACAGAGTCAGAGCACACCACACGCTCCCAGCCAGCACCCCACCCACCGACAGCAGGTATTGGCGCGCCACCAGCCGCCCGTTCATGACCAGCAGCTTGCGGGTGTTGTAGGTGGCGATGAAGCCGATGTGCAGGGACAGAAAGATGTCGGAGAAGAAGATGGCGCCTGGGGTGATGTGTGTGGGGGGGAGGGTGGCGAGCGCGAGTGTGTCCGTGTGTGTGGCAGTGTGTGTGGTGTGTGCATGCGTGGTTGGTGTGTGGTGTGTTTGGGGTGGTGGGCGAGTTGAGGGGTGTTTACACACTCCCCGCAAGCTTCCAAGGCCCTGCCTGCCTAGCTACACAATCCCAGCGGGCTCCCCAACCAACCACACACACACACAGCCCTGGCCTCACCAAACAGGAAGTCGGAGATGGTGGTCCAGTTGGGCTTGTAGAAGCTCGTCCACATGCCGATGGAGATGGGCACGATGAAAGCCGAGTAGCTGAGGTCGGACAGCAGCACCTGCAGGGCGGGGCAGGTCGGCCCGGCAGAGTAGTGCACAGGAAATGCGGGTTCAGACAGGCAGGCACAGGCAGGCGCAGGCGCTGGGAGCGGCGCGGCAGGGCTCCCGCCAGCCGGGCGCTGCGCTCACCAGCGTGCTCCACATCATCACCCAGCTGTTGTCTGGCCGGACCTGCGCGGCGGTGAGCACAGGCCAACATCGAAGGCAGGCACCTCAGCGACACACACACACACACACACACACTCTTACACACATATTCACACCACATGCGCGCATACATGCATGCACACACGCCATGGGCAAGCTCCCAGGCCAGCCAATGCGCCTGCCCCGACCCAGCAAGCCTGGACCCACCATGGGCAGCCGCATGATGGAGTAGTTCCTGCACCGCCGGCTCCGCCCAATGCCGCGCGCCGCGGGCGGCTCCAGCTTGCTGGGCGGCAGGTGGCTCTTGGCCATGCGCGGGTCGGATGCCATTGCGACTGCGGGAGCGCCAACGGCACCGGCGTCGGGCGGCAGCAGGGCACCGAGGCAGCAGCAGCCCGCCCAGCAGCACCAGCCAGCAGGAACGCAGCAACCGGTGTCCTCGCAGCTGGCGCCCCATGCCCAAGACCACCCCAACAAACCGCCAACATCACCCATCAACATCACCCACCACCACCACCTCCCCAGCTTGTTGTCTTCCCACCCGCCGCCCCTCACCGTTGAACAGCCCCTGGTGCTCCAGCAGCTTCTCAAAGTCTTCCTTGGAGAAGGAGGAGGAGCGCATGACGAAGCGGCGCAGCGGCTGATCGTCTGCGAGGCAGGCGGCGAGGCGAGGCGTGCGGGCAGGCATGAGGCATATGAGCGGCAGCCCATCGCGCAGCAAACTAGCTGTGCAGGTCGCACTTGCTGCCCAGCAATGGGGTGACCCATCTGCAGCAACTGGCAGAGCTTACGGGTGCGGTGGCCAGCAGCTAGCACGGCAGCCAGCTCACCCTCGGGCCGCACAATCTGCACCACGCCTTCCACATCCGAGCCGGTGGTTGTGGTGCTGCGTGCATCGCCCACACTCGCGGCACTGACATGCTCCAAGTTGGGGCGGCGAGAGGGCACGGCTGCTGCCGCCGAGGCGGCACCGTTGCCCGCCGCGCTGGGCGAGCCATCTGGCGGCGCCTCGCCAAACCCTGCGTCGCCACCGGGTGGATCTGGGGAGGGCCGCGAGGCGGCGTGTGCTGCGCCCTCCAGCACGGCCTGCACCTCGGTGTCCCAGCTGTACAGGTCGTCCTGCGCCAGAGCGTACTGCTGTTCAATGTGCTGCTGGTGGTCGTGGTCGGCGGCGAACAGCTGGTCCTGCTGGGCCATAATGGCATGGAACCTGCGGGCGGCAGCAGGAGGAAGGTGAAGGGCGGCGGGAGAGTGCGGCTTGCACGTCCTTCCCGCTGGCGCCACCGGCCCGCCGCCGCCTTGCGGGGCAGGGGACGCCGCGCTGCGCTCTCCCGCTTGCGCCTGGCGCACCGCGACATTGGTGGCTCGCTGCAAGCTCAGAGAGCTATCGTGACCCTGCTTGCAATTGTCGGTATGCCCCCATCCTGCTGCTGCACACCGACACCGTTGCCCAATCCCACAGCTGCGGGCGTGGAGAAGGAGGCTGATCAGCCAGCAGCGTCTGGCACGGTTTCGGACGAGCGCCTGCCGCAGGTCTGCGATTGCACCTTCAGGCGATCAACGGGGTGAAAGGAATGCAGTTTGTGTCTACTGAGATGTGCCCTAAGCCTCTCGGGTTCCAGTTTATAAAACACAGGTGGCGCCATGCCTGCGGTTTGACTTCCCGCCTCCTCCACCGATGGCTTCTCCATTCTGTGCTATCTTGGCAGGTTACGCTAAATGTCTTGATCAGGTGGAAAGCGTTTTGGTGTACAGCATGAAATGGTCCGGTTGGATTGCAGGATAGACGGGGGGCGATCAGGCGCCTGGCGCTCTGGATACAACGCAGCGCGGGGGTTGGCATGCTGCACCAATGTGGGTGTGCCAGGCGACTGCAGGACGATTCAATGCACAGAGACACACGGGATTGGCATGGGGCAAAATTCGCACAGGGGCAGTGCGCGATGGGGTGGGGAGGGGGAGGGGGGTAAGATCCGGCAGGAGGAAGCGGGATGTGGTACAGGCAGAGGAGGTGTTGGTGGTACAGGCGAGCGTGTGCCACACTCGCGGTGGGGGTCGCGCAGCAGCCGCAGGGGCAGGTGCAAAAAGCCTGGCAAAGGTGGCATGCGGTGCATAGCGGCACACAATAGAGAATACTGGCCCGCATGGCCCCGTACAGGTGGGGTGGGCGAGGGGTGCCGAGAACGGCATGGGAGGAATGAAACAGAGAAGCGGGAGAGGGGCTAGATGGGGCCTGGGGTTGGTACAGTACAGGCGGGCCTCAGGGAGGGCCGGCGGGGCTTGCGTCGCTCAAGAAACAGAAGGTGGGGACGGGCGTGCAGGAGGCAGCCGGCCAAAGCCGCGAGGAGTGCCGAGTGCTCACTGCGTCAGCACCAGCTCGCTCTCAGAGCCGCTCGGCGAGGTGCCGGGGCTGCAGCCGGCCTCCGCGGGGCCACGGCTGGTGCGCTTGGCGTACAGAGCAAGCTGCCGCAGGAAGCCTGCAGCGGGAGAGGATGGGCGGGGGGTGGCGGGTCATAGAGGGAGAGGAGGTGCGAGGAGCAGCACGGACACGTGCCAAGAGCAGCCGGCACTAACAGAAGCAGGAGCAGTGGCACCAAGGGCCAAGGGCGGCAGCGCGCAACGCACCAGAGTTGGGCTGCGCGCAGGGACGAGCGCGCCGCGTGGCGGCCCAGGCATCCATCAGCCCCAGCCCTTGGCTGGCAATCAGGTGGGCGATGACCAGCGCCGCAGACCGGCTCTGCCCCGCGTAGCAGTGCACCAGCACGCTGCCGCCACAGCGGCGCGCCGCCGAGATGAAGGCATTGGAGGCGTCCACATGCGCCAACAGGTCTGCGCCAGCAAGCAGGGATGCACGGGAAGGCCAGGCGTGAGACAGCATAGTCTGGCTAGGCAAGGCACCGGGGTAGCTGGAGGGCGGCAGCGGGGGGCAGCATCCAGGCAGGGCCGCCAAGGCCAGCCCCTGCGAGGCTCAGCAACCAGCGGCCGGCCTTCTCTCCCACGCCACCCACCCGCGTCAGCGTCGTCAAACAGCGGCAGCGACAGGTAGGCAAAGCAGCCCTCTGGGTTGTCCTTGAAGTGGCAGGGCACGGAGGGGGCGGCATTGACGATGTGGGTGATGCCGCGCTTGCGCAGTGCTTTCAGGTTGCGCGCCGCTCCCGCGCCGCCAATGTAGAGGCCGGGTGCGACCCGGCATGGCAGGCAGTCGTTCTTGGCGCGCAGGCGCAGCGCGGCGAGCGCCGCCAGCGCTGCCTGCTCCTCCGGAGAGTGCTCTGGGGGCTGCAGTAGTACGGGGGGCGCCAGGAGGCAACGCGGTGAGTAGATTTGGAGGGGTGGGTGGGTGTGGGTTTGCCGGTGCAGGGCGGTGGCGACAACCCCCGGGGGGCGACCCCAGCCCAGCCCACCGCTTCACCTGCAGCCCTGGCCACGACTCCTCCCGCACGCCGCCTGCCATATCGGTGGTCCGCACGGTGTCCACGCGCCGCAGGGAGGTGCGCCAGTCTCCTCCTTTGATTTCGGCCAGCACCGCTGCCTGGGCCTTAAACAGGCTCCTGGGCGGGCCGGGGTAGACCATGCTGGTGCTGGCTCAGGCGGGGCGGGGCGAGGAGCGCGACAGCCTCTGTTGGTGTGCCCAGGGAGTTTGGCCGAGTTCCCCTCCTGGACTCGCGCCAATCTTTCAGGCGCCAGTCCAGGTCAAGATCTCAGCACCGACACGGTGAACAGCGGGCGGGAGGGCCGCACCGAAACGGAAGAGGTCTTGATGAGGTCCCATGCAGGGCGCACCTGGCTCATGGCTCCGCCCAGTCGAATGCTAGGCAGCTTGCTGGCAATGGAGGGCCGCTGGCGGGGCCACTGACGGAGCGTGCACCCTTCCCAGGGAGGGCGGCAGCAGTGGCGGCGGCGGCGACGCGGGGCTGGATTCGCACGCGTCGCGCGAGGAGCTGGGTGCGCTGCATCCAGAGCAGCACCCTCTGGCTTGTCACCCAGCCATGCCAGAGGCAGCTGCGCAACATTAAGATGATGCAACGCGACGTCGGCAAACGAGTCGGACGGGGTGGCCGCGGCGAGAGACGTGCGCTACCGCTGTCGCCGGTTGCTGTTGCCGCAACCAGCTGAAAGAAGTGCGAAGAGTTACTACAGGTCCCCAGCTGATCCTCACAGCACATACCCTGCACGTATCGCCGCCTGCAGGCCTTGGCCACCGCTCATTCATGTACCGTGCACGCCCACTGAAGTACACCCCGGGCAAGCTGTAATTCTGGCGGCCCTGGGGCCGAACCATATCCCACATCATTTCCGCCCATTGAGGGGGCTTCACACCATCCGCTGGCCAAGCTGTGGGTGTGCAGCGTTGCATGCATGGCATCCCCATGATGGGCTCAAGTGCAGGCATCGCCTCGTTTACCGCACCCCCGCCGCTGCGTGCCCCAGGGCGACTTAGGTAGGTGCGCGGCAGCGGTTGCTTGCCAGCAGCAGCGCTCATGCTCTGCCATCGGCTGGCATGCGTGCGTGCCTGTGCCTGGCTTGCCTGCTGCAGCTTGAGGAGGACGGTGGCGGGCACCAGGGCGGTTTGCAGGGCTCCCTGCCACCCCCCGCGCCACTGCAGGCCTCACCGCCGCTCACCCTGCTATCGCCTTGCCTGTCGTCTCCTCCTGCGCAGGCCCATGAGCGAAGCTGTCAACAACTGGAGACATGCCCACCGATGCAGGCTTTGCACCCACAGCGCTGAGTGGTGAGCGCTACCCGCCGTCGCCGCCATGTCGCCGCCGCCGCTGCTGCCCATGCCCGCGCCTGCACGCCTGCGCATGCTTGGGCATTGATGACCCGTATGTCGCCCCAGTCCGACCTGCACCCACAGCCAGGGTACAAGCACTGAGGACTAGACTCTGCCACTGGCACCTGAGCCCGCCCGCTTCAAAGCCGCTGCATGCTGCTGCTGCTGCCTTGCACTCATGCCTGCACCTCTGGCACGTGTCGCGGTGACGAATACCGCTTCCCAGCTCACTCTGACTCTTGAAGATAAACACGGTTCTTTCTCACGTATATTTGTCTGAGCGACGCGCCCGCACCACATCATGCATGCATGCCACCGCTGCTGGCGCTGCCGATGCCGCTCTGCTCTGCCGCCTGCCTGCCTGCCTGCCTGCATACATACCTCTGCTTGCCTGCCCGGAGTGGAAATGAAGATTTCCTTTCACTATGGTCCGTGTTGCTGATGAAGCCACAAGCTCATGCCGATAACTAGTGACCGATCCACTCTTGCCGCATTTTGAGGCCCGTTCTGCTGCTGGTTGGGCTGCCGCACCATGCCTACGCCTCACCTTGCTTGCCAGCGCCTGCGTGCTGCGCTCCCCCTGTGCAGGGCCTGAATCAAGCCGGAATGCCACCTTCTGGCGTCATCGTGTCCGCTGCTGCTGGTGAGCGCTTCCTCCGCCGCCCCGCTGCTGCCGCTTTGCCGCGCTGTGCATGCCAGACAGAGGCCCCACCTCCGTGCCGCCTGCCATGATGAACCGAGAACGAAAACAGACTAGAGTTTCTGAGGCTCACAGAGCCACTTTGAAGATCGTTGTTTCTCTTGGCTGTCTGAGCAGAGAGCGCACGGGGCACTGCAATACTGCACCTCCAGCCCCATGCATGCTCCCTGCCTGCACGTGTCCATCCATGCATGCCGGCGCCCCCTGCACTCTGGTTGTCCCGGGCTGGGTGCCGGCTGCTGCTCGCCTGCCGCCAGGCTTCTAAAAAGTTGGCCGCCGGGGCTATTCCGTCCCCGGGGGTCCGTTCCCAGAAGCGAGAGTGACGAGGCCGGGAGGTGTTATGATCAAGGCACCACCGGCTGCTGACCTGGGGACTCGCTATCTTGCCGGCGCCCACAGCATGCCTCAGCAGGACGACGTCCCTGGACAGTTCCTCCACCCCACTACCCTTCATCCTTGCCTGCCCTCACATGCACCTCATCCCTGCGCTACGCCCAGGGCGCCACCGTTAGCCACCTTGACTCGAGCTTGCTCTGTTTCTGCCTTCTGCTACTGCGCTGCTGCAGAGCATGCCGGCTCGTCCATCACGACCCACCGCAAGTCGAGCAAGCGCTAGCTGCCATCGCCTACATACAGGTGGGGGGCCACCGGCCCGTAGGGCTTTGTTTGCTGCCCCTTGCTGCTGCTGGTCCGCCTGGGCATGCTTTGCTGGGTACGCTGTGATGACGGTCGAGCGCTGGGCTCATATGGCCACCCCTTCGCTCAACTTTTCACGCAGCTAGAGCCATGGGGCGAGTTTCAGTGCTGGCTGCTGCTTAGGTGCAGCCCGCATGTATTAGCGCCTCAACATCCCCTACACCCCGCCCTCACACACACCTGCACCCCTCTTTTCTGTTCCGCCAGCCTTTTGGCCCACCAGCGAGCATCGCCAGCCTGCAATTCTGACTCGGCACGACTGCGTGCTGCTGCCACGATCTGGCTGCTGCAGGCATCGACGGTTGTTCAGCTGTTCGACCGTCCACCATTTTCTTCCTGACTGAAGCCCCAACTTCATGCCACCACCATCTCCTGTCTTGCCTTCCTCTGCCTTGCACTTGCAACAACACCAAACCTTTTGAGGTGGGTTTCCACAGCTGCGCTGCATCCGCATCATTGCTGCCCCACTCTGCACACTGCTGCCCCTCTCTGCACCGTTTCCCGCTCGCTGTCTGCGAGGCTGCCAATGATGAAGCGCGCCACATAGGTGCAGTGCCGCGGCGTGTCGCTGGGCGCCTGCTCGTTCAGGCACGAACCTACCCGGCAGCGCCGCTGGCCCGGCCGCCCGCCCCGTGGCGGCACCCGGCAAGCATGCGCCCCTTACGGGGCCTTCTGCCTGGGGCTAACGCCGCCCACACGCGGGGATGCCCTCTCGCGGTGCCTGGCCCGCCATGCCCGGCGACCAGCCGGCTTGGCGGCGCCGCGCCGCACCGTGGCTGGGCGGCCACCATGGGCCGGCAGTTGCGCATTCGGCGCGGGGCAACCCGCAGTCTGAGGCTCCTCGCAGCCATGCCCAGTGCTCTTGCACCCACTTTGCTTCTGCCACCTACCGCTCCCGGTGACAAGGATCGATGCTTCCAAACAGGGCGTTTCTCAAACAACATTCGCAGTGCCCGCTCTAGAGCGTTCGCCTTTCGCCGGGCTTGAGCGCTGCTGCGGCTCACCTTCCTTGGATGTCTGAGTCCCGGAGCAACTTTGCTGCACTGCATCACTGTTGTGCTGCACCATGCACCATGCACCCCCCGCACTGCGCCTTCTGTTGACCTGCCGTTTGGCGGCTTGCTCCCTCCCTGCTGCAGACTTGCCTGCTCCATTCACTACCAGCCATGCAAAAACTCTCCACCTCCATTGCTTCCACCACCCTGTAACCTTCCCATCACCCACCCCATCGCCAGCAGTGGAGGCGCTGCCTGGTTGCTCCCTGCCTGCTGCATGCATTTTGCTTGGGCCCTTTCATGGTTGGCTGATGACAACTGCTGAGTTCAAATCACGACGGTCTTCCTAGTAGGCGCCTCCGGGCGCCTGAGCGGACAGAACTCTTGTTAGTTTTCTGACAACTCTTGGTGCCTCTGCTGCATGCCGGCCTGCACACCACCTGCATCCCCCTGTGTGTCGTGCATTCGGTGCATGTCCACACATGTGGACATGTGTGTGGGATGTGTGGCCGTCTGCCCCTCTCCGCCGCCCTCCCTGCCCACGTGAGTCATCTCTCTCGGTAGCTATGCAAGATCATTTCGGTCTGCCTCTGCGGTGTGGCTGAGTTGGCGGAGCAGACAGCAGCAGGTCAGGGCGCTGGCCACGATGATTTACCACTGGCATCGGTCGCATCGTGGCTGCCAGAAGCCATCCCGCGCCTCCCGACAGCGTCCCGCTGGTAGCCGTCCGGCCTTCTCGTGAGCACCCCGTCCCCGCAGCGCTGCACCACCATGGTTGCGGGCTGCCTCACTCATCAGGTGCGTGGCGGGTGTTGGGCTGGCGCGCGCTGGGTCTGGCTGCCGCCCCGCCGCGACTGCCGGTCGGCGTCTCCTTGCGGAAGCGGCGGCACCAGCAGATCGCCCAACCAGGGCTGCTTGGCCGTCTGCAGGCCTTCGCGGCTGCCACCTCTGCCAGGGCAGCTCCCCGCCGGCACCGCCTGCTGGTCCGTGCCGCTGCCGAAGAGGCGGCCGCGACGTCGCGGCGCGCCACCCTGCAAGCCGTGGGCCTGGCGACGACGGCGCTGCTCACCAGGCAAGCCCTGGCCGCGGCCCCAGCTGCATGCATGCATGCATGCCCCTCTGCCCTCCGCCGCTGGAGCAGCAACCAACCTGCCCTGTTGTGTGGCGGCGGCGCCGCTTCCTTGGCTCGGCTCAGGACGCTCGTCTGCTGGCGGAGACGGTCTGCCCCTGCCCTTGCTTGTGTGAACCCGGCGCCTGGCATGCTGGCTGCAGGGTGGCACCTGCCCTTGCTGTCGACGATGAGCCGCCGCCCGTGCTGTGCGATGAGGCTTGTGCGGCGGGGCTGGAGGGGCGGGAGCGCGTGACCACCGCCTCTGGCCTGCAGTACATCGACCTGGTGCAGGGCAGGGGGCCCTCGCCGCCACGCGGCTACCAGGTCACAGGCGAGCGTTGGCCTGAATGAGGCGGGCGGCACGCGAAGGGCTGCCTTCCAGCAGCCGTGCCGCCTCGTTGCTGTTTCCGGCGCTCTCCCTGCCTGGCCGCCCCAACCACCCGCCCACTTCCCCCCCAGCAAGGCCTTGCCTCGCGTGTCGCCACCACCACCATTACCACCACCACCAGACACACACGCGCAGCCCGCCGCTGTGCCACCCTGCAGTCCACTACGTGGCGATGACCCCAGATGGCCGCGTCTTCGACTCCTCGCTGGCCAAGGGCTATCCCTACCAGATCCGAGTGGGCGCGGAGCAGGTGCGGGGCCTGGGTGTGGCTGGTGTGTCTGGCTTGGGGTGCTGGAGGCGGCCGGGGTGGCTGCCTGCCGACCCGGCTGCTTAGTGTGCCTGCCTTTCCACCTGCCTGCCCGCCCGCCTGCCCTTCCTGCCGGCCTGCCCTCCCTGCCGGCCTGCCTGTCGTGGCATGGCAGGTGGCTCACCATGCCCCGGGCCTGGCCTGGCCTGCCCCGCAGGTTGTGGCGGGCCTCGACGAGGGCCTGCTGACCATGTCTGTGGGAGGGCTGCGGCGCATCTACGTCCCCGGCAGCCTCGCTTACCCCAGGGGCCTGCCCGCAGGTGAGTAGTGTGGTGGGCAAAGCTGGGTGGGCAAAGCATGGGGAGTCAGATGAGCTGCTGCAGGTGGCGGGGTGTGAATGGTACGCCCGCCTGGCGGGTCATGGGCAGCGGCGGCAGCAGGACAGCGCTAGCACATTGGCAGAACTCAGCCAGTGTGAGCCCACTGCCCAGCTCGGCCCCCCGCCGCTCCTCGCCTCACCGCAGCCGCCGGGCGGCCGCGCGTGGCGCCCTCCACCCCTGTCATGTTTGACGTCAAGCTACTCTACATCCCTGGCATCACCGATGACGAGGAGGATGAGTAATGCTGAGCCCTCATGAGTGATGCTGAGCCAATGGGCTGCCACCCAAGCCTACTGGTCAGGGCAGCAACAGAGGCCGGGCTACTGAAGGCATCCTGCTGCGGCAGTGTGCTGCTACCCAGGAACTCCTGCCGCGCGCATCGTGCCTGGGGAGCGGCGATTCTTTGTTTTGTTGTGGGTGAGGCCGTGACCCATGCATGCACCATCATCTTTGTTGCATGGAGGCCCCGGCACAGTTTTCCTGCGTCGTCCTTTTGAGCGAACAAGCAGTGGATTTGTTTATTGACAACGAATTTGAAAGTAATGCGCAAGCTCACACAAAGTATGGCGCGATGCTGGGCAGGGATGGCACCATCAGCACCGCCAGCTCCCACAGCAGGGCACTGAGCAGCCAGACCGCCACGACAAGAGTAAGTGCTGAGTACCTCTCGTCTTGCCGCAGCGCCGCCGCAACGGTGCCATACAGCCCCCGCTGCCAGCCGCCCTCCAGCGGCAGCCCGCACTGGCATCGCTGCCGCTGGTGCTGCTGCCAGCGCTGGCATTCCTGCGAGGCCTGGTACAGCAGCGGCAGCACAAAGCCCAGGGAGAGCTGCATGAACAGCAGCACCGTGCTGCACTGGTCTGCCGCCGGGCTGCCGCTGCGCAGGCCGATGAGGCCGTGCCCAGTGAGCGGCGGCACCGCCCAGCTCAGCAGATCCAGCGCTTGGAACGCCACTGCTGTGAGGCGCTCTGCCTCTGGCGCCGCCAGCTCGGCGGAGGTGCACATTTTGGGGTTGTGGGATGAGCACACGACCGCCACCGTCACCGCAAGAGCCGTGGCCCACCTGCAGCACAGGTGCAGCATGACAGCATAGGGCAGCTTCGGGCCACGGGCTGAGAGGTGAGGATCAAACACAGGGTGGATGGTCCAAGCCCAGCTACTCAGCGAGCGATGCACCCAGGGGGCAGATCAAGACACCCAGAAGGCTCGCCCCTGCCCGCCCCAGCTGCAGCAGGACCGGGCACTCACGGGAGGCGCGCCTGCCAGGCTGCCCAGGCCAGCAAGTAGGCTCCCACATGCGACGCCACCAGCAGCACAACCGCGTGCCGGGCCGCAGCCGCCACTGGGTGAGCAGCGGCGGCAAAGATGGTGCCTGCTCTGTCCATGTTTAGGAACTCGAAGCTGGCGCCGCATGCCTGGTTACCCATGAACAGGGTCAGCAAAATGAGTGTGCCCACCAGCATGGGCTCCCGCCACCGCGTGTAGCTGATAGTGTGCGAGGGGTGCAGCATGCGGTGCAGCCGCTGCCGCCACAGCGCGTTTGCGAGGTTGAGCAGCAGCAGGCAGGTTCCCAGCGGGCGGGTGGCTCGGAAGATGGCGGGCATGCGCAGCCACACGCCTAGCACGAAAATCTGCAGCAAACGAACGTGACTGGGTAGGAAGGGTGGATATGCGGCACTCGCACGGCGGCAGGCGGTGGCGGCAGCGGGGTGGTGCCAGTGCGACTCACGGTCCAAACGACATCAGCTACAGCGCCGGTTTGTGCCACAGTTAGGTTGAAGCGGGCTCCAAACGGGAGGTTTGGCGACCCCACAAGCGGTGGCGCCCATGGCATAACGCTGGAGCGAGGGGCCCGGAGCGCCCGCTCTTGGGCAAACATTGCGCTTGGCCTGCCCGTTGCACCACCGCCCTTGCTTGATCAAACAGGGCAGCCACGTGGATCACCAGTCTTGATCTGGACCTTTGGGTAGCTCCCTTCCTCTAGTAGTTCCCATAGCGTGGGCGTGTGTGCGTGATTTGGTCTGGTCTGCACAGGCCGGCCGCCGACAGCTCTGCAGCGGCGGGCGCCCACTCCGATGGCGGTGCCGCCACGCTGATGAAGTGGCGAGTGCTATTGGCAGTTGGCCTCTGCTGGTGGGAGTCATCCTTGGACTGGTGAACAGAGGAGCAAACAAATAAGAGCAGAAAAGGAGTGCAGATGTGCGGAACCGAATAGATGAAAGGGCAGCGGGAGAGGGTGAGTAGAGCAGCGGGTGCAGTGGACACAGCTGCCACAAGCATCGCTAGAGCAAGGATGATGAAGATTCCCTATGGAGGCCCAACAGAATGTCCAAACACAATCAGGTAGTGGCAGATTGCAACCCACCGTTCCTAATCCTGCCCGCTGGCACTTCCACCACTGTACCGCTGCTGGATGAGCGCCAGGGCCGTGCCCTCCACCACCACAGTGCCCGTGCTGTCGTGGCGGCACACCGTGCCAAAGCTCACGCGGCTGCCGCTGCTCTTCTCCACAGTCAGAGAGGCGGTGAAGCTGTCTCCGACCTGCAGGGCAGAGCAGAGTTGTTTGGGGTCATTGCGCTCCTCAGCAGACCTGGGGCACGGCTGAGCAATGCACACGCAGCTGACCATCTAGCAGCCGGCAGAAGCGCACTCCTGCTGCCAGAGAGGACCGCTGAGGCCAGATGGTGGCAGGCGGCCCAGCGCAGTGTCTAGTGGTGGGCTGCCCAACAGCAGCAGCCTCGACAGGTCCCTCACCAGCGCATACTGCTTGAACTTGAGGGTCTGGCTCAGGTAGACGGCGCCGGGAAAGTGGGAGCCGATGATGGCGGGGAAGAGCGAGGCCAGAAGCATGCCGGGCAGGATGGGGCCCGGCAGGCCCGCCGCCGCGGCCGCGCCCCCATCAACGTGGATGGGGTTGCTGTCCCCTGTCAGCGCCACGAATCCAGCCACGTCCTCGGGCGAGAAGCGCTTGGTCAGGGTAAACACGGCTCCGGGGGCGAGGCGGTCAGTGCCAACGGGGGAACGGCTGCCGCTGCTCGTTCCGCCGCCGGCGCTGGCCAAGCCAGCCAGGCTGCGCCCGGTCAAGCACCATGGTGCGGCTCCTACACTGCTGCTCTTGGCGTGCAGGAGGGCAAACAAGCGCCCCGCCGCCCTCCTGCCGACAGTCGTCATCTGCGCGCCATGTCGTGTGAGGCAATCCTGCTTAGCACCATCAACTACGGTTCGTTCGATGACAGGTTTGCAAGCTCAATTTTGAGAGCAGCAAAGTCGAGCTGCGCCAGCTCAGCTTTCCCTCGAAGCATCAGCAGGAGTTGGCGATCCACAGCCCCTGCTGCAGTTTATAACTCACGTTTATAACTTTCGCCCAATCGACTAGGGGCGCCTGAGCTCGTTTGGGAGGTCTCGGCTCGGGAAGCACTGAGCAGTGAGGCTGTGGGTGATGGTTTGTGAGATGCGATGCTGACGGCATTGTCCAGGCGCCGCGGGCCATGGTGGGTGATGTGCTTGGTGCGCATGTCGGCAAAGTGTGGCAGGCGACTATCGCTAACCCCTCTGGACGCCTCAGCATCACCCTCGGTGCATGCGGATTGCAGGGAAGTCGCGCGGAGCTGGGCAGCTGCGGCGCAGCAGGCGGCGCCGCTGGCCTCCTCGGCGGCCGGCGGGGCGGCGGCAGCAGGGGCGGCAGCCGCTGCGCCCTCTGGCAGCGCAGGCGCCAAGCCTAGCGCTGCAGGGGTGCAGGCCGAGGACGTGCAGCAGCTGCGCAGCGTGCTGAGCCGGTACGCCCGCCGGCCGCGCTGGAAGAGCCGGCGCGGCGGCAGCGCAGAACCGCTGTCCCACCTCGGCCCTCCGCCTTCCACGGGCACCGCCCTGTCGCCGCACCGCCTGGCCCGCGACCACCGCCCGGTGATGGCGCTGCCGCTGACGGCGGAGGCGCGGCAGGCGCGGCAGGACCAGTCGGTGTGGATCAACAAGAGCATCTGCCGGAGGTTTGACAGCCTCGACCGCCAGCTGACGGCAGGTGCGCGTTTGATGCGGCAGAACGCCGGCGGCTTGTCCTTTGCGGCCACCCTCTAACAGCGCAGCACGCAGTGCTTCTGAAATTCTCGCCGCCTGCTCACCTTCTGCCCTCACGCCGCCTGCCTGCCCGCCCGCCTGCCCCACGCCTCGCGCTGCAGGCATGCTGGCGCCGGCCGAGCGTGCGGCCGCGGGGCAGCAGTGCCTGGATGCAGTGGCCGACGCGCTGCATTATGTGATGGATGACGTCAACATGTCCACTTTCTTCCACAGGCGCGCGCATGTGTGCTGTGTGTGGTATGTCTGTGCGCAATGATGCTAGTGTAGCGTATCGCGGCGGGGAGCGGTACGGGCTCTCTGGCTGCCTGCTCAGCTGCCGCCGGTGTTGGGCTGCCTGCCATGCCTCTGCCCGCCGCAGGATCTCTCGCATGGTGGGGCACCCTGAGATGGCGGCGGTACGGTCCCGGCTGGATACCAGCAGGGTCATGCCGGTGGGTATCAGGCTTCCCGGGCTGGCCGTCACATGTGGCATCCAGACTGTGCCAGAACCGTACCTGCCAGCCTGCACCCACAGTAGCTTGCCCCCTGCCGGCTTCCACGTCAGCCGCCCAGCTGGACTGCTGATGCTGCCGCCCCGCCGTGCTCTGTGTGGCCACCTGCCCCCGTCCCTGCCAGGTGCTGGTGCAACGCTTTGAAGCACTGCTGGACAGAATCATCCGCCAGGAGGCCAAGCTGGCGGGCGCTGACAGCGTGGCGCAAGTCGGCCCGCCTGCCAGGTGGGCATCTTCACTGTCGCAGCCAGCAGGGGCAGGCCTGCCGTCTCGCTCCTGCACGACACTGTGCCGCCAGCCGCTGGGGCCAGACGGCGGCGGGGCGATACCGCAGAGGGTCAGGCAGCCACGGGCGGCTGCCTGCGCTCACGGCTGCCTGCCACGCTCACTGCTGACCTGGCGGCGGCGCCTGCCTCCCCACCGACCCCCACCCTCTCCCCGCTCCCCGCTCCCTGCCACCGCAGGCTGCCCCTGAGCTTGCGCTCGCTGGCTGCCAGCTTCTGGGCGCTGGGCCATATGAGGTACCCGCTGACCCAGGAGCAGCTGGACAAGATTGCGGGTGAGTGGCCTCCTCTCCCCCCTGCCCTCGCCCACTGAGGCCTTGCCCCTGTGGAGCCACCGACGCCTGCACCCGCCGTGCTGCAGCCTGCCTGCTTCAGCAGCCTGCCCCCGCAGAATCGCAGCTCTCGGCCACCGCCGCCATGCTCCCCTGCACATGCCCTTGCCCACCGCGACGCTTCCCCTTCGTTTCTTCCCCGACCTTCCCCCACCCCTGCCTGCAGCCGTCATCATGCTCAAGTACGGCGAGCTGAAGCCGCACCACATCTCCATGTTCCTGGTGGCGCTCAACGCCTACGGCAACACGCCCTTTGAGGGCAAGCTGCTGAAGGTGGGAGTGCGGGTGTGCTGGGTTGGCAGGTGGCGGCGTGCTCTGTGTGTGTGTGAGTGAGTTGCTGTGTGAGCGTCCCGTTTTTGCGGTGCTGGCGGTCTGTATTGGGTGGTGCTGGACGGCAGCGGTGCGGCGGGTGGCGCGTTGAACGTGGCGGCCGCAGCTGTCTGATTGTGCTGACTCGGCGCTCCTGCTGCCACCCTGCTGCCACCCTGTCCAGGTGCTGCTGGAGCGCACAGCACACATGCCGATCGCGGAATTCGAGGTGGGGCTGTCGGAAGACCAGCACTGTGTGGAGCATGGGGATAGGGGGCCGTGTGTGCCACAGTGGCATCCATCTGCGGGTGCCGTGAGAGGGTGGGCGGCTGGCCCAGCTGTGCTGCTGCCTGCTGATGCCCTGCCACGTTTGCCTGCCCTGCAGGCTCGCACACTCCTGAACATCATGTGTGCTGCCGGCTCGGCAGGCGTGCCCGCGTCCCAGGTATGAGTATGTGTGTGTGTTTGGTGGGGGTGTTGGGTGTCCACCATGCAGCCTGCATGTGCGCATAGTGGGCTGCAGGCCGGGGCAGCTTGGTCGTTGCCCAGGTGGCAGCCCGATGGGGCGGCGAGGTTGCGGTTGTGCGTGGCAATCGTCGGCCAATTTATCAGGCTGTGCTGTGCTATGCCGTGCCACGCTGTGCTTTGCTGTGCTGACCATGCTGCGGTGTGCTGTGCCGTGCTGTGCCGCAGGCTGTCATGGACCACCTCTCCCTGGCTGCCCTGGCCTTCCTGCCTGAGGTGGAGCACACACACCTGGGCAGCCTGGTGTGGAGCCTGGGCAAGCTGGGCACCAAGCTGGGGGCGGCGCGCATCCACACTCCCGTGCTGCATGCCGTGGTGGCCACCGCCTGGCGCCGCCTGCACGACCTCACCCCCGACGCCCTGTGCAACACACTGTACGGATTCGGCCTGCTCAACTTCCACCCAGGTGACAAACGAAGCCGTAGGCTTGCTTTCTTACTTTACGGGCCGCAGCTGCGCGCGGCAGCAGCAGCACGCAGCCAGCGGGCTGGCAGCGCTGCATCGCCCTCCCCACCCCGTGGCCCCACCCCCACCATTGCTGCAACCAACGCAACGCACATACGCACCTGTGGCCCCTGAAGGAAGCGCCCTTGCCTGGCGCCGCACCACCTGCCCGTCCCCCCCGCAGGCTCCGACTTTCTGGATGCCGCCGCCGCCCGGTTCAAGGAGCTGCTCCCTTACATGTCCGCGCAGCAGGGTGAGCGCAGGCGGAGACAGGCGTCTGGCCCCGCGCCTCATGTCACCACCTCCTGCTGCTGCTGCTGCTGCTGCCAGGCAGGCAGGCAGGCAGCCTGCCCAGCCAGGCAGACAGGCGCAAGGCATCTGTGCCCTGTCTGTCGCAGCCGCGCCTCGTCCTGCGGCTGGAGATTTCCAGGCGAGGCCGGCTCCCTGCTGGCCCTGCCGCACCGGCCAACCCGGCCCCACCCCTGGCCCCGCTTCCCTCCCTCTGCAGTGGGAAACTGTGTGTGGAGCTTTGCGCGGCTGGAGTATTCGCCGGACGCGGAGCGGGATACCTGGGCCATCAGCAGCAGTACCGCCACCGGACTGCCCCGTACCGCCGCGGGGTACACCCACCTCAACATGGACGAGGAGCGGGATTCCGAGCCGGAGGAGGCGGAGGCGCCGCCCCCCCGGCAGGGCCCACCTACCCTGCGCCAGCGGCGGAGAAGTGTGGGCCTCACCAATACATGGATGCACATGGATGCGGGGAAGGTGGCGAGGAAGGTGGCGGCGGCGCGGGTGCGGCGGGAGGCCCTGCAGCGCCTGGTGGCGCACGCGCAGCAGGCCGTGGCGGCGGCCCTGGCGCGGTGCCGCGGCGCGCGCCCCGGCGAGCCCGCGGGCGAGGCTGCGCAGCCGGTGGGGCGGGCGGTGAACGAGCTGTGGATGGCAGACCTGGTGCACTTCATCTGCACCGGCTCCGCCACCCGCCCGCGCTCGCCGCGCGTGCTGCCTCCTCCTTTCCCGGGCGGGGTTGCGATGGAGGTGTCTGTGAACCGGCACACCGGCATCACACACGTGCAGCCCTTCTACATGCGCGAGCAGGTGCGCTGCGCTGCGCTGCGCTGCGCGGGGCAGGCAGGCAGGCAGGCAGGCAGGCGGCCGCCGCCGGCGTTGCTGCTGGTCCGGGGCGGGGGGTGCCCAGCTTGTGCTGCTGCCTGTAGCGGGCCACCGCACCAGTGCCGGTGCGGTGGCAGGCCAGGGCTCCGGCAAAATCAGCCGGGCGCGGGGACGGCTGCCGTGGGGCACGCCCGCGCCCACCATTCTGACTTCACCCCCGACCTCGCTGCGCTTCCTCGCCCCCCTGCCCTGCTCCAGTTTTGCGAGCTGTTGATGCTGCCAACGGTACCGCCCTGGAAGCGAGCCCAGCGTGCGGCGGAGGAGGCGGTACCGGCGGGGGACCAGCTGCTGGAAGACGTGCAGCGGGCAGACGAGGCGGCGGAGCGGCAGCACGCAGAGGCCACGGCTGCTGCTGCCTCAGCTGCAGAGGCCGCAGCTGCAGCTGCTGCTGCTGCCGCCGGCGGGGAGCTGGAGAGCTTGGATGCGTTTTTGCAGCAGGCTGCTGGGGAGGAGGCGGCGCCAGCTGGCGCCAGCGATGCGGCTGAGAATATGCTCGAGGATCCCGAGCTGGCAGGCAGCTCCGAGGCGGCGGCCGGCGGCGGCTCTGCGCCCAGGGAGGCCCCGGCTGCCATTGCAGCCGAGATAGACCTGGATGCGGTGCAGGAGGCGGAGGAGGCGGAGGAGGAGGAGGCGGAGCGGCGGCAGGCGGCGGCCGCGTCGGCGGCGGCACAGCAGGACGCCGCGCAAGGGGCGGAGCAGTCGGAAGGGGAAGAGAGCGAGGAGGGACGCAGCCTGTACCCGTCGTCTGAAGGTTTTGGGCAGCGGGCGTTGGCCGGGGAGGTGTCCCGTGCCGAGGAGCGGCGGCTGCGGCGCCTGGACCGCCTCAAAGCCCGCCAGGAGGCAATGGGCGACAGGTGGCAGCCGGCGGGCGAGCAGCGGCAGCCGGCGCGCGGCGGCGGCGGCGGCGGGGAGCCGCCCCGGGGCCAGCACTGGCGAGGGCGGGACCTGTCGCCAGCTCAGCTGCTAGACCTTCTGCTGGCAGACGGCAGCCTGCTGTCGGTGCCGAAAGCCGTCAAGCGGCGGTGAGTAGGGCGGGAGGCGGGGTGGCAGGGGTGGCAGGGGTGGCAGCCGGCGCAGTGCGGTCCAGGCAGCACGCCCATGCACCTGTTGAATCACACGGCTCACGCGCTGGCCGTAGCGGGCAGTCCGCCCGACCCCTCGGCCACCTCCCATCCTTGGCGGGTCCCCTGCTGGCTGGCCCCGCTGACCACACGGTCCCCCTGCTGCTGACCGCCTCCCCTTGCCTGCCCCTGCTGCACGCCCGCAGGTGGCAGGGCGCGGAGCGAGCCACCCTGGATGACGCGGCGGCGCGCTGCATCCCGCTGGCGCCGCGCATGAGCGGCGGCGAGGTGGGCACCCTGATGTGGGCCTACGCCACGATGAGGCACGTGCACCCAGGTGCGCGCGCGCGCGCGCGCGTGTGTGTGTGTGTGTGTGTGTGTGTGTGTGTGTGTGTGTGTGTGTGTGCGCGCGCGCGTGTGTGTATGTGTGGTGGTGGTGGTCGGTGGCTGCTGCTGCGTGGTGGCGGCTATGTGGTGGCGGCGGCGGCCGGTGGTGGTTGTGGTAAAGGTCGCCGTGTGTGTGTGCGCGTGTGTGTGTGCGTGTGTGGTGGTTGTGGTGGGTGGGGAACACCTCCAGGCAGGGTGTGGTGCTGTGAAGGGCGACCCAGGGGGTGTGTGGGGCGGCTCCGCGCTCGTGGCCAGCAGGGCAGGCTCAACGCTGGTTGGCCTTTGCTCCCGGCACTGCCCGGCCGCCACTCGCGCCTGCGCCTGCGCCATGCTGCCCTGCCCCTCCCTGCAGGCCTGTTCAAGGCACTGCTGGAGCGGGCGGATGACCTGGCGGGCAGCCTGACGTGGCGGGTGCGCCGCGCAGCTTCCCCGCAACTGCCGCCGCCGGCTGGCACCCCTGCTATGCATTCCCTGCTGCTGCCAGCACACCTCGCACCCAGGCTACCGCCTCTTGCTTGAAGGAACCTTCTGCCCGCCCAAGTGGAATGCCCAGCTGCCCCCCAACCACCACCCCAGCTGCTCGCCTGCCCACCACCGCGCCCCTCCCCGCCACCTCCCGCAGGGCATCGCCATTGTCATGTGGGCGTGCGCGGTTACGCGGCAGGCGCCGCCCCGCCCGCTGGCAGACCGGCTGGTGGAGCGGTACATGCCCCTCTTCCACCCCCGCATGGTGCGCCCGCGCTGCATGCTGCGCTTCGCTGTGGTGGGGTGTGCTGTGCTCTGCTTTGCTTTGCTCTGCTGTGCTGTGCTGTGCTGTGCTGCGCTGCGCTGTGCTGCGCTGTGTTTCCTCCTGGGCAGCTGCGCCATGTTGCGGTGCCCCTCGCCCTCCCCGTCCTCCCAGCATCCACACACGCCATCTCATTCAAAAACCAACCCTCCTCCCCTAACGAACTAACGCCTCCCACGCCGCCGTCCCCGCCGCCGCCGCCGCCCGGCAGGCCCAGGGCGTGGACCTTCACTCCCTGGCCAACGTGGCCTGGGGCCTGACCGTCTTCGACTACCTGACCCCGGACCGCTTCGCCCAGCTGACGGGCATGGTGCCGCCGCACGACGCCGCCGCCCTCGACTCCGTCAACACCGCGGCCTGGTGCCAGCTGTTCCAGTGCGCGCTGTACCTGGAGGTGGGGCCGGGGAGTTGTGTGTGCGTGTGTGTGTGTGTGTGTGTGCGCGTGTGTTGGTTGTGTGCTGCGGGCGTGCAGAGCGCTGAGGCCCCTGCAAGCAGGGCAGGGCGCCACCTGCCGGGACCTGGCATCGAGCCGGGCGAGCAGGCGGGCGCTGGCGGTGCACGTTTCCACACGCGCGCCTGCATCTGACCCACGGCTGCCACCCGCCTGCGCCGGTACCGGCCGCCGGTACCGGCTGCAGGCCAAGACGGGGCAGCACTACTCCGCCTTCCTGCCGCCCCACATCCTGCCCTACGCGGAGAAGCACTGGCAGGCACGGGACACGACCACCTCGCGCCTGCAGGCAAGGGTCCGCCAGCACAAGGCACCTCGCGCCAACATGCCCGCCAGCACCGCCAACGGGGCTGCCAGCGGCTGGCACAGACCCCTCTCCTGCCGCCTCCCATTCCCAGACCAGCCCCTTCCCCCCTCCAACTCCCTGTGCTCCCATCCCACGCCCCCGCTCCAACTCTTGCAGAACAAGGTGGCAGATGTGCTTCACTCTCTGGAGGTACCCTTTGCAGAGGAGTACTCTCCCCGCGCCAACTTCTTCGGGATAGACATTGCAAGTGAGTGGCGAGGCCGCGCGGGAGGAGGCCCGACGTCTGGGGGCACCGGGGGCACCGGGTCCACCGCCTGCCGCTTCAGGGCAGCGGCGCGGAGGCGGGCCGCGCACCCGAGGTGCAGCCCTGGCGTGGCCGGCTTGCCCCTGGCCCCTTTAATCACCTTCCAACCACCATGTCCTGCCCCGCAGTCCAAGGCTCGAACGGCGTGCGGCTGGCTGTGGAGGTGGACGGCCCGCAGCACTTCTCATGTGAGCTTGGGCTCCTGGCTCCCATGGGGGGGGGCTGTGGTTTGGCCCCACGAGCGCAGCCTGCAGGCTGCAGCAGCCAAGAGGGACGAGCGTTGTTCCCATCCCAGCAGGAGCTGCCAGCTGGAATTAAGTGCTGCGCTGCTGCGTCGTCCGCCGCCGTAACCTCGCCTGCGCTGCGCCTTGTCACGCTGCCGCCTGCGCCGCCGCTGCTGCTTGCCCTCCCCGCCTGCAGCCAACCCGCCCCACATGCCGCTGGCTTCCACCTATATGCGGAACAAGCTGCTGGCCATGCACGGCTGGGAGGTGGTCAGCATCCCCTTCAACGAGTGGGCGCGCCTGGCGGGGCTCCAGGAGAAGCAGGCACGCTTGGCAGTAGTGCACCAGGCGTGGCAGTGGCCACGCCGGCCACCCATGCATGCAGCAACTGCGGCTGTGCTGCCGAGTGCGTGCTACAGTTGTTTGCTGTTGACGCCTTGCCTGCAACGCTGGTCGATCCCCCGCTACAGGATTACCTGAGGGAGCACGTGCTCAGCAAGCTGGGTGACCAGCACCAGTAGCCATCCCAGGCATCCCAATAGCCTGGGCCTGTTGCAAGGCAGGCTTGGCTCGGCGCCCTGCGCTGGAGCGGCCGCCGCCGACGAGGTCGGAACTTATTGAAATCGCTGCTCTCCCAGTGCAGCGCTAGCCCACTGTTTTCCTCACTGTCTTTACCATTCTCCAGCACTGCTATTCTTTTGTGAGCGCGGGCGAGAGCGCCTGTATGCGCTTGGCCCGGCTGCCGCAGTCGCGCTCCCCCAGCCTTGTAAATACTCAGGGACGTCCTACCTTTAGGCAGCCTGTGTTTCTTTACCTGTTTCTTTACCTCCAGGGCCGCTGGGTATCACCCAAGGGACACAACTCTGCGTCCAGGTTGCTGCTGGCACTTGCCGCCGGCGGGTGGCGGGAGGAAAGCGGGCGCCAAGCAACCTCTGCTTCGGTTTCCTGAGCATGCGGGCAAGCCGTCATTGTGGCACCTTCCCTGGGACTTGAACATACTGTGTAGCACCGCCGGGCAAGCAACCGAGAAGCGCTGCTCGCAACCCGCAAGATGCGCTATGGCCTGCTATTGCCGCTGGCTCTGGCCCTCACAATAGTCATGGCCAGGCCTGCACAAGGTACCAGCGACGGCAAGCGTTCACAGATGTGCAGATGCCCGCGTCCTCCGCAAGTGGAGCTGGGCCCGCGCTCCGCCTCACGACCACTCCGCTTGCCTGCAGGACAATGGGCGGACGACGATGTGATCACAGCGAATGTTCAGCCGGTGGGTGGCTCTGCAGGAGGGGCGCGGTTTCTGCCGCTGCTGCGCTCGCCGCCAGTGCTGCCCTCCGCCTGGCCACCACCTCCATCCCATGCACCCAGCCTCTCGTTAGCCTACCAAAGCCCCGTGACCTTTCGCCACCAATAATGCCTCTCTCGCTGAGCCCCCGCTGGCGCCACGCCCTCCTCTGCATGCAGTGTGCCGCAAAGCGCTGCTTGCTGTGCAACACCACGGCAAACGCATGCCTCAACTGCACAAACGGCTACGGCTTTGATAGACAGAAGCTGTGCCGCAAGGTGCGTGCCCGCTGCTTGCAGCCGTGTTGTGGCCTGTGGCGCAGCATCCAGCATGCAGTGTACTGCTGCCACACCGTGCTGCGATGATACCACCTCTTTTTTGCTCCCCGCCTGCCACAGTGCTACGACAGCATGTGCCAGTCGTGCATCTGGCCCTCCACCTGCCTGAAATGCTACGCGTACGGCGAGCTGGCAGGCAGGCCCTTCTACCCAGTCTATAAAGACAAGGCCGGCAAGTGCCAGCTGGTGAGTCGGCAGCCGCCCTTGGCCGTCTGAGTGGCTGCTGCCCCCGCTGTTGCCTGGTGCTGCTGCTGTACGTATCATCTCAGCTGACTTGCATGGCTGCACAACGCCCGGCGCCCTCCCAAACCCGCCGCACGCCGCCCATCCACGCCCCGCACAAACCCGCCGCTGCGCCCGTGCTGCAGTGCATAAACCACCCCTTCCACAAGGGCTGCAAGGCGTGCCGCAGCGACGGGCTGTGCAAGGCCTGCGCCGAACGCTACAGCCTGCAGCGCGGCCGCTGCGTGGCCTGTACCGGCAAGCAGTGCCTCCAGTGCCCCGCATCCCCCGGGGTGTGCACCACATGCGCCAAGGGCTTCCGGCCCGTCGGCGGCGTCTGCGTGGCTGCCAAGGCATGACGCTGGCAACCGGGTGTTGGTCAGCATCCTTTCAACACAACCTTCTGACCTTGCCATGGTGTGTAACATAGATGAACAGGCTCGCCACACTGCATGATGCCCAGGGCTAGTCCAAAACTCCTCCCAGACCCTTACATTTGATGACAGGTGGCGACAGCCACAGCCACGAGCCATAGCATGCAGCCCAGCAGGCATCAAAACAGGCAGTGTTTCGAGGAAGACAGCGTGAGGCCCTGCTGCCGCGGCTGATTGGTTTGCGATTGCCATTTTGGACAGGAGGGGGTGGGCGCAGGCAGATCCGAATCGCGGTTGCCGGATCGGGCAGGAGGGGCTGTCAGTTGACTCCGCCGCCGGCGCCGCGCCGCGCCCCGCTGCCGGCCGCCGCCAGCGCCTGCCACAGCTCCCCCGCGCCGCCGCCCGCGCCGCCGGCCTGCTCCATCAGCCGGTCCAGGGCGCTGCCGCTGCTGGCGTCAGCAAAGTCAAAGGGCAGGCCGTATGCCAGGGAGTGGGGCCGCAGCGGCACCGCCTCCTCCACAATCCGCAGCTCCAGCTCCAGCCCGCCCTCTGCTGGTGCGCCCGCCGCTGGCGCGGAGGCCGGTGCTGGTGCAGGCTGCTGTTCCGCATCCGAGACTGCTGCTCCATCCGTGCCCCTAGGCTGCTGCTGCTGCTGCGACTGCGGCTCCTCCAGCCGCTGCTGCTGCCGGTCTGCCAGGCTGAGGGCCTGCACCCGGCGCAGCTGGGCGAGGTAGGAGGGCTCGGCCGCCGCCGCCGCCGCCGCAGGCGCTCCCGCTGCACCAGCCGGCTCGACGCTCCTGTGGCAGCCCTGGCACGGATGCTCGGCCTGGCCGCTTCCGGTTGCTGCTGCAGCACCAGCCTCCTCCTCAGCACCAGGAGCAGCAGCGGCAGCAGTGGCAGCGTCTGCCCCAGTACCAGCCGCGCCAGGCGCGGCCGCCGCGCCGGGCTGCGGCGGCGCCAGCAGCTCGTGCCACGAGAAGAGCAGCGGCGAGGTGGTGCCCCTGAGGGGGTTGAAGTCCAGCAGGCGCACCGCCCCGCTGGCCGCCACGTACGCATCGTAGGTATAGTGCGGGTGCGGGAAGCGGCTGCACGGCAGGGGCACCGGCGAGTTGGCAGCAGCAGCAGCGCAGGCAGGCGCTGCCCGGCTCCGCCTCCAAGAGAGCGGCCCCTCGCCTCCCTCACCGGACTCAAAAATGCAGCCTCGCAGGCGCCCCACCGGCCCCGCCCCAGGAGGGGCACCCGCAGCCACCCACCCACCCTTGGATGTGCCTGGCGTGGAAGGCCTGCAGCGCCGCCGCCAGCTCCCGCCGCTCGTCCCGCAGGAAGCTGTAGCAGTGCGTGACGTCCCGCTGGCTGGCCCCCACCAGCTCCCCGCCCCTCACAAAGCAGCGGAACTCGCGGCCGGGCTGCAGGTCGTGCCAGCGGCGCAGCGCCAGGCAGTGCTGCACGGCCGGCACCGCCGCTGCGGCCACTCCCCCAGCGGCCCCCGCGGCCGCTCTTGCTGCTCCTGCAGCTGCTCCTGCTCCTGCTGCTGCTGCTGCTTCCGATCCGGTTGTTGCCAATGCACCTCCTCCTCCTGCTGCCGCGCTCGCTGCCGCGCCCCCGCTGGGGCCCGCCTCGGCGCCGCCGTCTGCGCCGCCGTCTGCGGCGCCCCCTGCCGCCTGCTGCAGCGCGTGGCAGATGTCGTGCGCGACTCGGTCGCTGCTGCGCAGCAGCAGCAGCACCTCCTCTGCGTTGGCGCAGCACAGGGAGGCGGAGGGGCTCATCCACACCGCGTCCTTGGGGCAGCTCCAGCTCAGCTTGGGCACCACCCGCCCGCCCAGCGACTCGATCGCCGCCTGCAGCTGCTGCCGCAGCGTGGCCAGCTCCGGTGGCGGCGGCTGCAGGGGGTGTCCAGGGCGGGGATGGTACATGCAAGCGCTGCTAGTACACAGCGGGCCTAACGCAGGAGCAGGGGGCAGGGGGAGGGAGGGCAGAGCAGGGGACTACAATCGGCAGCCCATCACACAGCTCGAGCTGGTGCACGCGCGGGTGGCAACCGCACCGGCGCTGCGCTGCCTTCTGATGCCTCGTCCTCGCTGGTCCACTCCTGATAGTCGTCCTCCGTGGCATACTCCTCCAGCGGGCTCCGCTTGGCAAACTGCAGGGGAAGCAGGCGAAGCAACGGACCGTCCGTAGCAGCGTAGCAGCGCATGGGTGCCCTGCTGCCGCCAGCCGCCGCCGCCGCATGCACTGCAGTCCCGCACATGGCGGGCTGCCGGCGCCTCGCGTTTGTCCACAGGCACCCCTGCTCACCGCCTGGCTGTCTGGAGGGAGGTGCAGGCCGTCGCTGACAAGCCAGTCGAGCACTGGCTGCGGGAGCGGCAGGATGACCGTCTTGAAGGTGACCCTCTGGAAGCGGGGATACCAGCTGCTGATCATGCAGTCCAGAAGCTCCTGCACACCCGCCATGGCTACACTAAACAGAGTGCCTGCCACTGTTTTACAGGCCGCTCAACAGCGCATAGCAGAGAGGGGAGCAAGGTATTTTGGAAACGTAACAAATGCGAATGAATGAGAGAGGCGCAACGTTTACTCAGGGTGTGGGGCGCCGCCACTGGGCGCAGCATACCGCAGCAGGCACGGTGAGCTTTTGTCATGCCTGCCTGCTGCGTGAGCGAGTGGACACGCGCCGGCTCTCCTCTGGCGCCGCTGCGGCCTCGGCCTGCTTCCCGCCGCTGCTGCGCGTGCGCCCGCCGCTGCTGCGCGCGCCGCCGCGTCCGCTGCCTCGGGCGGGGGCCTCCTCCGGCTCGGCCGCCGCCGCCGCCTCCTTGGCCGCCGACGGCCTTCGGCTGCTGCTGCGGGTGGGGCCGCTGCCGCTGCTGGCCGCGGCGCGCGAGGAGCGCCGCGCCGCGGCCCTCGGTGCGGCCTTCTCCTGCTTCTCCTCCTCTATCCTGGCCAGCTCCTCGGCAGCCAGCTCATGATCCTCTTCAATCACAGTCAGGTGGGTGGCCACGGTGCGGCGGCGGGTGCGGCGGCCGTGGCTGACCTGGGAGTCGTCCTCAGAGGCAGCCTCCTCCTCCTGCTCCTCCTGCAGGCCAAGGGCCCACGCGGCTGATGAGGCATGCAGGGGGAGTGCAAGCAGTGGCCGAGCGGGCCTTGCCACAGCCCCGGCCTTCCAAAAGCCACGGCCCCGGCGCCACAGGCGCTCCCCCAAACCAGCGGGCGGCAGGCTGAGGCTCACCACGGCGGCCTGCTTCTTCGCGGTTTTGGCGCTGCTGGGGCGGCTGCGCTTGCGGCCGCCCGCCGACGTGCCCGGCCGCTGCTCATCTGCCGCCGCCGCCGCCGCCTCGCCCTCCTGCTGCTGGTCCACCTCCTCCCCGCCCGCCTGCACAGCCCTGCCGGCAGTGGCGCCGCGGGCGGAGCGCGTGGACCGCGCGCGGCGGCTGGCGGTGGGCTGCGGCTGCGACGCCAGCAGCTCGCGGATGGCGTCCGCCACGGGCACCTCCTCCACCGCCGCCGCCGCGGCAGCCCGCTCCTGCGTGGCGGCGGCGGCTGGCTGCACCACCTCCTCCCCCTCGTCCTCCATTGTCACTTCAGCGGCAGCCTGGCGCGTCGTCTGCCGCCTGGTGGCGCCCGCAGCGGCGGAGCTGCGGCCGCGGCGGCCCTTGGGAGCCGCCACCTCCTCCTCCGCAGCCCCGGGCCCGCCGGCGTCCAGGCGAGAGGCTGCAGGCCGCACTTGCTGCAGCTCCTGCAAACGGCAGGCAGGGTGGGCGCAGCGCGATGATACATGCACGTGTCCAGACATGCACAGCACCACATGGCTGAGGATTAGCCCATGCCTCGCATCGCAGGGTCATGCCTTGCATCCCAGGCACAGCCCAGCCCCGCAGCCCACCTCCTCTCTCTGCTCCAGTCGCTGCTCTAGCTGCTCCAGCTCCTGCCGCTGCTGCCGCAGGTCGGCCGCCTGCTGCTCCAGCTCCTGCTGCCGCACAGCCAGCCGCGCCTCCTGGCGCTCCACAGCGCCGCTGCGGCTCTTCAGATCCTTCTCGCCGCGCTGCAACTCACGCTCGCGCTCTGCAGGCGGCGGCGGCCCGTGGCACAGAGACAACTGGATGCTGCCTCCTGCCAGCGACAGTGGAGGATTCCCACCAGCACGTGAATGGATCACGCCTCCTCCCGGCCATGCCCAAGGCGAGAAGCAGCCATGCCGGAGATTCAGAGGCAGGACGGCTGCCCCTGCCAGATGCACTCCCACCTGCGACGAAAGCCTCCCGCACCCCCGCCGCCGCCTCGCGGTCCTGCACGCCCTCCTCGCGCTGCCGGGCCGCCGCCGCCGCCTGCTCCGCCGTCGCCTCGCGCTCCCCCAGCCGAGCCTCCCGCTTCTCCAGCTCGGCAAACTTGCGGCTGGCGGCGTCCATCTTGCTGCAGCAGGCAGGCAGCACGAGGGGCCGTCAGGGCATGCGTGGGCAGCTGCTTTGCCACTCAACGCTCGCATCGGGCCAGGCGCACCTTGCGTTGAGTCGAGAAGCAGTGAGTCATGCAGCCAGGGCCAGGGAGTTGGCAGCCCCCGCTCACCTCTGTGCATTCACCCGTGCAGCAGCGGCCTCCTGCTCCGCACTCTCCCGCTGCTCCGCATGCTGCAGTGCGCGCGCCTCGGCGGCGTCCTGCGCAGCCGCGGCGGCGGCCGCCTGCGCCAGAGCGCGGCGCTCTCGGCGGCCAGAGCGGCCTCGCGCTGCTGCTCGGCGGCCGCCGCCGACTCGCGCGCGGCGCCCAGATCCCACTCCAGCTGCTGCACCTGGTCCTGCAGCAGTGGCGAGCGGGGTGCAGCCTGTTGCATGCACAGCCACATGGTGTGGGTATGCCACCAACAGGCTGAGGGATGCAGCTGCCAAGAAGCACCCAGTGCCCTGAGCCTGCGCAGCCTGCCGCTCTCCAGCCTGCCAGCCCGCCGGAAGGCCACCCCACCTGCAGCGTGGCGAGCTTGGCCTCTGCGGCGTCCCGCGCCCCGCGCTCAGCAGCCAGCTGCCTGCGCAGGTCGGCGGTCTCTTTGGCGGCGGCTTCCGACGCCTCCTTCCACTGCCGCTTGTCCTTCAGATACTCCTGGGAGGCCGTTTGCATGGCGTTCTCCACGCTGGCATAAAACTCCCGCGCCTTCTCGTACTCCTCAAAGATCTCGGCGTACTGCTGCTCGGTTTCTGCCAGCTGCAGCACAGGCGGAAGCAGGGGCAGGAGGGGAGGGGCAGCGGCAGGCAGGTAATAAGCGCTCGCAGCTTGGTGCAATAAGGGACGCTGCCTTTGCCAGCATGATGCGCATTTGGGTGGATGTAGTGCGCCGTTGGGCATGCCACAGGCAGCTTGCCCAAAGTGGATGGGCGGCAGTGGCGGGGCGGCGGCTTGCCTGCGCCTCGAGCACCGCCACCCTGTTGGCCAGCTCCTCGGCCTCGGGGCGGGCGATGCCATTGAAGCCCAGGGCGCCATGCTGCCTGCAGGGCGCGGCCAGAGCGGGCAGGGCTGAGTGCACTGGGCCAGGGGCAGGGGCGATGGCGACAGCTCCAGTGGAAGGCTGTGTGGAGGCACCGACAATCCATCCCCTCGCCCCACACTCACTTGGCCTTTGCCCACACGCTGTTGGGCGCGGCTGGCGTGCCTGCCAGCCTATTCATCGTGCCCTGATCGCCAGAGGTAAGCGCCTGGGCGTGCAGGCCGACGGGGGCTCGATGCCAGGCTTGAACTGAGGCCGACGGCCGCATTAAACACTTGAGAGCCCCTTGGCCGTGCTGCCTGCTTTGCTTTGACTGTGGTGGCGCCGAACCCTGGCTTTCGGATTGCTCAGCGCCCACACTGCAGCTGCTGTCAGAGAGTTGGACGGCACCTTGCTGCCGCTGCTCCAGCCGCTGCCGGCAATGCGATGTGGCGCACCACTGCCAGCAGCGGCTTTGCCAGGGAGACAGCCAGTGGAGGGAGCGAGGGTAGGGCGGGTGCCGAAGGTGAGGAATTCGGGCCCCAACAAGTCGTGCCGCTGCTGCTGCCGCTGCCGCTGCGGCACGAGCCTGAAGGGTGGCCCGCTGCCCAACCTGCAGGCATCCAAGGCAGTGGAGAGCGGAGCACCAGGCAGCCAGCGGCGGCAGGCCGCAAGCCAGTTCCTCGTCCCCCTGCTGCTGCCGCCACCGGCATGGCGTCTGGGCGGCCGTCTGCGGCGGGCAGGCGTGGCGCCTCGGCTGCTCCTGTTAGCAGGGCGGCAAAAGTCCAACCAGCACCGATGCACGCCGCAGCTGCAGCCGCTGCAGCGCCGAGCACGGCACAGAACCGTCCACCGGGCAGTGCACGGCTGAAGCAGGCAGCAGCCAAGATGCGGGCTGATAAGCTGCGCAGAGGGCTGCAGCAGCTCCGTGCCATGCGGGGACCTCCAGCACCCACTCAGGGTTCCGCCTCGAATGCCAAGCAGGATCCCAGCCGAACCGAGGCACCCCAGGCACCCGCTACTGCCCCCGCTGTGCGGCGCCGCAGCCCAGAGGTGCAGCACCCAGCCCCTGCTATGGTGCCTACGCCAGTGGCGAGTGGGGCAGCGGCCGAGGTGGACAGCGATCCTGAGGATTTGTTTGATGACATAAGCTTGGGCCTGCTAGCCCGTCTGCGCTTGGGTGGAGCACCGGTAGCAGCAATGGCTGGAGAGGGAGCGCGGCAACCTGAGGATGTGGGCTGCACTGCTCGGAAGGCGCTTCGCGAGGCTGCGGCGGATGCAGAGATGTCGCCACCAGGCTGGCAGCTGGGTGCAGGCCAGGACCACTGCTGCTGCTTACTGCAGCTCCAGCAGCAGCAGCAACCATCAGCTCAAGACCTGGTCCAGCTGCCTGTGTCGCCTCGTGGCGCTACCGGCAACCTGCAGACAGCGACAGCTGCGATGCAGGAGCGGCTGGAGCAGCTGCGATGCGCTCTGCGCAGCCCCGAGCCTGCCGGCCTGCCACCCAGTGCATCACAGAGCCTCAACCGTGCAGCGCAGCCTGGGCAGGAGCGCACTTGCTGGCATCTATCCTCTGCTAATGTCGCAGCAGCAGGCCCAGGCCCAGCAGCAACAGCAGCAGCGGCTGAGCCGAGGCGGCAGCGGCTTGCGGCAGGCGAGCTGGTTGTCACTCGTGCTCCCAGCAGGCCCGCTATTGCCCAGAGTTTAGCTAGCAAGGGTGCTGAGCGTGCCATGCCAGAACGGCTCCATGCAGCACAGCCCCCCAGCAGCAGCGCATGCAGCGACAGCGGCGGCGGCTCGCCGTCTGCCAGGCTGGCAGCCTTGCTGACGCAGCGGCACCAGGCACACATGCAGCCCACCTTGCACCCTGCAGCGCATGGCAGCTCCTGGCCAGCTCCTGCCGCCGCCAGCCGCAGCATGTCGCTGGAGCACCATTGTGGAGCAGCAGCAGTGGAGGCTACCAGCCAGGCAGCTGGGCTTGCTCATCCCTCTGCGTCTCAGCCACCCAATTGGCTGACTGCACAGGCAAGTAGAGGAGCGGCTGCGGGCGCCATGCCACCTACACCAGCAAGGGGATTGATCCTGGCACCAGCCACCAGCAAAGCAGCAGCAGGGGTTGCAGCTGAGGGCGACATCCTGGAGGCATGGCGGCGGCGGCGCCAGGCGCAACCAGGCCAGCTGGCAGACAAGTACAGTCGCTACCTCTCACTGCAGCCGCAGCCGCAGCAGCATCGAGCACCTCCTGCCTCAGAAAGAGCTGCACTGTGGCAGCCTGAGGCTGCGCAGCTGCGCAGTGCATCCGCTGGCAGCACTTGTGAGCTGGCAGTGGTGCCACCCCAGAGCTTCGCAGCCCCGCTAGCGGCGGCAGCCACCGGCACTCGTAGCAGTGCGGGGCAGGCAGATGGCAGCGGCGGCGACATTCTGGAGCGGTGGCGGGCGCGCAGGCGGCAGCAGGCGGTGTCTAGAGGAGCAGCCACAGACTACTCCTCCTTGCTCACGCTGCGGGTGCCCAGTAGCTCACCTGCCCTCGCCAGGCCGCCCTTGCCGGCCAGCTCACCATCCAGGAGCAGCGCATCAGCCACTCTGGCCTCCTTGCAGCAAATGGGTGTGCCGCCAGCTGGGCAGCAGCAGCCCAGTGGCATGGCGCGGGAGTGCCTGACACCTCGCCTGGACTCAATCCCACCCACCAGCGCCAGCCAGGGCAGCCCGCAGCACATGCAAGCAGGTTACCGCCCGGAGCAGCCAGTCTGCCCTCCGTGTGCTTCTCAGGAGCCTACTGGCAGCTCCAGAGCCTCTGGCCCGGCTGCAGCAGCTGTGGCGGCGCCCATTCCAGCCCTGCCGGGAATGGCATTACAATGTGCGGCTGCAGCAGCAACTGAGAAGTGTCGCCCCCAGGTGGCCCTCCACGAGCCATCTGACCCTAGCCGCCCTGGGGCCCAGCTGCATGCAGCGCAGCCGGGAGCTGCGGCCGAGGCGGCGCAGGCTGGCACCAGCAACGTCGAGAAAGATATGCCGCAGGCTGAGCAGGATACGGCGCTGGCAGAGGCTGATGCCAGTGTGGCGGCATCTAGCGAGTGCAAGCCAAAGCAGCCCAGCCGGCCGCCGTCGGCAGCCAGCAGCGGCTGGGCCACGCCGCGCTCTGGAACTGCGGTGGGCAGGTGAGGAGTGCGGGCTTCGTGACATGATGGCGGGGCACAGAGAAACACGCGGCGCACCTTCGGCTTTCTCCCCAGGCGTCGCACATCCACTCTGTCTTTGCCCTGCCCATGTGTGCAGCCTGGCAAGCAGCATGGCTGGGTCCCTGCTGGACCACCTGATGGATGATGTGATTGGCGGCCTGCTGTTCTGCGACAGCTGCCCGCCAGCAGCCGGCGGAGTTGGGCGGGAGGAAGATGAGGAGGCGCCCCCGCTGCCATCCCCTGCGGTCAACACAGGCACCCTGGCAGCCAGCACAGGGGACAGCAGCGGGCGGCAGGGAGGAGCAGATGTGGGGCAGCACAGTGACGGCAGGGACGAGGACGAGGGGCATGCAGAGTGCTGGGTGCAGCAGCCAGGCCCGGGGAGTGATGCCGCTCGAGCGCTGCCAGAGGAGGCGTCGCAGCTGCTGGAGCAGGAGGAGAGCAGAGGGGCGGCGCAGCAGCATGATACGCCACCAAGTCCTTGCAGCACTGATGTGGTGCTATCTGCTGCTGCAGTAGCAGAGCCGCTTCAGCAGAACGGGCCTGATCGTGTGACTGCTGCTGCCACATCCGATGCAGTTGCCAGCTGATTCCCCGTTGCAAAGCGTGTGTCGCCCAGTGTTGATGTAGCATGCTCAGAAAGGTGGTTACCGTGGCTGCGATAATCACGCAGGTGCAACAAAAGAGGCAGAGAGGACAGCAAAAACGGACAGAATTGGCTGCAGCAAGTGAAGGAGTGACGGAAATAAACGTGGAAAGCACCAGGAGCCTCCAACTCGTTCGCTCATCCATCACAAGGTCCGAAGGGGGCGCCGATGAACGAAAGATGCGGCGGCACGAGGGGGGGCATGCCGCGCGCAGCGCAAGGCGGTGCAGAGGGAGGCTGGCCCAGGTCTCGCCCGGCTCAGCTCAGCTGCCAAGGGCCCATGTCAGACCAGGGAAAGCTCCTTGGTGTTGGCGCGGGCGCCGCTCCGCAGGCGGTTGTAGAAGCTGTGCGTCTCCTCAATCACCTGCAGGCCCAAGGGCGGGTGCAGCGCGGGGCATTGAGCTGCCTGCCGTGCGCAGAGCGGGCACCCTCCCGCCTTCATTCACCATTTCTGCCACTCCACCACCACCCCAACCGGGGTGCAGGCCCTGTCCATGCAACCCCCTGCACTCCCCGCACCGCCTCCAGGGCGCTGCCACCCAGCCACCCCAGCCCAGCCACCCCAGCCCAACCAGCCCAGCCCCTCCCAGCCAGCCCCCTGCTCCTCGCCCTCCCCGCTACTTCTTCCTCCCACCTCCATCGCGAACTCCTTGTTCATGCACTTGTTATCGTAGCCAAACTTGTTGGCGGGCTTGCCGTCGGGCATCTTGTAGTCGCGGAACCACACCAGCACCTTCTCCAGCTCGCCTGGCAGCTCGCTGCGGCGCAAACAAAGCCAGGGAGCAGGGCAGGAGGGTGGAGCAGGAGGGGAGGGAGCACGAGGAGCAGGGAGCAGGCGCAGGCACGTGAGGAGCAGGCAGAGCAAGGCTGAGCGCCAGCTCAAGACAGCCCCAACACGCTGCACGCGCAGGCGCACGCGCAGGCGCCCGGCCCGCTCACCGCTCCACATCCTCCACGTCGTTCAGCTTGGCGGCCAGCGGGTCGTCGGCGCGGATGGCAATCACTTTCCAGTCCAGCTCGCCGTCGTCAATCATGGCGTACACGCCTGCGGGCGCAGCAGCGGCGGCGCGGTCAGGGGGTGAGCGCGGCGCTCGCACCGCCCGCAGCGTGGTCGCCAGGTGCACATGCACCGGCTAGCCTCGCCGGCGGCGGCTGATGCGGTAGTTCTGGTTGTGGCTGTGGTGGTGGTGATGCTGCCGCTTTTGTTTTTCCATGCGTGTGGTGGGTGCATGCGCGTGTTGGGTGCGGCGGGCGGCTTACCCAGGGGCTTGACGGGGTACACGCCGCCCATCTCGCAGGTGGTGCTGCCAATCTCCACAACATCCACAGGGTCGTTGTCGCCCTGCGGGGAAGAAAGAAGGACCGAGGAGGTGCGAATAGGGGTGGTTGGGCTGGTGTGCAACGGGTGCGTGGCATGTGAGAGCTTGGTGGCTGGCCATGCGCGGCAGCCAGGCGTGCAGCGAATGCAGGTGCAGGAGAAGATGGGGCCCCTCAAACTTGCAGAAAACCAGGGTGTCGTCACTGAACAGTCAGTCCAAGTGTAGGATGTGTGAATGGTGTTTCTTTCATCGGGGCTTTCTGGCCGGCCATGCCAGCGATGCACATGCGCAGGCGCCAGGCAGGCCCACGCGCGGCAGCGGCAGCAGCAGCGGGGGGTGCGGCCCCAGGGGGCTCTGCTCACCGCTGCGTCGCACTCGTCGTTCTTGTGCGCCGGGTCCTCCCAGGTCTGGGGCAGCAGGCCGTAGTTCCAGTTGATGTTGTAGGGGTAGAACCGCAGCTTGCCCTTCTTGATGTCCTGCTTGATGGGGGTGTTGGTCTCGTCCTGCCAGGACGGGAGGCAGCGCACGGGGCAAGGGGTGGGTGGAGGGTGAAAGATGCAGCGGCGGGCAGGAAGACACTCCGCCATCTTCTCTTGTGTTCAAGGCTGGCAACTCACAGTGGCGACCTCCATCTTGGCAGCGGACTCCTTGGGGATCTCGCAGATAAAGTTGACCAGGCCGTCGCCTGCACCGGGGATGCGGTTGTGAGGGCAAGGACGATCCCACCCGCGATGCAGGCGCGGATGCATCCCGAGGATGCACCACCGCACTCCAAATTGCTCCAGCCGGCCGGATGGCAGCTGCTGCTGCAGCTGGAATCAGGCCCCAAGCCCCCTGACATCCCACGCACCCGCGTAGAGCGGGATGTCGTGCCAGGGGGACACCACGGCGCCGTCCTTCTGCTGCTTGAAGAAGATGCGGAACTCCAGGCTGTCGGCGGGGCCCTGCAGGGGGCGGCGTTTGACCGGGCGTGTGGACCAGGCTGCTTGGTAACGGCACAGGCTGGGATGAGCCTGGTGGCTGCAGCATAGGCAAGCCCAGGCGCCCGGCGGCGGCTTGTGGCGGGAGCTGGCGCAAGCGGGTCTCCTGGCGCCAGCCGGTGGAGCATTGCCACGTGCTCGCACCTTCTGCTCCGACGCGTAGCTGGCGCGCACGACGGTGGAGTGCAGCTGGGCGCGGCGCACAGGCCGGGCAGCAAAGGTAGCCGCCTGCAGCAATGGTTGGGGTGGCCATTGGGGTCGGCGAGCCGCCCGATGGTGCCATCTGTGCGTTCAGGGTGGTTGGCAGGCGACAGGCACTCACCTGCGCCCGCTTGGCGGCGACGCAAGGCGCGGCGTTGCGCAGCAGCGCGGTTGCCCTCAGGACGGCGGCCATTGCGACACCCTTTGTTCACAAGAAGCGAGGGGAGGTTGGAAAAAGAGAGATCAGGGTGACCGCCTGACCCAACTCCACCCGGCGGGTGCATGGAGCGTGCAGACCTCCCTTTTCCTCAAACCGGCGATGCGTGGGCTCCCGGGCATTGAATGTGATCAGCCTCGGATCACATCCATGGCCTCCTCAGTCGCGAGCTTGCGTGCCGGATGTCGAGCGCAGGTATGGGTGCGTTGCAAGCGTCCAGACGCCTTGGATGCACATGACACTTGGATCCTGATGCCATGATGCCTGCCGTGGCTGCTGCAGGCCTGGCGGCGGCACCTGGCGGCAGCGGCGGCGGCGGCCGTTCCGCCTGCTTCGCGACGACGCCTGCATTTGCACCGGCCCTGTGCGCAGCAGCAGCAGAAACAGCAGCAGCAGCAGCCGCCGCTGCCACCCCAGCAGCAGCAGCCCCCCAGCAGCAGCAGCGAGGGCGGCGGCGGCAGCACCGCCGACGCGCCGGAGCTGCCCGGCGCCAGCAAGGCGGCGGCGGCGGCGGCTTCCGGCTCGGCAGCAGCAGCTGCCTCCAAGCACATGGACGGCGGCCTGTACGCCTACCTGCTGCGCCACACGCGCGAGCCGCCGGTGCTGGCAGCGCTGCGGGCCGACACCGCGGAGCGCTATCCCTCTGCCGCCCATATGGCCGTCTCCCCCGACCAGGGCGCTTTCCTGGCCTGGCTGGCGCACACGCTGGGCGCGCGGCGCGTCATCGAGGTGGGCGTGTTCACGGGGTACAGCAGCGTGGCGCTGGCGCTGGCGCTGCCGCCCGGCGGCAGGCTCGTGGCGTGCGAGCGAGACCCAAAGGCATTGGCGGTGGCGCGGCAGTACTGGCAGCGCGCCGGGGTGGCGCACAAGGTGGGCGTGGTGACTGGCTGGTGGCTGGCTGGTGGCTGGCGGCTGGCTGGCGCGGGCCATCGCCGGCTGGCTGGGCTGCCCTGCCTGCCGCCGAAGAGCGCGGCCGGCTGCGGTCCTGAGAGCAGGCCCTGCCTGCCTGCCTGCCTGCCTGCCTGCCTGCCTCACAAGATAGCGGCCGGTGGTGCTGGTGGTGCAGGTGGAGGAGCGGCTGGGCCGCGCGACGCAGACCCTGGACAGCCTGCTGGCCGACCCGCAGCAGCACGGCAGCTACGACTTTGCCTTCATCGACGCGGACAAGAAGGTGGGCGGCCGTGGTGGTGTGGTGGCGTGGTGCGCAGGCAGGGGGTGGTGGTAGAGTAATGCAGGCAGCTGCCTGCTCTGCCGCTAGCGGCTCTGACGCATTCCGGCCATCCAGCCACTCTGGCTGCCTCTGTGGGCCGCCCCTCCCGCCCCCCTGCAGGGCTACCGCGCCTACTACGAGCAGCTGCTGCAGCTGGTGCGCCCCGGCGGCGTGATTGCGCTGGACAATGTGTTGTGGTATGGACGGGTGGCGGACCCGGCGGCAGACGACGGCGCCACCGCGGCCCTGCGCCAGCTCAACGACTTCCTGGTGGCGGACGAGCGCGTGGCCTTCAGCCTGGTGCCGGTGGGCGACGGCATGGCGCTGGCCACCAAGCGGTGACGGGTGTGGAGGCGCGGGGGCACGTCGGCTCGCGAACAGCGCAGCGTTACGGTCGCGAGAACCGCCCCGGCCGCCGGTGCGCATTGCCCGCGCCGCACAGCCAGCGTGCATTCTTGCATGTGCGTCTGCAATGCAGTAATGCTAGGTGTAGCCCATCGTGATGCAATAGCCAGGCGGTCCTGTGGGGGTAAACAGGACCGTCATCCTCGGGTAGCTTCGTCTTCAGAAAAAGTTCAAGTTTTGCTGAGTTTGGGGGAGTCGCACTGCGGGAAGGGCTGCCGGCGGCGGGATGCCAAAGCTGTCATATATGCCATGGCTGAGCTTTGCGCCGCCGCTGGAGCGGGCCTTCATCGAGGAGCGCCACGAATCCCTCTCTCGGCTGGATAAATGCGTTGCCGTGCCCTGGGTGCGTGCCAGCGACCGCTGTGGCCGCACCCATGCAGCCCTGGACGCAGGCGTGGCTGGCTGCAGCTGGGTTTGGCTTGGAAGGCACCCTGGGGAGACCAGTGCAGCCGTAGGGGGCGGCCACCAGATGGCGGAGGGGCGGAGGGGCCGCCGCTGCGCGGGACAGCCCGAGTGGCCACGACGGGCTGCGGCCGCCACCCCTGCGCTGCCTGTCGTGCAGGCCGCCCTGTGGCTGTCCATCCTGTGGCGCCACTGGCACGCCATGACAGCGCAAGCCGTGATGCGCAGCTTCTGCCACTTCATGGTGCCCGGGGAGCGCTCGCCGTGCGTGTGTCAGCCGCCACGCCCCACGCAACTTGCGACCAACGCTGCCGCCTGCTGCTGCCACATGCAGGTCATCATCAGCCCCTCCTACCTGCAGCTAGTGCTGGGCAGGCGTGCCTACCTGCAGCACCGTGTGGCCATCATTGGGCTGGCCCTGACGTCATACGTGCTGCACCCCGGCGGCGGCCTCTACCGGGACGCCATGATGCAGTCGCCGCAGGACAGCCTGGCCGCGCTCAGCCTCTTTGTGCGCCTGCTGGTCGGCTCGCGCACCCTGTTCTGGCTGGTGCTGAGGTGGGCGGGGCGGGAAGGGCGGCCACTATTACTAGCCAGTACTACAATACTTGCCCCAGCGCTCGGGCACTGTTTTGTTGTTGTTGGCCAGTAGTGCAACACGCACACCTGCTGACCCCCTCAATGTCACTGCCACACCCCAAAGCACTGGCCTGCTGAACCTCCTGAACTGCAGTTTTGGCTACCGCCTGCCGCCGCACACGCTGGTGCCGCTGCATGGCGCGCTGCTGGCGCTCAAGGCGCTGCTCAAGCCCAGCCAGCCCTTCTGCGCGGTGCTGCAGACCGTCGACACGCAGCCGCTGTTCCAGGCCATCGCCATCAAGTGAGAGGCGTGCCGCGCGCCGCAGGACTGCTCTGGGAAGCAGCTGCCGCGCATGGGCGGCACGCGCAGCGCTCGCAGCGGGCCGGCCCGGCCCATCACCCTGCACGTGCCTCTGGTGGCGTGTGTTTGCTTACGACACTGGCACTGTGCCTGTCTTGCCCCTGCTCCTGACCACTCCTGGCCACCCGCCGCGCCTGCAGCCTGCCGCTGGTCAGCCTCACGCCTCTCGACCGCCCCACCATCAAGCCCGGCGCCGACATCTGCAACCCGCTGCATGCCTGGATCGTGTTTGGGCTGGGCCTGGCCCTCCCCGCCGCGGTGTCGCTGGTGCGAGACTTTGAGGCGCGCCAGCGCTTTGTGCGGCGGCATGCGGCCCAGCTGCAGGGTGTGGACCGCGAACGCTGGCTCAGGTGGGGTGGGAGGGCGCCCCAGGTGTGCGTGTGTGTGTGAGCGCAGCCTGCTGGTCTGCCTGCTGGCACATGAGCATGCTCACACATGGGCTCCTATACTCAGCTTGGGCAGCAGCGGCTGCCATGTGCTGACGTGTTTGCTGTTGTGTGTGGCCTGCCCTGCTGGCGCGCAGCAAGACGCAGGGCTCCTTTGCGCCGGCCGGCCTGGCGGCGCTGGTGTGGGTGCACTTCATGACGGCGCTGTGGTACGGCCTCATGTACCGCCAGATGCAGCTGCCCAGCAGCAGCGAGGTATCCGCGCGCTACGCTGCCCACTTTGCCGGCGCCGCGTCGGCCGGCGAGTGATGCCGCAGTCGCCGGCGCCGTGCAGAGTGCATTCAGGCGCGGCGCAGGCACCAGTGGGGTGCATCCCAGCCGCGCATGGCGTTGCCCACGGAGCACCGGCAGCAGAGGCTGCGGCTTGGCGGTGGATTGCCCTGCCATTGCTCTGCCGTTCTTCTGCCGATTAACACTTCCAGCCGAGCAGGCCACTCTATACTGCGTACAAGCTTCCTCGCCTCGCAACTACACAATGTCTCAACACCATGCCTCCCATCGGCCGCACCTCCGATCACCCATTGTCCAATCTTTCCGGTCCCAAGCGCCTCTTGCATCCGTGTGTCACTCAGATCCAGATTTTCATTGGCCAGACCCTGCTCCTGCTAGATCTCCATTCTTTCAGCCCTCCACTCACTGCGCCTGCCATGTCACTTCGATTCATTTCCCGGATGGGGGCGCCGCCGCTGCAGCCCGCCGTCACGCCAACCGCTTTACAGTGTGATCCCCCATTCATTCAGCAACTTCCTTCTCTATTCAAAACAACGCATCAGCAGTGCCCTACGTCTGCTTTCTCCCTTGCCCCTTTGCCTCCCTTGCTTGTCCTCCTCAGCGGCGCCATGCATTGTGCTGTGTTTGTGAGTGCCGCCACCGCGGGCCAGAGCATGTAACGGTGCTGTAGCTCACCAGATTGACGACACGTCTTAGGATCACCCCTGCCCTTTCTGCCGCCCCAGATGCCAGCGCCGCCGCGCTAGCGGGCCGCCGCCACGATGTGCCACCCCAGCGGCGGCAGAGCGGGCGGGGCATGATGCCATTTGCTGGCATCTTCAGCCATCGGCTATTTCTCTTTTTCATTCGCGCTGCCCAGGCCCCGCAGATCAGCCTGGTCGAGTTTGAGGGTGTGGCTGGTGCAGAAGGGCTGGAGGGCGCGCGTTGTGCGCAGACGGCGGCAACATGGGTCTCAAGGTGATGCTAAGGGCTGCACATGCAACAGGCGCCGGCCTGCGCCAGCACCAAACCTAGCTGCTCTCCAGCGGGAACCTGTGGGAGGGTTTCCGCAGGCCTATTGCCGGCGCTGTGTTCCCCAGCCGGGCAGTTGATTTGTGCGCGGCGGAGCTGTTGGGGACACGCGCGTGCGCTTGGGCGGAATGTTGGCGGCAACCCTAGCGGCGGTGGCGGCGCCCTCACCACCGCTGCCTCTGCCCTGCAGGCGCCCAAGATAACGGTGGACCCCAGCGCGCTGAAGCAGGGCATCTGGGGCAACACGTGGAAGGAGTGGGGTGAGGCGCGCAGCACGCGGCCCCCACACCTGCAGCGGGCCCGCACCTCCCCGAACCCACCCCAGCACACGCCGGTACAAACGCTGCGGCTGCGTGCGTGCCTGCAGGATGGATCCTGCTGGCCTTCACCATTCTGTACGCCTTCTTAGGTGGCTACCTGACGGGCATGCTGTATGCCGCGCTGGGCATCCGCACAGACGCCTATCGGTGCGCGTCCGGGGCTGGCGCCTCGCTGGCGGCCTGATGGGCGGGCTCAGGGGCACGTGCGCGCGCCCACACTGGCTGCGCGGGGCCCTTGCCAGCGCACGCGCGCGCCTGCTGCCAGCTGCGGCGCGCACCGCCTCCGAGCGCCGCCGCTGCGTCTGCACGCCGTCCTCGCCGCCGCCAGCGTGCCGCCACCTGACGCGGCCCCGGGCCCCGCTGCCCTCCCTCCCCGCAGCACGATGAGCGGCAAGTACTTTGGCCCCTTTGACCGCGCCCTGCTGAACGCCAGCATCGAAACCCTGCCCAGCACGGGCGGCGTCAAGGACCCAGACTACTTCAACCGCCCAGACGGCTGCGTGGCGCTGGAGGTGAGCCGACAGCCGCCCCGCTGCGCGGGCGGGCAGCCCCAGGGGCGCGGGGTGGTGGCGGCCGTGGTGGCGGCCGCGGGCCGTGTGTGTGGGCCGGTGGGCTGGCGGGGGTGGCCACATGCAGCCGCTGTCTGGACCTGCAAGACGGGGCAGGAAGTGGGGCCCACACGCTGGCGGTGGCGGCAGCGTGACCCGCTATGCTGAGCCCGTGCCTGTGCCTGTTGTTCGGTTGTGCAGGAGTCTGTGCCCCTCAGCGCCGACTTCCCGGGCATCAACATCACCCAGCCCACCGGCATCCTGGCCTGCAGCAACTCCAACAAGCAGTGGCGGTGCGCTGAGCCGCGCGCCGGCTGGCTGCGCCCAACGCCCGGCGCCAGCGCCATTGGCGCCGCTCCGTCGCCCGCGCTCCAGAGCTGTGCAGCCGGCGCGCTGCGCTGCGGGATGCGCAGCCGGGCGGCTCCCATTCCGCATCGCTCGGGTGCCCTGCCTGCCTGCCAAACGTCCTCCTATGTGCGTATCACCTCACCTACCTATGGTGTGTGCCTCTGCTGGGCTGTGCAGCTGGACCGTGTACCCTTGGGTGCTGGAGACGAATGGCCTGGGCAACTACCCGGGCTGCGCCAACGCCGCGGGCGCCGGTGAGAGCGCCGCCTGGGCGCCGGCGCCCGCCTCCCCGGAAGTCCCCCTTGCGGCCGGGCTGCAGCGGCCCCCAGATGCGCAGCCAGGCGGCGTGGCCCCAGGCCTCCACATCTGTGGGGCCTGCGCCTGTGCCGTGTGCGGCCTGTGCCCTTCAGTCTCCGGTGGGCCCTCGCTCATCGCCGTGTGCGCCCTCCCTCCTGCCCCCCTCCCCTCCTTCACCTGCAGCCTCCACCGCTTACACCTACCTCTCTAATGAGTCGCCCGCCGGCGGGGACGCCGCCCCATCCACCCCCGCCGCCCGCGCGGCGCTGGTCTGCCAGAACAACCTGCCCGCCACCGCCCTCTAAGCCCGGCTGGCTGCCCGGGGCCTGGGCGTGCCCTCCCCGACGGCAGCCTGCACCGGACCACTCTTCAAGCCCCCCCTGTGTTGAAATCTCCCCTCCTTGCCCTTTCATTCATTCCCGTGCTCCTTCAATTGCTGCTCCCTGGCCTCTGCATACCCCATCCTAACTGCCGTCCGGCCGCCATACTTTTGTCCCATCTGTGGCGCTGTTACACCGCACTTGCAGCATGGAATGCACTTCAATGTAATTGCAAGCACGCACTGAGCGCCGCCATGGCCTGCAGCTGCCTGTCTGCTGTCCTCCAGGCGTCATCCCAGCTGCAGCGTCTTGCCGCAGCACACCTTGAACGACTTCTTGGTGGCGGGGCACCTGGAGGGGGAAGTAGGTGGGGGCGGCTGCTGGGCAGCTCGCAGCTGTGCTGCAGAATGACGGCCAGCTGGCAGCGGGCAGGCAACGGGTGTGCCCAGCCGCAGCCCACTCCAGCCGCACCAGCCACACCACACACAAATGCACACCGCCACAGCGTGCGCGCTCACTTGGTGTTGCGCCCGACAGGCACCCCCGCCAGCGGGCACGGCCGCCCCTTGTGGCCCAGGTGGCCCAGCGGCACCGCCGCGCTGCTACTGCCGTCTGCGTTCTCGTGCTCGCTCTTGTACTGCCGCCACGTGCCCAGCTGCTGCTCCAGCGCATCCATGCTGGTGGGCAGCTCCTTGCCCTCCTTCTTCAGCTCCGCCAGCCGCCTGCAGGCATCATTTTGGGGCGGCAAGGCGGCGGTTAGGGGCAGGCAAGGCGGCAAGGGCGGCTGCCCGTCGAGCTGCCTCCCACCTCCACGACACACCACGGGCATGCAGGCAGCTCCGCGGTGCAAGGTTGCCGGGGCGCAGCCCCCAGCCGCGGCCCGACCTCGTCATCTGGCGCGTCCACAGGAAGCGCGCGATGCAGTCGTCCACCTGGCCGGTGGTGCACCCCACGTCCGCCGCCACCCGCTTCCGCGCCGCGCCGTCAAACAGCGCAAGGTCGCGCTTCTCCTCGGGCCACATGGCGCTGCCGCATGGGCGGGGGGTTGAGCAGTTCGCATTGCATTGTGGGTATGGTGGCCGCGTGACGGGGCTGGTGGAGCAGCAGAAGGGGGTTCAAGCAGCACGACACCACGGCAGACAGGGCCGGGCAGCAGATCCAGCATCCGCAGCCGGCAGCCCCACCCGATGATTTGCTCAAACATGCGCATCGCCCCCTGCGCCGAGCTGTCCTTGACGGCGGCGGTGCCGTGCATGAACCCGGTGAGGCCGCCCATACGCCGCGCGTTGGTGATGGTTGAGGCAAAGGCTGCAGGGGTAGGTGGAAGCGGCAGAGGCGCAGCCCGAGGTGTGTGTGCAGCATGCTGCGGGCGCTGCCAACCACGCCAGCCAGCAGCAGGCCAAGGCTGGTGACCAACAGCAGCCCAGCTCACTCTCAAGGTCCAGGTCTCCCTCGCCTATGCCGCCCAGGGCGGTGGGCATGCGCTGCGCCAGCCATTTGGTGATGCCTGTGAGCGGATCGCTGATGGCGGCCGCGCTGCGAGAGCCGTGCAGCGCAGCCGCTGCCTGCAGCTGCCACAGCCAGGCGGGCGCGGCGGCGAGGCTCCCGCCGGCGGGCTGCCGCTGCGCCAGCTGCTGGGCCAGCAGCGCCAGGCCCCTCGCTTGTTGCCGCAACGACAGCATGCGCCAAAGACGCCGGTGCGCAGGGGAGGTTGGGTGCTGCTACTGGGATCCCTGCTGCTGCTGCGAGACTGCAAAGCTGATGGTGCACGGATGGAAGTAGCTCGAAAGGAGCGCAATTGAGGCAGAGCCCTCATCGGCTCCAGCGCAGCACGCCTCAGCGTGGCGGTGGTCGGCCGCATTGGTGCAGCCGTGGGGTGCCATCTCTGCTTGCTCAACACTCAGTAGCAAGGTGCAAATGGTTGCTGATATATCCACCTGTCTTTCCAAATGCCCTCGCATCAAGCGCAGTTGTCGGCGGATGCGGCATGTGTTCGGCAGAGGCGGGCCGCTGCCACCGCCTCGCATGAAGACATGATGCCCAACACACATGGGAGGCGGCCATGCCACGACTGCTGCTCTTTGATTGGCGCCTGTGGACACCACCATCGATGCAGGAACCGTGCAGCCGCCGGGGCACCACAGTACACACTGGTGTACCTGTGCAGTCAAAACCGGGAAACCCCAGGACGATGTTGTTTTGAGCACCTTCACGAAACTCAATTGCCTGTGAGGCATAGTGCTCTGCCTAGTACAGTCGGCCGAGCTCCCGACACCCCAGAGTTGCCTGTTTTTGGGAGCACCGCTTTGCAAAAGTGATCACACAGTGCCATGGACATAGAGGAGGCGGCGGCGGAGGGCCTGCCGCTGTCTACCGGCGCCCGGCTGGTGGGCAGCAAGAAGGCCTCGGTGAGCTCCATATTGCTGGCCAAACGCTGCGACACGCTCCTGGCGACATGTCGGATGCGATCCAGCCTGCAAGTTGTCCTCTGTCGGACATGCGATCGCGACACGGTGTGGGACCTGGGCCAGTCGCGGCTGGCACACGTTGGGGCGACGGGGGACCCCCTGCCGCCGGCGGAATCCCTGCTGCCCCCTGTGCTGCTGCCGGTCATAGTGCCTGGCTGCCGCCGCCGTCCACAACGCTGCCTGCCAGCCGCCGCCGCTCGCGCTGCCTGCAGGCTGCCAAGAGCCCGGTGCGGGTCAGCCCTGCGGCGGCCAAGGCCGGCGCGGCGGCCTTTGGCCTGTTTGCCCTCCTGGCCGGCCTCAAGGTGTCCCTGGTCATCGTGGCCGTGCTCTCAGTCTGCATCGCCATGTTGCTCTTCTCACTCTTCCTCGCCACCTGGGTGCTGAGGAAGGACGAGGGCACCGCCGACATGCAGGAGGTGCGGGCCCCCGCCTGCACTGCCGCTGTTTTGGCAGCGCCAGCGCCGGCTGCACCCCTCACGACTGCCACACAGCCTCCCGGCACACGCACGCCACCTCCACCCTCCCACCCACACACAACATGTCCGGCCTGCCCGGCCTCCCATGCACCCATCCCTGCCAGATTTCGCTGGCCATCCGCGACGGCGCCGAGGGCTACTTTGCCACCCAGTACGGCACGATCGCGCGGCTGAGCGGCGGCCTGTGTGCCGCCATCTTCCTCGTCTACCTCTTCCGCCGCGAGACGGCGGAGCAGCAGGCGGCGGGCGTAAACCGCGTCACGCTGGCACTGCTCACCGCAGTGTCCTTCATCCTGGGCGCCGCCTGCTCCTCGGCCGCGGGATACGCGGGTGGGTGGGTGGGTCGGGGTCGTGCCGCGCGGGCAGGCATGCTGCACATGGGATGGTACGGGGAGGGAAGGTTGGCGGAGCACAGCGGGCACACGCTGGTGCATAGCTGCTGTGCGCTGGCTCTGCCTGCCTGCCTGCTTGCTGGGACACATCCGTTCCAAGGCCTCGCCGCTTGCCCCGCCCCGCCCGCAGGCATGTGGGTCTCTGTTCGGGCCAACGTGCGCGTGGCGGGCGCGGCGCGGCGGTCGGCCAGGGAAGCGCTGGTGGTGGCGCTGCGTGCGGGCGGCTTCTCCGGCCTCATTGTGGTCGGCCTGGTGGGTCCCGCGCCGCAGCACGGCGGCAGCCGGCTCTCGCTGGCCGCAGCAGGCTGCCTGAGCTGGGACCTGCAGGGGCCAGTGGCCGTGTGTCCGCTGGCAGCTGCAGGCTGTCGAGGCGGAGGTCGGGCACGGAATGCGCGCGCTGCATGGCTCGGGCTCTGCCGCCGTCCCCAACTCTGCTGCCCCTGCCTGCCCGCGGCCTGCTGCCCCGGCAGATGGTGCTGGGCATCACCACGCTGTACTCCGTGCTGCACATCCTGTATGTGGGTGGGGAGCTGGGCGGCGGGCTGGCCGACACCGACATACCGCTGCTGGTGAGGTCCGATTTTAGGCACAGGCAGGGGCGGGCCGCTGTGCCTGCTGTGCTGTCAGTGGTGTGGCCGCCCCTCAAACCAGCCTCACAGCGCTGGGCTGGCCAGCCCAGCACCTGGTCCTGACACGCAGCTGTCAACCTGTATGCCCCATTGCCCGCCCTGCATCCTGCGCTCCCCCCTGGGTCCTCCAGATGGTGGGCTTTGGCTTCGGCGCCAGCTTTGTCGCGCTGTTTGCGCAGCTGGGTGAGCAAGGGATGCAGCTGAGCCTGGGGGCGCAGCTCGCTGGCACGTGCCGGCCTGCTGCCACCCGTAGCCATCCGCTGCCGCAGCCTCTGCCGCCTGCCGACTCGCGGCCCCTGTCCTCACCTGCCTGCACCGCTCACTTGTCCCATGTCTGCTACTCCTCCCTGCTTTCCACCGCTCTGCGCCCCTCCACCAGGCGGCGGCATCTTTACAAAGGCCGCCGATGTGGGGGCGGACCTGGTGGGCAAGGTGGAGGCGGGCATACCCGAGGACGACCCGCGGTGAGCGCTCAGACTCTGTGCACTCTGCTGGCAGGCGGGCCAGTGACAAAGTGGGGCGGCCGGGCCTGGGCCGGCGGGTTGCTCAGACCCCCGCTCTGCTCTGCCCCGGATGCGCTCCCTGCACCACACCCCCACCACACCCCCACACCCCCACACACACGTGCGTACACGACACCCCTGCTCGCAGCAACCCCGCTGTGATTGCCGACCTGGTGGGCGACAATGTGGGGGACTGCGCCGCGCGGGGGGCGGACCTGTTTGAGTCGATCGCCGCCGAGGTGATTGCGGCGATGATTCTCGGGGGCGCCATGGCCAAGCAGGTGGGCTGCTGCGCATGCCACGCTGTGCATGCTCTGGTTGCGTGCCCTGCATGGCATGCCACGCTGTGCCTGCCCTGCTGCCCTGCGCTCCACCCTCCCGCTGAAACCAGCCCTCTGGCATCGGTAGGACGGTGGGCATACTGCCCTGCTGCGCGCTGGGATGGGGCAGCCTTTAGCAACTCCCCTTGCCCCGCAGCTCAGCCAGGCTCAGCCAGCCTGGCTCCCACCCTGCCACCACACATGCCCAATACTCCACCGGTACCACCACCACCACCACCACCACAAGCATCCACCCACCCAGCCGCTCACACTCCCACCCTGCGTTGCTCCTCGGCATCCTCCGCAGGCGGGCCTGGAGAGCGCCCAGGGCTTCATCATGTTCCCACTGGTGGTGCACACCCTGGACCTGGTGGTGTCTGCTGTGGGCATCATGTCCATCGGCGCCAAGGCCAAGCCGCCCAAGGGAGGGGGCGAGGCGGAGGACCCGTACGCCGTCATGAAGCGCGGCTACGCCATCAGCGCCGCGCTGTCGGCGGTCGCCTTCTGCGGCGCGTGCCGCCTGCTGCTGCACACGCCCGCGGCGCCCAGGTGGGCGGCGCTGATGGCGTCGCCGGGCTGCCTTGCGGCAGCAACGCCAGACCCAGCGCTGCTTGCTCACTAGGTATCCGTCTCACTGTTTGTGCCAAACCGGCTGGGCACCTGGGCTGCAGCGCCTGGTTCCACTTCTTCCTGTGCGGCCTGGTGGGCATGGGCACTGCCTACGCCTATGTCTGGATCTCACAGGCAAGCGGCAAGTGGGTTTGTTTGTTAGCAGTTTATTGTTAGGGAAATGATTGGAGGGCTTGGTGTGAAGGCACGCTGCACGGGGTGGTGGGGTGGCCTTGCAGCAGAGCACTCGTTCCCATGCCTGCCCCCCTGCGCTGCCTGGTGCAGTATTACACTGATTACAAGTTCCAGCCGGTGAGAACTATAGCTGAATCCTCCACCACCGGTCACGCCACCAACATCATCGCGGGTAGGCTGGTGGTGGTGGTTGATGTGTGGTGGTTGTGTCTCCCATTGTGAGGTGCACGGGCACATGCCTGGCAGAAGCCGTCGGCACGGGCGTGGGAAAGCTGCTCCCTGACACACCTGCGCATCCTGACACACCTGCACATCCGCCAAGCCTGCACCCTATCCCATGTTCCGTGTATGTGCAGGGCTGGGGGTGGGGCTGGAGGCCACTGCGCTGCCGGTGCTGGTCATGAGCTTCGCCCTGATCGCCTCCTACTGGCTGGGAAACTCCTCCGGTGAGCCATGCTACGCTGTGCTGTGCTGTGCTGTGCTGTGCTGTGCTGTGCTGTGCCATGCATTACTGTGCTGTGGCCTGCTGCGTCTGCCTGCGACTTGATTGCGCGGTATGCAGCACATCACAACCCTACCTGCTCCCCACCACACCCTATGACGCATCCCACCTCGCCGCGCGCAGGCCTGGTGGATGGCGGCGCAGACGGCCTGTTTGGCACGGCGGTGGCCACGATGGGCATGCTGAGCACCGCGGCATTCATCCTGACCATGGACATGTTTGGGTGGGCTGGTGCCGCTCATCCTCGGAACCCTGGCTGGCTTTCCAGGGCGTGTTGCTCCTGGGCTCGCTGTCAGCACCACCATCCGCATGTACCCTTTGCCAAGCAGTGTTCTTGTTTCCCTATTGTCTCATCTCCCCTTGCACGTGCAGGCCGATTGCGGACAACGCTGGCGGCATTGTCGAGATGAGCCAGCAACCGGAGAGCGTCAGGCGAGTGGAGGTGCAGGCCTCCCTGGGGCGCCACCTGCCTGCCGCCACCTGGTGCCGCCTGCTGCCACCTACTGTAGCGGGTTGGCGGCTGCCAGCTGTTGTGGGGTGGCTTAGCTTAACGATGCTGGCCTGGCATGTGCCCGGACCTATGCATTGCTGCCCGCAGGGACATCACTGACCTGCTCGATGCGGTCGGCAACACTACCAAGGCAACCACCAAGGCGAGTGGGTCATGGCGGTGCAGGAGGTTTCGCCTGGAGCCCTCGCTTGGTGTACAGCCCAGCCAGCCCGGGGTGGAAGAGTGCCCTACCCCGCCTCGCCTGCCCCTTCCCGCCAGCGCCCCCCACCCACCCTCCCGCCCGCGTCTGCCGCAGGGCTATGCCATCGGCTCGGCCGGCCTCGCGTCTTTCCTCCTCTTCTCGGCGTATCTGGATGAGGTGGCCGCCTTCTCGGGGGCGCCCTTCACGCAGGTGGGTGAGGTGGCTCAGGGGGCACCCTCCAGCCTCCTCTTGCCTGCAAAAGGGCAACGTGCTACAGGGCAGCAGCCTCGAGGCGCACACTTGGCCGCTGCTCCCACGTGCCTGCCCCCGCTCTAATTTGACCCCCGTGGGCCTGCCCACCTCCCCTGGCCTGCCACCCTGCAGGTGGACATTGCGGTGCCCGAGGTGTTTGTGGGCGGCCTGCTGGGCGCCATGCTCGTCTTCCTCTTCTCCTCCTGGTCCTTTGCGGCCGTGGGGCGTACCGCGCAGGTCACCGAGCCGCCCCCCGCTGCTTGCAGCTGGCAAAAACAAAACATTTTTTTTATTTATTTTTTTATTTATTTTGTTTTAATTTTTTAATTTTTTTATTTTGTTTTAAATGCAAGGGGATGGCCGTGCCCACCCCGTAAATCGTCCCGCCTGCTGCAGGAGGTGGTGAACGAGGTGCGGCGCCAGTTTGCGGAGCGGCCCGGCATCATGAACTACACCGAGAAGCCAGACTACGCGAGGTGGGGCGGCGTGTGTGTGTGTGTGGCATGTGTGTGTGGTGTGTTTGCGTGTATGCGCGCT